TCCTAGCCTTCCTAACCTTCCTAGCCTTCCTAACCTTCCTAGCCTTCCTAACCTTCCTAGCCTTCCTAACCTTCCTAGCCTTCCTAACCTTCCTAACCTTCCTAGCTTTTTTAACCTTTCTATATTAGCCTTCATCAACCTACATTGGCCTTTAAGATGCAGCTAATTAGCTAGATCGATTTGATCTATAAGTTAGGAGTGAGGAAGCTGTATATAGTTCACAATCTCTACGGCCTACGGGCATCACGATAGCTTCCTCAGTAAGCAATGCAAGCAGTTGTCTTTACTACTGTGTGAACACTTGCTTGTGCACTTGTTGTAGACTCTTTGGCTCTACCGAACCTCACCCCGTTTAAGTCAACCTTCAGTCTGAGGAGTCCCTTTCAGTGGTAGGGGACCGAGATTCGTCACAGCTAGTTATCGAATTTCTCCTATTGCTTACCTAGTTCTAGGACTAAGCATCTTACCTACTTACTAGCCCTAATATACCATTTAATAGCGAACCAACTTCGATTTCTGACCTAGCTAAAATATACGCTATTCAGATCTAAGTAAAGACCCTCAGGAATGCCTAGGGAGGAGGGTATATATAGGACGATGTTACATTATTAGTTGACTTCGAAGTAGGAGGAATTAGGGTAATTGTTAGTTATAATTAAGGTAGTAATTAGGGTAGTTAGCAATAGTATAGTTGATAGGAATATCCCTCTGGTTATTCTTTTGGACGCTTGTGCTCGCCGGCGACCATGGGCGTCCATGCGGCACGCTCTTTTCTTCGCTACCCTTTTTGGCACCTATTCCTAATTGGTGCTCAGTCTACTGCATAGCCCCACCAGCCCGGGTTATATGGTTGGTTCGTGACACTAGCTCAATAAAGAAGATTGTAGCAACGAAGAAAGCTATAGTAACAAAGGAAGCTGTAGCAATGAAGGAAGTGGTAGCAACGAAGAAGGTTGTACTAACGAAGGAAGCTTGTGACGAATCTCAGTCCCCTAACCACTGAGAGGGACTTCTCTGAGACTAAAGGTCTGACTTAACGACGGGGTGAGGTTCGGTAGAGCCAAAGGGTCTGCAACAGTTGACACAAGCAAGTGTTCACACAGAGTATAGACAACTGCTTGCATTGCTTACTGGAGAACCTCCTGAAGGTCCTCCAACGAGTAACTATCTAGCTAGTATATATAATACTCCGTTTCACCATGTTCACTGGTGATAATATCGATTATCACCAGTGTCACTCGTGACAACGGTGAGCCTCTTGGATTATCGCTGTCCATGCCTTGCCTTGCTAGTGATAATCTCCTGATTGGTTCGTTAAGCGATTGGCTGCCAGTTTGTCCTACAGGTCCGGCTGCAGCCTCCCTAGGTGACCAACAATGGCTATTTCGTGACAAAGCTATACCAATAAAGGAAGTTATGGTTTTTAGCCTATAAAGGCTTAGGGCAAGGAAGCTAAGGAAGGATCTTTAACTTCACTTAGTGATAGTTATATTGAATTAATTTAGAGCTTTAACCTTTCCCAATTAGGTAATACTTAGTTCTTTACTTAGTCTTCTAGGTAGGGCCTAAATCGCTTAAATCCAAGGTCTTTTCGAAATTGTATGCGTTATTAGGTTGGAAAAACCGGTTCTAGAAAACCATTTAGTTCTAGGAAACCACCCAGTTCTAGGAAACTACCTAGTTCTAGGAAACCACCCAGTTCCAGCAAACTACCCAGTTAATGTAGTCGCTTGGCCTATCTTCTAGGCAGGGCTTAAATTGCTTTAAATCCAAGGTCTTTTCGAAGTTACATGCATTTTTAGGTTGGAAAAACTGGTTCTAGGAAGCCACCTAGTTAACAAAGTCGCCTAGCCTATCCTCTCAATGCCAGCTCTCATGAGGGATCCCATTTACCTATAGGTAGTAGGCCTAGTCCGCTTAACGGAAGCACTGTTTATAGAACTTACTCCCTAGCAAGGCCAAGCAACTATATTACCAATGAAATTTGTAGTGTTGATCGAAAGGTCTTTTTAGTATTATTGGCGTTATTATAGTTTTAGTTGTAGGAGGAAAAGAAGGATCCTATAGTTAAAGAACTAGTAGGAGGATCTTATAGTTAGCTACTGGCAATAGGGATAGTAAAGGACCTTTATTATTAGCTATATAGGCAACTATACTAAGGTAATATCCTGTTTGTTATCTTTAATATAATAGCCTACCTTTCCTTCCTGATACTGCCTTATCTTCTTTAGCTAGTGTCATGGAATGACCATTGTTGGCGGCCCGAGGGGCTGCAGCCGGGTCCGCGAGACGTCTGGCGACCAATCATTCAACAGACCAATCAGAGGATTATCACTGCTAAGATCAAGCCGTCACTGGTGATAATGGGAAGTCACTGTCGACAACGGAGTATCAACAATGAATACAGAACAGTCACTGGTGATAGTCGCCAGGGCATGGTGAAACAAGGATTATATATACTAGCTAGATAGTCACTCGTTAGGAGGACCTTCAGAAGGTTCTCCAGTAAGCAATGCAAGCAGTTGTCTTTACTACTGTGTGAACACTTGCTTGTGCACTTGTTGTAGACCCTTTGGCTCTACCGAACCTCACCCCGTTCAAGTCAACCTTCAGTCTAAGGAGTCCCTTTCAGTGGTAGGGGACCGAGATTCGTCACACAAGATGATTCAATTGTTGTTGTAGCCGGTGAAGGTCGTGATGGCTGTCAAGTAGGTGTGTGGGCGGAAAATAGCTGTAATACTGGCCGTTGCTGTGGTGGCCGTTGCTGTAGTGGCCGTTGTTGTGGTAAGCTAAGCCCCCTGTATGCTAGGTGTATGCCAGGCCTTGGCAGTGGCTTGAATCGTGGCTGAAGTGGGTCCTGATCAAACTCTGACTATGATCAATGTCCCCAGTAGAAATGGTATTAATGTGGTCTACAGAGTCCAGGACAAGATCAACTTTATTGCTTTCGTCTCGATGTTGCGATGAAGTCGACTCGGAGATAGAGATATTTGGCTTAAGGGAAAGAAAGTGTATCATCTGTCAAATTTACACTATCTGGGGTGGAATAAGTAAAATGCAACATCATCCCTATCCTAGTGAGTTGGCCTGAAGATCGTGGATTGGATCATTGGAGGTCGGGCAGTCGGTGAGCGGAGTAAGGTTCCATTTGCTCATGGGGCCGTTGCAGTGATTGAAATTGGCGATGGCAGGCCTTCGGTCGGGCCCACCTCACCACTGAAGCTCACACGCAGCAGGGCCCCACTACCGTAGAGGCCAGTGGAGCTGAGGAAGGCTTTCGGTAGGGGTCCCCGCTCCGGTTTGGCGCGCCCCTCCCCGCCTTGCCGCAATCCGCAGGTGCGCCCGGTCGTGAACACAAAACCTTTGGCGTTCCCTGTTATTGGTTTTAGTTCGCATCCCTTGCACATAGCAGCTCCCAACATAGTAATCTCATCAACAGCTGCCGCAGGACCGGCCCTCCCTGTAATCACCATAATAACTCGGTAATCCCATCGTGGTCGACCGAAAATTTCGCGGCGAAGTCAAGCGGCCTTCGTCAGGACGCGAAACCATCAGAAAACAGGTCGAAGAGGTTCCGGTAGTCCAAAATCATGGGACGGTCCCGGCCGAGCCCTGCTCCTGTTGTCAACGCAAAATGAACGGCGATGCGGGCCTGGTAGGCTGCCTGGTCGAGAGGCTTACAACGAGGGTACGTCTTGTTGATCTGGTTTACCTCTTCCGCCGTGCAATCCTCGACTATCAATTGCTGACATCTCGTGTGCTCTATCGCACTGCTCGCCCATACGACAGCTCCCCCACCGCACCGGCACGACGACCCAGGACCTCTCCCAGGACGACATCGTCTCCATCACGCGCGCCACGCTCGTCAAGATCAGCGCCTCCTCCATCAGCCTCATTCTCGACGCTCTGCTCAACTTGCTAGAGGACTTGGCGCGCCCCTATAAATCCGTCGTCTCACATCCGCCCCATGTCCTCTTCTCGGAGCTCTATGTCCTTGAGCTCATTGCCGACTGCTTTGCCAGCAATTGGTATCGTCTCAGGGGCTCCGTCGACAAACCCAACGCTTCTCCCGTGTCGGACGGCCCCCTGTCCCCGTCGCAGCGAGCAGCCTTCTACCCGCCCGAGTCCCTCACCGATGTGCAGATCGCCCGGATATTCGACGTGATCAAGGTCCTGTTCGAACCGATTCCGGACGGCTACACATTGCCAGCCAAGGCTATATTAGACGATTCGTCCGCCAAGCCCATCGCAACACCCTTACCAGACGAGCCCACTCGAACACCGCTCTCTACTTCATCCAATGAGCCCGTCGAGACAGGAAGCCTTCTCCAGGCCCATGCCAGCGCCATTGAGGCACACGTAAAGCTCATGGTTGAGTACATGACGGCCTCGAGCTGGCCCATCGCCTTCGACTTCTTCCGAAACATAATCTACGCATCCCGCAACCCGGTGCCCACGCAGAACAATGCCGCCCCGAATACCGCCGCCGTTGACGAGGAGCGCGCCGCGCTCATTGTGCTGCGCCTCGTCTCCTACTTCTGGGTCGACAGCCAGAAGTTGGGTCTCGTCATACAAGAGTTTTGCTCGAGCTTCCTGCATTACCGCAAATCGTTCCAAAACACCATAGCCGTGGTCCTGCCGCAGCTCATTACCCGCTGGTTAGACCGCTACCCGGACGAGTTCGTACAGATGCATTCCCTGCACAACCCTAAGCGCCGCGACACGGCGCCCGACACGCTGCTGGAGATGGCCCACACGGTAGGGGACAACGGCCGGCGGAAGGCACTGTTGTTTCCGATGCAGATGACGCTGCTATTCCTGCAGCCCGATGTGTTTGAGGTCGCGAGCAATCTGCGCGAGGCGAAAGGCGCCAGCATGGTCAAGAAGGTTCAGTTTCTGGACGGGCTGAGGAAGGCGTTGAGGAACCGCAACGAACAGGCCGCCTACTGTCTGGTGCTGTTGCTGAGGGCAGCGAGGCACTTTGATATTGAGAGCGATTCGGCCCTCATGAGCTACGCCATGGACGTGCAAGATGAGGTGAGAGATGCCGTGTTCAGGCGGTTCGCTCCAGGAACCGAGGGGGTGCTGTTTGAGCAGGACATCATGACAGCTGCGTTCGTGTCGCTCGCACACCTCAATTTTGACTACTGCGTCGAGACCCTGGCCACGGCAATTTGTCTGGCCCCTTCGGCGCCCGATAGCTTCAAGATCGCCGTAATCCAGGCATGTGCGCATTTTGCTCGTCTCGGCGATAGGGAAGAGTATCAGCCGCTCTTCACAGCGGCGAGCGCCTTCGTTCAGGGGCAGCTGCAGGTAAGCTATTTCTCCAAGTTCCGCCTCGCAGTGCACGTGTTTGACAGCTGACTTTGCAAAGTTCATGTCTGAGCTTCTCGCCGAAGGATACATTGAAGAACAGAGCGCCCAGCGCAAGGCAGCGGAGAGTGCTTCTTCAATTAGCATGATCTCCAATATTCTCAGCTTCTTGGATGCCTCTCCCATGACTCTCTTCGAAGGCCCGCCCATGGACCGAGGCGAGCGCGACGTTTTCTATCGGGAGAATCTCGAAGCACTCATCTCTTGCGTCATTGCCGCTGACGAGTCTGTCAGGCGGCTGGCTACGGGCGTCGCGAAGCGCTTGTTCGCAAAGGAGCAGGTGCTCTCAACGCTGAGAGCGTCAAAGGGTCTTAGCTCTAAGGCCTTCAAGACCAGGTTCTGGCAGCTTACGTATGTTTTATCATGAGCCAACAGGAGAATGGGCGAGGCAACTAACTCTATACGCAGGTCACTCATTCTGATATCGATCTGCGACAGGGCAAGAATGCCATGTTCCGCCGAAGCGCTCAGGTCTATCCACGGCTATTTAGAGTCAAGGTTACTAGTCCTGACCGCTATACCAGAACTTGGCCAGACTTCTGATGACATTCCTGAACGGACCGCTGCCTCGACAAAGCTCGAGACTCTCTTTCTGGTATCGCTCTGCTCTGCCGACATTGAAGCCTGCCAGATTGTCACATCCTGTGTTGGCACGTTCCTCGATGAATGCCGGCTCATCGACACAGCACCGGCGACAGCAAAGTCGTCCCTGACTCTACTCCGGAATGCCGACATTTTTGGCGAGATTTCAGCCCGCGACTTCAGGTTTACTGGGCTGGTAGCATTCCAGAAGAGAACCAGGTCGCTGTTGAGACGCATGCAGTACCCTAGCGCCGGCATCCTTGACGCGTGGGAATTTGTCTTTGACAGGTGGATGATCCTCAACAAGGAGCTTTGCCAGGCAACCGCCGAGGGCGTCGAAGAGAGGTTAATAATCGACATGGTTGCCGAATGGCGGAATTATTCAGGCTTCCTTGCCTCGCTGGGAGGTATCTGTACAGCTGAGCAAGTTTCTAAAGCATCTAACCTAGAAGAGCCCGCCATTAGTGGGCTGAGGTGGATCGACCGGCTGTCATCTGGAATTCACGAAGAACCGCTCCTGACACGGTATCTAAGGTTGAGCATCCAGCTTCTCGCCTGCGCCAACCTCCGGGTCCGCGAGACCATTCGAGAGGTCCTGTCCGTCGAGGTACCGTCATCCCTGTATTATCCATTGTTCAAAGCCCTTAGCGCAGAGCTCGACGTGCTGTTCACAGGCGCTCTTGAGCCGAGTGTCAAGGGAGTCGATAACGACATCATCTTCGCCGAACAGTCCACATCTCTCCTCAAGGCTTTAGTCGAGAGGCTTGATGGTGCGACGGAGCTCGGTGCAGCATCCAACCTGCACATCGGCCTCATGTGTCTGAATTTTGCCAAGTTTCTCGACGGCGTCTCCGACACGCCTAGCAGCCTCCGCGTCAAAATCAAAACCTGCCAGCTCATCGAATCCGTAACCAAGCGCAAGGAGCACCTCAACCTCCGTGACGATGTGCGCATCCGCAACCAATTGCTCGAGTACATCTTTAGCTGGATCGCCCGTCCGCGCTCCCCTCGGGCGCCAGAAAACGCCTCCTACGGTAGCGGCCGTCCGGACGAAATGACACGCGTCCAAAAGGACCTCGACAAGGCTTGCCTGCGCTGCCTTGCCAGCCTCACATTCCGACTTCCCCTTCAGCCAGGCGATGGGCAAACGGATGCCGGCACAAGCGAGCTCAAGTCACAAATGTTTCATCAGTACTTTAACCGCTTCCTGTCGCTGCTAAATATGGACTTGAACGCGTCCGACATCGTGCGGAGCGACGGCCACCATCACGGCCACTGGGGCAGCTCGAGCACTGCGTCCGAGGCGTCAACGTCGGATCTGGCAATTACCATTCTCTCCAACCTGCTAAGTGCGAATATCGACGTCGGATTGAAGCACTCGCTGAGCATTGGTTACCACGAAAATGTGGACATCAGGACAGCGTTTGTGAGGGTGTTGTATAACATCCTCGTGCAAGGCACGGAGTTCAATAACCTGAGCGATGCCGCAGTGCTTGAGAAGTATAATGAGCTGCTAGACCTGCTGACGGCAGACCCGAGCTTGGCGGTGGCCATGAGCGCCGTTTGCCCCAGTCACGAAGTGGACGAGCTCACCATTTCACTGTTAAACATCTTTGAGACGAGGGGACTGAGTTTTGTGCTGCTCGAGGCGTTGATCAAGCACGAGGTTGAGGAGACTGGTAAGTCCGGCCAGAGTGGATTGCACGGGGTCTCAAATCGGCCGGCTAACTGATCAATTCGTAGAGAACGAATCAGAGCTCCTCCGCCAAACCTGTGTCGCTACCAAGATGTTGTCCATATACGCAAAGTGGAAGGGCACCGGCTACCTCAAGGACACGCTGCAGAACGTGGTTGAGAGGCTCATGCTGACGTCCAAGGAGTTGAGCCTGGAGCTGGACCCGACCAAGGTCAACTCGCCTGAGGAGCTGCAGACGAATGCGGAGCACCTGCAGATTGTCGCTCGCGTCTTTATTGAGAACATATGCTCATCTTCATCCAATATCCCGGCGTCCTTTCGCAAGATTTGCAGTATTGTAGGTTCATACACCGTATATCTGTCATCTGCACCGGCTGGCATCATCGTACTGACGCGGAGCGCAGATCTCGGACTCGGTCCTGGAGAAGTTTCCCGACGCAAAGTACACTGCTGTCGGCGCCTTCATATTCTTGCGCTTCTTCTGCCCTGCAATCGTTGCGCCTGAGGTTGAGGGGCTCGTCTCAACACCGCCATCAAAGGAGATGCGTCGTGGGCTGCTACTCATCGCCAAAGTCATTCAAAATCTGGCAAATAATGTGCTCTTTGGAGCCAAGGAGCCGTACATGTTCCCGCTGATTGATTTTTTGACGAACAATATCTACAAGGTTACTACTTTTCTGCGGGAGATATCAGTCCCGCCAACCACGCTGGAGGATACCACTGGGGGCGAATCGTTTGACTTTGGCTCCTGTGTGGCGCTTCACAGGTTCCTGTATGAGCACTGGGATCACGTCCGGCAGCGGCTTGCCTCTAGGGAGAGGCGGGAATTCGTCTGGTCACCGTCGGATTCGAACAGAGGCCGGACCCACGTGCTAGAGCCGCTGAAGAATCTTGTCATGAACTTGGGGCCACCACCGTTGGCTGTCACATGGAACCGGCCTCATATCGCGACGAACAGCCCCCCGGCTTACTCGAGGTTCCAGGATTTCATGCTCCGCAACGCTTTCCGAACTACCGAGTCCTTCCTGACAGCCCGCGCGGTGTACGACGGCGGCGAGAGTAAGGACGGGCTGTCCATCATCTGCATTATTCTTCGCAATATTGATGGAGAGGTAATCGACTATGACACCCTGATATACTGCTATCTCAAGCTCGCCAGCCGGCTGTGGCACCGCCCGTTTGGACTCTTCATCGACGCCACCTGCTACAACGGGCAAAGCGAGCCCAAGGAGGAGTTGTTCCAGAAGCTGGAACTGCTTACGCCGACCGAGCTGTCTCGCCAGCTGACGCGCATCTACGTCTACAACACCAACAGCGCCTCCAAAAAATGTCTTCGTCGCATCCTCAAGGTGTCGACCAGGAACGAAAACAGCGTGTTCAGTTCATCCAATGTGGAATACCAACTCATAGGAAGCCTGCAGGAGCTGCAAGCGCATTTCCACCTGAGCCAGCTGCATCTGCCCAAGGAAACGATCAGTGTCGTGACGGATACCCGCTTTGTCTTTCAGCCGATTGCCAGGCTGTCTAAATCCAAGGGTAAGATTGATGTGGTGATCAAGGTTGGCAGTCAGTTTGTGCAAGTCACAACGAACAAGAAGCAGGAAGTGCCCGGCTTCCGCCTGAGCACGACCGTCAATGACATCTTCCGACTGAGTGACGTGGAAGAGGCGCCCACGTCAATCCAGACGGAGGACGACTCAGCCTTCGGTCTCAGGGCGGACAACGGCAGAATTGTCATGTACTTTACAAGCCCGAAGAAGGCCGAGGTGCTGCAGCACATACGCGCGGCAAAGGCCAAATACGCCAAGGACACGCGGGCCATGAAGTCGTTTGAGCGACTGATTCGGCCGCAGGACGTGCCGGGGACACTCCTGAACCTTGCCCTGACCAACCTGGCCAGTACGGATTCGGTGCTAAGGCTATCGTCGTATAATCTGCTGAGCGCGCTGTGCAAGGCGTTCAAGTTTACGGCAGCGTCGAAGCTGATGAGTACGAAAGATATCATGGTGCCACTGGACCCGTCGCAGTTCATCATCAAGATTAGCAAGAGCCTGGCACAGACGGAACCTCAGTTGACGTCGGATTTCTTGAATGAGTTCTTCGTCGGGTGGGACAGCTTCTCGGAGGAGCAAAAGCCCCTGAGTTTGGCGTACATGGCGCCCTGGATTCCTGGGCTGCGTACCTCTCTGCTGGCTAGCGAAAGTGAGAGCGACAAGGGAAGGGAGAAGATTGCGGCGCTGTTCAGGAAGCTTATCGATGTCACACTTTCAGACCCGACGCTGATGTTTACCCTGGAGCAGTCGGTGTGGCCCGCCATATATCAGGACGAAGTGCTTCTGGACATATTTCTGGAGGAGATTATCAAGGCGGCCCTGACGCTCGGTTTTGAAGACGTCCAAACCGAGACGCTGACGTCGATTGCCAGCGCGATTGGCACAATCACTCTGCGAGGGAAGGTCATATCGCGCCTGCGGAAGGCATTGAATCGGTCCTCGCTGCGGCCGACCAAGTTCCTGCCTGACAACCCGGTCTGGAATGAGATCTGCGTGCTGCTACAGTTCTGCGCGGCTTTGTCATTTGACAGCGGCGTGCAGGCCCAGCTGTATCTGCCAGAGATCTTCCACATCGTCACGATGCTCGCCAACACGGGCATGCCGGAGGTCCGGGTCGTGGTGCACCGCCTGCTGGTCAACTCAATCCACTCGGCATGTACCTCATTTGTACTCGACGAGAACCGGCTTAGCAAGCTACGGGCAACGTTGGAGGTGCTTTCGGACACCAAGAGCGACATATTTGTCAACACAGCCACCTTTATGCGCGACGGTGCGTCCATATCAACTACCCAGGAAGCCGGGCCTACCCTCGCAGCGACCGAGCACCTAGCTACCATTCTTTTCGAGACGTGCTCCATCGCGGCGCCGTCGGTGGATACCGCCAACGCGTGGCGTTCCCGATGGATGTCTCTCGTGGCCAGCACAGCCTTTCAAAACAACCCGGCGATCCAGCCGCGTGCTTTCACCGTCATGGGCTGCCTCGCCCGCGAAGAAGTCGATGACGACCTGCTGTACCAGGTCCTCGTGGCGCTGCGCAACAGCGTGACCCGCTTTGCTGAGGAAGGCAGCAGCGACATGCTCGTCGCCATCGTCACGGCGCTGTCCAAGATGATGGCCAAGCTGCAATCAGCGTCCCGGTACGGCCTGCAGCTCTTCTGGCTGGCCATGTCGCTGCTGAGATTGGTGCCGCCCCACCTATTCAATTGCGCCGCCGCGTTGCTCGAGGCCGTCCTCACTAACATCAGCTCATCGGGCGACATGCGCGGAGGGGCCGATAAGATGGTCCCGCACCTGCTGCAGGGCAGGGCCCAGCTTGAAGAGGCGGCACTGCCCCTCGACGAGGCCTACGGAATTCACTTCAACGCTGAGAGCTTCCACTTTGCGGCGTGCGCTTGCGTAGTCAGGGGTCTAACCGACACGGTCACCAAGGGTACCGCGTTGAGGGTACTCGCAACTTTGTTGGAGATGACAAGCTGGTCGCCCGAGAGCAACGGCGGTGCCAACGCCGACAGGGACGTGCGCGACATGGCGGCGTCGCCGTACATGGCGCTCATCCTGGCGCGGACGGCGTCGCTGGAGGAGCTGCGCGAGCACCTGTGGACGGCAGGTATCAATCCGAGCGGGCTGGCGGACCCGGGCACGCTGAGGGCGGCGCAGGACCTGGGCAGGATCAAGGATAAGGATCTGCTGCTTAACACGGCCATCGAGCTGGTGGATTTCCAGTACCTTGAGGACGCGGTTCAGCATCGTAGCCTGCAGTGGCTGAACCGGATTGCGCTGGCTAGACCTGGGGTGGTTATGCATTTGTGGGTTGTCTCTTGGTTTCTTTGGCTCTCCCTTGGACGTTCTATGCTAAGCATACTTAATAACAGATGCGGCCCCATCATCACCATCCTGGACGACATCCTCCTCCACTGCCAGAGCTCGGCCACTCTTGAGGCGGCGCACACGCTGCTGCAGACGCTGACCTCAAACCCAAAGTTCTCCAACTCGAGCGAGTCGGTCGCGGTGCTCAACGAGATCCTCGACGATATGGGCTTTGGCGGCCTCTGGAGGAGCTGCTCGTTCAATACGAGCCAGGAGCCACGCGACCAGGCGTACTTTGCGCTGACGGAGAAGCTGATTGAGGTCAGTTGCGCCTAAAGAAGCAGAAGTGTGAAGTTTTGGATATTCGGCTAACACTTTTTCGCTTTCCGGTTGGCAGCTCATCTACTAAGACATAGATCTACTGTTTCTTGGGAAAGCATACAAGTGCGTGGACACTTGAATCATGTGATCTGGCCTATTTACTGTGCTGTGACGTGGATGTGAAGCCGGTGGGCGATGTTGGGAAGTAGTTATAGCGATGGTCGTCGTGGTCGCTTCACCAGGATGAGCAGGCCGATAGGAAGAGCGGGGAGCGAATTGATTACAGGTGATGTTCTACGGGTATCTTCATTGCATGCCTGCGCTTCTTTCTTCTTTCCCATTTAAGCATTTGGAGCGAGTGAGACATGGATGGAAGGGTTCTTGTTCATGTTTTCCTGCTGGTGTTGTCTCTTTCCAGAGAGCTGATGTAGAGGTCATTGGAAAGGACGAAGACGAAAATGAAAACTGCTATTATTGCAAAAACAAAACAAGCACTGCTTGATCGGTGCCCTCCCGGTTATGATCGGCGTTTAAGCTTATGGCTTGAGCTGTAGCGTCGGGGATTAGCGAAACACCGCCTGTCATTCACAAACAGGTTTTGACCAGGCGAAGCTGTCAGAATGCAATGGTGTGTGGAGATAGTGTATATTCGCCCCGCGGCCCGGCCATGTCGGCAGACCGTTGAGGTGCCTGGCCGCGCCGCCGGGCCCTGGTCGCTAATCTCCGCGTTTATAATGCGGAGTCCTGGGGCTTACCGATGCGTGATTGTCAGCTCCCGAGGACCGAGGACCGGGGCCGCCGGGGTCGGGTTCAAGTCGGGTCGGGTCGCGGTCTCCTTTGGTGCACTTTGTTCCACTTTGGTGTATATGTATTACAGAATGTAGTCGGTGTCTGGCGGTGCACGACTGATTTACACCTCAGTCAGTAAAGTAAAAGGTAACGTTGTTTCGAGATACTTTTGTGAGTTGGAAAGAAATTTCATGCATGAGGATTGCTACACGTGCCCGAATGTTTCGGGGAGTGTACTTAACCTTATGTCTTGTTCGTACCCTACGGTACTGTACTTCGAGCTGTGCCCCTGCCCTGCGGCCCTGTTCCGCCGTTCCCGTCGCGTGCTACACAGACGTACAGTAGGGCCGATCGATTGGGAGCACACCAACGGCTGGTCCGATCGGATCTTTCGTTGTGCATGCTTGAGGCGCAGTGCACTTGCATACATATCGGTCGCTCATTCAAGGTAGGAAAATTTTTCTTTCGGTCGACACTTCTACATTAGAAGGCTTGTTCGGCGACTCGCGGTATCTCTTTTAGTAAGCAACACTACAGCTATTGCGCGAACTCTGCAACTTCGATGCCGAATATTGACCGGACTAGCTGCTGGTTGCATCCGGCCTTAAGGCAACTGAGTCCGTTCGTACACTCTTGTAGATGACAGTCGCTTCGTATACTGTAGTAATGTAGTGTACGACATATAATTAGGCTGTCGACGGAATTGCCAAGCGCTGATGACTGTCTTAATTTGTACCCATCTCCCCGTCTCAGTCATCTCGTCAATTTCCCCGGACTTTGGGAATTCGTGTTTTGCTAGCGTCATCACCGAGTCACTGAGCATCACTTAAGCTGATGCTAAGTCGGCTCAGTCATCATTCGTAATCGTTCCGAAGGGTCCTTACTCAATTGCTCAGAGCTGGTCACCGTTCAAAACGAGGGCGTTGCATTGTCAGCTTCTGCTCAAAAAAGTGACCATGGATTGAGAGGGAACCGTAAAACTAACAACAGCCTTGTCCTGGGATATTCCAAATGATTTGTGGCCAGTTGAGAGTCGGTCTTGCAAATGATTTGCATCGGAGCTAAGGCCGAGTCCGGCCGCTGGCAGGGAGCCCAATCCACTTTTGCACAGCCCCTGCAGGTTGATGGTTTCTGCACTTCCGTCGGCGGCTGCCGAGATCTCTCCATTGCCGGAAAAGACCCGCATTCCTTGTCTGCATTCGGCCTAGGGCGCTCTAGTACCTCACACCTACAGGATTCCCTTCCCACTTCTACACTTCACCAGGACCAACGAGATGCGCAAAGCGGTTTCCCCTGACATATTGCGTATGTCGTGCAACGTGGGAAAACGAGACATTCGTGAGCTTCATCCTATTCTAGAAGTCTAGAAGGGGTGCTTGATGCAAGCCCAAGGAAGATTTTTTTGCACTCATGCCGTGATCGCAGGATCGCGGATAAGGCCGTGTAAAGGCCGTTAACTAGAGTAAAACCGTCCCGATCGTGAGGATGGATGTCAACGAAATCTGCCACAGGTGAGCCTTGGCATGGACAGCAGTGTATGACTTGCAGAATACCTACGTAGTACGTACAACCGTGCTTTATATACTTACTGCACGACAAGAAGATTTGATCTATATATGTTCCGTATTCCCGAGAAAAGAGCGAAACCGCGAGCTTCTAGAACATCGGAAAGCCTCAAAGCTGCTGTACGATGCCATCCCACTGAAGCTACGACCGGGCGGCTTACTCTACTTTTTGTCTTGACCTCGTCGTCAGACAGCGCGCTGGCCCGCTGGGTAGTACGGTCTCTTAGGAGTATACTTACTTACGTATTAGCCGTGGAAATCCCTACCCTACCCTCGCCGACCTGGTCCTTGCCTCTGGGTCTGGGGTCCCGAGCTGGCGGTTCAGGCCGTCAGAAAGACGGCTACACGAGATGTGTGCAACCACACTCGGGCCACACTATGGATAACATTACTGTAGTTGGTCCCGAAGCACGGGCTGACATAGACTAGCTGTCGCAATCTTACCCTTCTAGAGCACCTAAAGACCCCATGATTTAAGCTGGCTGGCTGAGACGACGGTCGCTCCCAGTACATATAGCCTGACAGATACACTACCTTATTAGTGTAGGTAGCCGGGAGGCCCGACAGTGCGGATTGCTTAAAGAAAAAGGTTTGCATCCCTTGGTGCTGGTATGGAGGGCGGAGCTACCACACCATTGGTCAGTTGGGTGTTCATTCCGCACGAGCGTGGGCTGCCCCTCGGTTGATGGATGAAAACTCCGAAATCTGAATGATGAATCCAGCGGTAGTAAAAGTGCTGGAACTATCGTCGGTAAGGAGCTGTATGTACTTGGGGGTGGCAGCTGCATTGTCACGGCTCGCCTTTCTTGCAGTGATGAGATGAGAAGATCTCGACGAACAGATGCCGGGATCGTTGAAAATCTCCACCGTTATACCGGGCATAAGCTTCCAGAACGGCGACCCCTGTCCGTCAAGTGAGTGCGGGAGCTGAAGCTGTTTTGTCGTCCGCGTTCTGCAGCTCCGATTGCGCAACACTGAACGAATCAGAAGTCGACAACAGGTGGTGTAACGCTGTCAGAGGCATGCAAAAACGTGGAAGCCCTGGGATCCCAGGGAAGATCGACAAGAAGTCATCAAGTCGTGCAGCCACACATGGGCCTGTGTCTCCCTATCAAGTGCTGGCATCGTATGCCGTGTTACCGCACAACGACAAGTGCGGTTTTAACAAGCCATCCGGAGCAGGACGGCCGGGCTAGAACCTAACATCGGATGACGGACGGTAGCCGGGACGGTAGCCGGGACGGTAGCCGGGCGCTGCGCCGTTTCTAATCCAAAGCTGGTCTGGAGGCCGAGTCGTAGAATGTCATGTAGTGTAATTCTCGAACCTCGATAGATAGCAAAGCTTATTGAGGACCGAGTTGGTGACCAGATTCAGAAACCCGGCGGGTCCAGGCAAGTTTTGCTGAATACATACATACCTAGACAGAGGTCGAAAGAAGCAGGGTCCTTGCTCAGCTTGCTCAAGGGGAGCCTTGGTGCGGCTCGCTGTCGATCCTATTCCCCCGCGATTTGCGAGGCATGCCCCTGTTATTGTGGGATCTGCACTGGTTGGCATGCGATTCACCAGTACTACGGAGTGACCCAAGGACTAATGCGTACGTGTATCACCGCAGCGAGCATATGCCACTAGAAGTCTTGCTCTGGAGGTACCTTCGTCGGCTCGCAATTCTGTTAAGAGGGGTAGTCGAGAGGATGATTTTTACATACAAGATTTTGGGGTCACTAACAGAAGTCGTGGCCTTTCGAAGTACCCGTACCTTACAAAGTTCCGTGGCTCCGAAAGGTGGTGAGCGGAAGGCGCCATCTGGAGCGATTTGGCCAGGGACAAGACGAAGCAAGCCTGCCAACGCGCGACCCGGATTCCGGAGCCCCTGATCCTACCTGGTCTGTCGCGATTGCTGAATTGACCTTGTTTGTGTACATACAATACTACAATATCCCCCTTGTTTGTTCGTTAGCTCGGTACTTCACGTGGGGCAGAATGCAGAAATCGACCTAAAAAGCATCATCATAACTTACAATACCTCAATAGAGGGCTCATACACCGGGAAAGCTCAGTTTCGGCTTGCGTTGAAGTTGAGAGCAGTCTTGAGTATCTGGTAGCCCTGCTTTGGAGAGGTCACGTAGGAGAGACTTCAAGATCGAGGAGATGTGGGTCGAAGTTGACGCATTCAATTGGACGCAGTAGCTTCAGCGCTATACTAGAGAAGGGAAAGCTCTGTGGGGCGGCGTACTACGCTAACAAACAAACAGGGTTGTATTGTACACTTGCAGTCCTCATACACAGGAAGGCGCAGGAAGCCGGAGGCCCATCTTGACTGAGGTAGGCCCTAGCCGGTAGCGCGGTGTCGGCGAAACCGCGGTTTATGGGTGATTCTGCTGAAAAGAGCTTCGGTCACGGGGTGCATACCAGAATGTATTGAGCGCGAGCGTACACCATAACACCAGAAACCCCCTTGACTTTAAATAAAGCAAGCCCGCGGCGGAGCGCATATGCCCGCAAGGGCCGGTTCATGCTTTCGCTCTCCGACACCGCGCACCGGCAAGCACCAGAATTGGAATGCAGTCGCTGTGGCTTGCGGAACAACCGAAGAAGTCGTCGTATTCACTCAAAGTCAATGGTAAATATGTCTCTGAGTCATCTTCGAAATAGCGGCCGGGTAAGGGGAGTGCTACGTCGGATACTCGTACCATCATACAGTCAGCTGCGACGGTCATGTGATTGTGTTTGTCACGGGAGCGTGATGCTTGAGTCGTGCTCCCATGATGGGCGGAATCAGCCTCCAACGTGATGGTCCAGTTTTGATGTCGGCAAGCCTCGCTTCTGAAAGGAGGACACAGCAATGTAAAGAAGCAGAAAAAACGTCCCCTTAGGTGTGCAAGTGGTTGTTGGCCCAAAACCGGATTCTCTGCTATCAGCCACACTACAACCCTGCGCAAGCGTTACGCCACACCTATAACCATTGTTAACGTTTCCAACCTGAGTCAAGGCCACATTACCTCCCTCGCCTCCGTACCTGCGTGCCTATTAAATGCCTAGGCTTCAGGCCTTGCTGCTGGCGCGTCGCGTCCTCGATGAACAGCCACACCTGGACACCCTTAGATCTGTCGTGCATTGCCGTTTTCGGAGCGATCTCCTGTGTGCCATGGAAGGTGACGCGCAAGATGGCAGTAAAAGTAGGTATTCGCCCATGTCGGGCTTAAGCGGCATCAGTCCATCCAATCCTGGGGCGGGAACAAATGCCGTAAAAAAGCGGCGGCAGCCCAATGCAACAAGAGCCCTTCTCCTTCCCACTTACCCAGCACGAGCCCCTGTTGTACCTGACATATCAGGTCACTGTGCGGTGAGGTAGACGGCATGACAGGGCTTAAATTGACCCTGGCTCGCCTGGTTGCCGGGAAGGTGGGAGGGAGTGCCTCAACAGATCTCTCGCTCAGCCACGATCCGGTCGGGAAGGTGTGGGTACAGACGGAGAAGTGGCTTTTGATCCGCGACAGAAAATCTGTATGGCTACCTCATGGCTTCTTCCAGGGAAACCACTTTTTCTGTAGTGAGGCGGCCAATGCCCCACATCGATCACACCTCTCGATGTGTACATATCCGTATCCGTAGACAAACCTAATCCAACATCGATTTCTTGATTCCAAAGCACCCTCTTCAGCCATGATGATCCACAGCTATTCAGCTCGGCTTGCACTTCTACCAGGTGGCAGCAAAGTCCCGTATCACGAATGGCATTCGATGAGAGACATGCCATCTAGCTTTCCGTCCCAGCGCTCTGGATGTCGGACCAACGGATTGCGGTCCTATCGGCTCCACCGGAGTGTTCCGGCCGCTGTCGTGGACCACAACCACAGTGCCTCGACCTCGGCCATCGGAGGCCCCTAGGTGCCCGATGACAAACGCCCATACTTGCTCGGAACTACGAACTAATTGCTTGGTTGCTAACTGCGTCCGGTCTTTCTAACCTATGCCAGCCGGACAACCCAACCCGACAATCCCCGGAGCCAGCCGGGCACCGCTTCCTAGTATATTTGTTGGAACAAGTGAACAAGGTGAGTCAGCTGTCGCTGTTGGGTAATCGTTAATAAGACTACGTGAAGGAACCTTCGGGAATACATTGAGCTTAACTCTTCAAATTGTTGAAGGACTATATACAAAGTGAAGAAAGACACCCAAAATTTATTATCTGGTCGATATCGGGGCATCCCCATGCGCAGACTCTTTTGAAGCATACTTGATCCTTTTCAGTTTTCTCTCCCAAGGGCGCAAAAGTTTTGCTTCTGCACCCTGCCTCCTACGCTTAACGATTTTTAAGTGTTGCATCAGCCATTCGCGATTTCCGTTCCCCTGTGCAAGAGCACAGTTTTGGGAATCTCGCCAAGCCGGCCAGGCCCTGGCCTTGGACCCCTCTTCTGACCCCTGTCAAGAAGTACACGTACCGTCAAGTACCTTTACGGGACTTTACATAAGGTACAACTCACCTGCGCACCACATCGCAGCCCTCCACGCAACCAACCTGGTTTCTCACTCTACAAGGGTACGGATACGTCACTAAGCTTTAGTCATACGACACTAGCATTACTCGACAACCCGAAGCTATAAAAGAACAGGTTGTTTCTTCGACAACCTTCTTCGGCATTTTGCCACGCATCTTGGACCTATACCCCAGGATTTCTCCAACACCATGACACTGCATCAAAGTCGGCCTTATAGTATCAGGCAACACCCAACGCAACATCTTCAACCGACCTTCTTCGAGCACGCGCATAACAACCTGCCCTTTGACGCTGAGGACCTGAGCGTTCTCGATCTCGACGTCCCCAGCTTGTCCTCGTCTCCGATCTCGACGCACTCGCTGCCTTTGCAGTACTCTCGCATCGACTCGCCTTTGTCTACGTTTGACAGCATCCCAGCTTCAACTGCCGCTGTTCCGAGGGAGGCCCACGAGGATCCTTTGTTCCATTTTCGCGCACAAAGCGCCCACGGTCTCTCTGACTCGTCAGCGCAACTTTTCGCAAACGCTGACCTGATGCAAACGGACTCGTGGCTGCCAAACGGCCAAATGACGCCGCAGTCAGTGGGCCGGTTCTCGCACCACCGCGAATCTTCCAGGTCATCGCTAGGTTCGAATGGGCCGGCATCTCCATATTCCCACAACATTTCAAATCCTCGGATTGCCGTGAATGATTCTGTCAACGACAATTTCTCGGGGTTACCCGGTGCCGACGATTTCCACTACCAGTTAACGGCAAAGTCGTTTCCTGGCATATCACACGACACTTTCTATACGACGCTGCCGAGCTACGGGTCAGCCGACAACGCAGCCATGACAGCCTTTTCCGGTCTCGCCACGGCACCGAGGCGCAGGAACGAAAGGAGCATGCTGCCGCCGTCTGAAGATCCGATTGGGCCAAGGGGGTCGCAACCCGTGTCGGTGGCGAGTTCAATAGCATCAGACTCCCCAGCCACACCAGCAGGGGAGCCAGGGGAGGACAGGAAATTTGGTGAGATTGATTCAGATCTGTTCGATATGTTCTTGGAAACGTCCGACTTACCATGCCTGGACGACGCAGCAATGCAAACTGTCCCTAAACTCGACCGAACCATGACCGACGTCTACAACGACGAGCTTTACAACCCCGACTTCAAGATCACATCGACCACACAGGGTCACGCCCCAATACCTCAGAGCAACGCTCTATTTACGCAGCGTCTCCAAGCCGCCAACAATCAGCACTTAGCGGCGGCCGGACACTCCCCAGTGTCCGCAGTCTCGAGAGACCGCTCTCCATTCCGGCAAGGCTCGCCGTTGGCCCCCGTGCCAATGCACGAATTCCCTTCGACCGTGGGGTCGTCGCAGGTGCGCTTTGGATCCGCGCAGCAGATGCGGGAGCAGAACAAGGCCATGCAAGACGCGCAGGCGTTGCGGCAGCAAATAGCGCGATCGGTAGACACTTCTACCCCGCAGACAATATCGCCCAAGGACGCCATGCTTGAATTTCACGAACCCGAAGGGGATGCAAATTTTCCGCTTTTTCCCCAGCAGAACACGGACGGTTTTGACTCTAATGCCATCACTACGGCTGCCGCTGTTCAGAACCAGCCAGCGTTCGATGGGCTGCATATGGACTCCAACGCGTTCAATTTCATGCCGCAGTTGCCAACGGCCATTCAACGGTACCAGTTTATGGCCCAAGCACAACCACAGCAACGGAGTGTGGTACCCTCAGGGAGCGCCACGTCGCTTGATACATCGCGGGTTAGTTCCGCCGACACGGCGGCTACGGAGTCTACACACGAGGCCGTACCACAGCGACCACCTTCTGCGAGGGCGGATGGCGGCACGTACACCTGCACCTACCACGGTTGTACGCTGCGGTTTGATACACCTGCTCTTTTGCAAAAACACAAGAGAGAAGGCCATCGGCAGGCTCATGGTTTACAAGGGCCTCGGCGCGCAGACGCTGCTGGCATGACATCTGGTCTGTTGAACACACAGGCTGGACCGCACAGATGCGACCGCATCAACCCAAGCACTGGGAAACCTTGCGCTACCGTCTTCTCGAGACCCTATGACCTTACCAGGCACGAAGATACGATTCACAATGCGCGCAAGCAGAAGGTCCGTTGTGATTTGTGTACGGATGAAAAGACGTTCAGCAGAGCCGACGCACTAACGCGGCACTACCGCGTGTGCCATTCCGACGTCGAGCTTCCAAGCAAGCACCGGAGGCGCACAGGCCACAGTTGAGTGGTGGACAGTCACTCGAATCGGTATCGGAAAAGTACATCCTGAAGTGTTGCCCTCTGCGCAAAATCCGGCAGACCTTCGAGCAAGTTCCAGAAGGTGATGTCGATTGCATCGCAATGACGTCGGAGACGCAGCCGGGTTTGCGCAAGGGAGGGGTGTGTAACATCATGGACAGCCCAATTGCGTCACATCATTGGCTCCAGGAGGCCGACCCTCGTCGCTCACCCCACCACATCCAAGGGTCTCGCATGCCGAGCGTCGCATGCAGGGACTGACATGGCACCCCGGTGACACTATTTTCATCCGGCGGCTTGCTAGGCTTGCACCTCCACAGCGCAGCGCGGGGGACTGCTGCACCGCGCCAAAAAGGACCCTGTCGATCTTGGGCTGTGCCCCGATTTCTGGCGTGCCCGGAATCGAGATGCAATGACATCATGAGACTAGTGATGTCGGACAACTCCGTCACCATCAACCTTTGATGCAAACCGATATCGGGCTTTCCGCGCACATTCCGCTAAGCCAATGGTTAACGGTTGGTGGCTTTCCACATCGCAGGAATCAATTGCATCGCCCCATCCTCAATAATTGTACATTGCGAGCGCGAGGGGGAGAAGTTCTGGTACTTGTTTATCCCTTGCAGCTCTCTGGACGGCGAGCCCGGCGACAGCCTTTTACCTTCTTGGTGTTTCATTCTTATTCACTTACAGTTTTTTATTATTCCTTTGTCTTTCATTGCGAAGGAGTAGCGGGGTTTGCGCTAGGTTCAGCGGTCTTCATGACATTCCTCTTACTGCAATGATGGGAATTATGATATTGGATTTCTAGCGAGGAAAGAAAGACACAGATTATAGACTGTATCACGTACAGCATGGCATGGCATGGTAGGACATTGGGAGGTATGGCACGGGCTAGTAAATCTCATTTTGTCCATTATTTTCTCTTCCCAATTCTTCTCGGGCGCATAATGGTGGGATGTATTTCCCCGCTCCGGGTAAGATTGTATCATGACCTTACAACGTTTCCTTTTCATGTACGGCGACGCAAAAGGACAAGGCATGGGCTTAGAGGAAAATCAAGATCTCACGCGGGACGAAATTTTGCTTGTCATCTCTGGGCGTTACTGGTAGCATCATGCACTCAATTGAGACTCGGAGCAATTGGACTTGGGCAAGATGAAGACTGCTCCCCTCGGGACAAACGGAGTTGGTGATGATAGTAATGCTGTATATATCCCTAATTCATTATGATCGCACCCCGATTTGGTCTCAATTACTCCTGCCAGGTGAAGAAATGCTCTGTGTGCTTAAACAGTTTCAACAAACTCTATTCGACATCACCCTAGATCGCAGTTGCCGATCTGGATTCGGGAAGGGAAAGTAGCTTCCGTCCATAGCCCTGCACTCCCGATTCTACGTGTAGTGTAGTGGTGTAGTGTAGTGACGCAGGGGAGGAATCTCGTGACGTAGGCACTCCTCCACACCTGCCCCAGATTTTGATCTCTAGGCCAAGTTGGTCCGATGTTCGGTTATCTTGCAAGCCATCATGCCTCCATTACAGTTGTAAAAGGATGGTCGAGAAATCAATGATGCCGATGATGCTTACTTTGATGTTGAGGACTCGAAAATGCATGACGACTCCAAAACTGGGACGCGGAAGGGCAGTTCCGGGATGACCTACCTCGAGCCTACCTACGTAGTGGGTTACTGGATTGTAGATGAGGGAGTGCATTGTACCATACCCTAGTGTAGACCCCAGAGTACCTACCGTACCATACACAGAAACCACCTAACCTACCTTACATTGGAGTCATTAGAGTTATGACACCTTCCCACCTTACTGCGCCCCCACTTACCCTACCTGCCCGGCCCGGGTACGGTAGCTAGGCTCGCTAGGTTGCTACCTTACCTTTTAGCAAGGCTGAGCAAGGCCAAACAGCTGAACCAGCAAGGACTCGACTGCATACCATTTACAACATACATATGGTCCCCTTAACTTAGTTTCCTGCCGCTTCCAAGCTACCTTGGTTGACTTGCCAGGTTTCTGTAAGATCTGTACATACATAAGGTACGTACCCAGTCCCGCGGCACGGGGCAAATATGTCACAGCTGCATGACATACCCGCGTTGTCGTCACGATGCTTCATCCTTCCAACCAATGAGATTGGCAAATTGGAGGACCCTGAAAAGCAAACGAGGGCACAGCTGAATGGGGATGGGGATGACTTGGTGTAACTCCCTGGTACAGGACTGTACCTGTCGCTTCTTGACCATGTTGCGAGAAAGGTTGAGCGTATCCGCAAGCCTACCTTACCTTATCTCCACAGGGAGCTGCTACACAGGTCGTGATCTACACAGACAAAGCATTAGCTGGCAGGTCTCAATGATAGAGCATGCATTGCAAAGTACAGTGCCCAAGATGCGCGAATACTGCGTGAGACGCAGTACGTATGCTGTTCTAAGGCATCGCCCGGAAAACAATTTTTTTGCCCTATCTCTAGGGCAGTTTTGGTCCTAAAGCGGCAGATCTATCTCATGTTCCCATCTCGCTCGGCGGATACTCTCCAAGCTGAAACCCGCCGAGTTAAACGGCACAGCCCGCTAATGGTCAACCTCGTCCCCCATCACAGCAGCCCGAGCGTCCGCATAGAGCGGCCGGATCCCCGTCCAAAGCTGGAACTAGATAGCACACCGTCTCGTTAGCAACTCGTCTCGAAATAAACCTCTCTCCCCTCCAGCCACTGCCAAAACGTACCTGGTACCATCCCTGCGAGGCAAGCACCTCCAGCCCGGGGATGGTCTTCCAGCCGGCATCCTCGGCCAGCTGCATCAGCGGTGTGAGCCTCGGCGTGTACGCCATCTCCAACAGCACACGGGCTCCGGGCTCCACGGCGCCTCCTTCGACCGTATGCCTCAGCGCGGTAACAAGCACCTCGCGCATGCCCTGGTCGATGGGCTTGTCCGCGGGTATGGTGCTGATGATAACCGAGGGAAGCCCCTCGGTGCCAGTGGTGAGCTGCTCCGGCGTGGACAGCCACTGGATCTTGTACGCCTCCGGGAATCCGTTGGCGAGTTCCTTGACGCGCTCCGGCGTCCGTGCCACGACGTAGATTGGTGAGTAGCCGAGGTAGTGAAGGGCGTAGATAGCGGCGCGGGTGGTCCCGCCCGAACCCACCACCATGGCGGACCCGGAAGTCGCCTGTCTCCGCTTCACGATGCCGGCTGACCGCAGCGAGAAGACCATGCCGAGCCAATCAGTGTTTTCTCCAACGAGGATCGTGGATTTCTCCCCGCTGCTGCTGCGGCTGGGCGACGGAATTATGGTGTTGACTGCGCCAATGGCTCGTGCGGCATCTGAGATTTGGTCTAAGAGGGACATGATGTCCAACTTGAGTGGAATGGTCACGGAGGCGCCGCCGAAGTCTGGGGATCGAATAATGTCAAGCACATCAGAAACGGCGTCCGTCTCAAAGAGCGAGTACTGATGGGGAAGCCCAGTTGCGCCGAACAGCGTGTTATGTAGTGCTGGCGAGCGCGAGGAGCTAATAGGCTTCCCAAAAAGGTAGAACGACTTGGGTTCTAGCTGGCCGATGAGGGCCAAGGCCTGCCGGATCTCGGTAGCTGACAGCTGCCCTGGGGCTGCCTTGTAAGGTAGTGCCGGGTGAGAGACTGGCGTCATGAAGCCATTGAGCACCCTGCTGAGTTTTCCTGCAGTGCCCATGTTTAGCGTGATCATAGGTTTGTCGTGAGCCGCCAGCATCTTTTCCTTAAAGTTCACCAGGGCAAAGTTATCGGCGATGTCACGAGCCACGCCCACAAGCTTGATGACATCCCCGTATTGCAACGCTTTGTTGTAGAACGGGATCCAGCTTCCATTCTTCCACGACAGCTGACCCTGCGGGTCATGGTGCGAAGCAATGATGCGGGTAGGGCCCTTTGATTCGCTCACTTCCTGTAGGATGTCGTCCGGCATGGTCAACTCTAGGTCAAGGAACTCCACTCCGGTCCGCAAGCCAATGTGGTACAGTTGGCGAGCCAGCTCGTAGTCGTTGTCGGGAAATCTACCTCCCTGGCTGGCAGTGCGCACCGTATAAACGATGGGAATCTCTGCTGCGGACCTAAGGAGCGCAACCTGGGTAGCGACAAACTCCGGTTCGTAACTCTCCAGTAAGTCTACGCGCAACTCTACAGCGTCAGACCCCACAACCACCTGGGAAATGATACCGATCGCGGCAGAAACATTAGGAACTGTCAGTGAAACGAAAAAGGAATGCGTCTTGGCAACGACCTCCTCCCAGAATGTAGATTGGCCGCAAATCACGGATAAAAAGCGGCTGAAATCCGCCGGAGCTTCAAGCAGGACCTTGGAGCCGTCCTGGTGCGGACTGTGGTACTGGAAGTTGCTGCACTCCTGGAACCACGGTTTGCGGCGCAAGTAGACCTCACGGATATTTTCCGAGTAGGCCGGGCGTGTCTTGTCCCTCAGAAGATACTCGACGACTTGGTCGGTATCGCGGTGGACAAGGAGAACGCAGCCACCATTCTTCTGGTACGAGATAAGCAGCTTACGTGCCTCCTCCGTCTCGACGATTCCGCCGCCACAGGAGAAGATGTAGCCCTTGGACTGGTTCTTGATCACATCCTCGAGGAGATCAAGCTCGGCCTTCCGGAATCCTTCCCAGCCTCGTTCACCGCGAATGATATCAGGAATCGTCATTCCTTCTCTCCTCTCCAGCTCAACATCCAGATCCACCAGAGGTCGCTTGAGGAGCTCTGACACCCACCGGCCAGCCGTAGACTTTCCTGCGCCACGCATTCCAATAATGAAGATAGATCGGTCACTGGTTGAAACCGGAGTCTTCGCAGTGTGCTTCGCATGCGGATCCTCTTCTCCTTCCAGGTGCACACCGAACGACTGGGACATGATGTCCCACCAACCCGGCCAGGTTTTGGCGGTGCACTCGCGCTCAAGAATGAGCACCGGATGAGGAGACAGAGTCGACAGGACAGCAAAGCTCATGGCCACGCGATGGTCGTCGTAGCAGTAGATGCCGTCGCTGGGGTTTTGTAGTTCTTTGTATGGTCTCCCTATCACCTCGATGCCGTCCTCCAGCTCGGTACAGTGAACTCCAAACTTGGCTAGCTGGTCTTTCATAGCCGCTATCCTGTTGCACTCCTTGACACGTTGATTGGCAATCCCCGTGATTTGAGTAGTCCCAGAGGCGACGGCGGCAAGCACTGAGGCTGTTAGGAAAGCGTCCGTCATTGGTTCCATATCGACGTGTTTGATTGCCTTGAGTGTGCCGATCGGCGGGCCAGTGACGGTGGTCGACGTGTCGGTCTGCTCTACAGTGCAACCCATGGGCCGAAGTACTTCGACAGCGAAGCGGGCGTCTCCCTGAAGTGACTTGGAACCAATGTTCGGTATGGTGCACGTTGTACCGGTTATAGCAGCGACAGCTAAGGGGTAGGTCGCCGAGCTAGCGTCGCTTTCAATGACATAATCGGCCGGGTTCCTGTAAACACCTTGGGGAATAAAATAGGTGTTGGCGTCCTCGGATGATCTCTGGACATTGATTCCGAAAGAGGCCATCATAGCAATGGTCATGTCGATGTAAGGCTGGGAAATCGGCTTGCCGCCTACTAGTCGCAGAGTGACGGGCTTGTGCGCATAAGGGGCGGCCATCAAGATGGACGAGACGTACTGTGAGGAGACAGTGGCAGCCAGCTCGATCACGCCACCAGCGAATCCTGCGGCAGCATCTACTTGCACCGGCAAGCTCTTTTCTTTCTCAAGATATTTGACACCCACGCCGTTCGAGCGGAGGGCGTCCACAAGCGGACCAATAGGCCTCACCTTCATTCTCGCATTGCCGGTGAGGATGGTGGAAGACACCGTGGACGGCGAACAGAGCGCAACAACAGATGTGAGGAATCGCGATGCAGTGCCCGCATTGCCCAGGTACAGGGGCTCATCGCTGGCCTGCAACTTCCCGCCCTTGCCCTTGACGACAAGGACTTCTCCGGCATCCTCCCAGGAGTAAGTTGCGCCTCGGAGCTGAGCGATGGCAGTCAACATGTATTGAGTATCATCCGAGTGCAGGAGACCGTGAATGCGCGTTGTACCCTCCCCGAGGGCGGCCAAAACAAGAGCGCGGTTCGAGATGCTCTTGGAGCCCGGGGGTGTCACGCTGACAGAGAGTTTTTGGGGAACACCCGGGAAGACGCGGATGGAGGGTGAGAGGATGATTCGGATAGCTCGGTCTTCAACTACGCTCGCTTTGGGCTCGTAGGTCCTCCCAATGGCCGAGAGTAACACAATCTTCTTTTTCCGGCCTTCGTTCTTCTTGTCCACAGCCATCTTTTGTAGCAAGACATCAACCGGACACTCCTTGCCGGCCGTCAACTTGACAATGCGCTTGTCCTGGAGTGATGTGGGCAGCTCGTAGCTCGCGATGCACTTGGTCAAGCGGGCAACAGCACCAGGTCGGAGAACGCCCAAGAAACGGGCCAATTCAGCCTCCTTGACCATTCCAATGGCGACGCATTCGCCGTGGAGGACCTGTGGGGTGAGTATGGCCTCATAGGCATGGCCAATCGAGTGGCCAAAGTTGAGCAGGTTGCGCAATCCACCCTCTCGCTCGTCCGACGACACCACTTCAGCCTTGACGCGAGCGGATCCTAGAACAATGCGCTTGAGTATGTGGCGTATTGGTGCGAGGCGACCGGCAGCACCCGTCGATTTGGATCGAATGGCTTCGAGGATCGCCGTGGCGTTCTCCTCGAGGGCGGTGAACTCGGTCTCGTTCCAGATGGCGGCCGTCTTGATTACCTCGGCCATGCCATTGATGAACTCGCGCACCGGCAGCGTCTCGAGAAACTCAAGGTCGATGTATATGCGGCGCGGTTGCCAGAAAGCGCCAATCAGGTTTTTGCCCATGGGGGTGTCGATGGCCGTCTTCCCGCCAATGGAGGAATCAACCATGGCGAGAAGCGTAGTCGGAACCTGCACGAAACGGATGCCGCGCATAAAGGTGGCAGCGACGTATCCGATCATGTCACCAATGACGCCGCCGCCAAGAGCGATAATGACGGTGTCGCGGGTACATTGGTGCGACAGCATCCAGTCCTCAATCTCGGCTTTAGTCTCGCGGCCTTTGGAGTACTCGCCGGGCGGGATGGCGTAAGTGAGCAGGCGAACATCTTTCGGGGCAGCCTTCTCAAAGACAGCCTGGAAGGCTGGGCCGTAAAGGGGAAAGAGGTTTGTGTCGGTGATGAGGACGTAGGTGGACGATGAGAGATTCTGCAGCAGGTCGTGAGTCACGAAGCTCAGCCAAATGCCGTGGTCGACAATGATGTCTTCTTTGCCGAGAATGGCGATCCGCGTGGGATCGGACCCGCTAGTACCTGCCATGGTTCTCAGACTGCGCGTGAGGGCTCAATTGGGCCCGACGTACGCCTGCAGCGTCGACGGCAACGGGGGGGCAGGCAGAGCGGTTGTTTGGCTGAAAGGAAGGTTTCCGGAAGAATGAACTGCGGAATTTTGGTGGGGACATTTGCTCGGCGCGCCGCCGCCGTTCACGGAGTTTGGCGGGGTAGTAAAATACACTAGCGTTACCCAACTACCGGTACCGGTAATACCATAATTACACGTACTGTATTGTACACCGCGTTCCATTTAGTGTGAAGTGGGTTCGAAAGTTCAAACACGATCATCAACCCGCTGAACAAACGAAACTCACACAATTTACTACGGATGATGTTAAGGTAATCAAGCAGTTTCACGGCAATGTTAGGAGGATGATTTTCACCTGGTCCAACTTCTAATGAAACAGGAGCACAACGATTCTACGGATCGATTTTTGAAATCTGATAACAAAGATCTGTTTCTAATGGCCTCCGTATACGGATAGTCCTCTCATCTGTCATAATTCAGCATAAAAGCGTACTGTACAGACTGATCGGCCACCGTTGGTCGGTGCTCAGGGTGGGTCACTGCTGCAGTGCTGCTGCCGTCAAACGGGATGCTTCAATTCACGCTGCTGTGACCCCGCAGTGCCTTACTGAAACTACCAGTAGTACCTATACTTGGGCAAACTTGACGAAAGTGCAAACAATCAAGCAGCAACCCAGGACCTTGCTGACCGATCTTTCGCAGCATAATAGCCTCCCGTCCCGTCACCATCGCTGCAGCATCCCGACACATACTTAACACACATGCCCTGATGGTTCAGGCAGGCTCTGCGAATAAAGCGGAATAATACCACCACCGCGCCATGGAAACACAGCAGCGGGGTTGTTCCACAACCCTCAGCCCCGACCTGCTGCTGCCTTCAGTTCGGAGCATGCTGAGAAAGCCACCAATTTCTTGGCTCGATACAACAAGCATCAAGAGCTTTTTGTGCGTCGGCATTGCTGCCCTAGGTGCCCTCTGAGTCAGAGGATGGAAGCTTTGATATAACATGTCGTTGGAGTTGGAATCTCCAAACCCGGTGTGTTGGCTGCGAGTTGCCTGGGGCTGAGATCCGAGGTTCCCCAATTGCGGTCTAGCTCCTGGAGCTACCCCTGACCCTGATGAACCAAGCTCGTCGACTTGATGAATATAAATCGGGAGAGCTCGACCAAGGGATGCTACAACAGCTGCTGAGCAACTAGTGTAGTGTGGGCTCTTACAGCTTGTCTTTATCTTAGTTGTGGTCGCTGACATATCCTCCTCCGCTCTCTCTCAGAGTAACTGCTCCGTGCAACATGGCGTCTCCCAAGTCCGTCTTGTCCAAGACGCTGCAGAGTATCACTCTCAGCAAGATCCGCGAGTTGGAATCCCGCCACAAGTCATACGAGGCCCGAAAGCGAGAGTACGTGGCCAAAGCCGATGCGGCCCTCGACGAGCGAGATCGTCTTGCCTGTCTTCTGGATGCTGTCAGGGAGCTCTACCCGGCGGCTGCTAAAGACCCGGCCCTCACAAACGTTGAACGCTGGCTGGCGCAGTCTCGGTACGATGCCTCAATCCCCGTATCCAAACTGGCCAGCTTCAACCGCCAGCTCCGCGCCAAGCTTGACATCCAGAGCCGCAAGCTGGACATGGCCCATCTTTATTCTCGTTTGTTGACAGGTAAGCTGCAAGGACGCCGCCAAAAATGTCCACCGCCTCGTACTAACCACCTCACCTAGAATGGATGGATCAGCCGATACTCGAGTCGCTCCCTGTCTCGGCCGACGATCCGGATACTGACTCCTTTGAGCTCGTTGAGCGTCAGCGCCAGCGGCTAAGTGAACTCGTCGACAGGTTCGAATCTGTCGTGTTAGAGCCGCTCGAGACCGATGAGAAAGAGATTCGATCCTTCCTCGACCGCCTGTTTCCCGATGAGGAAAGCCAGAAGGCTCTCGAGCAGCTGCGCAAGAAGATCGCTGATGCCAGCTCTAGCTTCATGTCCGAAACGAGCCCGTTCAACGAGGACTCTCTCACCAGCTGCATCAAGGGTCTCCTGACCGAGGACATCCTCAGCGACGAAAAGCAAGCTATCCTCCGCGATTTCCTGGAAAGTGAGGTGGCCAAGGCAGAGATTGCCGATGTCCTCAACATGCGTTTCTCCGACTTAAAGCAGTGGCATTGGGACGCAGGCAAAGACGGCATACGTGTTATGCCGCGCGCCGGCCTGAACGGCAAATACCGTATCTGGGCCGATGATGACATTCTTCAGATGATATTTGTCCAGTATGTCGGCATCAGGTTGTGCAACATTATCAAGCCTGCCCTTAAGTCGTTCATGTCGGACGTTTGCGCCAGGAACCTCGATGGCCACAGAGCACCGTCCGAGACCGAAACCGACAGGCGTCGTTATTACGTACCCAACAACAGTTTACTCAACAGCAGCATGCGCAATTCAAGCCTCGAGCCCCATCGTAAGGCCGAATATCTGGAAACCTTCTTCCTTTCGCAGCTTCCTGCGACTGAAACATCGCTCTTTGACGGTGACAACAAATATGACGACGATGACGATGATGATAGCGAGGATAGCCGACCTGTGGACCTGAACAGCCCTCCGCAGAAGCGCTCGGGCATCAAGCAGCAGCTCTTGCGGCGCCTAACCTCCGAATTGATCGTCCATCGTCTCCGAGGTGTGACCTATGAGAACCGAACAAATCCCGGAGCCGGTGTGGCTCTGCTGCAAACAGATTTGCAATGGTCTGAACCCTGCCTCCGTTAAGCGTACGGCTGAAACTGACAAATGCGACCGGCAGGTATGCGACTGGCCTCTCTCACAGCACCGTCTTTGCTGTTATGCGCTATGTCGGTTTTGGCCAGGACTGGATCGACTTCTTCAAGAAGTATCTGGAATCTCCGCTGAACCTAGACGCTGCGTCTGACGACCGGCCTCAGCTTGGCCCGCGCATCCGCAAGCGCGGTGTTCCCATGGCACACGCCTCCGAGAAGTTAACTGGGGAGCTGGTGCTCTTCTTCATGGACCTTGCGGTAAATCGCGAGACAGGCATCCTGCTGTACCGCCTGCATGATGACATCTGGCTTGTCGGTGAACCCGAGCGAAGCGCCCAGGCGTGGACTTGCATGCAGTCCTTTGCCAGGATCTTTGGGCTCGAGTTCAACAGGAGCAAAACCGGGTCTGTCTACCTTCCGGGAAACTCCAAGAAAGACGCAAAGATTGCGGAGACGTTGCCAGCGGGGCCGGTCAGCATCGGATTCCTGCGTCTGGATCCGCAGTCCGGGAAGTGGACAATCGATCACAAACTCGTACTGGCGCATGTCGAGCAACTCAAGAAACAGTTGACTGAATGCAAGAGCGTCCTATCATGGGTCCAGACGTGGAATAGCTGCATTGGTCGCTTCTTCAGCCACACTTTTGGTGAGCCAGCCTACTGCTTCGGGCGCGACCATGTCGACGAGGTCCTGGATACATACCGAAACATGTTGCGGAAGCTGTTCCCTGGCGCAGGAGGGAAGGAGGGAAGTGTGGTCGAACACGGTAAGCCGCACTGCCAATCTTAGCACTTTCCGGCCGATGACGCAACCGGACTAACCATGCTCCTGCACTAGTCAAGCAAATGATACAGGATCGTTTCGGCATTTCGGATCTTCCCGATTCCTTTATCTTCTTGCCAGAGCAGCTGGGAGGTTTGGGTCTACGGAACCCATTCGTAGGCCTGTTCCTGGTTCGCAACAAGATCACTCAAACGCCCGAGGATCTTGTCAATGAATACCTCAAGAAGGAGAGAGAGGAGTATCTTGAAGCCAAGAGACAGTTTGAGTCGTGTTCCGAACAAGACCTGCGCCGCCGGATACGCTGGATCTACACAGACGACGAGGACTTGGAGGAATCGTGTGCCGTCCCAGACTCGGAGAGGCACACCTTCTTCTCACTTGAGGAGTTCAGTCGCTTCCGTGAGCGTAGCAGTTCCAAGTTTCTCGAAACGTTCAAACAACTCGTCTCGGTCCCGGGGACAGAGGAGATAGCGCTGAGCCGGGAGGTCAAGAACGGCCTCCCCGACTTCGTCCTCGCTGACAGCGTCCGGCTCGACTCGGAGAAGAGATGGTTTTTGCAACTCTATGCGAAGGAGCTCCTGGAGGATTTTGGCGGGCTGAGCCTTGTGGACAAGCAGTTCCTGCCCGTTGGTGTTTTGTCGATGATGAGGGGCAAGAAAGTCAGCTGGAACATGGTCCTCTGAACGTTGAGTCACGGACGATTTGGGGAGCGCCATGCGTCAAAGTACGGTACTATTACTATCATGCACGCCGTTATATCGTACACACCATTATGTTTCAGTGCTCGAGGTTGAAGTTGGGGCAGGTTGGGCGGCCTTGTCAGGGTCAACCAGTTTGTCTTCCTCCATGTTCAGCCAGTCATGTCCTCGGCTCCTTGCTGTCACTCCTCCTCTTGGTATGTCTTCCCTCACCAGCCGGAGCGGCCCGGCATTCCCCTTTGTCATACTGGGCCAGCGGCAACAGCCAGCTCCTCGTGCGAGTCATAGCGCCCTCGAACGAGATCCGCTTCTTCTGGGCGGACGCCAGGTTGTCTGTACCAGAGTTTATGGCCTGCCCAGCATACGGCAAACAGAATGAGACTGATGTATGCAGCAAAAAAATCGCTCGTGTTCCAGTCCATGAATACGGTGAACCCTTGTGTCAGAGCGACGAGGATGTTGAAAAACAGGCCGTATATGGCCGTGTAAGGCTGGAACCGCGAGATGTAGGGCAGGCTGGACCGGTCAATGCCCTGGGCCTTCAGCGCGCGCATGAAATAGAGATGCGAGAGGCAAGTGCTTCCCCAAGTGGTCAGGCCTGCCACAGCGGTTATGTTGAGCAGCCAGTTGAACACCTTACTTCCTTCGGCGGATAGGTTGAGGAACCCGAGCAAGCCGAATGCTGCCGTAACGCCGACGGCGTAGATCGGAATGCCTCGCGCGTTCGTCTTCTTGAAAATCCCCGGCGCCTGGCCGTCCTCGGCGAGTGCAACTAGCACGCGGCTGCCGGAGTAAACATTCGAATTGGCCGCAGACAGCACGGCGGTGAGCAGCACGGCATTGATGATATCCGGCAGGACCTTGACGCCGGCGCGTTGTGCGGCAATGACCAGCGGCGAGCCCGATGCGTTGGAGGAACCACTGAGCAAGTTGGGGTCGCTCGACGGCACGACCATGCCCATGAGCCATATGCTGACCACAAACAGGGCCATGATACCCCAGAAAGTAACCCTAATGGCCCTCGGGACCGTCTTGCCCGGGTCACGAGCCTCACCGGCACCGACACCAACCAGCTCTGCACCCTGGTAAGCGAACGCAGCCTGGATTATCACCGCCCAGAAGCCCACGAATTTTCCCGTCGCACCCTCAACCAGGTATTCGGCGAAGGGGCCGGGATCGTGCCAGTACTTGAAGCCCAGTACGCCCTCCTGGCCAGCGCCGGCGGCCATGCAAATGGCAAAGATGATGAAGCCAACAATGGTGATGACCTTGAGACTCGATAGCCACATCTCAAGCTCCCCGTATATGCCGACGGGCAGGTAGTTGATGAGGGTGAAGGCGACCCAAAAGACGGCGATCAGTATACCGATATTCACGTCGGGGTTCCAGTACTGTATTATGAGCCCCGATGCAGTGAGGGAGAGGGCGTATGTGATAGCCCCTGACCATCAGCCACGTTAGCGTTCGATCGAAGGACAACTGCAGCAGGCAGAAAGGGGCACCTCAACTCGGCTTCAACTCACATGCAAACCAATAAAGCCACCCAACGGCGAACCCCAAACTCGGATCAACGAAGCGTGTCGCATACGCCGAGAAGGCGCCGGCAGTCGGCATATACGTCGCCATCTCCCCCAGGCAGACCATGACGGACCACAGCATGGTGCCGACAAAGACATACGAGATGAGGCATCCGGCGGGACCCGCCTTGGTCAGCGCCGTGCCCGTGCTCAGGAAGAAGCCCGTTCCAATGGTGCCGCCGATGGCGATGAAGTTCAGATGCCTCCCGGACAGCTGCCTCTGCAGCTCGCCCTGGCGGGTCGAGTCGGCGCCGTCGTCACGGACGCCATAGCCCCCGTCGGACCCAGCCTTCTTCTCGGCGAAAACACCACCACCACCCCCGCCGCCGCTGACGGTGACCACGGACGCGGCCGAGCCAGCCGGGTAGGGCAGCCACGGTTCAGTGGCCTTCATTTACCCTGCTTTTTCTTTCCCTTTTCCGCCTTCTTCCCGCCCTCCGAGACGCGCCGGTCGGTCTGATGTAAACCGTGGTACTGTAGGGAGTCAATCGTGAAGGAATCCAAGATGGGAAAATAGTTAGGTAAAAGAGACAGGGGCTGTGGGTTCAGATGTGGACCATGCCAGCTCTCGGCGCGACTTCAAGCAGGCAACGAGCGCAGAGAGAATCATGCGACAGCAAACAGCACACAACCAGGCGAGACGGGCGAACAACAAGAAGCAACAAATGGAAACACCAGGGGGGAAAAGTCAGATCCCAAGGAGAAAACCCGGTTGCTTGTGGGCGCTTTCTCCCTGGCCCTGACCCCGCCAGGAGAGCATATCTCCGAGCGAGGTGAGCATTTTCAGTTTGCCATAGTGTAGTGTAGGTCTCTCCGGCAAGACGGGTTGGTTGGTGACTCCCAACAAGAGCCAAAGAGTCACAGTACAGCCCAGATGGGCCCCGCTACTCGCGGGCGAAGGACAAAAAATTTTTTTCGTGTATGAATACACCCTCGACCCTGCGCTGCAAACCTGTTTTCGGTCTCAATGTGGGTAAGTATCGTGGATGAGAGATGGACCCTTAGGTTCACGAAAAAATCTCAGGGGTAGCTTGACGAACTGACGTACGCCTGAATGAAAAAAACGTCGATGTCAACACCCAGCACTTGCACATATTGCACGACGCTGGGCATGCTTGCGGCATTCCCTCCGCTCATATAGTGATGCCTGCAGGACACATGCCGCTGGGTAGGTATTGCAGACCCCGTGGGATGACTGACTCCAGGAGCCAGCGCGGGCGGCCTTGAACCATTCCAGCAGCAACATCAGAACGAAATAGCGTTACAGCGACACTGGCATTGCTAAACCCGAAAATACGGCCGGGCTCCACCGGCGATCTCGGGTGAGTGAGTCCTCGGTGTTCGGGGGTACCCGGGTTCCAGAACAAACTGACATACAAACCCAAGTAACTAACTGCCAAGAATGGAGCTCGGCGGAACCCCCACGAGTGGCGACTGGCAACGAGAAAAACCTTTGGTGTTCTACACGAGTACAGGTAGTGTAAAGCCGGCGTAAGGCGTCATGGACAGAGAAACGACGTGCAAAATCACTGGACGGTATTATGTGTAGAAACCATCGAAAAGGTTCGCTGACAAATGTTATCTGATGCCTCCCAGGGACTACACAATGATCCCATCTACGTATACCCATTGTCCAACGTTAGGACGGCAATGCAAGAGGGCACGCAACTCACGTCAAAAGTTCACAACCACACCATCTCGTGCAAAAGCGGCAAGACCTTCTCAAATCTCGGGCGCTAGAGGACAAGATGCGCCTCGGCTCCTGTGGTCCTGGTGGATACCTGCTCGTAAAGTATGTGAGATCCTGGTCAAACCTCGCGGGAATAAACGAGAAAGTTTTGACCCTGAGATCAATACTCGCGTAATCACAGGTACCTCATACATTCTTCGTGCTCCGTAACCGTTCTTGTGCAGATCTCTGGTCCTTGGCGGGCGATAAATCGTATTTCTGTTAGGTATAGTGACAGCGAGGAACCCGGCTGTCGAATCCATACGTATTAGCGCAGGGCGAAATGCTGCGATTTCCTCACTCTCCCCAGATGTCGTGCATATTTCAAGTTTCGAGAGCAAGCAGCTACCTATTCGATGTCTATTCGGCAGCGATTGCCGGCGAACCCGCGCCTGGCCGGGCTCCGAAACCCTGGACCGTTGGAGGGCTAGAGTAGGATGTCGGCATCTGGGCCGAGCCGTCTCCACCGCAAAAGCCGGACACATCAGGCGTCCCGTCCTTCGGATTGCAACCATAAACAAAGGATCTTATGGCGCTTAGCCAGCGGATGTTAACAGAATCTCGAGACTTCATTCACTGTTGCCAACGACGTGGCACGATGCGCCGTACATAGCACGCTTGACCTGGTGGCCCCTTGACCTTCCTGAGACTGAGAGAAGCAATCAAGCCGAGAAGGCAATCGCCGGATTGATGAATCGCATGCTTGCAAAGGATCACCCTCCCTCTCCAGTTGATGGTGGAGTGCTAAACATCCACTACTAGCACTTTCCTAGCACAACCCATCTCGCGCAGTGGGTTTATGTACATGCCAGGCAGTCCATTCCTGATCGCCGACCAATTCCATGTCAGACACTGTGCCCCTAGGTAAACGTTAATGAAGCAAGAAGGGCCGATGATGATTCTAGGCGCGATGCTTGGCCTGGCTCCGGAAAGCTCAGCCCTGGCATCGGGTGGTTGTGCTCTGGGTGTCGTCTCCCACCGTTGGGAAACAGTATTGCTTGCGGGAAAGAGAGAGAGACAGCAAGAGGAAGCCGATCGCGAACGCTTGGCCTTGCCCAAACGGGAACATTTCTCTGGAATCGACCAATCAGGCCCGCCCAAGCTTGTCGTCCCTTGTCGATCCGCGCGCATTAGTCGCGCCGATTCAAACGCGTAACCAGATGCTATCTCGAGGCTATGTATTTAAGACGTCGCGAAAATCTCAGGGGTCTTTCTTTCTTTCTTTCTTTCTTTCTTTCTCTTTGCTCTTGTTTTTGGTTCTCTTTTCCCCCTTTTTCTCTTGGTGTTTTTATTCTCCTTTCTCTTTCTTTACAGGTGTACTGTACTTAGATTGTACAAGTACCTCGATTCGCTTCGAGCCTGCCGTCGCGAGTGGCAGGCAAGAGCTATAGGAACAGGTGACCGGAAAATTGCAGCTGAGCCGGGAACGTTTTCCTTCTTATGGTTCCGTGATGCCGAGGGAACCCGTCGTCTTCCCGGGACCATTGTGCGACCCGATTGCTACTGTGTAGTGTAGCGGTCTGAAATACCGTGACGTTTCGGACGCTGACGACATTGTGGAGGCTCGGCCCGATAAGCTTTGTCAGATTCCAATGCTCCCGTCCGTGTAGTGGACCTTCCGTTCCGTTCAGCTATTCAGTGTCCGGAATAACGTCATTTTACAGAGCATTTTACACAGCGTGAGAATGACGACAGCGCTACGCCCTACAGGTCTGCGCCTTACACTGCAAATAGTGTAATAAGGGTCCATCTATGGCTAGCCAAGGTATCATCGTGGCACCGCAACTGCCGGAGCGAGCACAAGGGTCATGATCGATTATGTACCCAAGGTACCACATGATGTTGACAATTGTGGTTGGATCTTCAAGACCCGACGGCCAAGGACAGGAATGGGATTTGTGCCTCCACTCCGGCTGCATCGGAGGGCTGCTCTCTCCACCTCGATTCTCATGTCGACTCCATGGGGAGACGTGACCTGGGGGACCTCGCGTCTCGCTTTCTTCCGATCAGGTGAGGCTTCCCAGCTTCTAACAGCATTAGTAAAGTACTTAGGTAGTCACTACTTGAACCTGTGGACTGCCATGCGTTTCCGTCCCCAGTGACTCCTTCTCCTTCAGGCTCAGCATCCTAGGAAGGCTCGTCCGACGTCCCAAGGGATAAGACCATCTGCCTAGCAGTACTGTCTCCCGCAGCTCCCACCCACCGCCCAGACTTGTGGCATTGGCATCTTCACAAGCAGTCTCTCTCCGTCTTGTTGAGTTTAGTGATATCACGGCCAGATTATCGTTTGATCATCGCCACGTCTTATAGCACTACTATTCTTCAGTTTACGCAAGATCCGCCCATCCATTGACGGCCGAGCGTGAGCAAGCCGCCGCTGGCAGGATGCCGTTGTTCACCAAACGTCCCGGCTCGAGTCATGGCCCTCTGCCGGCGACCCTCCCGCCGGCAGCGGCTGACCAGAAAATCACTGCTCTAGCCATCTTTCTTGGTGCCGTCGCTAGTATCGGTGGCTTCATGTTTGGCTATGTCAGGTAACATACCTAACCAGGTGTCCATGCCGACCCCAAGCACAATCTCTGACGGTGTATCTAGTGGTCAAATATCGGGCTTTTTCGAAATGGAGGACTATGGCAGACGCTTCGGAGAATATAACGACGCCACGGGCGACTATGACTTCAGCGCTGTTCGCCAAGGCACCATCGTCGGTCTCCTACCAGCCGGCTGTCTCTTTGGTTCTCTCATTGCTGGCAAGATTGCCGATGTTTTCGGCCGCCGGCTGGCGATATCCGGCTCCGCCCTGTTCTGCTGCGTGGGGAACATCATCGAGATCTCGTCTGAAACCGTCTGGGCCCAATTCGCCGTCGGCCGGCTCGTCACTGGGCTGGGTATCGGTGCTCTTTCGGTGGCTGTGCCCATGTACCAGTCCGAGTCGAGCCCTGCCATCCTCAGAGGCGTGCTCATCGCTACATACCAGCTGTTTATCACGCTTGGCATTTGGACCGCCGAAATGATCAACTACGGAACCCACAACATGCCCAACTCTGGGTCGTGGCGGATCCCCAACGGCTTGTCATTCCTGTGGTCCCTGATACTCGGAGCTGGCATCCTCGCCCTGCCCGAGTCACCACGCTATGCTTACCGCATGGGCCGCGAAGAGGAAGCTCGCCGAAGCATTGCGCGTCTAGCAGGCCTCGACCTCCATGCGCCGTCCGTCAATCAGCAAATTGCCGATATCCAGAGCAAGCTGGAAGAGGAGAAGGCTGGTGCGGAAACGACTTGGTACGAGATCTTTACGGGCCCCCGGATGCTGTACCGTACGATACTCGGCATCACTCTGCAGGCGGGACAACAGCTCACAGGGGCGAACTTCTTTTTCTACTACGGCACTACCATTTTCCGAGCCACGGGCATCAGCGACAGTTACGTCACGCAGATTATCCTGGGCTCTGTCAACGTTGCCTGCACGTTCGGCGGCCTGTACGTGGTAAAGAAGTGCGGGAGGAGAAACGCGCTGATGGCTGGAGCTGCCTGGATGATGGTGTGCTTCCTTGTCTACTCTTTCGTCGGCCGTTTTCAGCTCGATCAGACCAACCCGGCCAACACGCCCACGGCGGGCAACGTCCTGATTGCCTTTTCGTGCCTTTTCATCGTCGCCTTCGCCACCACCTGGGGTCCCCTCGTCTGGGCCGTTGTTGCAGAGCTCTACCCCGCCAGATACCGCGCCCCCGCCATGGCCATCGCGACGGCAAGCAACTGGCTGTGGAACTTTTTGATGAGTTTCTTCACCCGCTTCATCACCGACGCCATCGGCTATCTCTACGGCCTGGTCTTTGCGGGCTGCTGTGCGGCTCTCGTCGCGATCGTTTTCTTCTTCCTCATCGAGAGCAAAGACCGCACCTTGGAGGAGATCGATACCATGTATATGCTCAAGGTCAACCCCATCACCAGCGGCAAGTGGCAACAGCATGAAAAATCAGGCAGCGCCACCCCGAGCGAGCCAGAGACACAGAAGGATGCCGAACATGCCGAGGCTCCTACGGTGGCCTAAACACTAGATAGGGGGTTCGATGTGTACGTAAAAAGGGCGGTGTGGAGTCACGGTTTCCGGGGCGTGATTGTGCTTTCTTTCGGTTTGTTCTTCAAGTGACGAAGAGGTTTTCGGGTTGGGCCTGCATGTCTAGTGGAGTCAAAGCATCTCCCCCGAGACGGGTTCCCGGGAATAGGAGCAAGTCAAATCAGTGCATGATAGGTAGTAACGGAGTAATTGGAAAGTATTTCGTCATGACTGGCGTCTTTTGCACGCATGCTATGCTGCTCAGGTTGTCATCGATATCCCACGTGTCAAAAAGAGTCTTCAGGAAGGATTTCGTGCTTTGTGTCTTGGACCATGTACTGTACGTGGATTAATCTGCTGGCTCAGAGGGCTACGGACATGGCGAGGCACGATATGCCTCAGGCCGGATACCCAAGGTAGATCAGCCAGGATAACCAATTGTTTTTCTGGATACATCAAACAACGATTGTTTCTCTCATTGCTTGCTTGGGATTAGTGAAGGGAAGACTATGGAGACTAAACTGTCCCCTCGTTATGTCCAGCTCAACATGAGTGTCATATGCTTAAGTAACTGACCAGAAGACTCGGATTCGGACTGAACCTTCTGGATTCCGGATAGCTCTCTCTGGGCTGACGTTCTTGGTAGCAGAGGCGCAGAAATGGCGAAAAGAGTGATATATATACTGCTATACACACTCTGACATTCCTGTACCGTGCATACCGGAGTGCCTCTTCGCCGGGGCTAGGAACTTGGGGGCAAACTTCAATCTTCTCTCCTGATGGACAGCTCGTCGACATCCCAAGCAAGGTTGTGACTATGATGCTCGGGCGAGTAGCACGCACTCTCCCATCTAAGACTCCTTTCTAACTTTCCAGTCCAGTTCAACAAAGTACGATCCTTGGTTTCTCTGGGGTGGTAGTTTGATCGTTGTCGGCTGTCATTGGCAATTTACATATGGCTTGAAGCGGAGGGACCATTGCTTTCTTCCTATGTTCTTAGCCGTCTTCCATGTTCCAACTATCGTTCGAGAAATGGTATGCCCCTGGCTAACTTCCCCTTGGTATTGTATCCAAGTGTTTCTGTCAGCGCAGCCAGCAACATCGCCTTCCAACAAGTTGTGTCACAGTATTCTTGGGTAAACACAAACTGCGAATAGTATCAACATGATCCACGCAGTGAAGCTTCTTAGAGACTCACGTAGGTACGTCCATGCCACCAGATATCCTCCGCTGTCATCGCACCCGCAACGCTCTTGAGAAGAGATCCAGTTTCGATCCGGTAGATGTTCGACGATGGGAGCGTATTTTCATCTAACTCGAAATGCTTGTTGTTTCTGCGAAGTGTGTAGATGATGATGCTTCAGTGTCCCTTCCTGGACTCCTGATTTCAGTTTCAAACGTCAGCTGCCTTGTTGTCCGATTCTTTACGCTCCATTGTCCTCACCGCGTACTAGTAACAACTTCTGCCACTTTTGGCCTTTCCAGGTCAGAAGTTCCTTGGAAATGAGAAGCATCTTGCTCTGGTTACTCCGTATACCCTTGGTAACGACTCGACACACTCCATCCAACAAAACTTTAGCCAGTTCCTGTGGAACATTTACCTCACCGACCCTCTCAATGGAGGTATGAGACAGAATCAGGTCACGGAGTCATTGCTGGAACCCATAGTTGCTGGTCCATTCGTTCTTGTCCGAAGCCTCGCCCGAGTCGTTGGGTAAGAGGGTTAGCCTGGCCAACAGTTTGGGAAAGTCTTTCTTCAACCAGAGGCCATCCGGTTATTATCTCAGCGTCTGGAACCGCTATTCCACTTTGGCATTGAAGTGCTCAATGACATATCGGTTCCTGTTGAGGACTTGCAATTGTGATCTTGCCCATAGATAAGTACATCCTCTGCCCACGACTCTCGCTCACACCAACCCCTTTTCTTGTTTTAGACTCTTGCCTCTCATTTCCGTAAACCCACGGCCATTCCTTCTATCTTGACAGACATGACTCGACGTCAACAAGCGATCCTGTCGTTCCTTGCTATACTGGTTCCCAACCCAATACCCTACCCTCATGCCGTGGAGTTGAATATTCTCATAGCTAGCTGGCAACAAAAGCTTGCTTGAAATTGTGAAGCGCAACCGACTGACTTGCCTAGTCACACCAACACACTGCCATGGTTCCAACGAGGATAGGACCAGATCATCACCCCCAGGTAGCAACCACATACACATCGTCACGGTCAGCATCTCTGTTTATCAAGCTATCCCAGTCACCTGCTTCTCCATGTGCTTTGCTGCTACATTGTTCCGACCCAACATGGGATGTAACAAGTTGAAGAGTGATGAGCACATCTCACAAAGATTGGGGATTGGGAAGCACTGAAGATTATACAGCGCTCAAAGGGAGGAACGGTGACGCACCTCCAACCCCGACGCGAGCAACGTGTGCACGAACACGCCAATTTGCCACGCTCCTCCGCCTAAATGGAATATAAACAAAAGAGACGCGACTACCGCGAGAGGAGGAGCTGGACCTTGACGACGCGAAGCATGACTTGGACGAGGTCGATCAAGATTCGCTGCTCTTTGCAGAGCAGAGACAGGCAGTTGATTAGGCTTGGTATGTCCACCACCCGTTTGCGTAAAAAGCACCCATTCCCATTTGACCGCCACCCCTTAATATGGTACACAGACGAGAGCCCAGACAGGAATAGCTCCAAAGAGAGTAAAAAAAAACCGTTTGCCCATGAAATCATTGCAGCCCAACCATGACGAGTAAAAACCGATGTCGCGAGAGAAAAACGTGCGCCCCAGAGAATGTTGTTTGTTGTTTTTCGTGAACGTCGTATAGACAGACAACCCAGCCAGGCATCAAAGACATTTAGCCGCCGAAGCCGTAGAGGGTGCGGCCTTGCCGCTTGAGGGCGTAGACCACGTCGAGCGACGTGACTGTCTTGCGCTTGGCGTGCTCGGTGTACGTGACCGCGTCGCGAATGACGCCCTCGAGGAAGGACTTGAGGACACCGCGCGTCTCCTCGTAGATCACTGTTGGTTCGCGCGTCAGTACTTAAGATGGATGCATACAAAGAGTGGGCAAGCAAGAAAACATACTGGCAGAGATACGCTTGACACCGCCACGGCGGGCCAGACGCCGGATGGCGGGCTTGGTGATGCCCTGGATGTTGTCACGGAGAATCTTCCGGTGGCGCTTGGCACCGCCCTTGCCGAGGCCCTTGCCGCCCTTGCCGCCTGTTGGAAGCAATGTTAGGACTGTACAGTGGTGCGATGCAGCAGTTGATGGATCATGGATGACTTACGTCCAGTCATGTTGATAATAGAAAGTGGGTTGATGTGGTAAGGCTGAAGATGTGTGTAACGGGTTGCAGGTGTTTCGGCTGGTGTATGAGAATTCGGGGGAGGATTGACGGAAACGTGGGGAAGAGAAGCGGTCTTTAAATCTGGGAACGCGGATGCGGCCAGGCACAACAGCTGCAATCAATCAGATCACTCTGATCTGGGCCTGTTGTATTTTTTGGGTCCCCACTTGACTGATTTGGAACTCCGGATCCAAGGAGCAGGGAGCCACTGCAGGCAAAGCGGCCGGCCCCACTTTTAGACAACGCGTGCCGACTCCTTACAACACGCGCCGATTTGTGAGAGGTCCAAATAATGTGCACATAAAACAAGAATTCGTACTTCTGCCCATTTTTCGGCGCTAAAACGATTTTGATTTTCTCCCGGGTTCCGTGATCAAGAGGTAATGGCCGGGTACACTACTCACCCTACCGCTTTTCAGTATCCGCACACACCTGGGCTCGATGTGATGACGGCACATCTTTACTTCGATCCCTATGTAGCTGTTGCCGTAACATCGCGAGCAGGTGTAGCCACACCCTCGGGTGCCGAATGTACTGTACATACACTACTTGGCATGGATGTACGTAGTTGAACCGTGTCTCGGGGGACAAGCATGTTCAGTTCCGCCTTGCCCTATTAACCCTACAAGCATCTCTGGAGTCTGGAGAGCCCTCGATGCTAGCCTTGCCTTAACAAGCTGAAATGTCTGCCTTTGCCTTACTGTGCACCTATACAACTCGCTCCATGGCTTCTCCATCGTAGTTACCTAGTCTCGCTTCAAGTACTTCGTAGTGTTGGTGTAACCTTAAGATCTTGTACTGCGACTTCCTCAACTTCGGGATCTTGGGTGTCCAGTCAGGAAAGGACGAGCGAGAACTCCATAAGATGGTCTCAGAGTCCATATAAATTCGGTTTTATTTAAGAGGCAAGATAGTTTCAGTCTCCAACAACGATCCTGTATCTTGGTATCCTACTTAGAGAGTCGCCGATAGAGCCTGTAGTTCGGTACCGTGATGACACTTTCGAGCAGTAGCGTCATCATACGGTTCACCTTGAGGTAAGGGTGCCTCATAGCCTATGCTAAGTCGCTAACCCAAGCAGCACTCGAAGCCTTGATTACTGTCAGCGCCTTTTCCTTCCTTATTTGCCGTCGAATACAGATCCGGACGATCGGGAAAGTTTGCAGCACATTCCAGCCTTACAGCCTGCGGATCTCGAATCAAGGTATGTACGTAGCCCGGCTGTGGTTGGCTGCCTGATCAGATTGCGGCAACACCTTCCCCACAGTTCCGCAGATGGCCCTTGCGTCGAGTGCATCAATTTTTTTTAACCAATAGAAATTCAGCAAGACCAAGGGTCAGCATTGCGCAGCCAAAACTCGCCAAAAAACAGGAGCGATTCTGCTGCAAAAACTGACCCCATTTTACCTTGCAATAGACCCCGGTTTTGCACGCCGCCCATCAACAAAAAAACATGCGGTCGCAATCAGGCAAAGGCACACCCGACTGATTCAATCAGCCGGCAACGTGACCAGCGCCCCGCCCGCCTACTTAAACCTGCCACCCCCCACTACTTTCTTCCCCCTTTCAACTCACACACAACTCCACACCCGCATAAATCATCTTCATCAAGCCCATCGCGACTTGCAACTCTCCATCAAAACATCCATCAATTTTTCCATCCTCAACAAACACTACCATCATTAGCAATGGCCCGCACAAAGCAGACCGCCCGCAAGTCCACTGGTGGCAAGGCCCCTCGTAAGCAGCTTGCTTCCAAGGCCGCCCGCAAGTCGGCTCCCTCGACCGGCGGTGTCAAGAAGCCCCACCGCTACAAGCCCGGTACCGTCGCTCTTCGTGAAATTCGTCGCTACCAGAAGTCGACTGAGCTGCTCATTCGCAAGCTCCCCTTCCAGCGTCTGGTACGTTTTCATCTCGGGTTTGCATTGCAATCGCGTCGCGCGTCTCCGTGGCGGCGACCGATTAATCGCGACCTGTCTCCACTATAACACGACCACTAACGCGTCACGCAAAACAGGTCCGTGAAATTGCTCAGGACTTCAAGTCCGACCTCCGCTTCCAGAGCTCTGCCATCGGCGCTCTGCAGGAGTCTGTCGAGTCTTACCTCGTCTCCCTCTTCGAGGACACCAACCTCTGCGCCATCCACGCCAAGCGTGTCACCATCCAATCGGTAAGTTGCCACATGAGTCACGCGAGTCAGGGCCAGGTCGCTAACAAACTTTGCAGAAGGACATCCAGCTCGCTCGTCGCCTCCGGGGTGAGCGCAACTAAGCATGGTCATTTCGGTCTTTGCTAGCTTGGGGTTTATGGGAGGGGCGGTCATGACTTTTCTTACATCTGGGACGCTTTGATGGATGGATCATTCCACGGCACAATGGGCTCACGGCGTTTTTTGCGATGGTTTTTACTCGGTGTCTGTACATTACACGGGCGGCAAATGGGGGATTGCTGCTAATACCAATGCCGGTTTATGATCACGACATTTTGTTCTGCCTGCAGCCCCTGAGTGCGTGACTGCCTGTCTCTGAGTGCTGTGACGCGTCTTTGACACAAGATCAAAACATTGGCGCCGACGCGTATCATGACCAACTGACACCGGTGGAGTATGTATGCTGAGGTAAGGTCCATGCTCACCAAGTGCTCTTTCCTTTCCCAAGTCTACCTGACCTAGGTATGCTAAGAGCGTTGACAAACCTGCAAGGAAATGCAGAACAGGCAGATATTCCATGTTCACCGTAACTCTCTTGACTGCCCCTCAACTTCAATCAGAGAACAGACTTCCACCCGACACTCTCGTTCCTGGCCTTGCAGAGGTCCAGCCCGAGAAAGTGTGCCACCACGCCCAGGTGGTCGACCCCCCAGAAGCCCTCTGTCTCGCCCGCCGTGCTAGTGCACACCATCCTGGTTAGCAGAAATTGTCAGCCAGACCAGCATGTTTGAGAGTGGTACATAGTTCCATCGCAGGTCTTGGGTGGTATTTGAATGTATGTACTATATCTAGGGGCGAGATAACCAAGTTTGCACTTACCAGGGCAAGCCAAAGGCACCCTCGTCAAAGGCCCTGTCTGTGTTGGCCGTGAGGAGTTGGTCGCCTGTTGTCTCGGACTCGATGAGGACTGATATTTTTTACTTTCGTGTTAGCTTTTCCGCTTCCTTTACCCCTGGAGTGTTTGTTGGCAAGCCATTAGGTATAGAAGGACAAGAAATAGCAAGAAGAAGAACATACGTACTCCTCGCCGCCTCCTCAGCGCCAAACAGGTCCCTCAGCGTCGTCTGCAGCAGCCCGGGCTCGTTATGCGTCGCTACCGCGTTCGGGCCCCATTGCTTGGCGAAGAATACGTCGAGTGCTCTGTGGAAAAGATGGGTTTGGTCTTGGTCTTGGTTTTGGCCGTGGTCTTGGCCTTCCCGTCCTCCTCCCTGTCGGGAGGCAGAGACGACGCACAAGGCGCGCATGATGGGGAGCTGTGCCGGCCCAGGGAAGTCGGGCGGGATAGGCACCGTCATGGGGACGGAAAAGGCGCTTGCCCAGCGGAGCCGTTCACGGCGGGTCCAGTGGTCCTTGTCTGTGGTAGTTGGTTAGTATAGTAGTTCGGTTTGTTGGTTATGGGTGTAAGAGGACTAGGAGTGGGAGGAAAGAGACAAACGGAAAGGGGCCGGTCATACTCTTGATCATGATCGGTGGTGTGTTGCCACACTTGCAGTACGTAAAGTAATTAGTATGGCAATCAGACAGCTTGGTCGACGATAGGCGAATGAATCCCTAGACTTACCTTCTGCATCAAGCCCACGAGGGAGACTGGCACATGGGTGATATCGCACTCCATAAAGACTGCATCGTGCTTTGTATGTACACAACCCTCTTCATGTCAGCCTGGCCTTATATCTCTTCCTTCCGTTTGTGAGAATACTGTAACTTAACCGGGCAAAAGCAGACTCACACGGAGAATGTGGTATGCCGTATAAGAAAACGGACTGAGCATGTCGACGTAGTGCGTGATCTTGGGACGGGCCATCGCAGCAATCTTCGTAGAAAGGGGGCGGCAACCGCAACGACAATCAAAAGTAGACAGTGATATGCTAGAGTGTGAAGACTCACAAACTCAACATCGTGAAATATATGGAACTGTGAGCCGTAGCCTGCAGTGACGTGTATTCAGTAGGGAGCTCAAGGTCTTAGAAACCCCGATGCTGAGGCCAAGGGCCGACTCCTGCAGCAGCCATGCATTCAAAGTGGTGAAGCCCGGCATATGAACCAGTCGTATCGCCATACTGACACCGAGGAATTACGTCCGAGACATTCTGTAATACCTAATACTAGAGTAGACATCACGTCCTATCGACTATTTCCTTTTTGCCCAGACTACATCATAAAACGTTGCCAGGCAGTAAACACGAACCAACAACTCTGTCTCATTTACCCCGATGATAGTTTTACATGCTCAAAAGATTCTACATGCTCAACAGAATTGAGTGTTAGCTGTCTTACATGCAGTGCCCTCGCTCTTTCTGTACCCCGTTTCTAATCTGTCTCATTGCTCAACACAAAATAAACAAAAAAGCTGTAGCCACGGCCCGCGCATAGTAGTGTCTATCCGCCGCCTAAAACGCACTGACTCTGTGCTCGGTCGGCACACGAGTGAGGACATCAAACGAGCCCGTGCCGACCGTCCCGAGCTTTCCAACCACCAGCCTGCTTGACGGCGTCGCGAGGCTGTCCCAGTCGCCGTCGAGGACAGCATCCTTCAGGAAGCCAACCGTCGTTTCTGTGTTTCGAACGAATTAGCTTGATTCCGGTGTAACAGGACTTTTGACTATTTGAAGTCACTCACCATAGCTCATCTTGGTGAAGGGACTGACGTTGCCAGTCAAACCTATCCGGTTGAAGGGCGTAAAGCCGCCGTTCCTGCAGCACGTATGTGTCAGCATCTCGGTCAAGAGCTCAGATATAAAAAGGTAAGCTGCCACCGACCTTGTCATGTAATCGGCAATCAGGTTCAGGTGGCGCAAGTCCACCGCGATGCCGTGGGAGCTGAAGACGTTGCTGAGCTCCAAGACAATGTTGCTCCGGCAAGCTTCGACGCCGTACACCTCGAGCACTTGGGCAATGTCGTTGGTCGAGATCTTGTTAGGATTGATGTAATCGCCGTACTGCTGCATGGCCCGGAGGTTGGCGCCATTGGTATGTACCAGCATGGCCGTGATGTGCTTCTGCCCCGTGACTGGGTCATCCTTCTTCACCGCCTCAAATGTCGCACTCCCAATCCGGCTGATCTGCTGGATGACCGACTTCTTTACCGCCTCCTGCACCAGGCTGAGCATGAGGATCTTGGGGATCGACGCGTCGTATTCGACAGTGAATTGGACCCACTCGCCGCCGACTTCGTCGCACCGGAAGCGCGCCACATGATCGTTCTGCATCTTAATGCGTGCTTCGCGCGAGCTGGACCGAGCCTCGTCTGTCTTGTCTCCCAGATCATCCTCGGGCTCTGGGCTTCCGCCATATGCCTCGTCGACAAAGTTGAGCCTCTCCTCGCCCTCTTCGATGTCCTCGCTCTCGCGCTGTAGTTGCCTCTGAATGGCATCATCATCGTCATCATTCGGGCCGTACGAAACCGCCTCACTCCGGTTGGCCCTCTGCTTAGCATTTGTGGCGTCGTCGTCTCCGTCGTCGTCGTCGTCGTCATCACCACCTTCACCCCCGATACGCTCCCCGTCGCTGGGCGCCATTTCCACAACTCCCGCTTTGACGCCGATTTCGGGAGTTGCAGCGCTGGTTTCCTTGAGTTTCTTCTTGATCTCCTTCCGAACAAGTGTGCCGAGCAAGGGAATAAACTTCTTCTCCACGGTGTTGAGGACATCAGCGATGTCAATAGCATACATCTTCATGTACTCTTCCGCCGGGAAAAAGCGCAGCCTGATCTCAAACATCTTTGCCAGCGCGAAACCGATGCCGCGGCCGACCCGCTCCTGAACGACAGCTTCCTTCGTAACATGAGCGAGCGGGAGGACGCTAATAGACTTGGCAAACCGCTCTCCATCGTGCTCCGAAAGCTCCTCGTTGAGCACGAGTGTCATCGAAGGCGTCGATATCTTGGCACTGGCGGTCATGAGAATTTCGCGGAGTCGAGGAATACCGAGTGTAACGTTCTTCGCAGAGTGCCCTGCCAAATGGAACGTGTTAAGGGTCATCTGCGTTGATGGCTCTCCCACCGATTGACCAGCAACAATCCCAACAGCCTCACCGGGCTCGACTAGGGACCGGATATACTTCGCGGCCAGAATCTTCTCAGCTGTTTTGCGGGCAATCTGACCCTTCTGGTTTTCTGATCCCTTCTTCTCTTTGATCAGCCCGTCCTTATTAGTCTTGACATAGTCTGTTAACTTGCTGAAAAACTTCTCAGACGTCGCGAAGGCGAAGACGGTAGGGTTTAACTCCGAAGATACCGGGTCCAGGGCATTGCGGCTGGCACTGGAGCGGATGGCGCTCTTCATCCGCTTTATGACCTCGTCCTTGTGCTCAAACAGGGCCTGCGTCCCTGGTTCGTAGTAGCGAATCTGTGGCAGCTGCGAGTCCAGGTTGCGGAGAACAAACTCAAAGTCATTTAAATACTTTTGCTTGGAGATGTCGATGCCGTCTTCTCCGAACAGAAACTGCACTACCGTACCATCGGCGTCCCGTACAGACGTATCGTAGGCGACTTTCAGACCCTCCATGCCCTTGATTAGGCATCTTTGGAGGTAACCAGAACGTGATGTCTTGACGGCCGTATCAATTAAACCTTCACGGCCAGCCATGTGATGGAAATAGTATTCCTGGGGTCGGATACCCGTCAGGAAGCGCTGGACAATGTAACCGCCAGCCCTCACATCGGTGTCGAAAGGCTTGAAACTCGGCAGAGTCTTTCCGCTCACCATAACCGGGACTCGACGACCTTCTAGGGTCTGCTGGCCCAAATTGCAGGAGATAAGATTGGCGTTGACGGGAGTTCCCTTGGCACCCGATGTGGTCATAGACTGCATGTGGTTCTTCGGGAAAGGCTTCTCGAGGCCGGCAGGTAGGCACAATCTGGTGATTTCGGTTGAGAGCTTAGCGCACTCCTGACTCGTGAGCAGCTCGAGGCCCTCTTGCTTCTTGTCGTCCCTGAGCACTTCTTCTAGACGTTCCAATAGCAAAGGATCATCCTTGCCCGGCTTCTGCTCATCAAGCGAGACATATTTGGCTGCCACTGCCAGGCCAATATGCGAGGCCGCCTTGATTGTGTCCTTTCGGTTTCTCTCTCCTTCTGGTGTCAGGCGGAGATCGTCCATACCGCAGGTGAAGGCAATCATGGCAAGGTACCGAGTTAGAAGCCGGCCCATGCTGCTGAGTAACTTGCCTGCAATCGACGGGCCATAGACTTCGTGCACGGCATGAATAAAGCCGCCGTCGCTTGAACCCAACTGTGACTTGTCCAGGATGCCACTGATGAACTCGCCGTCGCGGAACATGACCTGACCTTCCTCTGAGTCCTCACCCCAGCTGCGGCCCTTGATCTTAGACGATCCGTTCATCCACAAATCGCCGCAGTTCGCCGGCCTGATGTTTTTGAGAATCGTGGTGATAACCTGTTTCCCCGTCCAGCGACACACGGGTTTGATAATCGCGGGAGGAACAAGCTCTATCCTCTCGCCCGTGATGTGTCCGCTCTCTGGACGAAGAGCACTGTAAATAAGTTGCTGGTAGGCATCCCGCTCAAAGAAGGCGTCTTTGCTGCAGAGAGCCACGGAAACGGACAAATGGTCCTGGATAAGACCGCGGAGAGGATTTCCCGCCGTCCCAGATATGTATTGGTGATCAGTATCGGCCAACTGAAGCGCTTCAGCGCGAGCAATTTCGTTTTGGGGGAAGTGCATGTTCATCTCGTCGCCGTCGAAGTCTGCGTTGTAGGTGTTACAGTTTGCGTAATGCATGCGGATCGTCTTCTCCCCCGGCAAGACTCGGACTCGGTGACCCATGATCGAGGGCTTGTGCAGCGTCGGTTGCCGATTCATCAGAACCACGTCACCATTAGTCAAATGTCGATGAACCTTCTTGTTCCGCAACCCGCTGAAGTTATTTCCCGTTGGAGCCAGGAGTTGGTTTGCCAGAGATACACGGTCTTCGAGAGACTTTGTCCGGAGGTTCACGATCTGACCGTTTTCATTTTCGATAGCCGAGGCACCGGGCCATTTGTCTAAGGGAGCATTAGCATATACACCGAGTTTAAAACCGAACACACGAGTTGTGTGTAACTAACCAACACCGTTGATTACAGCTTGTCTGGAGCAGATTCCGTTAGCAATGGCTGCAGTTCAGAGCTGAGGGAGATACAACGGGCGTTACCCGCTCATTGAGGTCCTGTGAATTCAAGGAGCGGGGGAACTACGTACTGAAGATCCTTGAAGTTGTGACTGGTCACCGGTTCAGGATATGTGAGCTTCCTGGCGAAAACGGGAGGAACACCAATCTCGTTAGTCTCGATGTTCGGATCGGGAGAGATGACACTTCTGGCGGCGTAGTTGACACGCTTGCCCATCATATTCTTCCGGAACAGACCCTCCTTTTTCTCGAGCTTCTGCTTGATGCCCTCTTCGTTCCGCTTGGCTGCCGCGCCTTGGACCGGATTCTTGTCCCGATCCATCAGAGAATTCACGGCATTCTGAAGCTCCATCCACGCTTGGTACAGGGAGCTCATATCTCTTGCTCTCCTGCCATCGCCGGCGGCACTCTCCTTGCTCTCACCGCTGATCTCTCGCGAAATCTGGGCTACCGATGCGGCACTCCGAAGAATCATTTTGTAGAGACTGTTTTGCTGAGCCTCGGAAATTTGAGAGTCGCCCATGCGGGCCTGTTCAACAGAGTTAACGCGGTCAAAGATTGGTCTACGCGCTCAAACACATACCTCTGGACGATACCGGTTGGGGGGGACTAGAAGTGTCGAGATGAAGAACATGTCGGCAGTGAGGGGTTTGGAATTCCTGGGTCGGGGTTTTGAGTTGTAGAGCAACGAGAGTACCTCTTGCTCCCGTTGGAAGAGCAACTCGAGCCGACCTTTTACCTCCATTGTGCTAAGGTACCGTTGTGCGGGTTTTGAGGACTCCTTGGCCTTGGCCTTGGCCGGTTTGGGCTTGGCTGGGGCATCCGTCATGATCACATCGCCGTTCTCATCCAGTTTCTCGCCTTCACCCTCGCTATCATGCTCTCCTGCTGACTCCCCAGATGACTCGACGTCGGCGATACCCTCATCCTCGGCAAAGTCTTCGTGCTTCTTCTTCTTTTGGGTTAGGGCCAACGCGTCGATTCGCTTCTTTCCTGATTGCGCCATTGCGGCCCTCTCGCGCTCACTCAAGTCCCGTTCGAAGATCTTGACCCAGCGGTCTTTCCGGTATACTGGCGAGATACCATCGCAAGACCTGCACCTCTTCTCCTTGACGACCTGGGCGAGAAACTCTTTGACTAGGGCCCTCCTCATCTCGGCAGCACCCTCATGCTTGCCTTTCCTGATGTCTCCAATGCTGATCTTCAGTCTATGCTCCCGCAGCACCTGCCGCACATACGCTTCCCGGGCGCGCATGGTGCTGTCCTGCAAACTGTCGCCCTCCTCCTCGGCTTCGTCATCCTCGACGCTAGGAACATCCGCTAACCTCAATTTCTTGACCTGCTCACCAAGCTCGCTCGCAGAGAAGGAGTCGACCATTTGGGCTTCATGAAGCAGGCCAACCTGCAGCAGACGGAACAGGCATGTGTATCTGTGGATTTCGTGGCGCGGCATCCGGAATCGGTGGCAGTAGACGCACTGGGCCCGAAGCAAACGGTAGGCTTGGTCCATGAAAACCGGATGATAGACAGGCACAGGGAGCTCGATGTGGCCTGGGTGGCCGGGACACTGTGCCTGGTTCAGATTGCATGTTCGGCATCTGCACATAGCATCAGTTCGAGCTCCTGAGTCTGTCAGATTCTCACAGCTACGGGTGACCTACAGAGAATCACCCCAGGACCCGAGGGCCGGGTCATACAGACCACCCGGCACCGGGTTAAGGAGGTTGTCGAAGGTGCTGTCATTCTCGATGCGCTTGACGGAAATTGCACGAATCTCATCGGCCGAGAGGAAAGTGAATTCGACGCTCTCCAGCGACGACCCGACGGGTTGTGCGATATTCATGATGGGCAGACGGAAAGAATTCGACTCAGCGCTACCGCATGGCGCTCCTCCTGTGAGAGAAAAAGAAGCTAGATCTTGAGCGTCCTGTGACCGGTTGCGAGGTAGATCCGGTCGAGAAACAAGACGGTTCTAGGTCCTGATCACAGCTCCCGGAATTGTGATTGGCGGGGATTTGCAGAACGGAGCGCAACAGAACAAATTTTTGGCGGTGAAGAGAGGCAGAACGCCCTGTAACCGTTGATGTGGGGCGTCCGTCCGCTTGGTGCTCCACTGCTCGCAGCCTCGCAGGTCCCGTCGTTTCTTGGCCCGAAGATCCAACCAAGCTTTGTCGCGTCATCCACGTCAAACGTCAAAAATGCAACCACGTCGCTGCACTCAAACACAAACCTGCCCCGAATAAATAAATGCCCGCAGACAAAAGCTGGCCTATTTTCCCCGGCATTTTTCTTTCTTCGAGAGTTATCCGCTTTCTTTCGAACCATTTACGCATAAAGTCGCAATAGACTCGGTACTTCTGAGAGCTCTCGCCCATGGACCGGAACCAGCAGCTTGGGGGGCTGAGCCCTCGCCATGATCCTTCATCCAGGATTCAGAAACCTGAGTCGGCTGCGGATCGGATGGCGGCTCTCAAAGCTCGCGTCGCAGCTGCCGTTGGCGGCGCAAAGGCCAAGGGCGGGCTCAACATGCCTCTTCACCCGGCCCTCGCCGACCTCAATGCCCCGATCAAGCCCGGAGACTCACTAAAGACAGCTCATGGTCAACGCTCTACTCCAGATGGCCCGGAGAGCTCCAAACGGAGGCCCTCCGGCCTCGCGACAACCACGCAGGAAGGCGCCCGAACAAACCCCTACCTTGAGCCCAGTCACGCGCCCACGGGCAAGGCGAGACCGTCGAAGCAGCTCATATTCAACCAAAAGGGAAAGTACATCCAGCAGGCCAACGCCCTGCGGAGACAGGCCGCTCTGGAGGAGATGAAGAAGAGGATTGCCGAACAGGCCCGCAAGGCAGGATTGGAGGAAGACAGAGACGTTGAAAAAGCCTTCGCCATCGAGGCTCCTCCGGATCTGGAGTGGTGGGACGAAGCTCTTATTGATGGGAAGGACTACTCCAACATCCCACAGTCGCTGAAGGTGACGACACCAGACAGCATCGTCACGCTGTACATTCAACACCCTGTCGCCATCGAGCCGCCGCAAGACAAGCTCGCTCCAGAGCCAAAACCCATGTACTTGACCCCTAAAGAGCAACAAAAACTCCGACGGCAGCGCCGTATGATGGAACTCAAGGAAAAGCAGGCCAAGATCCGGTTGGGCCTCGAGCCCCCGCCGCCTCCAAAGGTCAAGAAAGCCAACCTGATGCGTGTCCTCGGCCAAGAGGCAGTCAAGGATCCAACGGCCGTGGAAGCCCGCGTGAACCGCGAGATTGCCGCGCGCTTCGAGAAGCACATGCAGGCCAACGAGGAGCGCAAGTTAACCAAGGAACAACGACACGAGAAACTCGCCACGTTCAAGGCCAAGGACGCGGCCAAAGGCATTCACATCCTGGTGTTCAAGATCAACAGTCTCGCCAACGGCCAGCACCGCTACAAGATCAATATCAATGCCACTCAGAATGGCCTCAACGGCATCTGCATCATGCATCCGAAATTCAACCTCGTCATAGTCGAAGGCGGCGAACACAGCATCAACAACTATAAGAAGCTGATGCTCCGCCGCATCAACTGGACTGAGTCTCTGGCACCACGCGAGAGAGACTCAGAGCAGGGCGCCGCTGTGCGGGAGTGGCTCAAGGCCGAGGATGAGCGTGGGCAGTTGAAGGACTTGTCGGCGAACAAGTGTGTCCTCTTGTTCGAGGGTGAAACCAAAGCGCCCGCGTTCAAGAAGTGGGGTAGCAAGATATGCGAGACGGACCACGAGGCGAGGGAGTTCCTCGCTCAGAGGAAGATGGAAAACTTCTGGACTCAGGCAAAGAGCACGCCTTGATGGCAGTCAAACTTCTCGCCTCCAGTACAAGAGGTATCCATCATGGCCCTGCGGAGGGTGGCTGACTCGGGGAACTTGGGCGAGAACTCGAGCACAGCTTGCGGTCAACAGGGAATCCGCGAAAGCAGTGCTCCCGTTACGAGGCCATCCATTGAGAGGCCAATATTCGGTGCTTTATTGTTCAGAATACGTTCCTGGGAGGGGACTTTGGGTAGTTAACGAGACATGGATGCCCAAACCATTTCCGCTGGACGATCTTGGGCTAGTTGATTCTCGGTTCCCAGCTTTGGACTGTGCACCATTTCTCCCCGTTGACGAAAATACCGTGGTAAGGGCGACCCGGGATTGATTGACCGGCCGTTGCCAATATAATCCGTGAGTTATGCTTTGCCTGTCAGATAGGGGCTTGCTCAACATCTGTGAATTAAATCAGAGACTGACTTCTCCTCTCTCTAGAACCAGATGAGTTGGTGGTCTTCATGAATTCTAAGTAATGAAGTATTCTCCCCATTGTTCATTATCTGTCGTTGCAACGACTCGGCAGTGTCGAGTACCACTACCGTGCTACAGCGTTCTCGCCACCAGGGCGCTTATTCTCTAGCAATTTCAAAGGGCGTGGCAGTGAATGAGAGAGCTCCTATCTTCGCTATGCCATATCCTTCCAGGCACCGAAGCCAGACGTTGAGATGCTTTCCGCCCTGTCTCAGTTGATCCCGCCATGTTTATTTCTCCATTACGGTTGATGACAGCACTGGCATGTTTGCTCATCTCCGTCTTGTGCTTCACTTCGGGCTGTGTCGGCTGAGCCGATGCTAAGGCTTTACGACTGTCTCTGTTGCGTCTACCCCTAGCACTCTCGGGATGCCTTCAATGCGCCAACCATGCTCAAACAATACTGGGGGCCGGAAAGCATGCAACCAGTCTGCGAAATATTCGACCTCTTACTTGTGCAACACTCGCATATTCACATGGGATCCTCCCGTCTGCTATGTAGGCTCCCAACCAGAACCTACCCCCTTCTCGGCGACGCAACTGATACCAGAGTCGTAGGTACACCCCCCTCGCATACACCGAGCATTCCAGTTGGCAGCTGCCCAGGTCGCATCAGGTACTTGCCTGACACCAAGAAGTTGGCTGGGAACAGATTGCTCGGTTAAAGCGAGGCAGACAGAGGGATTGGGTACTACGACTCAGGAACGACGCAATCTCCGGTACACTTCCAAATGCTCCCTTCACGAAGTGGAGCAGTATGCTTTCCGATTTGAGACAAATTCTAGACTTGCAAGAGGCGCATGGAGAAGTTCCTCACCGAAGGCCTCTCCTTCCGTTGGCTTGGGGAACTGGCATGTCTGCACGAATACCTTGCTATACTTCACGCACGACCCAACTGCGTCTTCAACACCCCCACATTCAGGAGGTATCGCCACCAGCAATGGAACGCCCCCAAGCTCGCATCAACGATACCATCCAGCATATTGCACCCATTCGAAGAACCTTCCTTGCGTCTGCGACAGAGCGGAGAGATGTGGAATCGGCCACCCTGGAAACACAACTGTCCTCGAGCACTACATTACAGTACGACATCAACGGTTTCTTCCACGCACTTCCTCCCATCACACATAGGACGATACAACACTGCATATGTTGATGTACGTTGTGGTGTAGGGCCGATACAACGCAAACAGATCCTCCATCGGTTGCCAAGAAGTCTCCAGGTCAGCGCCACACCATGGCGTGTTCGGTCAACTACGCCATAGTACACGTGCATGATGATTACACCAATCCCAACAGACGCTTTCCCCTGGCCCTGACCGACCCTGGCCGATCTGAGACGGAGACAGACAACGAGGTCTGGGGCTTGTGTATGTAAAAAGGTGGCAAATGCTGTGGTAGATGTGTCGAGGCCTGCAACCGTGACTGGTTGGAATTGCCATCAAAGAAGCATGTGAACCGTTCGGTCAGTAAGGTACCTCGTACCTTGGATAGAGCGGCGCACTTTATTCGGACTGCGACCACTTACAGATTGTAACCCGATCACGTCCTCCTTCCTGTTCCTGTTCCCGACCCTGTTCCTTCCCGCATCCTTTCCTCACTCTGCTACACGTGCAGTGTTCGGGTACTGCAGATAGACAGACATGCCCAGTCTCTGGGGGGCCAGGAACAAGGGGCAGCAGGACAGATGAACGGCACCGGGGGCGGGAAATGGGGAAGTGCCTTCGGGGAGCAGGAGCCCTGGGTCCTCCGGTCGGGGATGACCTCCGCCTGCACTCGCTGGCCCGTGGTCTGGCAGCTCCGGACTGCTATCATACACGTGTACCTTGCCCCTTAACAGGCGCGCCTGGCTCGATTTGCCGATCGATCACGATGCTCTTCTTCTTAGTACTGCGGGATATGGAGTTGTAATGTAATAAGTCCCTGCCTGCTTAACCCGTCTGTCTCGGTTCCGAGACGGTGGCTGATGGCAGCTCCGTGGCAGGGGACGGAAAAGGGGTGACTAGATGTGTAATACCAGTTACCCCCCAAGGAACCAAGCAAGTTGAATCCACTACGCAGTTGACAGCAAGACCGGTTGTGCTTCACCTGCTTGTTCACCATGTAAAGTTGGTCAACACCGGATATACCGCCGTACACTACCCTTCTACAAGTGTAGTGTATGTACTCGGCCCCCACCACCATCGTGCCTTTCTCTCCCACCAAGAGGGGGAAATCTCCGCTTCACCCCGGTCGTTCCGTGGGGAAAAGACCGACATGAAAGCAGAGAGCAAGAAAACCGAACCAAACCAGAAAGCGAATGGTACAGTAGATACAACAGTACTGTTAGCTCACTTCAAGTTCCAAAGAGCAACGCCAACTTTGCCGCGCTTCTAGCGAAAGCGCGATCAACCACTGGCACCTGCCGTTCCCGGACATGGGCAGAGATTAGATAGGGGAAGGCTTCGGACCCCAATCCGACCTTTGGGGGGGAAGGGGTGATCCTTCAGGCCTTCTAGAAGCAACTGCAGCCGCCGACCTGCAGCAGGCGGGGTCTGATGAAGCGCGATGGCGATATCCATACTGTACCTACCTTAGGTACATATGTAAGTACCAAGGCGAATAGATTGAGCTGTTCCTGCAACTAAAGTACTACGCTGCTTCATAGCTTAGGTAGTCGTTTGTGGTGTGAACCTACCGGACACAGCAAAAAGCGCAATCTAAACCGACAACAACTTCATCAACACGTTCCAGTCCAGTCGCCTCGAAATGATGATGCTACGTAAGATACGGCGGTAGAAACCTACACCTTAGGTGAGGATGACTGTATCAGCATGCACGTCACGTCAGCCAGGTGGGACAAACAAAGATGCTAGAGATGCCTGACAGGACCCAACTCATCAAATGCGAACGAGTGAAATCCGAGGGTTTGATTCCAAATCCACCAATTGCGTACAGCGCAGCAGGAAGACAGTACTATCTGGTTAGTAATGTAGTTGGGGGCGTAGTGTGATTACAACTTGAAGGCATCCCTAAGCTAAGTTATTCGCCAGCCTCCTTCGACAGAATCTTACTCATACAACTTTGAGAAGACTCTTCTGCCTCTCTTTCTTTCTCTCCCGGCGAGCTGGCGGCCCTTCATAAGAGCCGGGGCAATTCTCTTCGCCGACTGCGACTCTGACTTTTTGACTCTGCATCAGCCGTTGACGAGACGGCTCGGCAGCCGGTGCCCGGCTGTGTGTGTGGCTGTTCCCCGGGCCGAGGGACATGGCGCTCTTCGGCAAAGCAATGTCCACAGGACCGGCTGAAGCTCTACAGTGTAAAGAAAAAAAGAAAATGAGGAGGACAGGTAGTGTAGGGTAGTGTAGTCGGAGTATGTACCGGGTGGGAGTAAGCCACCTTGGTGGGGAGCTGCATACCTTACCTACATACAACACTACATACATAGTGTGCTGTACAGTTGAGTCTCCTACTTGGCGCGGCAGGACTGCTGTTGCTTATTGCGGGAGCTCAAAGACGCCCAGCATCATCCCCTCAGCCCAATCGTCAACTCAAGGATGATGCAGAGGTCGTGTGCTCTTGCTCTGAAACGCAGATTATGGAAAGAGAAGGAACGAGGGGGCTGAGCAGCCATTAGTCCTCTACAGTACATACTTCTCACCTCCGCGGGGTCCAGATGCAGACGGGAGGTCAGCTCTGCCCTTCTTGGGATGCTCCCGTCTGACAGCTCTCCTGCGTGTCAGAACTCTATATGTGAAGGATGATATTGTAGGCTTAGTATGATGCTCCAGCGGCCTAACAGGTGGGAAGCTGAATCTTCTGCCATGGCGGCCAACCTGCGACTGCGACTGCAGCAATTCTGCCCTATATTCTGGGGTAAACAATGCTTACCTTACTTCATCCTTGTATTGTATGCGTCCCTAAACGCCTCGTCGGCACCATGATCATCCTGACGAGACACTTCCTTTCGGGTAAGGGAGAGATCGCAGTCGAACTGACATCAGCATGGCGACTGTTTTGTCTTTCTTGCTCCCCGCCCGGTGGATAGGGCGATGCTACCCCATTCTCGGGGTCGCCGAACTGCTGTAATTCCCTGGGCCGGCCTGCCATGCATTGCGGGACCTGTGCAACAATCTTGCTGAAGAAAAAAACGAGTAGTGGATGAAGGCAAAACCCGTTGCTAATGCGTCATATATTAGATCCTGCAGATATTATCCTGCAACTCTTAGTTCGCATTCTCTCTCAGGGCGCCGTTTGTGCGCGATCGACTCCCGTGTAGGTGGGTGCGGCCGTTCCGGTCATCCGGACCGGACACGGAGGACAGTTGAGCCGGTGACCTTGCAAGATGCCGGTGGTCAGCGGCTTGTGATTTGTTTGCCGCTGTTTACCTCAGAGGAAAAGAAAGGAAAAGGAGAAGAAAAAAGTACCTAGGAAAATGACTCGTCCCAGCACATGCCGATTGACGGCCACTAGCCCACGTGCTATGCACGAAATCGCTCCTTAGCCAGCGGCACAGCAGGCGGCAAGGTACACTACGTCCGTCCATCTCCGTGACCCGTGCTTGCGGGTCCTCTTCCACCGGCCGGCTCTAATCGGCATCTAAATGCTGGCCGAATGAACAAGCAACACTGGGGACGTCGACGACGTAGTTCGTTCTTGCACTCGGAGTGACAGACGAGGCCGCTTGGGAGGGCAACTGTGGCACCGGAGCGGGAACAGAGCGGCAATTCCCCCGACGGGCATATTGATTGCACGAGTGCTGCTCTACCAAGCGTTTTGGCAATTAATGCATGCTGAGCACGCACCATCCTTTCGCTTCCGTTCTTTGTATGTACTGTAAGACTCGATTTGCAATATGGCAACTCCGAAGAAAGATCCAGGCTGAATTCGGTATGTACTAGTAGATCACCTTGTCAGCCGAATCCTCAGCTATAATAACCGACGACGCGATGGGGACTGCGATCCATTAGGTAGGCGCTGTATCAAGCGGAAGAACAGCGCGATGGCATAGATATGTCAGTGCCCTAATGCGCTTAGAATTGTAGATGCGTGATGGCCACTCTCGTCTCACGAGACACGGTAGACCATCTCAAGAATCTTGCGCAGAAAGAGGGGCTTCGCGTTACGCGTCCTGTCCAAATGCGGATGCCACGGCACCTTGATTATTTACTCGTCGGATCCAGACCCATCAAGCTGGGACTTGAGAGAATGCTGCGGTGCGGTGTAACATCAAAAGTGAGAAGCGGCTGTTCGACCAATCGCCGTTGCCGATCAGCCTTTCTTCAGCCTTTCGCTGGCCGTCTTGGTTGGTCGCTGACTGCGTTGGTTCTGATTACCGGTACAGGACTCTACGATCGTGGCCGGACTGGAATCGAGGGTTGCTTGGGGGCCCCGGAAATATGCAATGTCCTTGGGCTACACGGAAAAGCGACCGATACGACGCATGCGAGGGCTTTGTGAGGGCATTTGTGTATGCCATGCGCATCCGTTGTCGTGGACGGGCTGTTATTTCTTCACCGCGATAGGAGAACATGAAGCAAGGCGTCGTCGGTGCAGATACTTCTGGGATTCCCAAGGCTGCCCCCCACAGCTCGGGGGCAGAGTTGGATTTTCCAGGTCGTTTCGTTCCGATCACGCGCCGGCTCGTATGTAACGTACTGGATTGTATGTACATACAATACCAGTACCGCCCATTGATAGCGTTAACTTGCGTAAGAGTGGACATGTCCTGTGCAAAATTGGCCCCGAAACGTTTTCTCCGGTCCGACCTCCGAAGCAGAGTCCTGGTGGACTCGCTCTCGCTCACGGTCGTTGGCGGTTTCGGGGGAGAATTGGAGGAATGTCGACCCCCAGCGAACGTTAATTAGGCGATCTCTGAGCTGCCTGGTTGGTGGTGCCTTGCTAGGCTAATCTCATGACCTGGAAACTCTCAGGGATTCTGATTGGCCGGGGAAACGGGGAGAGAGCTCGCCGAGCTCGCTTCTTGCCGCGTGCATCCCCGGTCTCCGCCAACCAAACCAGGGTTCGTGGGCAAGCTCCGCAGCGGAGAATCCCGTGCGCACGGGCGAGAGCTTCCAGGAAAGATCATCTCAGGTGAGCAAGATACTGTGTACTGTACAATACATAATTACCGGTAGCTGTTCCTGTATGTTACGGATACATACCTGAGATCCCGTTCGTACATACAGTACCACAGCATGCTGCGACCTCGTCCACACCAGCCTTGCGGAGATTGAGCTGCAGTAATGTGGGTTGTTGATCATGGCGGGTCGGTGCTGACATTACGCCGGGCCATTTTGCGCTCGTGACAAGCTTCGACATGACTTCGAGATTTCTATCCATCATCGCAGCGCAGCATTTGTCGTGCAACGTCTATCGTGCAGAATCTTTGCATCTGGGTGTAGTAAGCACTATCTAGCATTTTTGTTTTGGAAGAGACCACTCTGGTCTGTCCCACTAACTCATCTTGGTATGCGCATTCCGTAGGTCCCGGACAGATGATTATGAGTTGTGTAACCGGGGAACTCGTAGGGCTTACTTAGACTAGAAAGCTGCTGTGGAATTGGCTGTCCGATGCGAAGGTGGGTGGTCCCAAATGACCTGGAGGTCAGGTAAACCTGGGCGAAATTCCCCAAGTCAACTGGCTCTGACCCAATGGCGCGGCTTTGTATGGGAGGGTAAGATGCTGTGTCGCCGGGTAAGCCGCCTTCCGATCTGTCGACCCAGCCCCCAATAAATTAATTAATGACTGTCTTGCGGCCTTCTTCCAGCTCTAGGCGGGGCGACCAAACAAATCGAGAAGCGAGAGACACGGCAGAAGGGAGGTGGAAGATGTCATGCAGAATATGTGAGTTGCTGGGCGAAGTACGAAAGCACGGTAATGAATGTTTCCGACCGTTTTTGGTATGCAGCCCTCCCGCGGTGGTGTAAGTAGTCCAGGTAGTGTAGTAATTATGTATGTAGTGACCTGTCGTCGGCCAATCTACCTCCCTTGAATTAATTTGCGTCGCTCGGTGTCCACGCATCTTGAAGCATGGAAGGCCACACTGACAGAGCCAACAGATCAGTGTTCGTAAACAATTTTGTTGGTTTGGTGTGGTAAGATATTCGGGGGCCGTCCCTGAGTGGATCGTCTTGTTTAGCTCCCGTCGCCGTTAACATTAGCGGCCTTGGGGCGCATTACGGAGACTTGTCCGAGTCTCGAGGATTGGTTGATTCGCCGAGGCTGCGGCACAGGCGCTCCAAATCCGATGAATCGATCACAAAAGAGCGAGAAAGAGAATGATCCCCTTGCCCTGGCTCGGCCTAGCCGCACAACTCCCGAAAGGATCGATTTCGAGGTAAAGACAGGCGTAACGATTCATACGAACATAGGTACCTAAGGTACTGGAATCAACCATCAAGACAAATGGCAAAATCACAAGAACGTAGAGTCACGTAGTTGAAGATCGTGCTTTTGGTACACATCTGAGATTCCGAGATACTTGTAGCATTCGCGTACAGATTTCTCCCAGCAACGTACACAGTGGGTGAAAGCCGAAGCCCTAGTGTCCTCGGGCCCTTCATACCCTCATACATAACATCAAATCGTTAGGTCGCCTGTCCCTTCCTCCCCCCTCATGAGCATAGCCAACAAAAGAGCCTCCCAATGTATAGTCGAACACCCCATTTCGCCCAGAATGTGCCACCCTTGTTATGAAGTACATGTATTCGTACAGAGCGCGATCCACGCAAAGAAGAAAAATGGAGAACAGAGAATGGAAAAAGGCCAGATCCTCATGATCCGTCCTGGCGTCTCCTCGACGCCTGCTTGGTATCTACCTAAAAATCGCAAGATATGTCCGATCATAAAGGGAAGAGAAAAAGAGAAAAAGAGAATTGAAAAGAGAATTGAAAAAAGCCTTCACTTGTGGAAAGCCAGGTATCTCATCATCTGCCCCAGCTGTGGGCGTGCGAGTGATCCCCTGCGGCAATAGCTTCTCGGGGCCGCATCGAGGGCGCCATAGAGCCGAGAACGCTGGTGCTGCAGAGAGGGGGGATGGCCATGGGTGGCAGGCCACCAGGGGGCGGAATCATGTGCCCCAAGGGGCCCATCGGGCGCGCCCCGGGGTGCATGCTGTCGTAGCTCTCGGCTCGGAGATCCAGAGTGCCAATGTCGAACCTCTTGGAGCAGCCATCTTCCATGTGCCTGTATCGCTTCTGGTTAGCCAATCGTGCTTTTGGTGACAGGTATCTGAAGGTTGGGACTCACCTCCTCAGCGTATCCTTACGCGCAAACATGCGACCGCAGTAGTCGCACTTGTGGTTGCGTTCCCTCATGTGCACGCTTTGGTGATGGCGTTGCAGGTCCGTCTTGCGCACAAACTTCTTGTTGCAGTCGTTGACTGGGCACGGGAAGGGGTACTCGCGCTTCTCGTCATGCGTCTCCATGTGCGCCTTGAAGTTGTAGCTTCGGCTGAACAGCTTGCCGCATCCCTTCACTTCGCATTGGAAGTTGGCCTCCTCCTTGGTCGTCAGCCGGCGCGGAGCCCTTCGTGGCCGCGTTATCCGGTACTGCCGCCTTGCATCGTGGAGGTACGCCGACGGCTGTGGGTAGAAGGGCTCGGGCTCAACCGGCTGGAACTCAGGCTTGTGCCACGTCGTAGACCCGCTGTCGGAGAGATAGCCGCCCGAGGTGCTGGCGTAGGCGCCGCTGTCCGAAGCGAATGAAGTCTGCACTGACCGGGGCGAAGGGTAATGCCCATCCATGCACTGGCTGTACTCGGAGCTCCCCTCCATCTTGAGCCGCGGTGTCAGCGACCCGGGAACTGAAGGAGCCGGGGTGTACGGAATCGATGTCCTGGATGGCGCCGGTGAGGACCTGGGAGCGGATCCGGTCGGCGGGGGCGTGGAGGCATGAATTGAAGGGGCGTGGCTTGCCGAGTGTGCGTGATAGACATCATGGGTGTATGAATAGTTTCCGAATGTGTCGTACTCGGAGGACAGAATGTTGGGCATACCAGACGCGGACGAGACAGGGTGGATGACCGTCGTGCTGTTCCAGTCGTGGTGGCCCATCGAGTCGAGCGGCGGGAGAGATGTCTCGTGATCCATGGGTGGTGTCACAGCGCAGGATTGGTCTCCATATATCGAAGAGAGCTTGTATTGTTGTTCTACCAAGCCAGGCGAAGGGTAGTCAAGCGAAGATCGTTCTGAAGGGCAATACGTATTCGCCGGCGATGACGGCGACCTTGTGAGGGCGGGTGGTGTGAGGTCCATTGTGGTCATGATATGCCCTGGGAGCCTGGGAGGCGCGGGGGGTTAAATGGGTGGCGGTTGGTGCGTGTACCGCGTATGTGTGTAAGATAGGGGGGCAAACAGAAGGATTATGTGCACGACGGCCGCTGACGGTGGTGACCAGGGGATCCAACCTATAGACAGCCTGTTCTGGGGTCCGATTGGTGTCCAACCACGTCAAGAAGGGTTTGGAGTAGCACGGGGGGAAGCAGGCCAGATATAGTAGAGGCCGAGATGGACACAACAGATCTTGGTTCTTGAAGCCGTTCAGATGCCGTGTTGAGCCCCGAAACTCAAAACACAAAAGGGCGACTATCCAAGTCAGAACTGAAATCACCTCGTCGGCTTGATCCGTCTGAGGCAGGCTGTGGGATCAGAAAACAGACAGGTGCGGATAACAAGGCAGACAACCAGGGTTTCTTATAAAGATTTGTAAATGGGAGATGTTTCTGCCTGGCTAATAATGGAGCAAGCCCATGTATCTTACCAGACGCATCCGTTATGAAGAGCTGGGGGCCGAAGAAGGTTGCACCTCTGTGGACTCCGAGCTTGACCGGGGAGGACGGGGTGCGCAGCAGACAACGGCGACCAGGGGGGAGGGGGAGGGTGGGAGTTGGATTCGACATGGGGCAAGATGCGGTCTCTGCTGCTACCCTGCCCAGGAACTGTGATGAGCAGGGCAAGGCTGGCGCACGCCAGCCCGATGAGGAAGGATCTGGCAGTGTAGAGCAGGCATCGGCAGCACAGACGGAGCGGTTAACGTTAGTGCGAGCTGTGTTGGGGGTTCGCGGAGGTGTGGCGGGACGAATAGAAGGCCAGGGGTGTGGGGAGGAAAGAACAGTCTCCAAGGTCGGAAAACAGTAGGATTGGCAAGATACTGTAGAGGGCTGCGCCCACGCTGGGCGCTGGATGCAGTGTATCAAGGGTGCAGGGGGTATCTAAAAGTAGGTACCTAATTCAGAGACCGGGACAGGGGAACATGTCCCGTACCCTATTGTGGTTCGAGCTGTTGGAACAGCTGCAGAGGCCATGTCCCTTCTCTCTTTTGCTCTCTCTCTCTCCCTCCCTGCTGGTTCTGGGCGAGCGAGAATTTGGTTGAACTGCTCTCTGTCTCCGACTGGGAAGCCTGCGGGGTCCAGCGACCGGGGTGCTGACCAGTCACGCCAGAGTTTAGCTGCCACATCCATGTTCTGAGCTGTTGCTGTTGGTGCAAGAGCGAAGAACCGCGAACCCGTCACTTTTGCGATTCCATTTGGGTTTAGCCCAGTTCTTGCGATATCTTGGTAACGCCGATTCCAGCAGTGGAAGCGTGAACCCGGGCCAGAACCTCCGTCTGGAGCCGTTGAGCAGCGATACTGCTCGATGACTAGCATCAAAAATCGTCAACGGAAAAAAAAAATATACCCTGGAGCTTCTCTCTTCGTGCGGCACGAATATACGTGTGGATTATGTATGTAACTCAAGTTGGGTGGTCGTCGGTGAGTTGGTGACAGACAACTGGGAGCGGGAAGCCGGGCTCCGCTCGACGCGGTTGGCTGCACCAATTCCATTCCATGGTGTCTCAACCATGATGTGCAGAAAGCCATAACATGGTGTGGGGGAGGCGAGCGCTTGCGCCTGTTGAGCTCGCCTCTGAATGGCCAAGTCGCCTGGCTTCGTTTTTCACCGTCCTTTTAGGCGCCTTTTGACTGACTGTTAACCAACTAGATGATGCCATCATCTCAACAGTTGACCATGCCTCCCGATCTGGTGGCCAAACGTAGCGGCGATATGGGGTAAGGCCGGCCCGCCAGGGGAGGGACGAAAATCTTCAGTCACATAACGTAACAAGGGACGACCTGCCATCAAGTGTGCTGAAGCAAACAAGTGCCAAGGCAATTGAGGTACTTGTCCAGTACGACCGGTGATGTTGTGTGGAATAGGAATCGGCGACCCGCTAGTGTATGGGCTCGGTCATTCTCTGCCCAGGTACGGGAGTTGGGGTACCTGGCAAGTACCCGATCAAAAGTGCTCGCTCTCATTTGGCCCCCAACCTGGAACAGGCGAAATGGGTCCATCGTGCATCGAAGGATTCTTGCGCGGTCACTCTTATTAGTTGACGCTGATACGGTGTTGATGGAACTCCTTTCCGTACCACGTTGCCAGGACGATATCCACTCCCTTTCTGTCTTTCTTTTGAGCTTCTCACCGTTGAAAATCGGCCACGTTAAGGTGTGGAATGGATACGGATAAGCACCGGGAATGGCGGCTGCAGCTTGAGATCGCTTGAGATAATGCAGAGCAGGTTTACATCGAATGTCCGATTGGCCACTGCAAGCGCACCGCAAGCCAAAGCTGTAACATTTCAGAATGTACATACGGAGTACGTATCCATACAGGAACACAGTAAAGCTACGGTACCCCAGACCGTCCAAGGCTTCAAGTTCCGGCTTTGCCTACGCTAGCTAAGTTATCCCTCAAGCGATTGCAATCTAACTTACTGTATGTACTGTACGGAAAATCATATTTACATAGAATGTATGTAACAGAGCTCCTCCTCGAGACTGGCAACTTCAATTGCGTTCTTGCCTCCTGAGCTGCACACGGGATACCCAACAACAGGAGCCTGACGCTACACAACAGAATAATCACATCGCATGCAACCCGTTCTGACAGTCCGGCTCCCTCTAGGACCTTGAGCACTCCGAGTCCTACTTACTCCGTACCAGCACTCCGACGCTATGTCAAGTGATCAGCTATCGCCACTTACCGAGATTCGCACTGTCACCCCTTTACACTGGGTCTGCTAAGTTCATTGCAGTGCTGGCTACGATAATTGCTCTGTAATTTACTGTATTTACGTCAAGCGCTCGCTTCAAGTTCTGGTCCGCCATTCCCGCACTGCCTTGGAACCGTTCCTGAACGCCCTCCCGCCGTCCAACAGCGGAGCGGGAACGCCCCCAGCGTTCCCGTTCCCGCTTGCCGGTATGTCGCCTAGTGGCGTGGATTCACATATCAACCTGGAACGCAGCGATTTGGCTTTCTTACAACATTGACAGTTTTAAAACGTCCTGTGTCCAATTTGATCGGTCTGCCTTCGAGCTTGAGAAATTTACTCGCAGATTCATGAATACCTACATATGAAGCTCTGTCCTTCGGGCTTGAAGGGTCCAAGCCCCGACCTCCTGGTCCACGATGCAGTGCGCTTACGGAGCGCTCACAGCCCTGCAACAAGGTGACCCAGGCAACAAGTTTTGGGGGAATGCGAGCAGTTGGTACAAACAGTACCATCGTAAGTAGGGAGTTTGACACTCGTCAGACCCTGACAGTGGAGCTCCTGGCGGGCCGACATTAGACATTGCCAGATCGTGTCAGGCCTTGGCAGTCCCCAAAGTGGGGTACTGTCAGGGTCTGACGAGTGTCAAACTCCCTACTTACGATGGTAATTCGCTTCCCGAGTGTGGGTGCACAAAGTTGCGTCATTTCTCTCAAGTTCAAGGTATCAGTGGAACCGCTGAGAGCAACCACAGTGCTGTATCCGTACCTAGCTGACTGTATGTAACTTATCGTACAGTTCGTAGCACTACCGGATGCCTTCATGGACGATACAAATAAGCGCGGATGCCAATGCTGCACGAAGCAATTCAGTGTAATTCTCGCAAGCTGGTTCGGTCTTGGACTGGAAGACTCTCCAGATACATCCGCTCTTTCCACCTACACAGACAGTGATTATGATACAAACCTCCTGTTGCAGCGTCTCGAATCGCCTTGGAGTCCTTGCCTTGATATGGAAACGAGGCGAGTGAATTGACAGTACGAGTAACGGTACTCTAGTAGTACTGTACTGTATGTATTTACCGGTAACTTATCTCTCGTATCTAGTATCTACACAGTCTTCCATGTTCCGACAGGCAACTTGCACTGCTCAACGTTACACGAACGTACAGTAATCAGTCGGGCCTTGACCTCGCGGGATAGCCGCGATTAGCACAAGCGATCTGGCGCTGGGAGGAACCAACAGAGAGCAGGATCTACAGCTACTGAAACCTGAAACGCGGCAGTTTGGATAGGTATCCGCAGACGATTGGGACGGTGCATCCTGGACGGTATTGTACTGTTCATACAGTAGAGCTTTGGTCAAAGCTTCTCGAACTAATCAGCAAAGCTCTTCAAGTTCACACTCGCTGTGGAACTGAAGTGGTACGGACCGCATTCAAGTATTGTGTATATTGGGTCCGGCGAGGAGGATGGCCAAAAACGAAATGGCCACTTCTCGGGCCAGCTTGCAATACTAACTCCTGTCGGGTCTAGTGTACCTGCCCGGTGTAGGTAAGGTAGTGGAGAGGCAGAGAGGCTCTCTTAGTTGGGGACGGGTTCTTAGCTGGATTCCAAAAACCGGCAACCTCTATGCAAGACATCCATCTTGAAACATTTGGAATCCTGCAAGCCACTTGGTGACTGCCTCGAGAACGAACAAGCCACCCAACTCCTCCCATCGCAACCGCTCGCATGAACATCACGGGTATTGTACCTGGGAACCGGCTGCTGGAAAGATCATCTCGTGGCTGGGCACCTAACAAGCAACTTTTCATTATCTCGAAACACTAACACTACGCCCAACGAGATATTACATGTGACCGATGATGAGGGCGGGTATTCCTGTGGATTGCATGATCCACCCGGAGCGAGCTGTGGCCCGGAGGTATTACTGTACAGTACATACCTCCGTAGTCCATACAGGCAGGCCGTTGCTGGTCGCAGCTAGGTGCGCGGCTGTACAATACGCCTAAGCTTGCCTTTGTGCAGTCTGTGTTGTTGCTTGAAACTACCCGACCTTACTTCAAATACCTGTATTGTATCCGTACAGCCGAGCCTTGTGAAGATCTGAGATCCTTGGACTCCACTCTGATCGCCGCGAGCTGGCGCCCCCGCTTCCCCAGCTTTGGCGCATCAGTGCACTGGCGATGGCCCACAGCTCTGCAATCGCCTCTATCGTCCGGCTGTATCATGTCAGGGGCCGTCTCGGGGCACCACAAGGACGGGAGGCTGAAGGGCTTTTTTTTTTTCTGCACGCGAAACAAGCAGCAAGGAATGGTCTTGGTACCCTCGCAATATCTGGTGTATATACATATATACAAGTACATACAGTACAGTACCTGCGTCTTGCTGCGCCTCAGCACCTTAAATCCTCCGAATGTTGCGGGAACCTGGAATCCATCAGATCTGGCAGGCATGGGGGCCAGGAACGGTGAATACCCTAACCTAATTCCGAGATTGATCATCACCTTGTAGGGTGTAGATGTAACTGGACAGGTAGGATAACTCACCTTACAAAGTAGGCCAAGCGCTTCTGCAGCGCATATGATAGTTACAATGTTCTAGTCTAGGGGCCCCGTTCGATCAGGCCACAGAAACCCACAGACAATTGGAGCGATGCAACAGTGTCAATTGCCCCAGGGTTCAAAATGCCCCGTTTTGTCCAAAATTCCAATTCCACCTCTCCACTGCCTGCAAAGCGACTCCAGTGTTCAACTGCTGGACGAACACGTGCAACGATTGCGCATTCGCGTTTTCGTCAGGACTCAAGGGGCTGCAGCGAGGCTAGCATTGCCCGCGAAGCTCTCAGATTTCGACATTGGATTGACTCCCGTGTGTTTCTCAGCCTGTTTCTTTAACAAATCTGTAAAGTCACGGTTAGATAGTTTTACGACGTTAACTACCTAGTTACAGTAGGGCCAATCATAGCTGGAAGTCTGCAACGCGACCAATTTCCCAAGAGAACAGATTCTGACCCCCCTTCCAAAGAAAAGCAGCTCAATTGGGCAAACGAGCTCCGTTACAATAACCTGGTAGCGTAGCTGATGTTAGTAAGGCGAGCTGAGGTCAGCACTACCAATTTGCGATGGAGACTTGGTCTTACAACTTCTAGTCTGACGTCCTAGTGTTGCTACGGGATATTCGGATGGGACCACAGATCTTTACAGACGTTGCCGGTCAGCAACGACTTGCTCTCCAATCCCTTCCTCCCAGAGTCATTCGTCACACATGTACATACAGTACATACACTAGTGTAGCCCCCTTTGAGACAGGCTAACGGCTCTCAACTCCTCGCCTCTCCCCTGCGGGTCTTGCCGGAAAGAACCGAGGAGGATGTGATGATATTCCTTCCTGTCGGTCACCATGACTGTAAGTATTTCGCTACACGTGCCTCTTGGCAACTGACATCCATGGAGAGGGCCTAGCAAAATGGGCCACCAACTGGCTGGGATAATTATGTTAACTCCGATGATGCTCTTGCCCGCTGCAGCCTCCTCTGATGCCACGTTGGGGTCGGCCAATATGCAGTGCTACTCACCCTTGATAGCGGAAAGGGTAAGTCATGTATCTAGGTATTTTACCCTCTTCGAATTGGTGCCACAGCCACACTACAAGCAACCAACCGAGCGTGGAGCGCACCCGCAGCATCTCATCATCGGCCGCTGTTCATGATCGTCCGCAAGCATCGAACTGCAGCACAACTGCATCATTCACTCCACTGTTATCCAAGTAGAACCTGGTATCGTAGTTAGGCAGCTCTCTTTCCTATGTATGTACCTAGTTGGGGTGTATCTTACCGCTTCATTGGACAAATGGGATGTGTGCTGAGAAATGAAAGTGGGGAGTGACAGGGCCAAGTTGGTCTCGGTCTCATGGGTCTGTCTTGTGAGCCGAAATTTGCCCAAATATATCTTGAACGCTGATTGGAGGGCGGCTATTTCGTCTGATCTCTTCAGCTAAGCGACAGTACCTTCGTACCCCGTCCCTTAATGCCCACCACAGGTCTGCCACACTGCTATTTCTGCGTTTGTGCATGATGAACTGCTGCGAGGGCAGTGTGGCTGACAACTTCAATTCTGAAACGAAACCAACCCAGTGTCGTCGCACAAATAGATTTAGCTTCGTCTTCAGCGCGCTGCAAGTTAAGCTTCAGATACTAGTTGAATTTGTGTGGAATGAAATCAAGGTGTGGACCATGTGACGATTGTTGCGCCTAACATCGTACCCCTAGTACCCCTAGTATTCCTAAGTGTATGTAGGACAACTGGTGGAGGAGTGTTTCTCTTTTGTGCATTCGTTATCTAATCGACATTACACATACGGTGCTTAGAGAAGAACCACCTTCCCAAGTTAGATGATCGCATTGGGAGAACTCTAGGCTTGCTGGAGACTGCTCCCCGCCAAGTGAACAACATCAGGAGCCGACGACACGTTCTCGGAATCTATTGTACAAGTACCAGCACGACTATGCAACCACGGACTAATATTACGGAAGAATCAGCCATAGCCTAATGATTACTTATTGACCTCAGTACATAGCATCTTGTTACGCTCACTCAGGTTCGCTGAGGATTTGCAGTTCAGCCGATGAACCCGAAGCCTCACTACCACTCTCATCGTAGTTCAGATGCCTCAATTCGGGGTTTGGGGGGTCAGGGACTTTCAGCCCCCAAAGCAACTCATCTGCTACGGAGTCTTGCCAACCATAGCATAGCGCGAATTACAGACCTCGGTCAGCGATCAACATGAGCTCTTGTAGAGATGAAAATCTCCTTTCTATTTTTGAAAACACTCTGCTCCCGAATTCAACGGAGATACATACCAACTTGTTAACGTCAGAAAATTTACGAATACATAGGTATAATAATGAATCTGGTGTTTCAGAAAGCACTGCCCATCATGTTATTATTAATCTGGCTGCCTAGGGCTGCCCAATGGTTCGAGGACTCTGGACCCATAGTAAAGCGCAAGGGTGGGCAGTGGGCACTTCTGCCAGGGACAAGGTCTTTGCCGGCGGCGGAGTCCCGTCGGCATCGAGAGGAGCCCTGCCCGCCCTGCTCCGATCCGTGCTTGGCAGAGCGATGCGGTTCCTTGGATCCGATCGAACTTGCACCAATCAGCGAGCTGCTTCCCCGCACCTGACTTTCCTCCCTGCCTGCCGAAAATCTGTGGCTTGAAAGCGCCGCCAGCGGTTGTTGCCAGTGGCTGCAGAAGCCAGGACAGGGTGATTGACCAATAGGAAAGCTGCAGGGGCCAGTGTGATATCTTGCGCGAGGAAGGCTGACAAGCTGTCGTTGATGGCAGTTCCCGTCGCTCAGGTGCGGGATACGCCTGCCAGGACCCTATGCGGGCGGGAAGGGCCCAATTCCATGCGCACTCCCGCTGCCCTCACCGTTCACTCTGAAGATACTATAGCCCACTGTCCATATCTCGAAGCGTCGGATCCAGAGGCGCACTAGCAGGACCGTTGATGATCGGCTTTCCCGTAGTGCGTCGTAGTGGGAGTATGACCCTGTCAATTCCCATGCGTGATTCCAATATACAGGTGGGGAACGACGAAATCTTGGTTACCGCGATGTTCACCCCATGATCTCCATGTCCTCCTAGTGGCAGGGCGGCGGGGCAACCGGCAACGTGACAACGTGAATTCTTGCGTGGGAGACAGGCTCAAGACAGGTAAGGCGGGGTTCAACAGTGGCAGCCAAGGATCATCGCGTCTCGTCTCCTCCGAGCCACACCCCTGCTTCAACTGTCGTTTGGAATATCCTTCTCGAAAGCTTCCATGCATGCTCTTGTGCCGCTGGCTTGCTGGTTACATTCAGTGTAACCTCGCCGGCTATGATAACACCGACTGGCCTGTCAGAGTCTCCTTCCAATGTGGTCAGCGATGAAATGGGCACACCACCACATTCGGCGACTTAAGGTTGCATGCCAATGCAAGCCAGCGGCGGTCAATACAGATGAAGCATGGTGGGGTGGGAGGCAGAGGGGGCTGAAAGTTCGGATCTCCAACCTCGTCAGGAACCGCACACAGTTGGCCTCTTTTGAAACATCCCATCAAAAGAAACCGCCGATAATCGCTGCAGGAACAGTCAGATATCGTCATACACTAGATAGAAGTAATAACTTAATCGGTGCTAAAAACAACTTTGCGATAACAAGAGAACGCTTCACTCCCGTAGTCGTCTTTGATGTGGCTGGCCTTTGCTTCATCATGCAGGTGGTAGGGTTACAGGAAGCGATAGTCGTCTATCGGTATGTCAAAACAGTACAGACACACAGACTTGGCTGTCAGCGTGCTTGTATGGGGGCCAAGCCCGCGCGGTCGGAATTCGGACGCCTCGAGCGGCGTCCACCCCACGTGGGAATCGCTGCGGGGACCAGGAGCGCTGGCGGCGCAACGGGCACAGGACCCGTCGACATCAGTCCGACTCCCCCACGACAAACGGGGCACGGTGGGCAAGAAGGTCGGGCCTTCGCCGGCAGCCGGGCGTCCCGTCCTTTCATCGGACGCGGCGCTGCCCCCGGGCAAACAAGAACGGCCGGCCGGCCGGCCAAGAGCGCAGGCGGCGGGGCGGGACAACCTGGAACCAGGAGGCCGCGAAATTGGGACCAAGTTACCCCAGAGCGGGAGAACATTATAGAAGCGTTCCATGGCAGAAGCGAGACAGCTGCACTGCTTTTCACCAATGTCAGTGTTGCATCGAACCATTCAGCCGTGGGAAGCATACCACAGACTATACCGGTACGCTAACTACGCCGAGAAGTTGGGAAATGGGGATTGGTTGACAGGGACGCGGCCATGATTGGAATATGCCCGCCTCACCAACCGCGTGCTGTAGCGCGTACTGCATATCTCATTCCATTTGCAGCTGTCGCGGGCGGAATGCGAGACACTGTGAAGTTAAGTAGAATTGTTTCAATTAAACAAGGTTCAGTTCAGTTTGCTGGCTGTTCTCGCATGAAGGGGCATTTCCCGTCTTCCGCGTCCCATGGTTCCTGTGCCCGAGAGCAACGGTTGAGCCATTTGTCAAGGGTATTTCGCATGAGCATTCCGCCAGAAGCAAAGGTAAGATATCCCATGGATTGGGATCCGGCCAAGGTGTACGGGGTACAGCGGCAATTGCCCCGATTTGTTCTCGCGCTTGCCAAAAGCGACACCTTTCGGTGTGCACGCACACCTAAGCACTGACGTCGGCCAGGCAGCAAGCCACGTGACCCGCTTTCTGGAATCTCGAACATTTGACAATGACACTGTCTGCGGTGATTGCACCAGGCGACAAAACGGTACGGAGTAGAAGAACGTTTATCCAGGCTGGGTATGATGGTGATAGGCGACTATCGTGTACGAGAATCGCAACAACCGTGTCGCTGATTCAGGTTCAAGTTCCGACCTTTTCACGGCAGCTGCAATCGCAACCACCGGGCCCAGCAGAGAACAAGCTCCGAAGGAAACACCTGGCAGCAGATTGAGCTTCGCCATTGAAATTTCTTTTCGTACCTAGTTTGTTCACGAAATAGTCACATCGTCAAAATGGAGTTCAATATTGAGTAAGCTGGCCATTCCACAATCCAACCTGCACCGAGTAGTTGCTAAACAAGATGGAATTAGCGATCTTCCTGTTCTCTTCCCATATCCTCGTATCTATCCAGGCACGTCGTCTACCAATGTTGGGTCATGTCCTCAGCTCTGCCAATCTTACTAACGCGTCATTAGAGCAATATGCGTGTGTCAAACCAGCCATGCCCCTGTTGCAGCGTCTTTTACGGTTGCTGACTGCTACTCCTCAGCTACATGGTGGACCTGAAGAGTGAGCCTCCGAACGGACCAGAGACAGTTGCTCTTGTCCTTATCCATTGCTAATCTGCTTTAGAGACCCTCGATGCCGGCGGGAACTGCGTGCTGGAGATGCCCTCGGGCACAGGGAAAACCGTCACGCTGTTATCCCTGATCGTGGCCTATCAGCAGTTCTACCCAACACACCGAAAGCTCATTTACTGCTCCCGTATGTCATTTATCCTGGCCTAACCGGGCCTTGCATGGCTGATCGTCTGTTCAGGGACAATGTCCGAGATCGAAAAGGCTCTGGTTGAACTGAGGGCTCTCATGAAGTTTCGCGCAGAACGGCTCGGATACGAAGAGGAATTTAGAGGCCTCGGGCTGACTAGCCGAAAGAATCTGTGCCTGCATCCGTCTGTAAAGCGTGAAAAGAGTGGGACGATCGTCGACGCACGCTGCCGCAGTCTAACGGCTGGCTTCATCAAGGAAAAGAAGGAGAAGGGTGAAGATGTGGAAGTCTGCGTCTACCACGACGTGCGTGTTCCACTTCTGGTCTCGACTCATGCGCTAATATGGCTTTGTAGAACCTCGACCTTCTTGAACCTCACAATCTGATCCCTAATGGCGTCTGGACTTTCGACGGCATTTTGCGATATGGCGAACAACACAAGCAGTGCCCATATTTCACCGCCCGTCGGATGGTGTGTATCTTTCCCACATCCCAATTCTGGGAAGTCGTCACTGACCTCTCGCACAGATGCAATATTGCAACGTCATTATCTACTCGTACCACTATCTTCTGGATCCCAAGATCGCGGAGCGTGTCTCCAAGGATCTGCCTAAGGACAGCATCGTTGTATTTGACGAAGCTCACAATATTGACAATGTCTGCATTGAAGCCCTGAGCACGGATATCACAGAGGATTCATTGAGAAGGGCCACAAGGGGAGCCCAAAACCTCGAGAACAGAATCAACGAGATGCGCGATTCGGACCAACAAAAGCTACAGGACGAGTACGAGAAGCTCGTTGAGGGTCTCAGGGGCGCCGACGAGGGCCGCCAGGAAGATGCATTTATGGCAAACCCTAGTGAGCACTGGCCATGGTCCGCTATGTTCGGACTCACTGTTGCTGACTCTTTGACCCAAGCTCTTCCGGATGACCTACTAAAGGAAGCTGTCCCAGGCAACATCAGGAGAGCAGAACACTTTGTCACGTTCCTCAGGAGGTTCATCGAGTATCTCAAGGTAGCTTTTGCCGATACCCGCTGTTCTCTCGGCTCGTATGCTGACTGCTTCCTAGACAAGGATGAAAGTGCGGCAGGTGATATCCGAAACTCCACCTTCGTTCCTAGCCCACCTCAAGGAATACACTTTCATCGAGAAGAAGCCCCTAAGATTCTGTGCCGAGCGGTTAACGTCGTTGGTGAGGACCCTTGAGCTTACCAATATTGAGGATTACCAGCCGCTACAAGAGGTCGCCACCTTTGCAACCCTTGTAGCCACATACGAGAAGGGATTTCTTTTGATTCTTGAGCCATACGAGTCGGACACGGCCGAGGTGCCGAACCCAGTTTTGCACTTTACCTGCTTAGATGCCGCCATTGCTATCAAGCCTGTCTTTGACCGGTTCAGCTCTGTCGTCATCACGTCTGGAACCATCTCACCGCTGGAGATGTACCCAAAAATGCTTGACTTCACAACGGTCATCCAGGAGTCGTATAGCATGACGCTGGCAAGGAGGTCCTTCTTGCCGATGATTGTAACGCGGGGAAGCGACCAGGCTTCGATATCTACAAGCTTCCAGGTCCGCAACGAGCCTAGCGTGGTCAGGAATTACGGCAACCTCTTGACAGAGTTCGCCAAGATTACCCCGGACGGAATGGTAGTGTTCTTCCCCTCGTACCTCTACATGGAGTCCATCATCAGCATGTGGCAAGGCATGGGCATCCTCGACGAGGTGTGGAAATACAAGCTTATCCTTGTCGAGACGCCCGATGCGCAAGAAACGTCTCTCGCACTCGAGACATACCGAACAGCATGCTGTAATGGACGCGGTGCCGTTCTGCTCTGCGTCGCGCGCGGCAAGGTATCAGAGGGCATCGACTTTGACCACCAGTATGGGCGCACCGTGCTCTGCATCGGCGTGCCTTTCCAGTACACAGAGTCGCGCATCCTCAAGGCGCGCCTCGAATTTCTGCGCGAGAAGTACCGTATCCGTGAGAACGATTTCCTCTCGTTCGACGCTATGCGCCACGCCGCCCAGTGCCTAGGCCGCGTTCTTCGCGGCAAAGATGACTACGGCTTGATGGTGCTCGCGGACCGGCGCTTCCAGAAGAAGCGTGCCCAGTTGCCAAAGTGGATTAATCAGGCCCTGCTCGACGTTGACTCCAATCTTAGCACCGACATGGCCGTTAGCAGCGCCCGCCGCTTCCTCAGGAGCATGGCCCAACCGTTTCGGGCTAAGGACCAGGAGGGCATCAGCACCTGGAGCATAGAGGACCTGAGGCAACACCAGGAGAAGATGGATGAAGAGAAGATTAAGGAACTTACAGAACTCCAGGCGGAACGCGATAGGGAGCAGCTAAACATGCAGGCGGTTGCCAAGACTGCGGCTCTCGTTAGACAGGACCAGGAAAGCGACTACGAGATGGATGAGGATGATGAGGCTGAGTTGATGGCGTTGGACGGCAACTGAGCACTTGCACTCATTATAGCGAACTTCTGTCCACAGGCGTTGGCCCTCTCAATTCTAGATGCTCGGACAAGAGCACAGGCTGTGTTTCGCAAAATCAGATTCAATGTTCCGAGACGAAAATGTTTGATCGCTTCCATCAGGTAATTGGTAGAGCGTAGGCACTGAGGTCTGGTTCTTCCGGGAGAAGGGGGGGGGGGTTTATACTGGTGCGAAGCAGTGAGGCCGGGGGTTGGACTTTCCTCCGTTTGTGGGCATTCAGTCGGAAGACAGCAAGAGCAAGGGAAAAGCAGCGTACCGATCAGCGTGCCATGCGCAGGCTGATTCCCCGACCCGGCCAAAAGAGTCGTCTGTCTTCGTGGACACTGCTGTCCTATCTCTTGATCGTCCCAAAGTTACCTTCAAGTTCTCCAACCACCTAATGTAATGCAGTACAGTGTGTTGCGCATGCTCAAACCCGGTAGCAGGTGCTGTTCCCAAGGGTATCTCTAACAGTGTAACCCCCATAGCCATATTCTTGAGAAGCCAACGCCGTAGACATAACAAAACAGAGAGCGCAAATAGCGCGAAAAGTTCGGTCCTCACGAGACAAACCCGCGCGCAATGGCGCGGGATAAACAAGACACCAGTCAATGCAATGCAATGCTTATGTCTTCGACGCAAACCCTAATCCAACCCGGACTAGAGAATCGTCCAAGGGGCCTTTGCATTATTAGAAGGAAATATGTCTGTACCCTCACCTGCCGCCGACGTGACCCGCAAACCGGCCCTTGACCTTGACCGCCCTCATCGAGGCAAGCGCGTGCTGTCTGCCGGGCATGCGGCCCACCTCAACACACAGAAAGCGAATCAGATCCATGTTTGTCCAGTAGCTCGTGTGCGCGCTCAGCATGTTGAGGTACTGGATCTCCAGCGGGCCGCCGCCCGACCGGAGGTAATAGTCAATCTGACCGTTGTCGTTTAGCAAAAACGCCTTCTTCTCGGCCAGCTCCTCACGAGTAAAATCGTGCACCTCGAGCTCGAGCTGCGAAGGCAGCCGCATGACGGGCGGCTTCTTGGCCGCGTCGGGATCTCCCGTGAGAGATGAACCGGGGTGCGCCGGCGCGGGCCTGACGCCGGCCATTCCCCGCACCGCATCGCCGACGGACTTGAAAAAGGAGGTGCTGATGCTGGGGACGTAGGCCGTCTTGAGGCTTGCCGCGTAGACCGGGTCAATGGTCCCGTTGAGTAGATATGCGATGGGGTCTTCCTTGGCAAGGATATTGTAGATATTGTCGACAGCGAGGCAGCCAAACATGCCCACCTCCCCGACCACGTCCTTGGCCACCGTGTCGGCCGGATCCGCGCCGGGCTTGTGGCGCCCGCGACGCGGGATTAGAGTGCCCCGCTCAAGAAGGAGGAAGAAACCTGCTGGACTGCCGAGGAGGAACAGGTTGATCGTGTTGAACTCGAAGAAGCGAGTGTCGGGGAGTGGTCGGGAGAGGTCCAGACGCTCAACCTGAGTGGGCTGCTTGGATAGGACTTCAATTGCCATGGCGCTGCCGAGAGAGTGCCCAATCAGGTGTACTCGTCCTTTCTCGGCGAAGCCTGGATTGTTCCGGCACCAGAGCCTGTACACGCGGTTCGCCTCGCCAACGAGAGCGGCTATCATTTTGGGCTTGTGGTGAGACATGTAAAAGGGGATATCGAACATGACGTCCGAGATCATACTCCTTACTGCGGGAATGGTGTTGGGCTCGATATCCTTCAATGTGAAGCCCTCGGGCGCATAGGCTGCCTTATCCTCTTCGCTTGTCGGGCCGCCGTCTTCGAAACTTAGGAGGTGGCGCCAGTTGACGGGTAAGACCATGATCCCATTCTGGTCAGGTCTAAGAACGGCCTTAATGACAGGATTCTCAAGCTCGATGTTGATAGCTCTACGAAAAGAATTAATAGCGTGCGTGAAGTGGAAGCTCTCGACGCGCTCGGCGAATTTTTGGCCAATGCCGTGGACGACCAGTATCAGGTCGGTGACTTGCCCGCGGTCTTTCTCGAGCCTGCAGCCAGGGCAATCACCTCGCTCAGCATTTTCACGCATTCCCGTCGGTGGCATAACGGTTCCAAGGCTTTTGGCTCGCTCAGCCGCCCGCTTCTCGTGGACCCGCTCCCATGCGGCTCGGTCAAACCCACGCACGACAGGTAGCCCGACAGTCAAGCCCTTCATAATCTTGGAAACGGGCTTTCTTCCATAGTATGCAGAGGGTTTCTGGCTCGGCTTTAGCAAAAATGCGGCTGAGCCATCTTTGTAGATGACATGATAATTCGAATAGCTTCTGGATTCAGGAGGAGGGAGCGCGGTGTCTTCTTCGGAGTGGACAGGTTCAAGCGTCCCTTCGGCGGCTGCTTCTCCATGGAAACACCTTGCAGCGCAGAATGGATCCGCAGATATAGGAGGCTCTGGGGCCAAGTCGTCTTTGTGCTTGGACCGCTTGTCTGTGCTAGCACCCTCCGGCCAAAGCCGATGTGACACTTTCTCTTCACCAAGCGGCCCGACGTCGAGGGCGGACCTGAGCTCGTCACGCCACGTTTCTGTCCAGGGTCGGAGTTCTCGATAACCCGCCTCCAACTGGTTCGCAACCAAGGGCTCTACAGGCACCATGGTATCCCTATAGAACCACGTAGCTCTCAGCACCGTAGCAATGTCATTCACCGGCGACCAGTAGATTGGCTTCATCTGAAGCACAGGCAGCGAGACCATATGCAACCTCGAGATACCCACAGGCACCTCAACCGAGTCCTCCAGCCGGTCAACGGCAGCTCGCGCAGATGCCCGACTGTCAGCTCTAGCCCTTGCTTTCAACCCAGCCCTCGGTCCTTTGTCGTCTGGGGTAGCGACCCCAGACGATCTATTTGACCTGGGCGAGGGCTCGACCCTCACGAAAGGCTTTCCGGATATCCCATCATCCAGGATTGGTGGTCTCGCTGCCATGGAACCCCCCACGGGTAGACTCGAGGCCAAACCCATGGCACCCCCGTCACCAGCAGAAGCCGCAGACGATTTGGAGCCCAAACTCACCGCAACTTGCATCGGGCCTGTCCCCGCAGACGAAGGCAACTGCGACGGTAGGGCCATCCCACCCGCGGATCCAGGACGCGCGGCCGCGGCAGTATTCCCCTCGGCTTCGAGTCTCAGCCTGGCTAACTGCGCCATGACCCCCTCCAGCACACGGTCCTGATCCAACCCCTGCTGCCTTCTCCTGGTAACGGCACAAAACGCCCTCCTCAGCTCAGCAGAGGCATCCATCGGCAGCTCGGGACAACAAACCGGCACCTCGACCGCCCCATCACCGCCAACCCCATCAAACCGCACAACACCGGGCTCCTCCCTCCCGCCATCCAGACCCCGCCCACCCCGGGTGGTAGCACCCACCTGCTCCCCCTCACGGTCATGTTTCTCCCAATGCTTCTTAGCGAGCAGTGCGACGATAGCGGCAAGCCTCTCGGCGTTTTCGCGCGACAGCGTGGGGCTGGGACTGCGATTATTGTTGCGGGCGGTGGCGCGGGCGTGGTTGCGCCTGTCACGGTCCGAGGCCAGGCCGAGCCAGGCCTTTTCCAGCGCGTTGTTGTCGGCCGCCGAGAATGGCCGGAGCGGCAGCTTGGAGGAGGGCCTGGGGTGGTCGCCTCCCCCTCCGCCGGCGCCGGCAATGGTTGCTGCCGAGAACGGGTCGTCAATGGGCATCGCCGACGCATAAAAGAATTGCGCGCGGATCGGCGGGATTCCTTCTAGCCCCTCTACCGGCGCGGGTGCGGACACCGGGGCCAGCCGGCAGGCGGGCGTTTGGAACGTGTGCTGAGCTTCTGCCGCGGATAGGGAGGACATGGTGCCGGTTTATTGGATGGTTGAGGTCTTTGGAGGTGGAGGAGAGGGATCAAGATGGGGCCAGAGGCGTGTAGTATGTCGGAAGAGGGAGAGGTCGTGGTTTGCCTATTATTGACCGACTGTTGACGAGAGAGATGGTTGGCTGGGATCCAAGATTCGGACACATGGAACGCCGTTTGTTTGCTTTAGAGGTTGGTTTACGGCGCGGCATAGGGACTGTCTGGGACGGTGAGATCCATCTGATGACACCAAGAAAGGGGGCGAACTATGTAAGACAGATTGGGAGGTTTGAAAGGGAACAAGCTGTCTTAATTAAAGTAAAGATACATGTGAGCTTCGCCGCCTTTTTGGGCTGATGACGTGGTTCGCTGACCCTGGCAGCAGATGCCCGCCTGCCGCTGCAGGCACTGCCAGGCAGTCAACTGCCAGCGGCCAGCCCTGTTTCTTGCCTCTTGTCCTGCGATTTCATTGGCTGATACGGGTTTTAACGTTGAGTGACGCGCTAGACCGTCTCAATCGATAGCGCCGAATAGCGCATTCAACTTACCGTCAACATGGTGGGACACGCAGTAAAGGGCAAAGGAGTCAAGGACACCAGGACATCCAGGTATTGTCGTCCACATATGGAATGGCACACATTTGTTGTTCCAAAGCTGGAAGCGAGTTGAAACAGCCATCGGACCATCGAATTGCAGAATATGAGGCGGATTGTGCCTTGCGCGTCGCTACGCTGCCTTTCGTACTGAAGTTCAAGCAACGATGTTAAACCATAATCTTTGTCATGATAGTAATGCTGCATTTTTATTGTGTCTCACCGGAGTATCCGACCACCTCCCTCAAAATTGTGACTGGCATCGACGAACATGCCAGTTCCAGACTTTTGCACCTTAGGAAAGGGCTCCTGCGCAAACAAAACTATAGCGAGCCAGTCCAGGAATAGACAATGAAGCAAACCGAACGGGTATCTGCAACGGTGCAAAGGATGAACGCCTGCCTTGGCAACCTGACCTTCATGTCACCCGCCATAATGCAATTCGATCGCCATCCCATCTCTCAAGACCAGAAATCCCCAAGAAATGCCCTCTATTCCGTTCGATCCCATCCCAAATCAACCCTTATTTCTATCAAGATGGCTTCTTTAACGACTTCAGCAGCGGCGCGATCCGTGACCTTTTGCTAAGCCCTACGCGATATTGCACTTTAAGTTGTAGCTTCTGGTTGGGATCCTGTTTCGGCGCCTTCTCTTTGCCCTTGTCTTTAGTGTCTGAAGCCATCTTGGCCATCTTGACTGTCTCGACGTCGGGAGTAGCCGCTGCTGGCCCGTTCTCCTTACCGTCGCCGTCGCCACCCTCGCTCTTGACATTATGGGGTTGTGAACCTGACTGCGAGTTGTGGGGTAGTTCGGATAATGCCCGTGCCTCTGCTAAAGGCTCTGGTTCTGGCTGAGTAGGTACCGATGGCGCTTGATTAGATGTCTCGGCCTTGCGCGGGCGACCGCGCCTTCGCTTCTCTGATGGCTCTGGTTGCTCAATAGCAGGTTCGGGGATGTTTCCCCCCAGCGAACTCGGATCGCCAATCTCAGGGGTAGAATCCCTGGGTTTGATATCCTTCTTTTTGCGGCCCCTTTTCTTTTGCGTCGGGGGAGGTGGAGGTGCTGAGTCAAGATTGGGCGGCTCAACCACCGGTGTATATGCCTGATCGTTTGACTCAATGTCTTGCTTCTCAACAGTAGCATGCCCGGCCTCTTTTCCATGGAGTAGCGAGTCATCAGTCCCCCCGATGCCCTCCAACGGATCCTTTTCCTGCAAGTCATCTGCTGATTGGGTAATCTTCCTTTTCTTGGACTTGCGTGCAGAGACGGGCGGGTCACATTCGGAGAAGCCTGCCGAAGACGCAACCTTCGCCCGACTCCTCTTGGTCCTGGTGGCCTTGAGGGCGGACATATCTGTCAACACATCTGGCGAAGATTGCTGTCACATGAATTAGCAGGCGTCGCCGATAAGAATGCGGGGAGCTGAGCGAACCTGAATGTTAGCCTCTTGAACCGAGAGTGCCGTGGCGGCAACATCATCACCAAACATATCTGTCGAAGCCAGCCTAGACGAAACGACACGGCTAGGAGTCGGATAAGCAATTGTCGTAGCGCCGCTGGATTTGTGTATCTCTCCCACCACGAACTGCTGGGTGGGCAATGACTGCTCAACAGTATCTGGCTGAGCGTCAGATGACTGACTGACCATCCGATACTCCTGCTTCTGGCTCGCCGTGAGGGCACTTTGAGCGATATATAGCGATGTGTTGGCACCGAGCATGTTTGAGTCAAGACTAGCGTCATCATCCCTTCCTCGTCTTCTCAGTGTCCGTCTGCTGGAGCCTTCGGCCTCGCCCGTGGGCACCAGCAACACGGGACTAGCGGAGCTGGGGGGTGTGCCACGTTTTGCCTTTTTTCTGGCTCGCGGCGTCGCATCTGGGAAGGAATATGGATCCTCGGTAGACGGCATGTCAGATGTTGCTACCGGTTGGGGACTGGACTGCTGCCCCCCGCTCTTCCGCTTCCCGTATGTCCTCGTATTTCTTTGCGACGCGGCTGAGCTTGGCAAGTTCCACACATCGCTGGCCCCGCTGGCAGCTTCTTTTCGTGGCGTCACCATGTCCGTCAGATCGATCAGCTCCGGCTGTTGGACTTCTCTGGACCTCTTCGACCTCCGAGTTGGCGGCACCGGATCCGTGACAGGGGTGAGCGACGAAATGTCACTCGGCCGTGGCTTCTGTCCAGGTGGTGGAGCTGAGGACACGTCAGTCCATGCAGAGCCAGAGGCTCCGAGGCGAGTTGTGTCGTGAACTAGATCCTGTCCATCGGCAGCGGCTTGCTGCTGGTCGTAAATTTGCTGAAAAAAGGACAGATCCGTTGAGTCGCCACTGACATTGTGCGACGCGTTGAGCGTGTTTTGGGCTTCATCGCGGGGTATTTCGTGGTTTGCACCTGCCTCTGCAGGTTCTTCAATAGGGTTATCACCAAAGTCGCTGCCATCGTCCTCTGAGTCCAGTATTTCCCGCCGAGGGGCCATCATCAAGGTATCCTCATCGACTGATTGTGTACGTGCGATGGCAGTTGTTGGCACTGGTTTGTGGACGGAGTCGCGATATCGGCAGCTGCCAGTAATTGATTGACGCGGTGTCACGAGTTGCCAAGACATTTGGGGCCACCATTTCTTGGCACCTCCTGTGAGTGACGACAAAAACAAATCGACATCTTGATTGTCTACAGTAACCAACGTTCTTCCAGGGAATAACAATAGCGGGTGGAATAGTATAAGGGTTGATGATCAGCACTTGTACCGTAAGAGGAAGAAATAGGAGAATTCATCCAGAGTAGAGTGATGGTTGTATCTGTGAAACACAAGAGTGAAAAAAGACACTGACCAAGGAATTGGGTAAAAACTCGCGGTGGGAGCCTGGGAGGTATATAGGTTAGTTTATGTGAGCAGGTCTTCAACAGGAACCACTACACTTTCAATGGCGTTGTGGTGTAGCGGTTCCAGCGCAGGGTTGAGAAAATATCTGGACGGCCTCTGGTCGACGGGTGTTACAGTCCCAGACTGCTGTCTAGGCTCATACCCTCTTTTTGGCCTTCAGGTTCGATTCTTAGATTAGCCGTACCTTTTTGGTTCCTTCTTGTACAGTACATATCCAGTATCGGAACCTGACTGTGAAATCAGAGCACAATCTTCTCTCCCAGCAAGCGTACCCTCCGGTTTTATTCAATCTCCTCTATCCTCGGCCCTAGCCTAGAATCACTAGGTGGAGCAGCTGATCTCTCCGGATTCACCTCCAACCCGGCCAGCTTCTTCAGGCCCCCACCACCAACACCAGCCAATATTCCCTGGCCGCCGGAGTCGTCTTCCTCAGGCAGCAGCCTCACGAGCTGCCAATTCTCCAGACTCTCCACTACATCCTTCGCATGCTGCACCACCAGTCCATCCTCATCCGTCGCCGCCACGTATCTCAGCGTCCTCATCACGTCCTCCTGCGCCCCCTTGCCGAATCCGATCCCCAGCTTCCGCCCGCTCTTCCTCGCCACGTCCAGCGCCCTCACAAAGCTCATAACAAACACCACCGCGGCCCGCCTCAGGATCCCCTTCTCGGGCTCTCTCTCCAACTGCAGCACAGCCATGCAAAGATCCACCCCGGCCGTGACGAGCGACTGGCCCAGCCCAGCAATGTTGCTCTCGAGGGCGGCGCCGAGGACGGACAGCGCTGAGGCGCGGATCCTGATGTCCTCGCTGGCACGCTTGCTCTCCCAGCCCTCGACGATACGCTCGAGCAGCTCATTCCTTGCCTTTTCCTCAGGGGAGACGGGGTCGCTGAAATCGGGCACCTTGCCGCCCCAGACCTCGTCGGCCTCACGGTTCTTGCGCTCCTGTGCCCTGGCCTCCCTGGCCTGTCTCGCCTCCGTCTTGGGCCGCCGCCCCCGCCGGCCCGCCACCGCCAGCAACGCGTTGCCGACCTGGGTGGCGACTGCGTCCGTAAATGTCTCTCCAAGCCGTTCAATCACCTGCAACAGGGCCTCCCCGAACCGCAGGCGCGCGTCGACCGAGTGCGTTTCTTTCGCGTCGACAAAGTGGTCGACTAGTTCGTTGGTCACCGCGCGCGGGTGCTTGTTGCAAAGCAGCGTGTACAGCTTGATGACGCGCAGGTAGATGTACTCATCGCTGTCGGCGATCTGGGATGAGAGGAGCACCAAGATGCCGGGGATGTCAAGGATGGGGCTCTGCGAGGTAATCAGGGTTCCTATGAGGTTGAGGCCTTCGGACCGGACGGGGGGAGGGGAGTCGGGTTGGGAGATGTAAGAGATGGCGAGGTTGTACGTTTTGCGGTCTTCGATTTGGCGGTCGGTGGGTGCGCTTGTGGCGTCCGATGGTGCGTCGACCTCATCGCGGTATCGCAAAAGGAGGCGTAGATTGTTTGCTGTTTGGGAGAGGTTGTTGTCGGTTCCCCCCTTGCCTAACTTGTCTAGGGATGACTCGATAACGGTGAGGACTTCCGGGGGAACTCTTGCCTTCTGGAAGCCTGGGGTTGTGATAATCATGTTTAGAAGACTCAGCGCGACACCAGGAACCTCGTCATCCTCCTCGGGGTTGTCTCCTGCGTGAGCCAGGATCTGGCTGACTAGATCAAGGATGCGCTTCGGTTGGGTGGCGAGCTTTTCTGGGAACTTCTCCATCATTGCCTGGAGGGTCTTGATCTCAACTAACTGGGCTAGAGGGTCCTCTGTGTCTTCCTGAAGCTTGACAAAAATGTCCCTCCTCTTGAGATTCTGAGATGACTTTAGCCACCTTTTAAGGAGCTCCAGGAACGAAGTGGAAATATCGGCGTCGGAAAGCGTCGATGTGATGAGATCTAATAACTTGGAGATCTTTCCATCGACATCATCCAACCTGATCTGAGGAGCTGTTTGGCTAACATTCCCCATAGACTGCCTCACATCCACAATCTCGATGTGACCCTGTCCCGTTGTCTTGTAGATCCACTCAGGACTACCCTTGTCATAGCCGCCAATGTAGCTCAGATTTTTGACGAAGAACAACACGATGTCAGCAGATGACGCTAATTTGAGATAGATTTTCAAAAGTTCCAGCGCCGGGGTACAGATATTCTCTTGGGTAGACGGCTGGGCATCGTGCCATGATGAAAGAGCCCAGAGTGGGAGGAGCACGGGAGAGAGCAGCCGCTTGCACAGCCCTGGGTTTGGGTGAGAGGCAGTTAATGACCGCAGTCGACGAAGTGCTATAGCCAACTCGTCGTTACGGACGACCACCTTGTCGCTCGTCAGGTCGATTACACCGTCCAACTTTGCATCTACTTCATCCAGAAAGCCAGGGAAAGGCTTGATGCGGGTCAGCAGCGGCTCTGCTAAGAATTTCCACCCAGCGGTACCTTGATGAGGTGTTAATAATGCTGAGCAACTAGGTATAGAGTAGGGATACCGCACCAGGAGCTCCCGACGCCTTCCGACCCAAGACGCCAAATCCGATGACATACGAGGCGGCTTTCATTAGTTCCAATCCTTCACCTCCATCAAGCAGAGTGAAAAGCTGCGGTGAGATTGCTGAGTACCATGTCTCGGGTTCCACTGAAGCCGGTGGCACGGAGAGCAGGTTGCTGGCAATATTGAGGGATTCGTGAGTAATGTTTGCCCCCCTCTTCTGTGGCACTGCTGCCTCAGATACCTTGACGGTGCTGGAGGGGTGGACGGCGAAGACAAACTCAAGCGTTGCCCGCACGCCGTCTGGGCGGAGAGGGACAAGCGTCAGCGTTTCCATCAGCCTGGGACGTAGCCATGGCTGAACGTGGCCCGGTCTGACCAAGATGTTGAGCGCTGTCAAGAGACTAAGCGTTTTCGTCCTGCGGTACGTGTCAGACCGAGATGGCACGCGGCGGGCCGAACAGCTTGGCTTGCCTCTGGATCAGATCGTCAAACTCCGCCTTTGCCTGCACCCTTGAAGTTTCAGATGTTTCGGGATTAAACGCTTTGCCACCAAGGTCGAAAATGGATTCAATCAACCTTTGGCGGCTGTTCTTCTCGTGGGCTCCTTGCTCCATGACACTGATGCCTTGTTCTAGATAGGATACATATGTTGTAGGTCTCGTTCCCTAGCCAGGTCCAGGCAAAGAGAAGTGTGTGAGACTTGCGGGGATGGCTTCTAAATATCAAAACTTGATGTTCGCATTTTCGAGGACACCGTATCGACTTATGGGGTGCATAAATGGAGCACAAACCCCGGCCTATGACACGAACAGCAGGCTAAACTTCATTTTCCTATGTGGCCGATGTCCAGAGCGAAGAACATGCTTCAAGGGCACCGAAATGAACTAGAAAAAGGATGAAGTTTCGACTCGAGGTCTCCGACTCCCGTCTCAAAGTGGTAAATTATGGGGCGCAGATCAGGGGATTCCACTTGGGTGCACGGATCAATCAATCACGGTCGAGTGGGTCGACGCGGTCTTACGTATAAGCTTCCTCACGCGTTGCTTCCCTGTTCCCTCTGAGGCTTACTTTCCTTCCCAGACTCTCCAGCTACCCGAGCTTGCCTCAACATGTCCGATCGGAATCGTTTAGGACCGATACATATCGAACCCGGGAAACCCGCCTGAGATGCATCTTCTGTCAATAGATAATCGAGATACACAGCCCCAAACCGCAACCCTCGATGTTGACGCGCCTTCCCAGCCAACTTCTTTCGCTCGCCAGAGCACATAGCACGCACGACGCCTCCCCTACAGTTCTCCGATTCCAATTTTCCGATAGGAATGTCGTCTAGACCGCCTCACTGGAACTGGAATTGCACAGTACGTCGCAGCTTCGATCCCGTATCGGGAAACATTCAAGCTTGCCGCGGTTGGGATCACTGTCAATTTTCTTGTCTCGTGGGCAAGCCAGTCCCGCGGGGTGAATTGGTCTCGGAACTTAACCCTAAGACACCCTTTGGTTTCAAGTCTTGCGCTTATAGTCATTCGGACTGCTTTTTATGCCTTGGTCGTCGATCGAGAGGCTTGTGCCGCTGGTAAAGCGGTACAGGTTGATCGAGCGACGCATGGGGCGGACTAGCGGAACGAGCTCCAGACACCGTCATGGTGGGCGACCGTCCTTTCCTATGAGTCCACACGGTGAGCGCCTCTGGCCTGAGGCCACTCGTCAGGATTGAGGCACTGGAACCGGCACTCTGGTCAAGAGGGATCGCTCTGGCGATGTCGGCTTGACGACTGGGTTGAGTGGACACTCTCTGGCAGCCTGTCTGCTTGCATGCTCACCTCGCTGTTCCGCGGCCTCCACGCCCTGAGCAGCTCTGGAGTACGAGGGAGAGCGCAATCCTGGCTCCGCACGATCGTCCGGCCCGTTTCGCTTCTGTGCCTGCAGCTCGTCTCGCAGGAATCACGTCAGTGAGCGGGTGCTGCCGGGCTGCGCACGGAAATGTTCCAGGATGATAGCCAGCACGCCATGTTGAAATGCTCTCGGTACCCTCATAACTCCCTCATTCTCGCACTGCATGCGTGTCGAGCCACCCACGACTTCGCCGACTCCCAGGGCCGCGTTGGGGCTACATGTCCGCGCGTCACGGAAACGTGAAATCCGACCAGGCGCATTAACTCGTCCTCGTAGGCTCTGTCCTACGTTCGACGGGACGCCAAAACCCCGTGTCTGATGCTCTCTGGCACAGACACACCCTCCCTCCACTGTGCCTGAATAAGGCGCTAGTCGGAGATGACAGCGCGTTTTTTGAGGATGTTTTTGTACGTGCGGAAACGCCCTCCCTGCCCCGTTATCTTTTGGATACGAGCATGGGAGAGGAAACAAAAACAAGTCCCAGTTGGCAGTGCGGACACACGGAAAGACTTGGCTGGGAATCACGCTAGCACTTGAAGGTTGCAGTCGTGGCTGCCGATTTTGACGGGCCTTACATCGGCGACGGCGTGGCTTTCACTGAAGGGTTTGGCATCGTGGAAGCCCTTGACAGCTTGTGGGGGTCGCAGGGGTTGGAATCCGACTGGCTGTCTGTTCAGCATTGCTTCAAACTGAGTGCTTCTGACAAAGGCGGCGGGTCGAGAGGACCAGGACTGGGACCCATCTCGAGTTGGAGTCAAAGCTTCGTGCTTGTCTGGTACTGGAACTCCCTCTCCCCAGTTTGTCCGGATTCCGTTGCCCTCGGGGAGAGCTCTGCTGTTCGAGGCCGTCGAGTTGGATGAGGACGGGTCCCTCGGGGGATGGTCCTGGTTGTTCTCGCTCCAGGAATGGCGTGAGGACAACCCCTCTCTTTTCGGAGGATAAGTATCCCTGTGTTTTCATCCTGCTGCCGCGTCCGGGCTAACTCATGGAAAGAGAACGAATGATCTAGGCACCTCGTGCTCGCCGCTAGACTCAACTACTACTTACTGGTACCGGCTGCATGTTGGTATCGGTGCAAACCCGCCTGCCGTGTGTTGCGACTTGGAGTGCGATAAGCGATCCAAGGCATAGTTCCCTGGTGCCGGACCATCGCACCAACTTCAAGGCCATGACCAATCCAGGGAAGTTGAATTGTGGCCGCCGTGATGAGGACTCAAGGAGCGATAGTGACAGATCCTTGGCAGCATCGCAGTGCTGCTTTTCGTTTTTGCGGGACGCAAACTGCGTCTCTGCTTGGTAAACATCCCGCTTCCGTCGGAGGTCAACAAAACCCCGCAAATACGAATACGCTACGCACTGACAACAGAGCCACCGAGTGCGCTTTACGCAATCCAATGTTAACCGACTGGTCTCCTGCAGTCCAGCTCCGGGTTGTCCCGCACAGTGCATGAGGAGTTCGAGGGTGGCCAGGTGGAGGATATCCACCCTATCGGGTGGTGGGGGGGGCTGTTCAGATGCTTTGTCGTCTCTTGAACCCCCACCCGATCCTCCGGCCGAGTGCGCTCACTATCGACAAACCACGTGTGTGGTCCTCGCTAAGACGTTAGCGGAAAGCGCCAAGACGAACCACCGGGGAACCTAGCTGCTCCACTGCGGAAGGAAGCGCCGCCAGCACTCTTGGCAAGAAACGGTTTTGCCTGGCCAATTTCACAATCCACGTTTTTCAGACGCCCTGTTTGGAGCGCCAGATGTTTTGATGATTCTTTTCTCTTTTTCCGACCGTATCCGAACATCTAACAAATCATGGAAGTTGGTTCTTCTTCTTTTTCTTTCCAATTCCGTGCGATCCTGCCTAGAGCCCGGATGGAACCCTAATCATGTCATCTTCCGAACCTATGCCGTTTGCAGGCTTGTCATAGCATCAGCACTCCAGAACGGTCCGTGCACCGGATAAGGCCATTGTTCTTATGCTGTTGGATCATGGTCGCAATTGGATGGAGAGCCAGTGGTCTGAACGCAAGGTGATTGGTATGCCATGCGCAAAGCACGCGCTGACACACATACAGGTAACTACCTAACTGAGTGCAGTATAGGGATTAGGGAACGCGTCTGTTGACAGTTCCTGTTTTGGGACTGGATTGATTTGAATGCAGCTGGGGCATAAATGCCCAGCGCACAGTGGTCCAGGCTGTTCCACGATCCACGCTACGAACTGAGCCCGGCCGACCTCGGTTACGTCCAAGATCAAGGACGCCAATGTGAATGCAAACTACATCGTAACGTTATTATGTGCCCTGATGGAAGATTGAGTATGTAGGTTGGCGGGTTTATCGGAAATAAATGGCGTGCGCATCTCAGCGAGGCATTGAGGTGCGGGAAACCTGTTGGCTTAACGTTATGCTAGGATCGGCCGAACCAACCTGAGGCAGTCAATGGGAACTTGGCCGATGGATTTACCCTACTTGTTGTGTTCTCAGCCTGCCCCTCGCCCCCTATCATCGCCATTCTGAGCAAGCAAGTCAGTGGCCTACAGAGAATGTCAGATCATAACTCTATTTCTTGGTGCCGTGGGTAGGTATGTACATACGATCTTCGGTACTTGCTCACCCCGGCCTTTCTCCGACTGGCTCATCGTCTCTTGTACGCTATGCCATGAATCAGGGGATGGGGGCAATGGGAGGGCTGGAGGTGGTCTATAATACAGTTAACTAAGGGTTGTCTCAGGCAGGCACCTTAAAAGAGCTATAGTACCCTACAAGGTACTGTACAGGACCTCCTCGAGATTATCTTCCCGATGTTGCTGTAACTCGCAGCAGGCGGCCTCCGGAAGCGACTTGGCAAACAACCTCCGATGCGTGCGCGCTGTAAATCAACGACCTACATTAGCAGACCTGAGCGGCACAGTTCAAGTTGGTGTGTTTACTGTGTTACGCCGCAGGATATCCAACATCTGCCTTCAGACAGACAGATTACACCAGTTCATATATATCCCGCTCTCGCGCCCGGATCCCCTTCCCTGTCCTACGGGGCCGCGTAGCGTAGCCGAATCTTCTTGGACTAATCGGAAACTTGTGAACGCGACCTTGAGGATGGGACTGGAAGAGGGGCTGACTGACTGATGCCTGGGTAATCAGGTTTGGCCGCCGAGGAAGCAGTGGAACGAAGTCGTGAAACCAACATGTCGTTATTTGATTCGTAGCCTCTTAACAGACCCAATTGACAGCTGAGCTTCTATTCATCGATGGATATGCCGAGAGGGGTCTACGACTCGGAGGTGAAGACGTGAGTTCCGTGCTCCTTGTTTGAAGACATGGCGAGACGAGCCCTGCCTTCGAGTGTGCAAACCCTCGCAAGGTGCTGGCAATCGGCCTAGATATCGAGTTCTGTTGGGGTCCAGGGCCAGCACAATCGAGTGCAGATAGTAGTGTTCCTCTTTACAAAACGACCAAAACTGTATCCCGGAAAACATTGGAACCTGGACTGCCAAAATCAGCTGCTGGGACAGCAAGAATACTAGTATTAGGTGCATTGATAGGATAGCCCAGTTGAGAGTGAGAGCAATCTGATCGGCCAAAGAGTGTCAGTCCCCCCTTGGCTTCTGCAAAGGCAGGGCAAAGAGCCAGCATAGGTAGCTACATATGTCGCAGCCCCCCACGCGTGTTGCCATACAGCCAGCGCCAAACTGGCCCCCCATTACGTCCGCCAGAATCGCAGAATACCACCCCCAAGAGAGTCTACCACATGCAGAATGTTTTGATATCAATCTGACCTTCCCACCGTAAGGTTTATGTGTGCTCCTGCCACACTGTGCACCTGTCCTGTAGAATCTGCTCGGATAATCGTGGTGTTCGAAAGGAGGAGGTTGTCTTGGCCAAGAACCAAGAATTGTCGAAAGCGAAAACATATACTGTCGTCAAATATCCCAGAAGCAAGCAGTCGGACAGGATAGAAGCAGCGCTGCGTTTCACGAGTGGTAGCTTAACGTCATAGTAATGAATTGGGCGTATCCCCGCCGATCTCTCAGGGGGCAGTTCCTATTAAGTGGCATGTGCAAGCAGGAACGTCACGCCAGACATCCCGGATGCCGCCATGCCGCATCAAGATTGGGGCGTGTCGCTCATAGGTAGTTAAGGTATGGCGCCGAGGGTCACCGCGGGGATAGCCTGAGGCTGCTCCATGACCTTGTGCCGGAGGGTCCAATAAGCCCTACCGAAGCCGCCGCCGGTGGTGGCCTCATCCGCGGGGACAATCTCCATGACCGTGTACTGGAGAGTTCCGTGGAAGGCCTGGGGCACGCAGATCTCATTCATCAGGTGTTGCTGGGGATGAGGATGCCAAGGGTTTGTTGTCCCCGCCGCTGCCGCCGAGGAGGAGGCCACAGGGAATAATTCGGCCGCTTCACGGCCCAGGGCCTATGGAAGAGAGGGTCAGTGTTTTGACACTAGATATGTGGGGGTAAAAGGGGAAACAAGGTGGGGAGATGGACGTGACTTACAAGACACATTTGACATGCGTGGCCGTTGGCGTACACCCAGTTGTCGCAGTTGTACGTCCAGAAATACTTGCAGCGGTACTTGTAAAAACCACCGCTACCTGACATGGCGAAGGAATAAGGGTTGGTAGAATATCGAACTGTGATCGTTCAGGGGTTGCTGAGGTGTGGATGAGTATCCTTTCAGATGTAAAATGTGGACTGCCCGCTGACAGTCAAGCGATTTGAAAAAGGAAGTTGTTGAAGAGACCTTTTGATACTGCTGGGCAGAACAAAGGTCGATTCGTATCCAACCTCCAAGGGGTAATGAATCCACGTGTGTGTGGGCGCGTGTAAGTCGAGGAAAAAGAACAGCAGAAAAGAAAGTGGCGAGATATGTTTTATACATCACATGGGGTTGCCCTTCAAAGCATGGCATCATTCCAACTGCAGGGTGGTGCTCCGGCACCGATAAGGCCAAGCTCATAGACACATGCCGGGTGGCTGTCAAAGCCAAACCGGGTATGACAGGGGGTGGTATTGTTGCCAGGGTACGATTTGATGTGGCCTGCCATTTTTCCCAATCGAGTCTCAAACCCGCAATGTCAAGGGATTCGGGGTGCATGTGTCTTCATCAGGGGGAGGCCAACCGGCATTGCCATGGAGTGATCTGTCGAGCACCGGGCAGCCTGCACAGTACGCCAATCATGGCGCACTTACAGTACTTCCTTCGTACCGAATATGCTTCTCTGGATAGAACTCAACCCAAGCAAGGAGGACATTTGGATTGCGACTTTGATATCATCTACATGGTTCCCAATCCTGCAGCGCGGGTGTGGCAGTCTCGGAGTACGGCAGTGGTGGGTCGATGGGCTGGTGATGCCAAGAGCCGTTCCCGCGTTCTCGAAGCAATCGTGGAGGGCCAACAACGTCAGCAACTTTCCCAATGGAAACAACTGTTGCGGGCTGTATGTACTGTACAGGTCAGAAGGTCGAGACGAGATGTGGGACAATGAGCGTCTGTGTTGGTCGCCAGAGACGAGACGACTAGACCAGTGCTGCAAAAGCGATATCTGACAACGCCGCAAGGGCACATCGTCCGAATTGTTCAATGGCCTCGGCGTAGCGATATGCACGATATGCACCCTCTATGGAGTCGTCGGCGAGGCTAGGTCCGGATGGGCGACGAATTGGGTCTCTCGGCGTGTTTTCCAATGCACCACGCTGCAGAAACCAGCTCGACGCCAGCCGGCACAGTTCCCGTGCGTTGCACGACACTGGACCAAGACGGCCCATCCAAACAAATGTCGTCCCTCGATCCTCGTCGCTGCGCATCAGACGGCCCGCGTAAGCTGCCGTTGGCAGCCAACGATCGTGCAGTCCAAGCCATCCCGTCTTCAGGTTCCCCTTCCAACTGACGTTAGCCCGCGTGAGTTTGAAGCTTCAGCAAAATTGACAAAGACTCAATTCTCTGTGCATATTGCAGTAGTAAGGTAGTGCCAGTAGACCGGACGTCGGCCTCGCCTTCAGGGTTCTCTCATCCGGCGTGGCTTTCAGATCCTGGTGAGACTGGACCCTTGGAAGGAGCGGCTTCATTGCTTCAATGGGCCTAGCAAGCCCGCTCAGCCCGGCAAGTAGCAACGGCCAGACGGGTGTGCGCCAGCGTTGGTGGAACTTTAGGGGTGGAGGTTCAATTGTGGGTTACGGTAGGAATCCGGTAGTAACACTGTACCGTACCCCACCGTACGGAGGTCGGGGCCAAAAGTGTTTCCACCAACTCGTTAAGCCAGCGCACGAGTCATACAGTGCTCCGTCCTTCATCTGCTTCAGCCCGCTTACAGTGCCTCTAGACAGTGATGGGAGTGTTGCAGCACTGCTCGGGTACTTGAATGGGCCTAGCGTCCAGCGGAACTTAGCGAAAGAGCCTGGGCTAGAAAATACTGTGCGAGATAGCTAGCATTTACGTCGCCTATACAGTATGGCCCGTGCATTAACAAAGTGGTGGAAAGACTTCTGGCCCCGACCTCTCACCGTTACATTCCGAGTCATTCATTTCATGCACCCACACTTCACATGTCCAAGGTCGAGTTGATGAACCTCACCCTACGTTGCCGCTTCCTGGTTGTTCCTGTGGAAGGTATCTACAAGTTTGAATTCGCATATTCTACGAGGACGGCTCTAGTTGACGATATTCAAATATCGTTGACTCGCATTTCAACCTTTCCCTCACCTCATTGACCACTTTGGGCCGAGATGCAGCGGACTCAGCATGCATCAAAAAGCTTCGCGATATTCGCGCTGCACTCCGTCAATTGTTGTTTGCTGGCTACAAAGTCCAACTAGGAACCCTTCCTTCAATTATGTTCCTGCAGGTCGATGCCCCTCTACGCCGGGAGGTCAAGAACGAATTGACTTCGGCCTCGTCGGCTCCTTCGAAAACAATAGCTCGTTTGGATTCGCAAGACTGTTTACTCCGTAGAGTTACAACGCTTACTTGATCCTAGCTCATATCTCGATCTCGGCCGTCCGCTCCCTCCATCGGGCCTGGCCATCTCCTTCCAACATCACAATGCTCGACATTCAGACATTACCGTCAACGGGTCCATACTGGCATTTGGCAAGGCCTCAGGGAAGCCTACGACGTCAATTGGCTCCCAAGTTGCATACGATTTCTGGACAAGATTGCAGGCTCTGCATATCGTGTTACACGGCACTGGGACACAGGCGCATACACCACCCTGCATCTTCTAGGTGTCCTAATTACCGTCCTACGTATACTTGGCCCCTTATTGTCGATCGATCGAGGATGTGTTGCATTGCTCAACTTAATCGCTGCAGTAAAGGCTGACCCTGATGCCGCTCCGGAGTCGGGTCCGTCGCGGCCTCATTGGGCTCTGTCGTGACACGAAGTCGCAAACTTCTGGCTGTTAAAATCTGCTCATATACTGGGCTTTCAGATCAAGACTCATGAGCGACTGGCGAGATGACTGTAGGCTTGGACTTGATTTATTAGCTGTCTATTAGGATGCAACTGGGCAATTCCGCCCTCTTATTCCAACCAGAGCGAGCTACGGCATTGGCCAAGAATGGGATAGTCACTAATTACAGTCAGTGCCTCTCGTACTGTACCACGACAAGCAATTCGTCGCTTCAAGCATGCAGGATCATATCACGAGTTTCTTGCCCGGTCTTATACTGCGAGACAACAACCAATGGCGCAGGAGAGATGGAGAAGAAACACCAGTCACAGCTGGATTCAAGATGACAATGGCTCCATTCATCACAGCCACATGAAGCCTAGGTTGCGGTTGTTGCGGTTGTTGCGGTTGTTGCGGCTATCTCATTCTCTCAACACAATATCTCTCGCTGCCAGAGCCTCACTTTGAGATGCTACAGTATTTGACATGTCAGATTCCGGCTCTGACCGTCCAACCATTCACGGATGCCCACAGCGTATTGTACTTAGTGGCGCGGCGGGCAAGAAACAAAACACTGCCTACAGTACTAGTTGTGCGTCGGTGATAACGCGGCCGGCCGAGAACAGCAATTTTCCCCGGTACCTGACCGATGAGTGATACAGAAGCGGCGGTCCCTTCCCTCACGGGTCGCGGCATCGGACGACCGCAGGCGCTCGGCCCGAGCCGCCATGGCTTGTCAGGGCCCAGGCTCTCCCACATCTGCGGCACTATGGCCGGACACTGTAGTCTTCCAATGGGCTTCTTTCCGGTGTGCACTGTGTGATCCTCGCAGTATCACAAACGACAAGCGTACGTTAGTGTGAATGCCGTGACCGGCCACGCAATATGCCTGGTAGCCCTAGCATATTCTAAGCAAATAAGTAGGTATGTGTTGTTGTTATGGTTGACGCGCGTGTTCCCGGTTTCGTATTTCGTACCGGACTGTAGGGTTTGGGATAACTACGGATAGGGCCTCCTTAATAACCGATATCTGTTGGGCGACAGCTGAATGCGATTATGGGAATATATACGTATGTATATACAGTGCCAGTGGCCCTCATATGGCAGGAAAGGGGAAACGGACGCGAGATTCAGTAGTCGAGACCGAACTTGCATACCTTTGTCTCCCTCGATCCTAGCGCTCGGTTGGCCACATCATCCCAAGATGTGATGACTCGGACATGGAGAGACAGCAAATCGGAAGACCCCAGAATTGAGGCTAGCCAGCCACCGGCAAGCCACAGAAGTATAAGCGGGGATGTCTTCCCTTGAACCCTTGGCCCCTTGCCATGTGGGCGGCGGGATTGCCGCAGGACGGGACCTGGACGGGTAGACTTGTGTGTAACACATCCTGAATCTTCAAGATCACGGAGAGGTCTTCAAGGGTTTCGTTTGAAATCGGGTGATGTAGTGGCAGTCTTCCACTTCCCGGTACCGGAGCACGCATCACATCACCATCTCACAGCCCAGAATGGAAGCTGGCCCCGAGCGCCAAGGCAAGTTCTCCTCAGTCTAGCAACACTTCTAAACAAATACAAGGCTGCCATTTGGGCAAACAAACACACCAGATAGTCTCTTCATATCTATTGGCGCCGGTCCGTTTCCACCTCGCATTCTGCAAGTTGGAACAGGCAGGGCAAAGCCTCAACGACCGCCCTTCATGGCCTGTCGCCGACGGACCTTTTCGGTGACACGCGTCAGCGCCGACTTAATTTCGCCCTTCTCAAACGTGTCGAGATCATAGTAGATGGGTGCGATTTCCTGATTGGCGTGTTAGCGTCTCACAAGGTATTACGAGGCTGTGGATGAAGAAGGGAGGGGAAAAAAGGAGAGGAGAACTCACCAGGAGCCATTCTGGCCTGATATTCGTTACAGTCCTCACATACTGCTTCGTGGTAAGCACAAATTCGTTGTAGACGACCCAGTCGTACGGGCTCGTGACGACGGTGCTGGGGTGTATCATGACGAGCTGGTCGTCCTTGACCGTTTTGTACACCTTGCTGTTGCTACTCTCACGCATGGCGACCTGCATGAAGAAACCCGCCAGCAGCGCCCGCCGTATGTTGGTGTAATACTCCTTGTTCTGGAACGGTGTGCTGATCAGCTCAATCTCGTGCGTCTCCATGATGCGCTTGAGCTGAGCGCGCACATTGTCGGCGCTCGACAGGTGCCGGTAAGAGAGAAAATGCTCGTGGCACCACTTCTTCATGTCCTCGCCGTTCTGCTCGGCACCCTTGTATGCGTGATAGGCGTTCAGCAGCGTCAGGTGATCGCCATCTGGATGGGCAAACTGTTGCTTCATCTCGTCGGCCCGCTTGCGCGCGTTATTGGGGCGCACCCATATTTGTGGGACCGACAGCAGAGAGGTGATGGAGAGGATCTCGTTAGAGCAGTAGAATTCCGGTGATGATATGAGCATGACGGCGAGCGCAGGGTCGAGCGGGAACTGGGATGCCAGGTCGCCCAGCCGCGTCAGCTCGCCGTCATCGTCCAGGCAAGCGAGATAGTTTAGCTCCTCCAAAGCGCGCATCATGGTTTCGGGTGCCGGAGGGTCCATAAAATCGAAATGCACCAAATCTTGGACGCCGAGTTTTTTGAGCTCCAGGATCGTGTTGGACAGATTGGACCTCAAGATTTCTGGGTAGGTCTGCTCGATGAGTTCTTTCTTGAAGGCCTTTTCCGTGTACAGCCGGAAGCATTTGCCGGGCCGCGTACGACCGGCACGACCGGCACGCTGTTGGGCAGACGCTTTGGAGATGGGAGACACAAGCAGCGACTCTACCCTGGTGCGAGGGTTGTAGATTTTTTGCTTGCTGAAGCCGGGATCCACGACGTAGACAATACCGTCGATCGTCAAACTGGTCTCGGCAATGTTCGTCGCGACGATGCATTTCCGGCCGGGTCGGCCTCCCTTGCGGAATGGCTCCGGGGCTTTGTCGAAAATACGCTGTTGCTGATGGGGAGGCAGAGTACCGTAGAGGGGGTAGACCGACATGGGCCCAGCATCGGATTCCCGAATCATCTCGTCGACCTCGAGGCTGATCCGACGACATGCATCCTCAATCTCTTCCTCGCCCGTCAGGAAGAGCAAGATATCACCCTCAGGCTCGCTTGCATGGATCTGCAATACTGTTCTGACCGCGGCTTCAACGTAGTCTCGCTCCGGCTCGGGGGTATAGAAGATCTCGACCGGGTGCGTCCGGCCGGGCACCGCGAGCAGCGGCGCGTTGAAGAAGTAGCTCTGGAACTTTTGGGCGTCGAGAGTAGCAGACATAACGATGATCTTCAGGTCTTTCCTCCGCGTGGAGATCTCCTTAAGCAGGGCCATAAGAATGTCGGTGGCTAGGGTGCGCTCGTGGGCTTCATCGAGAATGATACAGCCGTACCGAGTCATGTCGTGGTCGTGCATCGCCTCGCGCAGGAGCTGACCATCCGTCATGTACTTAAGAAGCGTCTTGGAGCTTGTCTTGTTCTCGAACCGGATGCTGTAACCGACCTCCTCGCCCAGTTCGACGTCGAGCTCGTTCGCGACACGCTGGGCAACCGACATGGCCGCCACTCTCCTGGGCTGCGTGCAAGCAATGAGCTTGCCGGTCAGGTGTGGCAGCTCGTCATAGAGGACGTACTGCGGGATCTGGGTCGTTTTGCCGGAACCCGTCTCACCGACGAAGACGAGGATCTGATTCTGGTGATATTGATCGAGGAACTCCTGCCGCTGCTTATGCACGGGCAAATCACGCCGCGTCTTGAGGATTTTGAAGTACTGTTGCGAATGAGGACGACCCGTCCACGGGTTGGTGTCGGAATCCTCTGCCTTGACGGCCTGCAATGCCGTTGTTTTGTGTCGCTCTAGCTCGTCTAGCGGTGACTTGAAGCCATTATGGGCGCCCTCGTCGAGGTGCGCGAGGTAAGGGTTGTACTTGTCGCCGCCCATCTTGCCGTTGCTGCCGCCGTCTGTCTTGACTCTTTTCGAATCTTGGCTGCCTTCGGTCTCTGCGCTTGATCGCTTGAGGCCTTTGGACGAGTCGGCCATCGCGGCTGGAGAAAAATTTCGAGGAGACGTGCGTGGGACGATGAGTGGTGCCTGCCGGGTTTTGCTGGTGGCCGTCGTCGCCTGTCGCTTGCGGGTCGCGAGGCTGCTGCCGTTTTTTGTTTGCGACAGCGTCGAGCCTCGTTGAATGGCAGTAAAATTTAGTGGAGTGGTGGGGCTGATCCAGCGATAGGCATTTATGCGAACCGCAAGCGCTCGGTTAGAGTCGTTGGATCACAGGTTCATTCACATCGGGCTATGAGACAATGCCCTTGTGATTACCATATTTTGCACCATGCCACCGTTAATGTCACAATTGTCAAGATGAAGCCCGGAAGACGTTAGGTTCAAGATCCTTGTGAAGTCTTGTTTGTATGCTCCCCACGCGTACAGTACAATACAATACATACCTTATACACTGTATGGGCATAAATATGGATATGTGCTCTACTTGTATAATCGCTACTAACCGGGCTCGCCAGGTAACTCTGCGAGCTCTGTTAGGCCTCGGCTTCCCAATTAAGACCTTTTCTCATTGTCTAAAGCTTCCTTCATTAGTGAGAAATAACTGTCTTGGAGCCTTTCTAGCAATTATACCCTGTAAGTCGGTCTAGGATACTTCAAATCTTGCCTACGGTAAATTGTCTTCCGCTTTGACGCAACTTCAGAGCAGATGGTGAACCGAGTACGGATACCTGCATATAAGGGTTTACACCATATCAAACACTTTTCTATAACTAATTTGGCTCAGAGTCGACCAATTGCCTAACCACGGATACGTCCGTAACCGTCTCCGGAACACCCTTTTTGGCGGTCACTTGCAAATTGTGTGTCTACCCAACGTGAGCCAGGCAGGGTCCGGTTCGATGTTGGGTTTTCACAAGGCGCATAGGTAGCAATCACCGGAACCAAAACCTTTTCTTGGACCCTTATTTTCGGATTCTCTGGCTGGGAGCATGCACTCCGTTGAATATCCACCATGTGATTAGGCCGACGCTAATTTCTTCAATTCACCAACACATTTCCCAACCTGGTTGAATATCTGGTTGTGATTCTGCCCCCGTGCCGTTCCGCTTTTCATACATCGCCCCCTGCAGATCTGTTGCCATCCTTCCCACATATCTACTTCAGTATACATACATCACAAGTACTCATCAAACCTCAGTGCTCTCTCATTCTGGGGAAGCCACGTTGCCGAAATGGCCTCTGGTGGGAGACTCAACCCCGAGTCTGATAACTTCGAGAACCGCCCAACCTTCTACATTGGCCAGCATGACTCGAACCGCTTTGAGCCATTGACCGAGGAACAGTACAACCAGGTTCTTAACAGTGGAGTAAGTGGCAGCTACAGCAACCCACCTATCCTTGTTGCGCCCATGTGGCTGACCGGACATAGTTTCGCTTTGTGACGGCACCCATCACGAACGAGCACTTCTTCAAGCGGGTTGTCGATTTGCACAGGGAGTACCTCCAGGAGAGGGAGCAGTGGGCCCGAGAACATGGCATCTCAGACAGCCAGAGCACCAACCCGTCCCTGCCCGGACCGGTCGTCCCAACCCTCACCGACAAGGACACCTCGCTGGGCCCCTGCCATTATATCGGCTCCCTTGTGTGTTATTCCAGTCCTTGGATCGACCTATGCTCCGCCGATCCGCACATCTCGAGCATATCGCGCCAGGTCCTGAACCTGGAAGCTGCCTATGCAAACTTCTGCGGTGCCAGAACCATCGTTGTCCCTGGCCCCAGACAGGATGAGAGTGGCCGCGGTATCGCTCAATATGCCCGCGCAATCAAGGAGGTGATGCAGGTTGCAAGCCGGACCAATATAGTCGTCCACATGCCAATGTACAGGGAGCCAGGACTTGAGGAAAATTTGGAAACACTTTCCGACATCTTTGGCCCGGAGAAGGGACCCGAAGCGAACGCCAAGAAGGAAATTGACCTCTTCAGCGCATGGGATTCTTGGAATGCAATCAGATCCGTGTGCAACTACTCAATGAGACTACTTCTTGGTACGTCGCCCACTTCCTCGGCCCAAGGGGCCACCTCGTAACAGTCAGGGATCAGAATAGGCCGGACGCTGCTTGTTCTCCTTCACCCAACAATCTAGCCAACCCTCAATACTGACTCTCCTGTAGCACTTCGAATTCCCCGTCGGGTACCCGAGAAGAGCCTCCAGGAACGGTGGTTTGCAGAGCCGCTCCATTTCTTGACTATCGGTCAAGCAATCTTCCAGTTGAATCGAGCTGGACATCCCTCGCTCAGCAGACACCACCAGGACATGATCAACCGTTACATGCGGTTGAGGAATGTGCCATGGTTGGTTCTCTGCGATGTTGGACCCAGCCCCGAGGAGCTCGCGGCACTCTCTGACAAGCTGACCTCCGAGTTTCCAACACTCGCTGAAGCGAGCCAAGCTCTTGGAGATAGCCGAAGGCCTCAGTCGCTGGCCCTGAACGCACATGTCGGGTACATGAGGTATCTGGAGCGCCAGCAGCCTCCGTTCTCAGCAATGGAGTCACCGGCGCTCACGAGCTTCCAGGACTGGCTTCAGCCACCGTTGCAACCGTTGGCGGACAATCTCGAATCGGCAACCTACGAAGTGTTCGAGGGTGACCCAGTGAAATACGATCAATATGAAAAGGCCATCACGGAAGCCATGACAGAATGGAGGGAATTAAAGAAGCCGACTTCGTCGGCGACGCCCGAAAATCCTTCAAATCCGGAGCTGATTGTCACAGTGGCCGGCGCCGGACGGGGGCCCCTGGTAACACGGGTTCTACGTGCCGCTGAGCGCACAGGGACACCTATCCAGCTATGGGCGGTCGAGAAAAACCAAGACGCCTACGTCTACCTTTTGAGGAAAAACCAGACCGAATGGGCCAACCAAGTGACTGTCGTCAAGACGGATATGCGGGGGTGGGAGGGCCCACGGCTCAGGGGCAGAGAAGATATCATCGCCAAGGTGGACATCTTGGTCACCGAATTGCTGGGCTCATTTGGCGACAACGAACTTTCGCCCGAGTGCCTTGACGGCATTCAGCACCACATTGCCCGACCCCATGGCATATCCATTCCTCACTCGTATACCGCCCATCTCAGCCCCATATCTACGCCCCGTCTCTTTGCCGACATCAGCTCGAGGGTGGTTGGCGACCCGAACGCATTTGAGACCCCTTGGGTGGTCCGCCTATTCGCTATTGATTATGTCTCCCAAAACGTACCTGGTCATCCCCGGTTCCAGCAGGCCTGGGAGTTTGTTCACCCTGTCGAAATCAACCGCGCCGACGACTTTGCCGCGAAGCACGGCAAGGCTGTCAGGTATGCCACGGCGGGCGTAGGTAGTATGTCAGGCTCGAGCGGCACTAACGAACACAATGCACGGCATTGCCACTTGACGTTTGTCTGCCCGACGCGAGGCGTCATCCATGGCCTGGCGGGATTCTTTGAATCTGTTCTGTATTCCTCACAGACCGGCGCGGGGAAGGAACCGGTAGAGATCAGCATCTTACCAAATCAGATCGATCGAAAGAGCAAGGACATGATTTCATGGTTCCCCATCTTCTTCCCGCTCAAGGTAAGTTTTTTACTACAGACCCCAGCTCTAAAGGGCTACTTCAGACACTAAGACGCACTAGAAACCGCTATACTTCCCCCAGGACACTGAGCTCGAGGTCAGCATGTGGCGGCAAACGGACGACACGAGGGTGTGGTATGAGTGGTTGGTTGAGGTGTATGCATGGGTTGAACCTAACACGCGGATTAAGGTTGGCGCGTCAGAGCTTCACAGCAGTCGCAAAGTCGCATGTCTGATGTAGGGCCCAGATGAAGGGCTGGCTTATTATGGCGAGCCTAATGTGAAACTCATCATCCATCCGGGTTCATAGAGGGCACGACGTCCAGAACCCCTCTCAGTGACATGGCCATGATCGTATGCCAGTTTCGCCCGGCGTCACCTCTTCTCAGTCTGTTCATCAGAGCATGGTGCCCATTCATGCCATGCCACGCATATCATCCAACCACTCTGCTTCGTGACGATTGGGACATGTCTCGCCTTTCCGATGGTAGCTTCCACCTCAGGCAAACCCTTTCGTTCTAGCCACATTTTGCTGATTCTTCCCCTTTAATGGCCATGAGATTACCCTTCCATCTTAGTATCCCTATCGCCCTCCCCTTCCTCTTTCGCAGCCCTCACATAAAGCACGTTATTGCACCTGCCAGAATTCAGTCAGTCCATCACACCTCCAGGAGGCCAAGCATGGAAAATGAAAACAAACCGTATTAGAACCTGGCCCAGAGCCCCCGTGAACTTGCGGTCGATAAACTCCTCCGTGTTGCTCAGCTGGATGTTCATGTAACTGTCGATGCTCTGCACACACACCCCCTCCAATGTCAGCGACCTACTCCTACTCCAAGTCCAAATCTTGCACGGGAAGAAGCAAAGAAGAAGACGCACCACCAGTCTCCCTTTATACTCGGTCTCGCCCCACTTCAGACGCACAATCACGTCCTTGTTGACCAGGTCCTGGAGGAACGGACGCGGGTTGATCGGGACGAAACTCATATTATCTCTCTCTCTCTGTCTGTCGCTTTTCCCTTGTTTGGCGGCCCCTGACGGTTGTGGCTCGTGCCTTGTCGCCGAGCACCCAGATTACCTGGGTTGTTGGGTTGGTTCTTTCGAGGAGCTGCCTCTTAGGACCGATTGTCGGGACAGGACGGGGATATGTGGCGGCGCTTCTTGATATCGATTAATGTAGCGGCAGGCTCTTTGTTGGTGTAATCGTCTTGTCGCCGTCGATTTGTGGTTCGGCTGTCTGTCGCGATGCGCGTTTGGTGGTAAATTGTCGCGGCGACGGGTGGTGACGGGGATTTTTGTCTTGGCAGAGCCGAACGCAGCATGGAATTAACAGGTGAGAACAGCTGCAGTTGTAACGTTACGGTACGTAACGCCAATGTAGGTAGGTAAGTATGTAATAATATCGTATAGCTTCATCGACCCCGGATATCAGGCTTTCATACGGAGGTTGGGGCCAGAGTTTTCGACAAATTGCTTCTGCCAAGACTGCCAAGGCCACCAGTACAGTATGGTTTGCACACATCAGCTCAGGCCACCTACAACTAGCCACTGAATCCACTAAAGTGAAACCCACTTACAGGGCCAATGACAGGGTCACTCCAGTGCCCGCTCACGTGGGATCTGCGAGGGAGCGCTATTCCCAAAGAAAATACAGTGCGTCTCCCATCCCTTTTTTGCTTCTCACACGTTTACATGCATGGCACCAGCTCCAGCTGTCGAAAACTTTTGGCCCCAACCTTCGTACTCAGGACCGTCTAACACTATATATACACTTCTTAACTTGAAGACATCAAGTTCGAATACTCATCCTTCTTCCTAATTCGCTTGCCCCTAACGTGAGCAGGAGCAGAAAGAAGCCAGAAAAAGATGCAACCGAACATATTTCCTGATCCAAGGTCGGTGTAGTAGCCATCATTTGGCTATCCCTTTCTTCGGGTGCATGCCAGCAGATATGCGATAAATGCAGCAAACAGCAAAGGTATCAGAAGACGAAAGCAAATCCAATCCACAGCGCACTGCAAAACGCCGCCACCATTTGAGCCATCCAAGTGGCCCATGCTTGCATGCCGTTCCCCAGGAGTCGCTGAAATGAAATAAAATGACTGTGTTGGGAACACCGTAACCGCCTTCCCGGTCCCCCTGAACTGATTGCCCCGGCCCGACCTGGCCCGGAGCAGGCAAGTTGAAATTCCCCATAAGTGTCGGCCACGCCGGCAGCGGCCTTCCTAAAACCCTGCCGCATAAAAAAACCTTAAGTAGCCAGCATCCGCCTATATCCAAGGCATCGGCGTGGCCGCTCCTCGAGCCTGCTTGTCCGTCCACCCGCTGCTCGCTGACTCGGGCGAAGCTGTATTCCGCAACGACGCTTGCCTAGCGGGCGACAGGGACTCAGCTTCCAGTTCGACGGGCCTGTAGCCTAGCACCCCGCTCTCCCTCTCCTCTCTCAGCGGCGACCTTGCTGAAGAAACCGATGCCGAGAGATGCTTCTTGGCAGCGATCGTCGACGGCCGTCGTGGCAGGGCTTCCTCTGAGAGCTCGTAAGGTGGGGGGACGGTGCGGTAAGAGACGGGCGTTGCCGAAAGTTCCTTGGGCGGTACCGGGGGCGGTGGCGGTAACTCTGTTTCTGCTCGCCTTCTTCTCCGCCGGCGCCTAATGAAGAAGCACATGGAGCCGATGGCCAAGAGAACTCCTACGGCAGAGCCGACAGCAATACCAACGATTGCGGGAGTGCTGAGACCGCTAGGCGAGGGAGACGTTTCCTGTGGGATGGAAAGCTGTGTGGGGATGGGTACTGTGGGTGAAGTAGGTTGGGCGAGGCCGGAGACACCGCCCTTTCATCTGAGTTAATAGGCAGGCCTCTCCTACGAGGATAACCAGACACGCAACTGCACTTACAGGATCATCGGTTCGCGGTGCTGGCGTCGGATCACCTGATCTGAAGTGGATGCGGACGGCGTAGGCTGTGATTCCGCCTGCTGTTTCGGATGTCGTCGTTGTGCTGCCGGCCGTGCCATCGGTAACGACCACCACATCGGGCAGTGCAACCTCGGCGGCTATCCATGTAGTTGTGCATCCTAGTACAATCTGCGGAGAGCCTCCTTGTGAAGTTGCCGTGGGCACTGGGCAACTGTAATTCAGATCGCTGCGTGACGCCAGACGTTAATGCTTCTATCCTCCCTCCAGCTGGACTCGGAAACCTGACATACGTCGGGCAACATGCAACCGCCGTCTCCGTCTCCGTGCTCACCGACGCAAGACTCGAGCAGGCGACCGTGTGTCCATGCGGGCAGACGCCGGGCGAGTAGTAATTCGCCGGCTCGGGATCATAACCGCTGGGAAAGCAGTCGGAGCCTGAGGTGAAAAGAGGTCCTTGAACATAACTGGACTCGCTTTCGGAAAAGACCTGGTACAATTGTGTTGTGCAACTCGACGGGGCTTGAAATGTGGTTGTCAGAGGACCGACGACCGTCATGATTGAGCCGGCCTGCGCATTGGTCCTTCGTCGTCGTCAGACCATCAAGACCGGACCGCAGCTGACCGGAAGGTGATAATGGTATTGTCCAAGGTCCGCGAAAGAGGGGTGGTTTTGGGAGAAGAAAGGTTCTGGAACAACGAGACGCTGGCACAGGGTCGCAATATCTGCAAGGAGTGAGGTAGCTGGGCACCACCAGGGGGCTCTAGCTAGGAAGAGATCATACGCCGCATTTGTGCAGTTTCCTCACCAGGGGAGTAACTCACTCCTCAATTGGGGTCCGCGGGCGGCGCGAATCTTTCTCGAAACCTCGGCGCAGCGTGCGTGACGTTAGACTCTGGAGCAAGCAAAAAATCTCATCTGCAAAGCCAGGAAATGCTCAATACGCTTGCTCGAGATAGAGTTATGTCGAGCGGTGTCCCTCGCCCGATCCTGGCTGCCGCTTCTCCCACTGAAATGCCAGAGCGGCAATCGCACCAATGATGATGCGGAGAGATCTGCGTGGGGGACTGAGAAAGGCTACGCTACGTACGGAGTACGAAGTTACGTAGGTAGCTGACTTCTCTTCAGCAGATCATCAGCCATTCCGATTTCTTGGGACAGAGCCACTTGGAATGCACGATGGGTATGGTATCATGAGCTGCCCATCTTGAGCATACTGACTTCAGACCCAGCGGTCCGTCTTCGGCGGTCAAACTGAGGGTTCCAAGCTCAAGGCAGCTTAGTACGTTGGATTGTTGAAGAAGAAAAGGTTCTCGCGAAATTCAGGGCGTTACAACTGTGGCATGAGGAGAGGCCAGGGGCCCGGAAGGACATATGGACAATAGGTATTGTACAGTACAAGTACACGCGTACAACTTAGAGGACTCCGTACTGTATGTACGGACGTACCTCTGTACTGTACATACATACACCTGTAATGTAGGGCTTCGCCTCCCTGCTTACTTCAGGGCTGAAAACTGACAACCCGGCCTAATCGTCTTATGTGTGTACTCTACCTGCATACACAGAACTCGCATATCGCACCGTGACGGTACTTAGCGGCACAACCCCATTTCCCTCAACCGAAAGTTTGCGGTTGACGGGGCAAGCGGCTATGGTCAGCTTCTCGACGGCTTCCTTTAAGTAAGCGGTTGGAAAATGGCAGCGGCTTGAAAATCGTCAGGCGTTTGGTAAGAGCAGCTGCCTGGGAAGTTCAAGCCGGAGGGAGGCAGGTGCAAGCCGTTCTCATACTCTTGTAAGCGGTCTGCTAGATTAGCGGCTTCCTAACGAGACACCTCAGCCAGGCAGCTACTGCTCAAGTCAACTAAAAGTTTGCGGTTGGAAAATCGCTAAGCCGTATACCCACGGCCTATGGAAATGGGCTGCAACCCCTAAGTAGCCTACGTGTATCGTGGTGACAGTGACTGGTTCGTTGAAGAAGCCGTGCGGGGCCATCGCGGTTCCTCAGATACGTCCTGTTGAGTGGGGCGCCAACTGTTCTTTGGCGAACTGGTGCGCCTGGATGTCGCTCTTGGTTGAAACCGGCTTCGGTTGCTATGATTTTTACACGTAGGTTGAGCATTTTTTCTTCAAACTCGGATTTCCCTTTGCAAGACCGGGACTGTTGTCTTGAACGTGTACAATACAACAAATACCACATTCGGACGTTGGGATGGATAGGAACTTGGGAGATTACCGTTCTCAAACGTTATCGCTCTACGGAGGTAATTGGACAAGCACCACGTGCCAAACCGGGTATTTCGATTAAATGTATAAGTTACCTATTCAGATAATGGACACCCAAATAACGTACATAGTACGGATAGTTGCATGACTAGATATTTAGTGTACTGTACGAAGTATGGGCCTTGATCAGAACCAGGTTTCCACTTTCAGCGACTAGCACCAGATTCCAGATCCTGCTTCCACTCACCCGAAAGCAGGCTGCATCAACTACCGTACCCGACTTCTCAGCTCTAGGAGTCTAGGTAGGCGCGGGGGCTATTACTACCAGTCTACCTCGCTTACCTACACCTACCTGGTATTGCCCGCAGCCAGTCCAACCTTGGAACCCGTCTTTTTCGGCGGGCGATGCCGTACAACATGCAGTCATTGCAGTGTATTGTCGTGAAGGATAAGGCGGATGAATATCAGCAGCGAACTCCAGCCTTGTGAGGTTTCTGACCTTCTACAAGGACCCAAAACAGGGAATCACGTCAATGAGCATGAATACAGCTTAAATGTCGCGAGCGCACGAGGAGGAAGCTCGGGCGAAGGAGAAACTACGAGTGCTGTCGACAATTAACTGTGAAATCACTGGGCAGGGGAGAAAGAGGCGTGCTGGAGCAGCTGTATACATACCTATTCCGCGGTCTTGTGTTCCTTTGCTACCTTACCTAACATAGCCCCTGAGTCTCCGCAACACCAGCAGCAGCAGTCTGGCTAAGCCAGCATCTCCGTGGCACAAGACCATTCGGCGTACTCTCGGCTATTTTGTGCCAGAAGCCATTTACTACCCATTGACTCGTTAGCCTTGTCCCTATCCGCCAAAGAAATAGTATTCACCGTCAAACAGACGGCCGAGGACCCAAACTGTCCGGGCCAGCTCAAGGTAAATACATACTTTGCCTCATAGCCCGGAATGCTTCTTCCCCGCTAACCGTTTACAGCTCGCAAGCTCTGATAGGGAACACCAGGTGGAAGAGGAGCCACGGCGACCTCTATCGTATGGGCAGGCTTTCCCCTCATGCCGAATAATCCCATTCCCATGAAGCCATCAGTACATGGCAAGAGCACGGAGACATCTGTGTGCCTTTGAGAGTTGGGTTGATGCCCTCACTTGGGCGAGCTAATCACGGCCTGCCAGTCATGGAAATGTAGGTAGCCCCCAATGCCCGGTTTTTATACTCAATATCCAGATAGTAGGCAAATCGACCAAACAGTGACCTGTCCACTAGCAACCATCCTATGGGCTGAATTTTCACCATTACCCAAGCTTCCTCCCCGTTGCCTTGGATCTGAGCCACCCAACACTATTCCGGAAACCATCTCCAACCTTCTCGCCGCTATCCCTTGCATTCTCCAGCCCTCCCATCCTCAGCCCGCCGGGCAACAGCCACCACATCAACAAGATGAACACCAATATGGCCAGACATACCGGCTGCAACACCTCGACGCCCTTGCTCTGCGCAATCGCTCCCACAGCAAACGGAAACAACGCGGCACCACCACCCCCGAACGCCGCGGCAAACCCAATAGCTGAGACGTGATAATCGCTCGGCAGCAGTTTCGTGGCAGCCACAATGGCGGCGGGGAACAACGGGCCGAGGAAGAAGCCCAGAAATGTCACAAAGACAGCCGATGCCGCGAAGTTGGGCACCAACCAGTATAACAGCTGCAGGGCAATCGAGAGCAAGAGGTAGACGGTGATGGCGAGCTTCTCGCCGATGCGGCCCGTCACGAAGCCGAGCGCGACGCGGCCGACGGTCAGGCCCAGCCAGAAGAAGGTGACGGTCAAGCCGGCGATGAAGGGCTCGGCGCCTCGCACGCGCAGCATAAAGGTCACGATCCACCCGCCCAGCGACACCTCGGCGCCGACGTAGCCAAGCAGGAACAGGGCCACCAGCCAGACGATGGGCGAGCGGAGCACGGTGCGGGTGGTGGTGCGCTTGCCGCCGTTGGCCGCGCGGTGCTGGGCGCGGTGGACGCTCGCCGTGGCGCGCCAAAACGCCGTCGTCAGCAGCAGCAGGGCCAGCCCGTCCAGGCCGATCATGACGTAGTAGAAGGTGTACCACGGCAGGCCGGCGCGTGTGACCATGGCCGTGGCGATCAGCGGGCCGATGGTGGCGCCCAGCCCGTAGGCGCCGTGCAGGAAACCGAGCAGCTCGTTGGCCCGCTGCATGTTGCCGATCCAGGCGTTCCAGGCGCTGTCCTCGATGCCGTTGCCGAAGCCCGTGAAGAGGAGCACCACGGGAAGCGCCGGGTATGGCGGGTGGAAGACGAGCGGGATGATGCCGACCAGGCGGGAGACGGGGCCGAGAACGGCTACGCCGACCTGGCCGAAGTGGTGGTGAATGAGATTGTTGAGGATCGCGGCGAGCAGATAGCCCACGAAGGGCGAGAGGAAGACAAGTGAGACGACGGTGTAGCTGATGGTGTAGTAGGTTTCGATCTGAGTCGAGGCATGTTAGTCTCTTGCCTGCCTTTCCTTTCACATGAATCGATGGTTCTGAGAGCGTACATATGGGAGGAGAGCCTGTTGACGAATGTTAGCAGACGAGGCGGTTGAGTCTTTCCAGTATTCGGGCTAACATACCCCGACCGCGCCGTCGGTCATGCCCATCAGAATGAAGGCGTAGATGGAGGAAAAGAATCGATATATGTTCACGGCTGATTCGTTCCATCGTTGCTGCGCTTGGGTCTCTGCCGGAGGCGTCCCCGTATCATCATCGGTAGCATCCCCAGAAATCGCCATCTTTTCAGGGTCTTCCAAGCGGCCGCTGGGGGCTTTATCCGTTGGGCTGCCGTACCCGCCATCAGGCACCCCTTGGGTAATGTCGGCCGCCATCCTGGACTGAACAACGACGTTGCGACTAGATTTGGCAAAAGAGGGCGTAATAGGCTACCTGGACTGGAATCAAGAAGCAGTCAATTGCAGGAGAGAATGCTCTTATAGACTAGAGCAGCCTTCTCCGGTATGCGTCTGTCACAATGTCGCCTTCTGAATTCGAGTCCCTGGAATACCGATCCCACATCCGCTCAGCATGCATCTGCTGGAAGGATCTCACTTCCAAAACAACATCTCACACCGCAAGTAGCCGAACTAGGCATGTCCGCAAGGCGCCCCTTCGTGTGAAGAGAACAGCAAAAATCCGAAGAATATGCGAACACGACGTTGGGGTAACGGCGGGGATAGTACCTAATCAAAACTCAAACAGCACCCACACGCAACTTGGCATCATGGGCCGTTTCCTTCATGTAACCGCCCAACCCCGTTCGCCGGGGCTGGTGGGTCGTTGTTCCGGGGGCGACGCTAGGCTGCCGAGAACGGGAGCTCCGCTAGGAGCGGGCTCAGATCTACGACATAATCTAGATCCGCTAGGGCCCCCGAAGTTTAGCCATCATCGGGCCGCCACTGCATCTTCCTGACGAAAGTTCTGTCCATCATGGGTCCATAACACTTTCCGTCCCGCGGCCACATGACCTCTTTCGTTTTCGTGGTGGTCGGTGTTTGAGAGACGACGAGATCGGAGTCATCGGACCCGACATGAAGCCGTATGGCATCCGGCGTTGAGCCGAAAATTCCCTTTCTGTCTCAACGCTATGCGGCCAATTTTCAGAGCATGGCCGCAACTTCAAGAATTGGTACCAGCCCTTGCCTGCGGTATGGCCCGAGTTGCTGCTGCATTGTGAAAGTCCAGACAAGCGTCTGCATCTCGAGACCTTGTTGAATTTGACATCTGTCTAGTCTGGAATTGGAAACTCCGCTCCTGGTCCACTCATATCTGCCGGTGTTGCCCAAGACTCTCTGTGAGTCTTCTCCTTTTCTTCCACTCACCATAACATCTAGACATAGCATTCCAACTGCCGTTCCATTCATTCCATGCAAGATTTTCAGCATATGAACGAGAAGCCTTCATTAGTTACATCGTCTAGGTATCCCTCTTATAATCTTATTGCCTATACAGTACCTGGCACGAATACATCCATCCCCTACCGCTCCCTCGGGACCTTGGGCCTTTCTCCGACCCTATCCTGTTCCAGTCGTGGGGATTGGGAGTCAAACTCAACGACTACGCAAGTCACGCTATCTATTCTCAACGAAGGGCTGCATAATCTCTTCAATCTTTTCATCCATCCTTTCTGGGCTGGCCAACGGGTCTAGGGGGCGATAAGGCACCTCTGCGAGGATGTTCCCATCGCGAACCGGTTCGGCCTGGAAGGATTCTAGCCGGGCATCGCGGGCATCTTGCTCTTCCTTTGCCTCGTGGTGGGAACATGACGAGCTGCCTTGTCAGCGACCAGACCGGATCTACTTTGGACCATATCCCAGGATCCCCAAGTATCAACTCACTGGCAGCTTTGTGGCATGATAGTTCTTGGACTTGGCAAGATGTCACGATGCCGGGAGAGTGTAAAGGGCCTCAACTCTGTTAGGGAGCTTGAGCGTCTGGTAGATTGTTCGGGAGAGCTTGATCGCAGGCTGGAGCTCAGCTCTGACTGTTATTTTTGCAAGGGAACTAGAAAACAGGGATTCTTGGTCTCCAGTGAGCTCGACGAGCAAGACTACTTGACAGGCTTTATAGAAGCTGCGATATAGCAATAGACCACACTGGTCAGGGCTTTGCTGCACAACATCCAGCCCATACAGTAGGCACCGGAGACGGGCGAGGCTGCACGCACAGATTCGACAGGCATTTCAACGACAACATTGGCGGCGTTAGCAACGAAGTCGGCGATGTTCATCCGGGCTTTCGTGCCGCGTCCCAGCTGCTGTTTGAAGGCTGAAATGTGGTTGAGCTACCGGGTCATATGACCTTCACATAGCTAACATCCTTGTAGCCCGGCCAGGTGCGACACCCCATGAGCTTACACACCATCTTTGCCCCATGTCCAGACTTATAGAGCCTCTCATATCTGTAGTGGGAGGAGCGCCGGGAACTATCCACTGGGATCATTGACTCCGGTCTTCGGATGGCTGGCGGGAACAAAAGCATCCAATGCGGTTGTGTTTACTCCGTCATATAGCCGCAGGTTGTGGCCACCAACGTGGCTTACACAGCAGGGGAAGCCACGCCTACAAAAAGACAGCGTCGAAAGCCGGCGAGAGCATAGCGGAATTCATCTGCTCCGTGCTCGGATCTGAGCGGAATCAAGGCCGCATCGGGCGACTGCCTGTCCGTATTAGGAAGATCCAAGGTAGATGGAGGGTGAAGCCTCATCACCCATTTAGGATTACAGCAAATGTCTGATCACATCTAGATGACTACAGCCTCAGCGCCAAGATATCAGTGTTTGCGATGACGACCAGTTCGGCAGCCCGGATATACATCAGCCGTGATGGCATACCGTCAGGAACCAGTACCCAGCCGAAGACCGGCCCGGTCTCTGGCGTATTTCTCGGCTGTCAAGGCAGAAACAGGATCAACAATAACGGCACCATCCACAAAGCGTGCGTCTCGGGAGGGATAGTCTCCCGTCCGTGTTGAATACGTCGTATCAGGCATTGATTAAATAGAGTTGTTGTCGTCAGAGCTTCTTGCCTTCCCATGGCAGTGCCAGTTCTATATATGATTGCTACTCTGCAAGGTGACCCAACTGCTCGCTGGGCCTTGCACTTCTTTCGGGGAGGAACTTGTGCTTTCCACCCTATCGTTCCCTAGACTCTGGGCACCAATCGGGGGACGGGGATGAACTTATCCATATTGCTTTGGCTGAATCGGGCAATATGGTATTGCACGCCTTGCAGCACCTGGAGTCCAGGTCCTGGACTGCAGTCGCGCACCACTGGGAGGTGGCTTCTACGCCTAAGTATCTGATTCAGTCTTGTGAATGGCTCTCTCTCTTTGGTTTCCTCTTTCTACCTAAGCCACACTGCTGATTTGACCGTGTTATCGAGACTCACCCCGGCCCTGGACCGTTCTCGTCGATTTGGATTGCGATGTTCTCACGTCAAATGGTACCTTAGCCACATGTCGGAACGGACTAATGCCCGCGAATGCCTACCCCCTAGGGCGTCGCGAGGAAACCTGACTATGTCGTGTTCAGCGAGAAGCCTGGACGGCGGGTTGCGGACTATCAAATCGGTATGCTGCCATGTCTTGCAGCGTGTCAGGGGTTAGCGTTGACGGGGCCTCCGAGTTCGAGCACTGAGCAATTGCCCGAGACCTGAATGGCCAGCCAGCCCAGTGCAAAATGGAAGTGCATCAGGTATGGACGACATTGAGCGCCTTCCCTCAATAACGGCGAGGCGTACCTTCCAAGGTTGCGTTCTAGCTGGTCTGGCGCAGCTGCAATTTGTGACCCGCGGCAGGCACAGCAAGGCATGGCAGTTACCTTATGGCCAGGGGACCTTCCTCTTCTTGACGACGAGGAGGATGATGGCCGACGTCCACGGCAAGACTGACCGGTGCAAAACACAGCAGGCACGCTCTCTGAGGTCTGGCACATTAAAAATCCCACCTGGAGGAACTGGACCGACTTCCCGCTCCCGTCGACTCTATTTTTCAAGCTGGATTCGAGCTTCATCTGATTATCATTCCACCCGCATCATTTCAAATCCTGCATTGCTACCAATATTGACCCTGTCTGACAACGACCATGGCTGCTCTCGCCGCCATTCTCGCCCTTCCGCTGGTCTCAGCCAGCTTAGCACCACCCCAACAAAAAGTCCATGTGTGGTCGTCGGCATCGTAGGTCATGCACGGCGAACACACACCTCAAACATCCTCGACGCCAGCCACTCTCACTCAGCGTGGGGCCCAACAGATGTACGCACTTGGAGGCGTGTTCCGCAACCGATATTTCGCGCAACCAGGTTGCCGGGGGGGTGCTGTGAACCGCTGCTACAGCTTTGCACCCATCGAGGGTATCAAGCCCAACGACGTCAACAGTTCTCAGTTCACAGTCCTGGCTCCCACGGAGAACTACACCGTTGCTAGCGCTGAGTGGTTCTTGAAAGGCCTCTATTCACACTCAGCAGGAGCATTCTACGGCTGCTCAGAGTCAAGTGATAATGCAACGAACGGCCCCCAGGCGGGCTCTGAGATCCAGGGTCCTGGCATGCAGGGTGTCGGGAACCAGGCCTCGGCATACCCTCCAATCACGACTGTTCCTTTGGGGCAAGACCCGCGCGGCATCATGTGCGTATGCCTTTCGTGGAGATGAATTGCATGATGTTTAGGACTAACAGCGATCCTAGAGTCCAAGGTTCTGCCTTCTGCGCCGCGTCTGGCGACTCGGTTTGGGTCGACCCTGGGTTCACGGGGTATGCCAGCGACACTCAACAATTCTACCAGGACCTCTGGTGGGACGGCGTGTTCCATGATGCATATACCCTCGAGCAAGCCAACTTCTCCAATGCTTACGGCCTATACGAGGCTGCCGAGTACTACTGGGACTACCAGAACGACACAAAGCTTCTCATAACCTCGGACGACCTCTGCCAACTGCGTCAGCTCGCCGTGGAGGAGCAATGGCTCAGAAACGGAGACCTTTCCGCCTCCGGGCTCACGCCGGGCGACATGATTCGCGGCATCGCCGGGAGAGCTGTGGTGTCAAGTACCGCCAACTTCTTCGTCGACAACATGATGTCCTGCGGCAAGCAGAGCAAGCTGAACCTCGTTTTCACCTCGCAGGAGCCATTCATCTCCTTTGCCGCCATCGCGAATAGCGACTATTTCACGCAAGACGGACGTGGATACACACCCAAGAAGTTCCTCCCTCAGCCCGGCTCGACAATGACGTTTGAGTTGTTCACGTACGAGTCGGATGACGGCTGCAAGATGCCGTATCCAGCTACTTGCGATCAAACCGCTGCTTCAACGACAGCTAGCTCCAACTGCACGCTCTACGTACGCTTCGTTTACCACGACGTTGCGTGCCCATTCGGTGGCGGCGTATTCAACGGCCAGGCCGGCGCCGCGTCGGGTGGAGCATCCGGCGCGGTATCCAACGGGCCGGCCGGCGGAGCCGGAGCTGCGGGCGGAATGTCCTTCGTCATGCCGTTTCAGCAATTCAGCTACGTGGCGGCGCAGGGTTCTGGCGATTTCATTCCCACTGGCTGGTGCAGCATGTGCGGGGGCGGCGCACCCTTCTGTCCAGGGGACTCTGACGCCTGGCTCATTGCGGTGGCAGCATCGGCGGCTGCGATTGCCATTGCAGTTGTCGTCATCGTCATCTTGACACTTTAAGCAGATGGCACTACCTACCTCTTTGAGTGGCTCGGGGGAGGCAACCGCCTGGTATCGGATAGAGGACCGAGTATTCATTAGTGTGTAGTCACTATTAAGTAGACAATAGACTCTTCATCATCATATCGCGCACCGTTCATGGTGATTGCCAGTCTCTTCAGCAGTGAAGCGCGTTCTCTTCGGCTTGCCTAGCTGAGTGAGACAAGCTGATGAGTGTAATAGTAAGGACACGATCCTGTCGTTTGATGTGTGGATTGGATGAGTTGATGCAAAGGGCAGCAAGGACGGAGTAAGGATGCGATAGTGTGTAAGTTACTCCGTACTCCGTACTCCGTAACGATGTCCAAATTCCAATTTAGAGGCTTCGGAATTCGCCGCTGCGAAAGAATGCAATTTACCCAAAGTCCCAAACACGCAGAGACAACCGCTGAGGTCATCCGTCACAGGACAGACTCCATCCATCAACATCATTGGGGCACATGGAAAGGCAGCTCTTATCATAGAGTTGCAGCCAGACGACATTACCGACCTGCAGGATAGACCGCCGATCCATAAACCCTTTATTGTACTCCGTACACGAGTTCCGTTGTCGCGCTTTGATCATTCGCGAGTTGACTCATTCTATTTGGGATACGGATCTCCATCCTAAGATGTCACCTTGTTCATCGTGAATCTGAACCCTGCACCGGCCTTGCTCGGCTGGCTCGGTCATTAGACCTCCCTCCTCCTCCGCTTCTGCCCCGCAGTCATCACCATCGCCCCTCGTCCCGAAACCATCCAAATGTCCTCGACATCGCCCCATCCTGCCACCGCGCCCACCGGCGACGGCAACGGCGTGGGGGAATCGACCCCTCTCCTCCTCCAGCGGCCGGAGCCTCTCCAGTCCGACAGCACGTCAACCCTCGGACCAGCAAGCCGCAGCCGCAGCAACAGCCCGTCTTCGTCCTCTCCATCCCCCTACCCGTCCTCGCGCTCGCGCTCGTCCTCGACCCGCTCCCAGACCCCGTCGCCCGCCCCAACGCCACGCTCCTCCACCGCCGCCGCCTCCAAACAAACAACCCTGACCATCTCCCTGCTCACCGCCCTCCTCTCGGCCCTCTGCGCGGGCTCCATCACAATCTTCTCCCTCTACGCCGCAACCTTCCAGTCCCGCCTGCGCTACACCCAGTACCAGGTGACGGGGCTCGCCTCGGCCGCCTCGGCCGCAATGTACCTGCCCGTGCCCCTGCTGGGGTACGCGTGCGACCGCTCTGGCCCCGCGCCGCTGAGCCTCGTGGCCGCTTTCGCGTTTGGCACGGGTTATGCTGCGGCGGCGTTTGGGTATGCGCATGCGTACAGGGAGGTTGTGGAGGGAGGAGGAGGAGGATCAGGCAAGAGGTGGTATGCCGTCCTGGTGCTGGCGTTTGTGGCGATTGGTGTCGCGACATGCGCCATGTACATGGCTGCCGTGGCTACGTGCGCGAAAAACTTTGGCCGGGGCAGGTTCCGCGGCTTGGCCGTTGCGGGGCCTATTGCGGCCTTTGGCTTGAGCGGGATGTGGCTTAGCCAGGTGGGCAGTAGGTGGTTCAAGGAAAGGGATAATGCTGGGGATGTAGACGTGGTCAAGTTTTTTGTGTTCTTGGCCGGATTGCTGGTGGTGGTGGGGTTGATTGGGGCGGCTGGGCTGAGGATCGTGGACGAGAGGGATTTGATTGAGGAGGCGGTGGAGGAGCTGGAGCGGAGCGGGATACTGGACGGGAGTGCGATTTTCACGCCTGGAAGGAGTGAGAATGGGTATGGGACGGTGGCGGAGAGGGAGGATCCGTTTGAGGAGTTGCAGGATGGCGATGATGCCCCGGTCTTGAAGGACCCCGCCGAGGAAGAGGCACGGCTGAAGAAGCAGTGGGTGTTGAACGCGGAGACGAAGCGGTTTCTCACGGATCACACCATGTGGTGCTTTGCGCTGGGCTTCTTCTTCATGATTGGGCCCGGCGAGGCCTTTATCAACAACATGGGCACCGTCATCAAGACGCTGTATCCGCCGACACTACACTACGTCGGTGAGCCGACCTCAGCAGCCACTCACGTCTCGATCGTCGGCCTCACCAGCACCGCTGTGCGTTTGCTTACGGGCACGCTGACGGACCTGCTCGCACCGAGCCCGCAGACGCGGCATCTACAGGTAGCACCGGCAGGGCGGATCCCGGGTATTAGGCGCTTCTCTGTGTCGCGGGTTGTCTTCCTCCTCTTTTTTGCCGTGGTGCTCTCCCTTGGCCTCGTTGGCCTGGCGTCGGGATTGATGCAAGGCCATGGGGAACGGTTCTGGATTGTGTCGGGCTTGGTGGGAGCTGGATACGGCGCCGTGTTCAGTCTCACGCCCATCATCACCACCGTCATCTGGGGAGTAGAGAACTTTGCGACCAACTGGGGCATTGTGGCCATGTTCCCCGCGCTCGGAGCCACCCTTTGGGGGCTGGTATACTCGGCTGTGTACCAGGCTGGGGCGGCGAAGTCGGTTCCGCCTGGTGAAGGCGACGGGCAGGATAATCTCTGTTATGGGACCGCGTGCTATGCGCCTGCCTTCTGGGCCATGGCGGCGAGCGTGTGGATTGCCTGTGGGCTGGTTTTGTGGGCATGGAAGGGAAGGGGAGGGTGGTCACAGCGGGGCATTGTTGTGTAGTGGGTTTCTTGTATCAATGTCTTGGAGTATTGCATGGTCTGGCGTTTTGGGCAGCTTTGCGACATATAGATTGGCATTGTTGCTTCGTGTTGGCGCTCAGGGAGTCAGGGGCTGTTCAACAGACAGTGTGGACGAAGCATGGTATTGTACTGTACGTTACAGCACAACCTTGAGTGAAATTCATCAACACCCAAAACTTTTGAGGAGCGGAACCCGAGCCTGCCTCTCAGAGCAGTTCAAGTCTGATCGACTCAATCAGCAATTTCAGAAGGGATCACTTAAAATGTCGGAAAAGGGTAGTCGTTCCCGCGATGTCAAGGCTAGGCCTGGCAAAACAGCACAGGCCAAAGCCCAAGATGATCAGGTCATGGCAGTGCGTGGTCCCAAATTCTTGAATTTTCTACGTCTTGAATGAAGCGCATCTTCACAAAACTCACTCGCCTTACATATCAGACAAATAACAGCAGCATCGTCTCAAAACGAAGCGTGGAATATCTATACTACCCAAATGAGCCGCACTTTTTCCGCTATTTTGTCAAAAAGCTTCAGCGGAGGGCGCCGCTCATCAATAGGGGCTACTGGCTCCGGCTGCGTACGATTGACGTGCTGGTCAGGAATTTTCTGAGGGCGGTCCGGTCTAGAGGCAGGCGAGCTGTCGTTGTCAATCTCGGTTGTGGGAGGTACGGCTTGCTGAACCGCCGATTCCGGTTATTGTATTGTACAAAGGTTGACAGGATGAGAATTGCAGCGATGTCCTTCCCTGGCAATGCCTTACGCGCTATCCCGAGGACTGCGGCAATGCCAAGTTTGTCGACGTCGATTTTCCGGATCTGATCGAGAGAAAACGGGCGACTGTGGCGAGGACCCCGGAGCTGCTTGGCGCATTTACGGGAGTGCGGGAGGCACAGAAGTTGCTAAAGCCAGTTGTCTTTGAGAGCGACAAGTATGCGCAGCTTGGTTGCGATCTGAGAGACCTCAAGACCGTCCAGCAAGGCTTGGTAGAGGTTGTTGGGGAACTTGCAGAGTGCGAATTCATATTCGTGGCTGAGGTTTCAATCACGTATATGGAGACAGAGGGAGCAGATGAGGTGATTAGGTGGGCGTCGACAGTTGGACAAGGTAGGCGTTTTTTCTCTTTTACGCTGACATATGCAAGGCGACACAATACTGATATGTGGTAGCCGAGTTTGTCCTGCTGGAGCAGATCCTCCCAGACGGAGATGAACATCCTTTCGCCTCGACTATGCTCAGCCATTTCCGCAAGCTCAACACGCCCTTAAAGTCAGTACACACTTACCCGACGGTGGCTGATCAGCACAAGCGCTTCTCGTCCAGGGGATGGGATTCGGTCCGAGTCTGGACGCTTTGGCAAGCATGGGCCGATGAGATTTTCTTGTCAAAATCAGAGCGACTCTGGCTGGACGAGGTAGAGCCGTTCGACGAGTGGGAGGAGTTTGCCCTCTTTGCCAGCCATTACTGTGTTGTCCATGCCAAGGCTGGAAGCAACCTGCACTCGACGCCAGCTCCTTCAATACCAAATCTCGCCGAGATCAGGGTCGAGCCGGCAGCGCCGCTGTACTTTGATGAATGCCCGGGACAGAGAGGACAGCGCCGATTTGCAGCAGCCGTGCAGCTCTGCCAGGAGGGGACACCGCAGTTAGTCATGAATGTGCTAGGGCTGGGGACCAAAACGCGGTTACAGTCGTGTGACATCTTTGCCCGCGGTGCTTCTGGGTACGATTCCCCCCTCAAATCGTGCGAGGTGGGGCCGGCAAGTAGGATGTGTCATACCCTAACAGATCTTGGGAGCCATGGCGTTCTTCTGGCAGGCGGCCGCGGTTCGCCATCGCACCCTTTCAAGGATTGCTGGCTCTTTGACAAGAGTCAGCAGGTTTGGCAACGCGTACAGGATCTTCCGACCCCATTGTACCGACATGCGGTCACAGCATTAGGGGACTCGGGGCTGGGCTTGCTCGTTGGCGGCAGAGGACAGCCTACCCCAAATGAGGATTGCCTTTTATATCACCCGGACGCAGGTTGGATATGCTGTGAAGTTGGGGGCGAAAAGCCAGCCGCCGTCTATGGTGCGATGCTTTCTCCCGCAGTTGCTAGCGGCGGGGGCCGCTTCAGCGGGATATATGCTGGGGGTTTAGAAGAAGGTCTTATCTCTAACCAGATATTACGGTGGGAAGCGGATGTCTCAGATATCAAGGTACGTAATGCGCCGGTTATACATTGTCGGGGACATAATGAGTCTGACATGCCTGAAGAAACCCATAATCAAATTCACGACCCTGTCAGTTGGAGACTCTTTCTCCCGCCAACTCCTGGCAAGATTCGGCGCAAGTTGCCTTCAGCACGGCGACGAGTTTATAGTGCTGGGCGGTGTTGGCAGGGACCATCTTCTGAACCAGCAGTACGAAGTCGTGGTTTTGTCAACATCAGAAGGTGTGCTCAGCGTCACCGGCCGCCGCTTTGTCGTTAGCGGTCCAGAAGGGAGTGAATTGGCCCCAAGACCCCTATTCGTTGGGCACTCGGCAGTTTCCATGCCAGACAGCAGTGTTGTCATTGTCGGGGGTGGAGCAACATGCTTCTCCATGGGTACATTTTGGAATAAGGGGGTGTATTCCCTGCATCTTGCAAATGTCGATGACTTGCCAATGGGCAGGTCCTTGGACTCCCACTGGGCACACGAGACCACGATTGATATAATTCCAGGCGAGCCAAGTCTGCCGACCGATCCGGGACATGAGGACGGCCTTGCAAGTTGCCGAATCACACCCATCGCCAGGTTAAGAGTTGAGACGGAAGACGAGTTCCGCAAGATAATCCGTGAAGGCCGGCCGGTAGTGCTAGAAGGTTTGGATCTTGGCAATTGCGTCTCAGCATGGACACTGGAATACCTTGTAGAGAAGGTTGGGGGTGATCGCAAGGTGATAAACCCCACAGCCAGCACCCGTCTGGCCTGTGTTTGCTGACAGTACTATGTAGGTTGTTATCCATGAAGCTGCAACCCAGGCCATGGACTTCACGTCCAAGAACTTCCGCTACGTCACAACCGAGTTTGGCGAGTTCGCAAGGCGAATTGAACGAGGCGACAGGCTGTACTTGAGGGCGCTGTCTCATGAGAAGCCAACCGAGAGACCGGCACTGTTGGCAGAAGACTTCCCTGGCCTGAGCACTGACTTTGACCTCCCTTCACAACTATCCCTAGTGAGAGATAACCTTTTCAGTTCCGTGTTGAGGCTATCCGGGCCGGTGAACATGTGGCTGCACTACGACGTAAGTTTGCCTCCGAACCCCTTTCAATACCTTTTCAGGCTCGTAGCTCTGACAGCGAATCTAGGTCATGGCAAATGTCTACTGCCAGATCGGCGGGTCTAAACGCCTCATCCTCTTTCCGCCTTCGGATGTTGAGCATCTGTCCTTTGCCCCAGGTGCATCCAGCTCCGGTATAGACGTTTTCTCGAATCTAGATTCGACGCGGCTGGCGCAAACCCGCCCTCACGAGGCCATGCTATCGCCTGGAGATGTGTTGTTTCTGCCTCCGCTATGGCTGCATACGGCGACACCAACGTCAAACCAGAGCATAGCAGTCAACGTCTTCTTTAGGGATCTTGGCAGCACGCACTACGCTGCCGGAAGGGATGTGTATGGCAATCGAGATCTGGCGGCGTACGAGAAGGGGAGGCAGGATGTTGCCCGCATCGCAAATAGTTTTCAGAAGCTGCCGGCCGAGGCGAAAGAGTTTTATCTTCTGAGGCTGGCCGATGAGCTCCGGCGCAAGGCCCTGGCGTGATATGACAAGTATCAAATGGTCTAGAGGGTTTTGGACAGCGGAGGCAACATGTAACAGCATTGATAAGCCATTGTTGTGGTGAGCATACCAAAGATACCTTACTTCGTACAGTACCAAGGTACTGATTCTATGTACCGGTATTTGTACCTTCGTACTGTACCCTTACTACCCTGAGTGTGCGGGATCCTGCCGTGTCGCGATTCCGTCTCCTGCAGCGTCCAATGATAACGGACGCCTCAGGGCGAGTCAGCAAGGCACATGCACCAAGGGACTGCCCTGACAGGTCCAGGCCAAAATGGACAGTGCACAGCGCACTCAACTGACACCCAACTGAACACAAAGCCCCTTTCTGCGCCAGGAATAGAAGCAGCTTTGTCGAAGGGAAAAAAGTAACGTTAATAAGAGGGAAAAAAAATCAGCTATGTAGTCGATCAAGTTTCTCCACCAGCAACTTGTCATGGACTGACTGCAAAAATCAGTTCAGTCGAGCACTTTGGTTTCATTGTATCTTGTTTTCTGCCAGCTGTACGGACCGTAGTGCTCAAGTATAATATTCAATGGAGTAGAATTTGACGTTATCGTTCATGTTCGGGGTCGCGGCTTTGCCAAACTCCGCCAAGCATTCAAGATCGAGATGTGGCCCGTGCCTCTCGCTTTCCGTCCAACCGGGATTTACCGGACCAATTTTTTCTAACGCTCTTTTTCCCGAAGACCACCTCTCCGACCTCACATTCTTCCAAAAAGGCTCATTGCCAACCTAACACTCTAGACAAAAACCTCTCGCCAGGTGCAATTGTCTGCTTCTCGTGAACCTCGTGCTCGTCGAGTGTCGGAACATCTCCACTCCATTCTCTTTCTCTTCACACATATTCAGACAACAATGGCCAGTTCTACAACACAATCCAAGGTCGACGCTGTCGTCCAGAAGGCTGCCGCCAGCGCGCCCGGCCAGCTCAGCGGCGTCCAGCTTTACTCCAGATTCGCCATTGCCGGCGCCATCTGCTGCTCTGTCACCCACGGTGCCCTGACGCCCGTTGATGTGTACGTGCCTGTTCTTGAGCGGCCCGTCCGTCGCATGTCGCGCCGCGCCGCGCCGCGCACGTCGACAGCCGCTAGGAGAGTTCCCGACTCCATTGGCCGCTAACGATGCGAACTTCATACAGCGTCAAGACCCGTATCCAACTCGACCCCGTCACCTACAACAATGGCATGTTTGGCGCTTTCAAGAAGGTCGTCCAAAACGAGGGCGCCGGTGCGCTGCTCACCGGTGTCGGCCCCACCTTTGCCGGCTACTTCCTGCAGGGCGCCTTCAAGTTTGGCGGCTACGAGTTCTTCAAGCAGCAGTCTATCAACTACCTCGGTTACGAGAACGCCTCCAAGTACCGGACCGGCGTTTACCTCGCCTCGTCCGCCGCCGCCGAGTTCTTCGCCGACATCGCCCTCTGCCCCCTCGAGGCCACCCGTATCCGTCTCGTCTCTGAGCCCACCTATGCCAGCGGCCTGGTCAGCGGCTTCGGTAAGATGCTGAGCCAGGAGGGTGTCGGCGCTTTCTACGCCGGCTTCGGCCCCATTCTCTTCAAGCAGTAGGTTCAACCCAAGGCTAGTCTTATCCCTCCAATCCGCTCACGCATGCCACCAGGATCCCGTACACCATGGCCAAGTTCGTCGTCTACGAGAAGGTCGCCGAGTCTGTCTACAGGTACTTCCCCAAGAAGAACATGTCGGACAGCATGCAGACCGGTGTCAACCTGGGCAGCGGTCTCGTTGCTGGTTTCGCTGCTGCCATCGTCTCCCAGCCTGCCGATACCATGCTCAGCAAGATCAACAAGACCAAGGGCCTCCCTGGTGAGGGCACCACCACCCGTCTGATCAAGATCGCCAAGGAGCTCGGCTTCAAGGGTTCCTACACCGGTATCGGTGCCCGTCTTTTCATGGTCGGCACTCTTACTGCCTTCCAGTTTGCCATTTATGGCGACGTGAAGCGCATGCTCGGCGCGACGGGTGGTGTGGAGATTGGCAAATAAGAGCTTAAAAGATGGTGCGACTGGTGCTGTGAGAAGGTGCAGATGAGGAGAGGCGATGGTGTAGGTGTAATGGTGGATAGGACGCGGCCGTTACGGGACGTCACACCCGACAACCTTTCCCTTTCTACCCACGAGAAAAAAGAACGACAAGCGGCTATTCAAGAGTGTGGCGTCTAGCGCGGGTTTCTAATCTGGGGCAGCATCGAGACTTGGCCGCAGGTTAAATGGCTGCTGCTTGGAATGATTATTTTCCTATGTTGCGTACTCTACGGCGGGATCTGGTTCTGTTTATCGGCAAGATGCTTCAGCTAGAGCATAGAGCGCTTAGACGAAAGCGCAATCTGCCAGGAGGCGGCTGTATATTAGTTCCAGTTCATCATATGAGTTACCCTTGATGACTTGTATGGTATGGTACATATGATTTGTTTTCCAATGGACGGTGAGATGCGATTTCAATGAGAGAAAGGAGCTTTGTTTTGTGGACCTGAGCTTGCACTGCACATTCGTCGGCAGGAGAGGTTGGGCGGGCAAAGTATCCAATGACCAGACCCAAGTGTCAGCTAGTTGAGTCTAAGTTTAGAAATGATAGAAGAGCTTCCACCATTCCACGTAGGTACTCGTTTCCACTGGATGTTGACAGGAAGCGAAGACAAAGGGAAAAGAATGGGTACAATAGAAGATGAGAATAGTGTAACTTTCTTTGACTCTCCAATGTCTAATTTTACATTGTGCTTCTCCACCGCCAGTACGAGAGTGGAAGTACATTAGGTACTGGCGCATCTCTGGCTTTGGTTCCAAACTTGACTACACAGGTAGCTTAACGCAGGTCAAGATGTTGCCCGCAGCTGTTGTAAGAGCCAACATCATTTCACGTCGTTGAATATAAAGAAGTGCTAGCCGGCAACCACGTACACACTTGTTTATAGTGTTTTGTCTAGGCCAATGAAGCATCTTGCAAAATCCCCTGGTGATTCATTCTAGGACATGGTCTACAGTACTAATAGATGATGGAACCAAGACCAAAGTCCTGTAGGTGGAAGAAAGCAAACCGTTACTAGACAAACGATTGTAAGTGAATACATAGGTGCAAAACCACGCAAACCCAAGTGTCATCTTCACTCATTCGCAGAGTGATGTTGTCTCAAACAGCTTCTCTGGATTCGATCCATCTCACGGGGATGCCGTCGCTCTTGACCGGATCATCATCCAACCAAGAAACCTCCTATTGATTCATCATTCGATGGAGCATGAGCTCCTAGGTAGTCATATCTGGGACAATGTCAAACTGCTTATTGAGCTATGAAGAAGTGGTCTTGGGCTAAGCATATGGAGGTACGACTGTTATGTCTCGCGTTCAGTACGTTCCGAGTACTGTTGTGCTTTTACTGCTTTCGTGATGCCCAAGGAGCAAGGACACATTGGCTTGGCACATGACGTCCCGACCAGCGGCGTCAAGATAAACTTATCTTGCCCGACTCGGCAAAATAAGCGAGCGGCAATGGACCGTCGCAACGTTGGATTGATCCAGCTCCAAGCTCTCAGCAAAATGCGCAGAGCCTCAACACCACGTCAATGTCCTTCGAGATCGCCGGGCGCATCATCGTTTGTCCCTTCAACCGGTCGCGCCGTCCAGCACGAGTTTAGATGCAGCTGTGAAGACGTGAAAAGACATCGATCACCTACACCGCCTTGAACCCCTGTGTCTGTAGCCCCGATAACGAACGATGCGATTGCGATGCCTAGTCTGTGGCTCCACTAACCCGCTGACCCGCCGACCGATCGAACGCGTCTTGACAGGCTCGATTTTGTCCTGCCATCGAAGGTTATCCCCCGAGCCCTGAACACTCTTCCAACTTCCATATAGATGGGAAAGCTGCTGTTTGGAGCTGAACGTGGGAGGGAGACCTGAGGTGCTTTTGTCCCTCTGGTCTATCGGGTAAAGACCCTTTCGACACTTTGTTTTCCTTATTTTTCTTAGTTCTGTCGTTGAGAGCGACGGTGTGGAATCAAACAATCTGCCCTTTGTACTCGTGCCCTGCTGCTTTGTGCCCTTTTTGCAGCGTGCAATTGCCATTGTTAGAAACCGCATCTGCCGCTTGTGGTCAAGTTGCCAGTCGCTGGGTGAACATGGCGGTCGACGGCGGCTTCGCTCCTTCCTTACAAGAATCTTTGGCGGCACCGGACCTCATGCCCTCGCACCTTCCCACCTTCCTCCTCTTCCTTCTGTTGTGTTTAATTCTGCTCTTCACTTGCGGTTCCCTCGATCTTTCCTTTCCCAACTTCACGAAGGCAAGGCCGTTACGACCGCACAAATTCCATCACCAACGCCTTCCAAAAGATCTTTTCAAAACTCTCTTCTACAATCGCAAGAAGGCACCGCTGACAGCAATGCCCAACCAAGTTTCCACTCCGCGCACTACGCGCAATAGCCGCGGGCTCCGCCAGAGCCCTGAGCCATCCAGCAAACCCGCTGGAATCAGCAAGCGTCGCCGCATCAGCGGCTCACCTACCCCGACCACCAATGCGCAATTCCTGGGCCAATCTTCCCAGCCCGCGCAAGCTCCAGCCCTCCAGCCGATACAGGAGGAGGAACCCCACGCTGGCACGCCCACGTCGGTCGCCCCTCCCGCAGCCACTCGGCCGCAAGTTTTCCCCCCTCCAATTGCCCTTCTCCCGGCCGCCCGCCCCGCCGCCAACCACGCCACCACCAACTCTCCTCCTTGGACTCCGGTCCGGCTCCAAATTCGGTACCGTAACAGGTACATTGAGAGAACTCCCCCCCCGCCTCCCACACCGAAGTCTCCGGGTTGTGAGACTCGTCGCTTTCGGCAACGCCGAGACAAAGAGGGCGACGAGAAGTTTGCGCGAGAGCTGTACCAGGCGATCCGCAACGACCATCATATGAGAAGTTGTTGGTGCGGCCTGCCGATGATCTACAACTCCCGAGAGGAGGCGGAAGCAGGATCCGGTCACCTGCGCTTCTACGTTGAAGGCTTCGGCCCAAAGACGCTGCGCGTCATCCAGAAAAAGGACGACCTTCGTTGGCACTGTATCTGTGGCAATTTGGAGTATCCCGCTGCCTACAAGAATTTGATCAACGACAACACTTCGGTCAACGCCAACGGAAAGCGCCCGGCGGAGGATTCCGAAATTGATTTAATCGCCCAAAATCAGGGCACAGATAGCGCCGAGAGCGTCGAACGAGTTCTGCCCGGGCTCGCCGAACCAGTCGTAAACGAAGAGGAGTCACCACTCGCTCAGTCCATGTGGGCGCAAGCGCGCGACATCGTCAGCCGTGCTGTCGCTACGATGGGCGGTTCTGCTTTAAGCATCCTCGGCAAAATCCGCCAACAATTGCGCGGAGATGCCTACGAAACAATCGACACTCGTCGCCAAGATGCCCAGAATGGCACCATTATTGTTAAGAGGGTCAAGCGCCAGGCGCGTGGGCCTCCGACCAAAGATTCACCCTCCGACCAGGCCAGTGATGACGACGGGTTTGAGAACCTCATGTGGACCGATAATCCCACCAAGCGCATTGGTTTGGAGCAAATCCAGTGCATCGCTCAGGAATTTGCAAACCAGCTTAAGTCAATCGAGACGGGCAACCTTATTGGCGGCGCTTCCGTTGCTGCTATACAGCTGCAAATCCAACCCGGCCAAGATCTCGGCACCAGCATCGCGATCCACAAGTACCAGGAGCAGGAATACGGACCCATGATGCCCGGCGAATCCGACCGTGCAAAGGCCGATAAGTTGGTCAAAGCCTTGAAGTCGTATTCGAAGTGTCTCAATATGTCAATCGACTTCATGCGGGTGGTCTACGACCCCGCATTATTTCACGAACTCAAGGAAAAGCATAAGACGCTTCCGCGCCGCTTGGAGTTGGGCGGTGTTGAGTTCAGGCAGGGCGCCAAAACGGTTGGCGAGTTTTTATGCTTCATTCAATCGCTCAAGAGCGTATGCGCCATGGAACCTGTGCTGCTGGAGGCCATTTGCAAGATGATTGTGGATGCTAATGCCATCCACAAGAAAGAGATGGTACCCAGCTTTGTCGAATTGAAGCTCAATCCGATCGAGGGAATGCCGGGCTTCTTTCCCGAGGACAAGAAGTCCATCTTGGAGGAGTTATCTGCGGATGAACTCAACATCCAACCCTTATATGATTTCAGATATCCCTCACCAGAACCGTCTGACAAAGACGAGTCCGAAGACCAACCCGGAGATTACCGGTTGGTATCCAAGCCGAAAGGCATCTTGAAGCCGTCAAGAGAGTGGGTGGATGCTCCGGCTTCACCAAAATATGTTCCGACACCCCAGAAGAAGCGGAAGATCGCTTTTCACAGTCCTGTATCCAACTTTACTGCCCCGTCACATATACCCGCCAGGGTCATGACCCCTTACGAGGCCGAGCGTCTCAGATGTACGAAGCTCCTTGCAGAGGTCCTGGGCGATGAGCATTCGAAGAGGCTGTTCGAGGCTGCGCAAACAGTTTCGAGACCAACCATTGAGGACCAGCTGAACCCCGAGATTGTCAGAAGGGACGAGAGGGAGATGGGATTGGCATACCATGCCAGAAAGTATGGCAGCTTTCTCGAGGATCTTCAGACCGATATGGTGGAGCGCGAGGAAGAAAAAGAAGAGCGAAAGAAGCTGCGGTTTAAGCCTAGCCCAATAGCAGTGCGCATACCGCTCCCACCGTTGCCGTCTGATTCGACGCAACGCAGGCGAAGAGATCGCACCCCAGAGAGCTCGGACACTGACAGTCCACCCCCCTCACCTTTTGGGGCCAAAAATCCGTTCCTCACGAGGCCGCCGGAACCCAAACCCAAGAGGAAGACGGAGCCCGTGTATGCTTCCCTAGAGGAATTCTTTGCCACGGATCAAGAGGGATTGTTACTCTCGCGAGAAAGGATTGATCAGGTTGAGATTTATCGCCAGATTCGCGACGAGTTTGAGGCTGGCCTGCGGCGGCAAGTCGAGGAGAAGCGCCAGCGAGAGATTGAGGAGGAGGAGCGCAGGAAGCAGGAGGAGCGTCGTAAGGAAGAAGAAGCTCGCAGGCGAAAGGAGGCCGATGAGCTGGCCGTTCTTACCGGACTACGACGCCCGAACCGCTCCTTGATAACCCGCATTTCAGATGAGTGGGATTCCAAAGTGCGCAATGCTGCCAACGCGAACCCATCCACCGAGCTGGTCAAAACCCTAGAGGGCCAGCCGCTTACCCGGCGTGACTTTGAGGAGAAGCTTCTGCCACCGACAGCATGGCTCAATGACAATGTTATCATCGGTTCAATCCTATATATATCCGATTATGTCAACAACGCCAAGGGCGCGAGCAACCAGGAACCGAAATGCGCCGCCCTCACCTCTTACTTCTGGCCTCGTCTCCTATCTCACGGCCCCAGCGGCTGTGGCCGTCTTTTGCGCAGGGCTAGCGTGCGCAAGGCGAACTTTTTCGATCTTGAGTCAATCTTGATCCCGATCTGCGACAATGCCCATTGGACACTCGCAGTGATACGTCCTCAGAAGCGCCAGGTCGCCCACCTCGACTCACTGAGAGCGGGCCGTGGCCACGATGATGTCAAGGCCAAGCTCCTTGAGCTGGTTCGCTTCATACTAGAGGACCAGTTTGTTGAGAGCGAGTGGAGCGCTCTGGATTTTGAGGCCCCGCGGCAGACGAACGGCTGGGACTGCGGCGTCTTCACAATCACGAATGCCATGTGCATTGCGCTTGGACTGAATCCGACGCAAAGCTACACGGAGAACCAGCTGCTGTTGCAAAGGAGGAGGATAGCGGCTGTGTTGCTGAACGAAGGATTCAAGGGGGAGTTCAGCCTGGACGGGCTCTGATGGATGCCCGCCATCATGCACATGGGCACAAAGGCCGATCCGAGCGGTCGCCTCACCGCGACCTTAACCACACACATTTGCACTCGACTCGGACTCGAGAGTATGAGAACGGCGATACCAGCAGCCGATTCTCCACGAAAAATAACTACATACATTTTGACCTGAGTTCAAGATCATGAGAAATCTGTCCTCGGAGTCTACATTCAGCGCAATCATACTGTCACATGGGGATTGCATATCAAAATGGGGTTGGGCGGCGTTTGAAAGAGAGGGTACAAAATTCCGATACGGGACTGGTGTTGGGGTATTCTTGTTTCGTTCCTGTAATTCTAATCAGCTCTTTTTTTTTTTGGGTGGGAGTTTTCCCGTTTTACTTGCTCTGAATGAGCTGCGGTGTTTCTGGGGTGGATGGCGGGATGGTATTCGTCTATGGTTTGAGATGTTACGCAGCACATGGGAGTGGTTGTCACTGCGTGTCTCTGGGCGGACAGTACTGTTGATTTACGTTCGGGAAGAAAAGACGGCTTGCTTTTTTGGACGGTGGATGGAGTTCTTGGCTTAGTGGTTTGGTGCTCTTGCTCGGGATTGGGCTGGCTGATACCCCAAGGCGAAATCGAATTGTTGGCTTTATCTTCTTCATCCCACTGGTTGACATCTGAAATGTGAATGTGATTCCTGGCGAAATCCGGATCCGTTGTTGACGTCGACTTGGTGGTGTGGCTGAATGCATCTGTAAACGGGTGCCTAATTGTTTCGCGTGTACCCTTCGTGCCTCGAGGAATGGGCGTCTGAACTATCGTACTGCCTTGCTCCCGCGTGTCAAGTCCTGTTCTCACCGTGGGACGCTAGAGTGAAGCGGGCAAAGTCGGATGGACAGCTGCCTGCTTAGATCCTGCCGCTTTTGTATCCGTCGCCGCCCTACCGGATCCTTCAGGCATCAGGACGTGCTTGCTTGGATGTAAGCGCTTGCCTCGATTGCGTGGGAAATCGCCTCAGCTACGTCGAGTCTTTTAAATCGAGTTACGTAGGCTCCGGCGTTCTCTTGGTGTCTTCCTTGGACGACTTCAAAGTTGTGGGATCACGGACGAGAAGGTGTATTACCGTCTCATTATCCCGTCTCTTTCCTGAAGATGCCGCCACAGTATCAACGTTAAGGATCTATTTGACTCCTGAGTGCTGGATAGCAAGCAGTGAACAAGGGTGGCGAACTGACGGTCTGGCCATCACCCACCTCAGTTAAACCACCAAGGGGACGCTGGGCCTGAGGGAACGTGTTTGGGTGAGCGTCTTGCCCTGGAAATTTCGCCTGCCTTTTCTCTCCAGGCGCAGCCCTCCAGGCATCAATACTGTCGTCAGCCATTCCTGCTGTTCAGTAGTTAGAAGACACTGCTACAGCAAAGATGAGGCCGGTCAGGAGAGAGGGGAAACCCGTTGCGGGGAGCCCCTCGGCTCTTTACTTTTGTTCATCTTTTCATGTTGCTATTTCAACGAAGGTGGACGTCTCAAGCATGCCTCGCAACTCTTGATCCATGTATCAAGTACCGCTAACTACCAAACGGATAGCACGGCCTTGCACCAGCTCCGCTGCTTGTTCACTTCAGTAGTCTGTCTACCTTGATCGCAGCAGACAGGAGACAAGCAACGCTGTCATCACTCTTACTTCCTATCACCTCCATCGGGCCGCCACCTACATTACAGGCGCCCAGTTACCAGCAGGTTGTGTGGTTGTACAGTACAACGTACGCGGAAGTGGCCAGGTATGCCTTGAGCATAACGGATCGCCCGGCATCGCTACGACTTGCTCCCTCTCATGAGCTCCAGAGAGGGTGAGGATAGGGGGTGTGCAGACATGGCGTGGAAGATGCTGCTTGTACTTAGGGAGAAGAGGGTAGAACGGGTAGGCTTAACTACGCATTTCCGGGTAGAAAAGGGTGCGAAAGGTATTCGACGATTCTCTGTGTTACTCGGCATATGTGACTTGGACGGACAAGGGTTGTAATTGTGCTGCACGATGAATGGTAGTATACTGCGATGCTACGGTGTGCTCTGGAAAACGGCATATGTCCCCTCTGCGCCCTTCGAGGAGCTGTTGAGGGAGATAGTCGCTTTGCTGACGCGGCAGCGGCAGCGGCATAGACGGCAACCGTTCTTGTCTCGACGAGAATGATCTACGAGTCTACTACCTCAGAAGACCCCGAAGATCCCACGGATATCTTAGTGCGGCTGCTGCCGATCCGGGCGTATTCTGCAAGTGGATTGGCCTGTCCGGCTCTCCAGATTCCATGGCGTAATCTGGCGAGGTTCGATGCCACAGAAAGATACCCTCCCCATACTCGTCCAGCATATTGATCCAGTCGGGTGGCCCAAAGCACGCCTGGCGGTCTGTAGTTTCTTGGAATGGTGCCTACTACCACACGAGGGAGAGAGATGCGTATCAAAACAACAATGGGTGAGGTCGGAGAGGTGGCTGGCGCTGGCTGAGATACTGCTCATTCCCATTGGGGGAATAACCCTCGAAGAGACACGCAGAATGCCTTGGGGAATTCTGAACTGGCCAGGGAATTGTTTAATCAAGAACACCAGAGACTCTGGCCTGGGTAGATTGAAACCTCCGGAATCCAGCCTAGTACAAGAGCCTTCTCATACTGAACCTGTCAACCGAGTGGCTTTGCTCTTCGCTGACCGAACCGCTGCGACGTGCCCAGTCTACTTAGGACCGATTCTGCCTTTTCTTCAAGGCCGGCTCGAAAGTGAATACCGTTGGCTGGCTCTTCGTAAGCCTCCTTTGAGCGGCCTCGGGGATGACGAAGAGCCAGCCAACGGGTACAAGTACATGATCGCCGGGGGTCGCGGAGGTGATGGCATGCTTTTGTTTGTATTGCTCTGTAGGGGTAAGAAACACAAAGTCAGAGCGCGGGTATGGAACAGTCATCCGGCGTGGCATCTGACACCGGTTATTGCTATGTAGGTCCAGAAATTTCCCCGGAAATTACAGTCCCCATAGGAGGACTCGGAAATTGTACACTCTCTCCCCACAATTGTTAGTGCAAATTGCAATTCTCAACTTCAAAACCACGCTCAAAATCATTCAAAACAAATGCATTTCGCAGCGTTTTCATCCATATATTCACTCTAACTCGAGGCCCTAACCACTAACCCTGATCCTAACCACTAACCCTAATCCCTAGCCCAGTTTCTTGCGTGTGTGTCGCGTGGAGTGTGTGCAGGTGGGAGCATAACAGTGGAAAGGTGGGTACTTGTCCAGATCGGGAAGAGTGGAGGTGTGGCGTTTTGGACCTCGATAGCAAAAGGCCTGACACCGGCATTCTATCAATCTGCGACGGGATTCGGAGCAAACCCGAGGAGGACAGGCGGTGGTTCCACCCAAAGTTTGGCGAGGTCTGGGCGGGCACGGGCAAGGCTCTTATTCTGCTTCTGCTCTGCCTGTTCTGGAAGCTAGGGAATGATTGTGAAGGTCCAGCGAATGGATCTCAAACAGAAATCGTCCTGATCGAGCCTCATCTCATTCAGTGTGACGAAGGCAGAGTTTCTTCCGCAGAGGAGCTTCGTTCATATCTTGATCCGAACCAGCATATCGTGCAAAAATTCACCCTGTGAAACCAGAATCGACTGTTTAGCCCGGCGGTCTGCCCGAGTTTCTGAAAGGGAGAGATTCCGCCACAGTACGTAAGTGCTTTGCTCACCGTCGGCTTCAGAAAAAGCCATCGGGGGAAACGTAACTGGGAGTAGTTGGCATACTGGAGACCGCGCTGCAGAAGCCTTGAATAACCGCGTCGGAGTCCCGAGAACAGCCCAGAGCTACAATGTAGAGACCCAGCTGGGTGCTACACTGCACTACACGTGTGAGCCAACCATCATGGACCGCGAAAGAAACCGTTTGGCTGGTCGACCCGCATGAATCCCACCTCAGGAGCGGATCGCCATGCAAGGCAATATTGAACACCCGGACACCATGCTGTCAGCCACGAGGTCCTGAGGCCACGTGTGTCGAGACTTAAGAATGTGGCAAAGCTGAAAGGTAAAATCTTGGAAACTAGAGACCGCACTTGATTCATCAACAACCCGAGACTCTGAACAGAAAGGGTGGGAGCTCACGCATTTCCATGAATAGATACTTAACTGTCGGCTTGAACCGAGAAGCCCTGGGCGTGGCGATTAGCGAAGACCGCTCAGTTTGCCAAAAGTGAAGTCAACGAATGCTGGGGGCAGAAACGGAAAAGGCTGCAGAGCCAAGCTCGCCGGTTTAACCTGACTGGTTGGCTTTGGGATCATGGATGCGAGAAGTGGATAAATATTCCCGTCGGTGATTGGTAAGAAGGTAGCATTGTGTGTTCGAAGATCGTGAGCTAAGGATTCGGGAATCTCCAGTCGACCGAAGCACTCCAAGTTTGGCAGTTGACGTTCGGATAGTTGGATGAAAACTACACCACCTGCAGACTTTTACGCTGGCATCGGAAAGAGGAACATGGCGTCATGGATGAAATGCAAGTGCACTCAGATCTCTGCAGCTCACCTAGAGGTGGCGTTAATGGGGTCACAACGCCTGGGAAGGTGTGGGTGGTACTGTATGTATGAGCAAGCACAACGTTACGGGTTGCGTGTAATATTCAGGTTCAGGTGTGGGTCACATGGAACCCGTCTCTTCCCATGTCCGATATTGGGCGCGGCCATCTCCGTTACAATACGTTACAGGATTACAGTAGCTTTGTACTCCGTATAAACCAACCTTCTCTCAAAACGCAACCAAACGCCTGACCAAACGGAGCCGGCTGCAGCAGCAGCAGGACGGCACAACAACCCTGCAGCTCTTCCCGCCCATCTCCCCTGCCGCCGTGCCCGTGCCCGAGCCTGGCGAACCCTTTCTAGAAGGCTTCTGTGCGGGTTCTAGTGTAGTTCTTCCAGATTGCCCCTTTGGGATGGAAACTCGTACACCCGCCAGGTCAGAGTGACTACACTGACTTACACTGACTTATGACCTCAGCACAAACCTACCTAGGGTACTTGCGTGATAACCATTTTGGCTTCTTATCACGCTTTCTTCTCTTCTCTTGCCTCTTTCTTTTTACCTTTTTCTCCCCCTGAACGCCTTTTTCTTGTATGTACGGGGCGTTTTGTGTGACCTCAACCAGTCCCCAACCTCCAGCTGGAAGGTGTACGGACATACACTACTCCGTACATGTGTACCGTACAGACATTCATGCCTTGTCTGAGAATTCGCCACAATCCACAACGGGCTGCTGCTTCAAGGTTCTTAGATCTTGGTACCAAGCGGACATTACTATACCAGTCGACCGTAGTCAGATGATATCTGCGGCGAAGGGATGTTCTTTGGCAGATGGAGATCAAAACGTGGCCATGGATACTATACCTACCATGATCATTAGATGCTGTGCGATCGCACTCCCTTGCTGGCGGGACCTCTGACACAGAACGGCAAGCCAGATCTGAGTCGCGCCGACAAATACCGACTCGGCTACTGCCCAAGCCCAAAGCCCACCCAGAGCCTATCTGTGCAACTCTTGGAAGGCGGGTGTTCCGCTGGACGGAGATCATCGCTGTGGCATGCTTTCTGAGAACGACAACTGCCTGACTGACATTGTACGGCGTCATTTTTGTTTTTCCATGTGCTTGCACATTCGCTTCGGAAAGATAAGGTTATGCTTTGACTAGCTTTGGCTCGTCCCAGTCAATACATTTTGTCGACACTACGGTGCACGTGTTGCAAAGTGTTCAGTCACTCTTATCATCATCAAAGGGAGCTTCCCCTATCTCGAGCCTCTGGACTGATGATTACTATACAACACCGGTAGAGATCGGATTCATCTGAGGTGTCACTTTGTTCTGGATCCGTGTCTTTGTCGCGCCACATGACGCAAATTGGGCAACGGCAACCCCGCCCTGACGGTAAGCTCTGCCAGGGCCCCAAAAACTTGGACAGAGCCGCCTTACCGGGTATCTACTGTAACTGACGTCTTGCTCCCGATGATAGGAAGGCAAAAAGGCAGCCTTTCATCAGGTCGCAAGAGTCGCCCAAAACAGACTCAACGCTTCTTTGTGTGGGAACCAGCCTCCCGTTTTCAAGGACCCTGCCGAGCCTGCATATGGTCGCTGTGGCGTTCTACCCGACGATCAGAGCAGAGAATGCGATACGGTACTGTATCAAGTGAAGAGTCAATCAATTGGCCCCACAACCGTCGAAGTTATCCTTATCGGACATCGTCAATGAGCAGAATGCTCAAGGTGCCCGAAGTTTGACTTCGCGGTGTTCGTGTCGAATTGTGCAACGGATCCAAACTTGTGTCACGACCTGTTTCCCTTTTCTGTGCAATAAATATTGTAAGCAACAAGGCGATACCGCCCTGGCTACACCTGGACTGCATAACGGCGCGTTGGAGAACACATCAAACCAAACTAGCGCGGCAGGTAACGCTAGGTACGTATGGATCCGTACCTGGTAGTTATCAGGGTCGAGGAGTTAAGTGTAGTACTTGATGCCGAACTTCTCCTGCAAATTATCATCTGTAGATGGGTAGACTTCCATGCACGTGCACTATGTATTCCGTCATATGCCGTAAAGAAGGTGCAAAAGTACGACAGTCAACAACATAGAACAGGACATTTGGAGCATTAGGCATTTGCTAGGCATTCGCTTTCGGCTTTCCGTATTTTTTGGCTTCTATCCTCGGCTGGAGGGCTGATGGAGAGCACGACTCGTGCAAGGACCGGTTCGGTGACTTTGAAGGCGGATTTCGTGGAGGGAGGTGGGCCCGACTGTTTCCTGCTTGCTTGGTGCTCGCGTTCCTGGCAAAAAGTCGTTGAGTGTAGCACGAAAGCCATGTGAAACTGCGCTCATCCGTCAACCGATATCTGACGGAAAACAGGTCGGCGGTACTGCCGTATACATACATATCTGTTGTCCCGAGCTACAATTTGAGCCGGCGGAATTGTCCGCTCTTGCGCAATCCCGAGAATGGATTGAAACACGACGCTATCATATAGTGCAGTACACCCAACCAGTGCTAGTAAGCATCAACGTTAACTTAGAGCATCCAGGGCAGTGCCTTACTGCCTTACTCCGGGTAGACTAAAACGTAGGTAGCGGGTACACTACGTGTAAAACGGGAGCAGGTAAGCGAAGGAAAAACCCAAGAACAAAGCAGACGGTGGGGCGGGCACAAAAGACCGCTTGTTCAGGTGACGCAGCACAGGACAAATGCCCCCAATATCTGTAGTTGTCTGTCATGCCATTTTCACGCCATATTTCTATGGCTAGTGGATCGATTTGCGACATCGCACCGAGAAAGTGAGTTCTATTGCGGAAAGAGAGCAGGAAGAATGAAAGAACTGAGACCGGGACCCTGTTGGGCTCATGACACCACATTCATGGCTGGATTGGGTTGCTACTGCCAGGTATTCCTGTGTTGGGTGGAGCGACACCCTAGGCGAAGCTTCTGTCAGTTCGGTGGATGGGTGGGCTCCGTGGGCAAAGGTTTTCCACTGTCCAGCCTGCGGGTGGTGGTCCAGATTGGCGGAGGCAGAATCAGATTGGCAGGCACCCGGCAGGCTCCCGGGTCGTCTTTTTCGGAGAAGCCTTCTAGAAGCATGGCACACTACACGTTAGGTTACACGCCCCACACAACCTTCTTGGCCACCCTCTGCTCACCTCTCGCATCCAAAGTGGCATCCCATGTCCATGTCCAGAGCTGAGAGGGTCAGTCGCAAATCATCTCAAGAGCGCCTTGTCCAACATATTTTCCCTGCAAGGCGGCAGCAGCATCAATACCATGTATTCACTGTACTGCACTGTACCATAGGCGACGGACAACTTGGAGTTCGCGAAAAACAAAGCTAAGATCTGAGAAAGCCCGAGATGGAAGCTGTGACCCATCATCCCCGGGCCTAACCTAGACAGTGCCACCTAGGAGCGTAGTAGTCTCAATGCTGCGAACGATCCATGCTCGCCATGGGATGCAGTAAGGATCGATCGAAGCTATAGGCAGGCATTGTGGTCGACTGCACTAAGGTAGACTATCAACGCAGCCAGTTGGGGCACTGGCTAGCGTGTAAAAACCTTGGGCAGCATGGAAAGTGGCCTTTCCAACATTAGGTTGGGTCATTGATTGGCACCTTGGCTGGGTGTATTGTGCCGCTTCTTGGGCGGTTTTTAAGTAATAGTGCGTAATGCGGTCGACACTAAACCGCTTCCTTCGGCTCGATCCCTTGCATCCCTTGCTGGCCTTCTTACCCCCCGGTCCCATCGCACTACACTAGTGCAATATAGGTCCTTTTCCAAGACCGCGTTAAAGACTAGCTTCTGCAGACGCATTCTTTGTCGGCTTTCCCTTTTCATCTCGCCCTCCCGCGCGCCTCAACAATCAGTGCGCGCGCCCTTCCCGCTCCTCCTCTTCGGCCCATCCCAAGCAGCCGGGTCCGCATCCCTTTGAAGGACAAGCCTACGCCACCATCTTTCCATCAGCAAAGCGCATCAGTCCTGTTTACCCGTCACCTGTCTTTGAACCCGACGTGGCGCGTGGTCTCTCTCGGCTTTCGTCAGCGGTTCTGATTCCGTTCCGGGACCAAAGCTCCGGTCTTGTGTCGGGGCCTTTGTGTTGTTGCCCAACGGAGCGAACCGTCAAGAAGCACCGAAGAGCGCTTATCTTCCCATCTCCCCTCGAACGCACTCATTCACGCCATCGACAATAGATATCTCATAGGTGCAACAACAGGTCCTCAATTGCCGGCCCGGCGCAGAGCGATTTTCCAGCCACAGCCCTGTCCAGGTCGCTAGCGCTACTTCAGAACCGTGCTGCTCTTGAGAAGCCCGAATCAATCTGCTTGGTCTCGGTGACAGAAGCGCTGGCCAGAGGGTGTCGTGCTGCTGCGTGCAATTTCTCGTGTGGTTCGTTTCAGGAGGCTCCCGCTGGTTACATGCTTCGAGATTTGTCTGTTGTGGCTTGTTCGCACCCTGCTGTCCCACCATCGGCAGGTCGCAGGTTGCCTTGAGTGACATTCACACAAGGTCTGACACACGGCCCTGCGAGTCCTTCTAGCCTGGCAAAAACGACCCTTGGGATCATGCGAGGGCGGAGGTGATGAGGAAAAGGAAGATCGGGGTTATTTGCGACTTCCCAGACTTGGTTGTTTCCCGCTCAGGCAGCTGCGCGGCTTCATTGTGCCGAAAATATCCCCTGTGCGTGTCCGACCCGGGGATTTCGCGTCGATAATGCCAAGGTCGAGGCTACGATTACAGTCGCCGACCCTCACAGTTTTCACATCGTTCCCGAGTCAGCCTTCTGGACCATTGTCAGTCCTCCTCTCTGGTGATTGCGACTCCATCATGACTTCGTCGAGGCCGTCGAGCTTGGCTCTGATGCCTCCAGCCTCGGCGTCCCCAGACCGAGCGTCGCCTCCGTCGCTCAGACAAATCTTGACCAACACGGCATTGCCACCTTACACACTTGGCGCTTTCATGACCTTCTTGTCTCAAAACCATTGTCTTGAGACCCTCGAGTTCACAATGGACACTGAACGTTACAGAACGGCGTACTTCGAGCTTCATGCCGGGCAGACTGCCGGGACGGGCGACGGTACCGAGCACGTGTGCTCCCTCTGGCAGAAACTCATGCGTGCTTACATATTACCATACGGACCTCGCGAAGTGAACCTTCCGGCGCATGTTCGAGACCGTCTGTTGTCACTCCCGGCTACCGTTGTGCCTCCAGATCCCTCCGAGTTGGATGAGGCGGCAAGGATTGTTTACGAACTCATGAACGACTCGGTATTAGGACCCTTTCTAGCATCAGTATCACTACCGCCTGATGAGGCTCCTGAGACCGAAGCGCACGATCCCAAGCAAGCTCGATCACGACTCCGACTCTACAGGGAGTCGTCAAACTCCGAAGACTCGAATCGATCACCCATCCCGGGTTTCTTACCTCTGCTTAACATTGCTTGGACCAGCGAGGCTAGGAATTCTTCGGCCTCTTCGTCCAGCGATCCCACCGACCGTCAAGGCGGGCTCACAGATCACAGTGCCAACACGGCTTCTCCGACTGAACGGCTCGAACCGATGACACCGCCCACAACACCGCCGAGCACAGATCTAGGGTTCAGTACATCTCCAGGGAGCTTTCACCGGGCTATCACCGCGCACAACAACGGCTGGAAGAAGATGGGGGCGAAGCTTGGCCTCAGCAGGAAAGGCCGCAACAAGCAACCCACATCTGCCGGGCCCGCATCCGACTCATCCCTGAGTGATCCCAGCCAGAACAACAGCAACCCGCAATAGGGATTACAGGTTATGCCGACCTCTGAGAGCCCCGTGACCACCCCGCTTGAATATACCTCGCCAGCAGCAACAGACAGTGAAGGAGTCTGTGGGGGAAGCTCGCAGGCGTCACAACCTACGCCACGCACATCAAGCGAGTGGGAGGAACCGCACCCTGGGCAGCGTTACGTGTACAGTGTCACGGTAAACACGCGCTTGGGTAGCGGGAAGTGCCATCACACGCACCAGGGGCCCAACAGGGTCGGCATAACCGCAAAAGTCTACTCTCCATATCCCAACCGAACCTTAACAGCGGGAGCCCGACGGTTCTCCCGCCCTAGAGTCAGGTTAAAGCCGATCAAGGCGCTCACGGCAGGAACGAGCATATCCGTCAACACGGCGACCAGCAACTCTAGTACAGCGCCGATCATCGCACGCCCGGCGTCCCAAGCGACGACTATCACAGAGCACGGAGCTACCAAAGCTTTAGCCGTTAGCCCCACGTATCGGCACCCGCCCGGCGCTAATCTTCCCCGGCCGTCGATTGACTCCCCAGAGGCAGTGTGGTCCTCTTCGGATTTATCGTCGATGCGGCTCTCCCTAGCTGATGTGTCCGGATTCACCAAGGAGACGGAGACGGAAACGAGGCCGAGAACCGGCCATAGAAGGGTCGTACCCCCGGCCGCCTCCTCCGATCTGGACGACGGCAGCAGCGCTTACATGTCTATTGACATGGACATCTCGTCACCGCGCCGCCTCTTCTCGGCGGGCGAAAAAGACCCCTACGGGTGGGAAGCCGAGCTGGATAAGCGACTCCAGCCCGGCGAGGATTGTTGTCATCAGAGGGCTCCGAGTGCCAAGAAGACGCTCCTTCAACGAGTCCTGAGCCTGGGGCCGAAGGAGCCGTCGAGGTTTGGCATGTAATGACTGTTTTCAATGCGGCTTCGATGATCGATTTCCCACCATCACACGTCTCCTAATTTTGCTCATTCGGATATTCTCTTTGATGTCATTTTAGGTCGGTTTGGAAATACCCGCTCAGGTTTTGGTTACCCACTTTAGATTTGGTTTTTCTGGTCTTTGGTTAGCGAGGCGGACAAGGCCCTCACTGGGCCCTGTGCTCGCCGTATGGATGATGAATAGTTGTACCTTTTTGAATCAGCACCTCTCGAGCGTTTTACGTTTCGGCTTTGGCGTTACGAAAAGAAGAAAAAGCAAGCGAGCGGGCGTTAATCAGGGGGTCTGGTGTCCCGGTTGGCGGAAGTGTAGATATTCAACAAGCATGCATTCACGGACGGCTCATTGAAAAGACATTTGATATGGTATTGGTAGCTGGAGGTGGTGGGGAGTCCTCGGTGATACTAGCGTTCTCACTGCTCTTTAATATGAAGAACTGCATTGGAGGCTCACCCAGCAATATTCTATCGTAATGCTCGATGATGTCCATTCTACCTCTTTAGCAATTGGCAGTACCTAACTGCTTCGAGCAAGAACTTGTGCCTCAGTCACTGGTAGACTCGAATTCAGTCTCAACACGCTTAGTCTTACCGTTGTTGCGTAAGCCCGAGGTGCGAGATAAGGGCTTTGCTGTGAAGAACATTCGCTCACCCGAAGTCTTACGTCCAATGTAAACCTCTACCATACAGATTTATTCGGCCCCTGAATAACCGGGACGGACCTCCTGCTCGAGCCCTAGAGGTGCAAAAGGACAGGTATATACTAACACCTTTACTAACATTAGTACTCAGTAGTACTATCATCATCCAAGCTGAACACTCAGATAACCAGTAGCCTGACACAATTAGGCCAACCAATGTAACCAGCCATGCACCCATCTAGCAACAAATAAGGAACGCCGCCTGGATTGCATGCCAAATAAGCCTCCAACATCGCACCTAATTTGCGGTATGCCTGTCACTATAGTAGTAAATTCCGGGGTTGACCACGTGTCCAAGGACTGGGGGATCCTACGGCCTCCTTATCCCCACCCTAGGCCTCATCCTCGACAGGTTTATCGTGCCTCGAATACATGCGATACTCGAGCGACGACTTCAAGTCGATCTTGCCCTGCTCGACCTGTTTCCGGGTGGCCGAGAGCATGGGCTGGGGCAAGCCCATCGATTCCAGGAATGACACAGCTAAAAGTAAAAAAATTTAGTCCAGACGACCAAGAAACTCGATCGGTTGCATGAAGGGCCAGACTTACCGCTCCGCCACTCAACATCCTGCCTCTTACGGTCCCAACTGAGCTCCTCAGCCATGATGTCAATGACCCTCGGCAGCGCCTCCAGCGCGGCCTGGGCATTCAGGAACGCGAGGCGTGTCCTTCTCGCGAGCACGTCGACCGCTGTTTGCGCGTACTCGTGCCTGACGGCGTACCTGATCTCGCCGTCGACGAAGGGATAGAGCTGCGAGATGCGCTCGCCGCGCGCGGGGAAGCGCTTGTCGGTGGGGCGGCACAAGGCGGCGACGGTCCAGGCGCGGTCGCCGTAGCTCTCGGTGAGGTGTTTGGCGACCTCGGTCTCGACGCCAAAGTGCTGGATGAGATGGATGAACAGGGTGCGGCTCCAGCCGTGGGCGCCAATCAGGCGCACGCGGTGCGTCTGGCAGGAGCCGTCGAGGCTGGCGCCGTCGTCGACCGCCTCGGTGCCGCTCACGCGCGGCGCGTTGGTGACGGGCCGCGGCTGGAGGTTGAACGCCTTTATCGCGGCATCGACGCACTCTTCGGCCATTTGGCGGTAGGTTGTCCACTTGCCGCCCGCGCAGGTCAGAAGTCCGGACTCGGAGATGTCGACCAGGTGGCTCCGCACGAGGGACTCGGTGTTTTTGGCCTTGGGATCCTTGACGAGCGGACGCAGACCCGACCAGGCTGCGAGGACGTCGCCGCGGCGGACATTGATATCGGGTGAAAGGTAGTGGCTGACCTCATTGAGGATCCACTGGATCGACTTCTCGTCAGGAAGAGGGTCGGTGGAGATGGCTGCAGGTTCATCAGTTGTGCCGGCGATCGTGTTGCCCTGCCAAGGTAAGAAGAAAATGACTCTTCCGTCGGATGTCGAAGGGTCAATCAAGCCCATCTTGGCGGGGCTATAGTAACCAGGGAGGATGATGTGCACTCCCGAGGCGGGGGCGACTATTTCCTTGCAGTTGGGGTCGTCCATCTTCCTGATGCCGTCGGTGAAGGGACCGGTGCAGTTGATGATGCATTTGGCCTTGACGTTGAAACTGTCCGCCTTCTTCCCGTCTCTTTCTGGTATCCTGTCTTTGACCGTGGCACCGCACAGCTTGCCATTCTCATCCTTTAGAAGACCCGTAACCTCCGTGTGGTTCACCACTGTCGCACCGTACAAGGCCGCGGTCATGGCAATCGAAACGTTCATCCTCGAATCGTTGTGCGCCCCGTCGTAGTAGACCAATGCGCCGACGAGGCCGGCCTGCTTGAGCATAGGAAATGCATCGAGGGCCTTACTCCTGGTCAAGAAATACGAGCTCTCGATGCCTTCGCTCCCGGCGAGGAAGTCGTAGAATTTGGTGCCAGCCCAATAGTATGGTACCTTCCACCACTTGTCGAGCGGCAGCATGATGGGCAACCACGAGCTCAAGTGAGGGGCGGTGCGCAAGAAGTAAGTGCGCTCTTTCAGTGCCTCCTTCACAAGCTGATACTGGGCGTAGTCCAGATTCCAAACGGCCTTCTCAAGGTAACGCACTCCGCCGTGAACGAGCTTGGTGCTTTTACTGCTGGTCCCGCAGCTAAAGTCTCCCCGCTCAACCACAGCGACCTTGAGACCCCGGGTTGCGGCATCAAGCGCGACTCCTGCCCCTGTTGCGCCAGCGCCAATGACCAGGATGTCGTATTCGTCCTGTTTGTCTCCAGTGTTGCTTTTTTTAAGATCGGCGATCTGCTCGAGGCGAGACTTCACACGGGGAAATCGAGGCAACTTGAAGGTTCCGTCTGCGCCCCAGATCGGAGGGGGTACTACAGGGCCCTCATAACCCGGGATGTCTCGCGGTCGGTATGTGTAGTAGAGCGCACCGCCTGCCGCGCCGGCGATGGCGAGCGGGGGCAACAGGCGCCTGACTTGTGTGAATCTTGACATTGCTGAATCGATTTAGAGCAGCAAGAATTAACTGTTTATGAACGGGGGCGCCGAGCGCCGACAAGGTATCAGCGTGACTCGGACGAGTTTCGAGCCGGACGTTGGGCGCTCCACCAATGACGCAACCCGAACTACGCTATGCGCCGAGCGAGCAGCCGAGCACCGGAGCAGAGACGCTCTGGCTGCCAAAACCAGGCCTTGACAACCCAACAGTCAGCTACAATCTGAAAGGAATTGAATACTGTCAAAAAGATTCTCGGCACCTTTGAAAGCTCCGTGAGCTCTTGTATTTCGGCCGATAGAAAAAAAAGCAAAGGCAGTCGCTTCAAAGGCGCTGAAGGGAGCGACAAGCCCGCGCCTCGGCAATAAACTCCCCGCTAGCAGATCAGTGGACACGGGCTTTGAATCGGGAGCTCAGAACGACTTGTCGCAAAAGTCTTTACCCGTTCGAATTTTTAGGCGGGTCTGTGTAGAAATTCACCCTTCCTTCGCATTCTTGCAGAAGGGGAAAGGAGATGGTGATGGTAGAAGACATGGCGAGATGTTATTTTTTCATCCGAAGCTGGGTGTGTTGGAGCTGATGAGGAAGCTGACTTTGTTTGCGGAGGCATAAAAAAAGGGGACCCGCACCCCCCACGCCCGCAATCCCCCGGCCGCCAGCGACCAATACCCCGGCTAAATCGGGGCACGATGCCCCGCTGTGATCGAGTCCGGGCAGTGCTGTACCACAGCGCATCGCCGTTGATTTTCCGCCAATGAGAGCCGGCCATCCCCTGAAGCTCAGAGGGTGTTCAAAGGCAGCTGCAGCCAACGCCGCCTTGAGACGGGAGCTTCACTGACAATTTCGAGGCTGTTTAAATAAGTAGGTACACTAGATCAGCCAGACGCCGAGAACACTTTTATCCGTCCTCAACGGCAGCTGGTCGATTTGCGGTGGCTTTTAAAGCCAGGTGCGTTAACGAATGGATTGCTGGTAGCGTTGCCATCAATTCGGAAGCTTCACTGCCTCCATGATATAAGAGTTCCAGCGAGGCATGTCTCACCTGGCCAGGGGCAGACCTTGACAGTATTGGGGACTTGAGATCCTTTGAATTGCCTGTGACACACAACTTTAGCGTAAGACTGGGAAGCTCTTAGCGGGATCGAACGTGGACACGAAGATTGGAGCAAATCGCTCTGCACTCCCAATTCCCTCATCTGTGAGCCGTCTAAACCGGGCATGCCGCTGCAGGCGGGTTCTGCCTCGTAAAACCTTACCTCTCTTGTAATCCCATTGTCTTTTGTCCGATTTGTCCTTGAGATTTCTTGTCACTTCTTGGTTTGGACACGTGGGTGTCTGTCAATACCATGTGATATGAGAACGGATACTCATTTCGACACGAAAGAGTATGTCTTGCCTGTCTCCGATGGGTGGTACAGGGCAGCGTGCAATGCTGTCAGCCACGGCGCGCCTTTGTGTTAGGTATCATCCCAATCTGCTGTTCATCCGGGACTAACAAACAAAGCACAGCATGAATGGTGGGCTAGCGGCCCATCGCCTGCCCATGTCCTCGAACGACCCAGTCTCAACTAAATGGCTCGTTCATAGCCTATGCATCGCTGTGGTTGTCGAGCCTCAACGATAAGTTGGCTTCGCTCTCGCTTTGTTTGGCAGTGCTGACGCTGTGATAGAAAAGCGTCTATGGAGACTGAATGGCCATTGCAGGAGGTACCTAAATGAGCACGTAAGGCAACGATGCCGCAGTTGTCGTATTGTTAGCGTTGTACACTATTTACACCACTCAATATCAGCCCCTTATAACCCCCCAATACTCCGGCCACCGAGACATTTCTCTCCGAGTTTGTGTTACACAGGCGAGTACCTGCATTGAGAGGTGTATCTATTGACAAAGGAAAACCGGGCTTGGTTTATTTCTTCGCGGGTGGCGATTGGACATGGCCGGGCCCATTGTATCCTTCCGACGAGATACCAGTCAACGGGTCCGAGTTTTGTGCCTGTTGTTGCGCGCATGTTAGCCACCATTGATAGGAAAGGGATATCGGAGAACAGGAGAGTATCCGTACCCTCAGGTACTCGTTCGTCGCCTCCTGCCACTCCTTAGTCATGGTGTGAGGTGCCGGCTTAGCGAACGACCGGACGAGGACAAAGATGCCGAGGCTGACGGCGATACCGGCAGCGACACCGAGAGCGACTGTCTTGTTCTCACCCGGAGGAGGGAGGGCGCGAGGCCCATGGGGACCAAATGCGATCCAGTAGGCTGCATTGAGAGCGTCAGGTTAGCTTTCCGCTGGTGATAGCTAGGCTATGCGAGCGGCGGGGGGCATGACGTCGGTATACAGAGAGCTCCTTCAGCTCCCCATCCATCAATTGACTTCAGCAAGGCCAATTGAGTCAATCCAATAACACTTGGTTGAGCTTCACGAAGCTCTGAATGACATGATGGATGTGTATACCCGGCAATGGATCGATGGTCGTGGAAAGTCTTGGCATCCACAACTTACCGGCCTTCTTCTCCTGAATGGTAAGCTCCTTCCAGCTCCCCTTCATCCGGTCGCGCAGCGCCATCCAGAGCTCAGCTTGCTCTTGCATTGGCATCCCCTCCCACCTCTTCTCGATATTGGCTAGCGTTGGGTTCGAGATGGCGTGCGTCGAAGCGGCGCGGTAGCCAAGTGCGGCCGTTGCCGACGGTCGGGAGGCGCGCACAAGCGCATTGCGGACGACGGCCGACATGACGAAGGGGAATTCGGGGTTTGTAGGTTATGATCGGTTTCGAAGGAAATGTGCGGTGAGGGGAGATGGGTCTGAATGAGTTACCGGCGCGGCTGGCAGCCTCAAGCTCCTTCGTCGACGTAGTGTTGTGCGAGGTGTTCAGTCATGCACAGACGAGCTTTTTTTTGGGCAGATGGCTCTCAGCTCGGAATTGGAAGTGGTCTGATTGGGAGCGCCTGGTCCGGGCTTTTCCGCCTTCTTGGGTAACGTAAGTTACAGCGTTAACCGCTGTGCTGAATCAAGGGGTGGGCCCCGCCACCGTGATGATGTAAGTATCCGTAACAGTCCAAGCACTTCAAGTTTGTTTCACATTTCACAGGTACAATACGATACACCGCTCCATTCTCCCTATTGTCAACATTTCGGGAATCTATAGCGTTCGGGTTAGACAATAACAAGAAGCAATGATACGGTGCAATTCACATCACCGCTGTGTAGGAGTGTTAACATGTCGAAGCCCTATTAACTTAAGACCTTTGAACAGAGAGTCAGAAACAGTGAGTCCCAGGTTCGCGCTTCTCCTGTCGTTAACCCACAAACAAGAAGATAGGAGCGGTTGTTGTCCTATAGCACTGCATTACCTTAGGTATATGAGAACAAATACATATATGTACAATACAACTGATAACTTAGCAGTAACTTAGTTCACGCTTCTCTTCTGTATGGCATTACGCAAGGCCCAAACTGCCGCTTTACTTATAGGTGCAACCACACGCTCAAGCAACGAGGCTATCAAATGGGAATGCCAGGACTTGCTGCTCTCATCTAGACTCTTGTTGCTGGCCAGGTGGTGGTTGTGGTCTGAAGGGCTGTTGACTAGAGAGTGGTTTGCTGCCCTTTGGCATGAGTCTCTGCATGTGACGGGGGTCGTGGAGGGCATTGAAGCTGACCTGCTGCTTGCGCCCTCCTTTTGTTCCTTGAGCTCCTTCAAACTCGGATTGAATGCATAATAGGCTGTTCGAATTTGTCAGTGGTTAATCAAGGCTTCGATTGCACCGTGGAGTTTAGAGTTTAGCATTTCATACCATTGCCAATGCCAAAAGCTAAAACCAACCCAATTGTGAGGAGCTTCGACTGGGCGCTCATATTGCATAGATGATAGATAGGCCTTGGTCTCTTGGAGAACGGGATGGACTTGCTGGGTGATTAATCGGAGGCGAAGAATTGCTGTGAGGATACAAGCTCAACACATGGTGCTCGCCGACGGGAACGGCTTGAACATTTGCTTGAAAAGGGGAATTACCTTATGTAGGTAACGGTAGTTACTATGTAAAATACGGATTTCCAGCTTGTATGTACTGAAGTACCTCCGTACCCATCCTCGATTATGTAGCCCCACTTTAGCATCTGTTGTAAGGCCAAGTCGCGTTGCGGTTCAATTTACGCGTTCGAATATCGCATTGCACATCAACTTACACACTCTGCTTGGTCCCAGTCATGTCATAAATGCCGCTGTTTGTAATATCATCTGGCACACCAAGGCAGCTATGCAAAGGGATTCACGGATATGACAAATCGACGCCATGAAAAATTGGAGGGAATTGGGGGAGGTTCCAGATTCGGAGGACGAGAGCGTCGGTGACGCGGAAATTCCAGAAGGTCCCCCACTCGATCAATCTCCCGAGCCTGTCCCCGAACCTGTAGTCGACGAGACTGGGCCTGGGAATGTGCCCACGAGACCGGACGATGCAGATATATGGAGTCTCCCAAGTTCCTCTCCGGATCGGCCTGCGGCCAAGGACTCCGCGATCCCCAGACAAACAAGCCCTTACGGAAGCGAATCAACTCCTTCTGCGCAATCCATACGAGAGAATGGTGGCGGCGGAGAAATTTCTGCGGCTGCTGTCGCTGCTGGCGGTAGCCACACAATGCCACAAGGCGATCTTCCGAAGTCAAGAGAGGATCCATTCTGGGAGGATGAGATTGCAACGAGCTACGTCCGAACTATGATGCCAGATTCGCCGGCCTCAACACTTGTGAGTCTTCTCTCGAGGACGCCGACTCCTCCGAGATCACCATTATTGTCCCCAGCTCGTTCCCGCACCTCGGAGGAGCGGGAAAATCCGGTGGGTGGCGATGAGGTGTCGAGACAGGCCGCTGTTCGACTGGAGCGTTCTTTGCGGCCGCGGAAACCCATCCAGCAACATCCCTACCTTTTGGAGAACGCTCAGTATACAACCTTCATGAAATCACATGGTATTAAGCCTATAAAGGTTGTCCCGGAGCCGGTCGAGGAGGACGATTCTCAGGAGCAAGATTACCAGGCTGAAGCTGAAGACAGCCAAAATGCGAGCGCAGGGAGCCCGAATCGAGAGGCGGAGGTGCCCGTCTTCTTTCGGTTACTTGACGACGGAGATGAGCTGGCATTGTCTCCTTCGTTGCCTAAAACATCTTCTCCTCACCTGATGGCTAGCAGCCAGCGGACGAGCTCGGATCAGACAGATGTGACCAGCCTCTCGGACGATGATGATCTGCCGCCTTTGAACAGGCTTCTACCGGTGTCAGCAAAAAAACGGCGTGCTGTGAAGCACCAGACCTCACCATTAATGTCCTCAGCGAGACGGAAAAGAGCCAGATTCGTACCGGATTCCTCCTCGCCACCACGGCCCACATTCATTCCTCCCCCTAACATATGGGACCTCTCATCGTCACCCCATGGACCGCAGGAACCAGATGACGCACCACAGGGACTTGGAGCTATAACAGCGTCGCCGACACATGAACGCCCTCTTACGCCATACGCATCCAAGCAGATGTTGACGTCGGTTAGCAGTTCGCATGGTAACGGAACTGCGGCTACCCCTATTCTGATCGATGAAGACAGCGAAAGCAGACTCAGCGATGCAGACTCGGCGACTTCTCATAGTCTTGAGAGCGACTCAGATGTAGTCCGCTACAACAGCAGAAGGATTCGTGGTGTGCTGCCAGCTTCGTGGCTCAGGCTGGACCAGAAGAAGAACGATAAACCCCCTGCCCGGAACGCCAAGAAAAAGAGTCCAGAACCCTCTCCAAATCGGAGTAACAGGCGCGGTGTGGCTTTACCAAGACAGGGCTCGCCCAAGCCTTCCGGCACGGCTCCTTTCTTGTTTGAAGATTCTGAGGAGTCTGATAGTGCATCAATCCCGAGGGAGAATGTGCCAGAAGCGCTTGCTCGGATTACGACGGCCGCCATCAGTATTGACGATAACGATGCAGATTCCGCCATGGAAGACGATGCTATTGATTGGATGCTTCCGGGGAGAAAGAGGTCCGGATCTCACAGCGGACCCCGGCGAGCAAAGAAGCAAAAGAAAACAAGCACACAGTCTGTATTTAAGGGAAATCCTAACCAGCCCTCCCGGCAACCCAAAATCACCCAAGTTCTTGGCCGGTTGGAAAGGCCTGGTGCCACTTCGGCCTCCGTAAAGAAACGCCCGACTGACCGGCAGCGTCGGGAGAGAAATGGCCCTTCAGAAAAGCGCAGGCCTAGAAACGGAGTCAGCACGCCGCCCCTTTTGAGCATTTTGGACGTTGTAGAGCCCGACGCACCAAAGTATCTCAAGATTGCCGCACGTGCAGTCAGAAAGAAGGCAAACTTGGGAAAAACCAGCCCATCAAAGAAACTCATTAGCCTCGCGACGCGGAGTGACAACATCGACGCCTTATCGACTCTTCGGGACTGGAAATCAGGGAAGACGAGACCTAGGATTCAGGTGTCACTAAAGAGACAACAAGGGAGGGAGGCGGGCAGACCGGCTCTTCGAGAGATACCGCCAAATATCGCGCCGAACCCCACGATAGCTCGACCGAGGCCGTCTCTCTCTGTCCCTCAGAAACTTACAAGACAAAGCAGCCTTGATGGGTTCGTTACGGTGGACATGGCAGCCACCTCCAGGTCTCTAGAACCGCCTCCAATCCCAAAGCTCCCCCGTCGAAAGCCAATGCAGGACCACGCACCGAGTTTCCGGCCCGCGCAGCTGGAGGTGGTTGACCGTGAGAGTAGATGGCGTCAGCTCAGTGGTCGGAAGCGGACACTGGATGGCTTTTGCAGAAGGTTTGGCCTGCCACGGGGGAGCTTACTAAACGGTGAATTGGACCAGCCATTCCTCGATACGGAGTCTCCTATACGCGAGCTAAAAGCCCACGGTCAAAATGCGGCCAGTGATGCTGAAGAAGCTCCGCCCGCAACGGCGAAGAAGAGGGAATCTAGGTCTAGGTTCCGCAAAAGGCGCCGCCCACAGCATCTCGACCCGGAAGCACCACAATACGCTCACGCAAATGATCCCCTGCCTGTTGATCTTTCCATCGCCGATGTTCAGCCGCACCACTCGGAAGGCAAACTCAGGGGTTTGGGTCCGTACGGCACGCACTATAGCCAGCATTTCGACGTCTTCCCCCTTGAGAGGGGCACCTTCTTTCATGAAAGCACTGTTATTGGTCGTGGGTCGCTTCGAGACGCGGCCGACACGGCATTGTCTGACCGGATCCGCCACCAAAGACCGACATCTTCCTTCTCCTTTGACGGAAACTCTTTGAGGTGGGGAGCATGGGATGATGCTACATCGTCAGAGCTTGGCATACTTGTTGACTGGGTAGCCGAGCAGCTCGGCTCGGATGCAATGGCGGAAGGTTCTACCGGCCGAAAAGTAATGGAAGCAGCTGACTTTGTCCTTGGCTACATCTTGGGCTCCCTAAGTGTTCGAAACGACCTTGAGAAGCAGGCCTTCGTTTCAAGGTGCTTGGAGGTATTCTCGAGCTTCATCGGTCGATTCGAGTCATTGCAATGGGTCGCAGTTCCTGTCACTGACAACAGATCGCGACTCGATGTAGCGGTTCGTTTTATCCTAGCACTTCTAGCGGTGCGATCGTTAAGTCATCCATGGAGTGACGACCCGATGCAAGCCATGAAGATTGAGGATATGATCAAAAAGTTCGCTTCGATCATTGTCAGGCGTCTTCTGGAAATTGGCACCCAGGAACTGCGGACGCTCTACGGTGACCTGCAACGTCCATCCTTCAGAGAGCGGGGAATACGTTCGGATCAGGTTGTGGCAAACTGTTGGGTGGTCGTGGTGGCAGTTCTGAGGAGTGCTGCCATCCGCGGAGGGCCCTGGGATATTACCCACTCCGTCATGCTCAGCCGCCTGGACGCTTCCGGCTCGGATGTGCAAACATTGGAGGCCCTCTGGCAAGACATGTTCACTCTATTACCCCTCTGCGAAATCGACAATACTGGGATTCTTGTTCCGGGATCGAGAAACAGGGATCCCGTAGAAGGATGGGCGCTGCCACAGCAACTGCTCAGGCGTGTCTTTGAGCTGTACAAGTCTAATCCTCGACAACCGCCAGGCTTCAACGACTATTGCCGAGCACTGATGGCGCGTTGCCATCTGCTCGTCCAGCAATGGGGATGGCGCAAATGCACCGGCATTATTGGCACAATTTTCGACTTCTTCGGCTCGCAGAACCTGGCGCATCTAAGAAACGAGGAAGTGTACAAATCCCCTCGATTCCTCGAGGAGCTCGATAGCAATCCGTCTCTATCCATCGAACCAGAAGACCGATGCTTCCACATATTCATCAAACTGCTTGCTCTGGCAATCCAGCGTTTGAAGCAGGCTGGCCGCCAGAACGACATCAAAAATTTGGTAGCTAGGACCCTTCCTAACCACAACCGGCAATACCTCAAAGAAGACACCGTTCACCAGCATGATTTGGCGGCCCTTAGGAACCATCACGACCTTCTTTGTACCCTGTTCTGGGTCTCACCGCCCGAAATGCGGCCTGCAGTACGCTTGATAGAGAAGCTGGTCATTCCGGGCAGCGCTCACAAGGAAGCATGCCTGATAAATATTAGGGCCTGGAACCAACTGGCGCGGTTTGTGAACTCCAATGGCGAAGACATTGCCGCGTTCAAGCCGTTCGCCGCCTGGCGGAACAACATCTTCAACCAGGTGTTGGACCAGTACCTCTCAGCCGCCTCCGATATCGAGCAGCAATTCAACGCTCTTTCTAGCGAGTTGCACGGCATCACCAAGGAAGCACGGGACGAAATGATTGCCAAGAACAAGGCTACAGCTCTGGATGTGCTCCGTTTCTCAATGAAAGCGTCTCTAGACGTTCTGCAGCGCGCCCCGACGTTAGAAGCCGCTCTCGGTGGACTTAACACCGGTAAGCATGGTATTATCATTGAACGAGGAGGGTTCTAACTCTTTGCAGCCCAACTACAAAAGACGTTTACCAGCCTTGACCACCAGGCTCCCGACTTTGATTGGAGTGTCGTCCGCGTCGCGTTAGACACGCTGGAACACTTCCTTGGGCGGATTGATGAAGCCTCTGACGAGCAATACTCGAGCGAGTTTGCTAGCAGGGCTGATTCGCACCACGTAGAAGAGGCTGTGCTGGTAAGTGACTGCCTTCCTGATCTATTGAGTGTGTGAGCCGAGCTAACGAGTGATCAGCTGCTCAACGAGCACCTGGTCAAGGACTTTTTCCAGATGAGCCGCACAATGCTCTCGCTCCCACTGGGAAGGCCTCTAGGGCAACAGGCTAGGCAGGTTGCCTGCACCGAGAAGGCCGTGAATTTGGCCGCCCGGATTGCCGCCAGATTCATCAAGAATAGGGTGACGGTGTGTAGTCCAAGGACAGAGGTACGCTGAAAGTTTGCTGACGTTAGCTAGCAATTGTCGCCTTACTTCTCCAGCGGCAAATACGGGCTGTTTTCCGATCTCCCAAAGAACCTCCAAAGCCCGGAGAGGAAATATTTGCCTCTCTTTGTCGCAGTGCTAGTGAAAAACCATGTCTTTGACTTCAGGGGCATTGGTGTCAACATCCTGGGGCTGTGGATTCTATCAATTGTGAAACCGCAGGGGCTCTTGGGGTACGAGAACTACCTGGCTGAGGTTCTGCAACACCACCATCTCCCATTCCTTGACAGAGCCACGGTTGCAGTTGGGATTCCTCCTGACTACAACTCAAACACCGACATGTTTGCCTGCGCTATCCACTACATGCGTAGGACACTGCGCGAGTCTGGAACGGCGCAAGCAAGGCAGCACAGAGAGGACTTTTGCAAGATCCTCCAGCTAGCCATGCAGAAGATGCAGGAGGATTTGGTCTCTCTTCGACCACACGCTGCCGAACACGGACCGTACATTGAATTTGTCAGACAGATCATCTCGCTGATCAAGTCCCACGGAGTCGGCATTTGTGTGGTCAACCCCTTCTTCACCAAGCCGAGCATCGACTACTCTCCTTCTTTGCAGGACCCGGAGCTGCACACGGCCGGCATCGTTGCCTACGGCGTCAGGCTGAGCGAGAAGGATGTCACCGCCGTCCCGCAGCTGTTCCATTACCTCTACAATAACTTCAAGGTGGCCCTGGCCAACGGCAAGCTGGAACAGGAATGCCGCATTTTGGGTACGGCGATGGAGAATGCACATGTCACCTCCTTTATGCTGCAGTCCATGCTTCCGGCGGTTGTCCAAGCTTCAGCGCAAACGCCCGATTGCTGGGCGCTGCTTGAGGTGTATGTCGTCGCATTGGGGAACATGCTCGGCGCGGCTTGCGTTCCTAAAGAGCTGGCGGGCGACGATGTGAAGCATGCCGCCAGCGTGCTGAGCGGATTACTGGCATGGTTCGATGCTCTCGGCCGTCAAGCGGTACTCACGCTACAGCAGGTGCATGTCATGACCCTCCTCGCCACAATCGCCAATGTCTTGCAACCTAGTCTCACTGCCTACCTACTAAACGAACCCGAGGGCGCAGTTCCTGGGCTTGAAGAAGTGATAGACTGTCTGTCGGGCTGCTTCGGCGAAACACGCTCGAATCTGGAGGAGGCGCTGCTTACTCGCTCGGATGGAGATGCGGATGGCCTCTCGGATGAAGGGAGCATGCAGATCTCGAACTTTCTGGCGTCAGGGCCTCAGCTTGGGCTCGCTGAGATGCCTGCTATTGGGGATACGCGCGTGCAGGATTTCGCAAAGACAATCGTCTCGGATGTGCGGCGGAATTGGGTTGTGTCAAGGGACTGCGTCATGGTGAGGGTGCCAGGCTCGGCTGGGAATGGTGGTGCTGGTGGAGGCGGGACTCCAACCATGACACAACCTGCTGCTGCTGCTTCGCGGCCTGTTTCAGGGACGCGGTATTTGCCGTTCAGGAAGGAAGAGATATTGCGACGATTATGTGTTGAACTTGGAAAATGGACATTGCATGGCATGGGCGGTGGGGGTGTGGTCGGGTGGGAGGGCGGAGAGGCAAGGAGGGCTCGGGGGAGGGAGAAAAGGAGGGATGTGGTGGATGAGGACCTTTTGTTTTAACGGCCAGGGAGAGAGAGGGGTTGGACCTCTTACGAATATGAGATATGAAAACAGTGATAATGATTAATATGTCTCTACCCTGGGTGCAAGATGGAGGGATGTTGCTTATGAGTCAAAAGGACAGCGTTAAGTGAACATTCGCAGACTCTTGTTCAGGGTCTTGACTCCAGGACAACAAAGAGAATGGTGCTGCATGAGTGCTAGAATACCTACGAAGGTACAAAATCTGAATCTCTCGGACATGTCTTCGATCAAGTTAAGATGGCGGTCGCTGACTGCATAGGGAAAGCCGTGGTGACCATGAGCCTTTTCAAGAACGGTGGCTAAAGTACTGCTCCAAAGGCAACATCATCGTCAATTCATCATAGGTGTTTGATTCAACCAGTGATAGACTTCGCTCTCTTCTAAATCTCGGAGGCGACGGAAGTATTCAAACACTCTCAATAATTATATGTACAGCCATTATCTCTTGAGTGGGGATGGTCACTCTACGTTGCCTACCCCTACGGCCTACCCCTATGACCCAACCCATCATTGATGAATAACATCGCATCTGCTGTTAGACAAAGGAAAAAGCACTCCTTGGGTAACTGACCTGCCCATACGTTCTATTGCTGAAGCATCGATACTGAATAATGATGATGTTACACATGAAACCGTTACGACCAAGTCATCCACTCCGCTGCAATAAGCAGGCTTGAATGATGGTCCATTTCATTTACTCCTTCACTCGCCCTTCAGCTTGTCCTGTTTGACAGTAAAAGCCATTTCGAGCAGATCCTGCTCCTCCTTGGTATGTGAAGCCTTCAGACCGGTCGCGACCGAGGCGCTAGGGTTCCGCCCAGCATACATAACATGCTTGCGGTCGTGGTACTTGGTCTGGTTCAGGAGCGTTTCAATGCGCGGCTGCGTGTAGCTCCACGCGCCCGCGTTGAGCGGCTCCTCCTGCGCCCACACGATTGTCTTGGCGTTGGGGTACATGTCCAGGTTCTCGCGTAGCTGTTCCCAAGGGAAGGGGTGCAGCTGCTCGATACGTGTGAAGGCAACATTGTCAATCTTGTTGTCGGCGCGGTACTTTTGCAGCGCCGCGTACACCTGACCGGTGCACAGGATCACACGATCAATCTCCTCGGGAGACTTGATAGCGCCCGACTTGTGTGCCGGGTCGGGAATGATCCACCTGAACTGGGAGTCGCCGATGAACTCCTCAATATCGGACCGGGCAATTGGGTGACGCAGCAGCGACTTGGAGAAGAAGAGGATGAGGGCTAGAATTGTCATGGGTTAATAAGGACACGTTCATGATCATTCATTTCTTGAACGGCGAACTTACGTTTCCGGAATTGCCGGTTCATCTGGCGCCGGAGAATGTGGAACAGATTGGACGGGCTTGTCATGTAGGCGACCTGCATGTTGCAGTCCTGGTGTTGACGGTTGAGCTTTTCGGGCGAGGGGAACACGCGAGGATCCTCGTTACAGAGCTGGAGGAAGCGCTCCAGACGGCCTGAGGAGTGCTCGGGGCCCTGGCCGTCGTAGCCGTGGGGCAGCGACATCACGAGACCGGTGCGCTGCATCCACTTCTGCTCGCCAGAAGCGATGAACTGGTCAATAATACATTGCGCGTTGTTGGCAAAGTCGCCAAACTGAGCCTCCCACATGACGAATCCGTTGGGGTCGGTCAGCGAGTAGCCGTACTCGAAGCCGAGTGCACCAAACTCGCTGAGTGACGAGTTGGAGATGACGAACTTGCCCTGATCCTTGCTGACGTGCTGAAGAGGCGTGTAAGTGTCTTCAGTCTCCTGGTCATGGAAGACGGCGTGACGCTGCGAGAATGTGCCACGCTCCACATCCTGGCCCGAAACACGGACGTGGCGACCCTCAGTAACCAGAGAGCCAAAAGCCAGCGCCTCGGCCGTTGACCAGTCAATGTTTTTGCCCTCAACCACCGACTTGGTCCGGTTGGCGAGGATACGCTTCAGATTGCGATGAAGGTTGAAGCCTTCGGGCGCGGTGCCAATGACCTCGCCAATGTGCTCCAGAGTCTTCCTGTCGACGCCGGTGGGCTTGTGCGGCAGCACCTCGGTGGCCAGCTCCTTGGGCGACTTGAAGCCGTTCCAGGCGCTCGTGGTCCACTCCTTGGAGGTGGGCTGGTAGTCCTTGGACTTGGAGAAGCTCTCCTCCAGCATGCCCCACACCCACTGCTTGTGCTCCTCAATGTCCTCCTTGGTGAAGGTGCCCTCTTTCAGGAGCTGGTCGACGTAAATGTCGATCTGGGGGGTCTTCTCCTGGATGCGCTTGTACATCAGAGGTTGAGTGAATGACGGCTGGTCTGTCTCGTTGTGGCCGTGCTTCCGGTAGCAGACCAAATCAATGATAACATCTTGCTTGAACTCAGCCCGCCAGTCGGCGGCTAGCTGGCATACGAAATTGACAGCCTCAACGTCGTCTGCGTTAACGTGGAAGACGGGGGCGTCGATAGCCTTGGCGATGTCGGTGCAATAGGCTGTCGACCGAGCGAAGCGAGGATCCGTCGTGAAGCCGATCTGGTTGTTGACCACCAGGTGGATCGTGCCGCCGGTCGAGAAGGCCGGGAGGGAGTGGAAGCCGAGACACTCGTAGACAACACCTTGGGCAGCGAAAGCGGCGTCGCCGTGCAGGAGCACAGCCATGGCGCTGCGGTGAGTCGCCTCGTCGTTGTTGTAGTGCTGGATAGCACGGACTTTGCCGAGAACGACGGGGTCCTCGGCCTCAAGATGGGACGGGTTGGCCACCAGGGACAACTGTACGCGCTTTCCGGAGGGAGTGGGCCGCTCAAAGTTCATGCCCAAGTGGTATTTAACGTCGCCAGAGCCCTCGTCTTCTGCGCCAGCCGTGCCGGCAAACTCGCTGAAGATGGATTCGTTGGGCTTGCGGACGACGTTGCTCAGGACGTTGAGACGCCCGCGGTGGGGCATTCCAATGACAATATCCTTAACGCCATAGTCGACGCTGCGATCAATTAGAGCCTTCATGCCGGGTACCAGGGTTTCGCAGCCTTCCAGGCCAAATCTCTTGTCATTGGGGTATTTTGTGGCCAGGAAGGCTTCGAAGCTAGAGCTCCAGATAAGGCGGTCCAGAATCCTGCGCTTCTCGTCGATCGAGTACTTGAAGGGCTGGGGCACCTCAAGGCGCTCGCGCAGCCAGTCGCACTTCTCGCGGTCCGGGATGTGGATGAATTCAACGCCATATGAGCCGCAGTAGATCTTCTCACAGGCAGCGACAATCTCGCGGAGCGTCATCTTCTCGCGGCCCTCGCGCCTGAAGCGAGGCAAGATGCCGGGGCCCAGCGTGTACTCGGTATCCAGGTCTTTCTCGCTGAACTGGTAGTAGTCGAGCTCAAGCTCCTTGGGCTTGATGTTGCCAAAGCCCTTGGAGGCATTGCGAATGCCGAGGGGGTCGATCCTCGACTTGTGATGCCCACGGGCCTGGTATGCGCGCACAAGCAGCTGGACCTTGAGATGGTTGGTGATGTCGGCGCCCTCGCCGATGCCAACACCGGCGCCGGCTGCGAGGCCAACGACGGCCTGAGTGCTGGGCACCAAGGATGGCGGCGGAGTGAAGGCCTGGGAGATGGGCATGTCGCCGCTCTCCATGTTCTTGAAGTAGACCTGCCATGATACGTGCACACTCTTGGGGTCCCGCTTCCACTGCAGATACATCTCATCAATGTAATTGGCGGTATTACCCGACAGGAAGTTGTCGTTCGGGTCCGGCGGATTGTGAAGAGCGCTCTCGAATCGTTTTTGGGCGGCGACGGCGAGGGGACGGCGGCTGGCGGCGAGCTTGAAGCCGGCCCGCGACGAGACGGTAGCTGTCGAGAAGCATCGTGACGATGAGGATGCGGCGCCCTGGAGCGCCCGGATGGAGGTGCGCAGCATCTCGGCCGGGTATTAGGGGGGGGTCGTAAGGGGGTTGCGGGTTATGTCTTCGGCCCTGGTGACCTCGATGAGAAAAATATCGACGGCAACAGGGGAACAACGGCTCGTGTGGATGCACCTATGCGATATCGTACAGAGAAGAGCGCAAACCCAAGAAAGAGCGGCGGAGTAAGTCTCGGTGCGATGTTGGCACAGAGAAAAAGAGAAACGTGGAAACTTTAGATCGTCAAGAGACGAAGCGTCAGAGTTGAGGACATTGGTTTGATACCTGTCCTTCGAAGTGCTGAGTGGTTTCCCGGTTGTTTTTGCCTCGATGCAAAAAATTGGGCCGGGCCTGGGAAAAGAGTCAAAGGGCAGGCGTTGGACCGAAGAATGATGACGGCAATTTTTCAGCGAGCGACCCAGGGGGAACAGAACTGCAGGTGACCCCTGTCGGGTCCATACAGCCAACCAAAAACCGCGCTCTCACCGTGCCATGCTCTTCGCTGAGCCGGGCTACGGTTCTACGGAAGCAGCCTCAGCTCTGACAGCCGACTGCAAGTCCTCAGCTTGGCTATTCTTTGGGTCAGAAGGGTGCTCCCGCTTTGGTCAAAGAATTCGTGCTTTGTCATATCAACTATGCACATCTGAGACGTTGACGAATTGAACTGATCTAGCCAGTGATCCGATTTGAAGAGGAAACAATCAGAGAAGCTGCAGTTGTGCCCTGCACAACGGCGCATTTGCACATCTGCACATCATCACAGGAGCCACAGAACTAGAGAGAAAGCTGCGCTTGACCTCACATCTCGAATCTGCGATTGGATCCGGCATATCCACAAATCCACGCCGGCTTGGATCCGGAGCCTAAGCAATACCGAGGAGCGGAGCCCGGCTATGACTACCAGCTACGTACCATAGGGTGGTTTTCATCGCCAAAGGAGAAGGGAATCGTGATTAGCTATACCCGCATCGCCTGGCATCGTACGCCGTCGGAGAGCCAGCCATAGCCATAGAAGCGGGCATCACCCGCCGCCAGTATGGCGCTCCCGACCGGGAGAGCCACGTACAAGAAGAAGGATGGCATCCTCACGCTGACAGACGACCGGAAGGCGCTGATATGGACGCCGCTGCCTGCGACGGGCCCGCCCACCGTGTCTCTGGTCCTGGACAATATCATGAACCTGCAGCAGACACCAGATACATCGCCAAAGGTCATATTGAAAGTCATTGAGAAGCCGAGGCCGGGTGTAGGTGACGGCACCACACCCCAGCAGTTTCTCTTCCAGTTTACCTCGCCCACCGATGCCCGGGCCGAGGCAAATGCAATCAAGACTCTGCTCTCCCAGATACTGGCCGCTGCCCGTGAGAATGACCCAAATGTGCCGAGACCGGTCGGCGCGCCTCAGGCCGGAGCCAACGGCGGCGGCGCGTCGGCGGCCATGTCGTTTGCCAGCACCGTAAATGCCAAGGCACCAGCAGTGCGATGGTTCGACGACAAGACGCTCAAGGCCGATGTCGATCTCCAAAAGTCTCTGATGAAGAAAGACGCGGCTCTGGCCCGGACGTACGCCGACGCCCTTGCTCTGAAGCCCGACTCGATTCCTGTGGCCGCCTTCAACGCCCAGTTCTGGTCTACCCGCGTCGGGCTTCTTCGTTCCCACGCCATCGAGCTCAACCAAAAGAAGGGCGCGTATAATGTGCTCTCGACCATCAAACCCCGGACAGAAGACGGCCAGTTCAAACTCAACATCTCATCAGAGCAGATATCCATGATTTTACAGCAGCACCCCCTTGTACGAAGGATATACAACGAGAACGTTCCCAAACTCACCGAGAGCGAGTTCTGGTCTCGCTTCTTCTTAAGTAAGCTGTTCAAAAAACTGCGCGGCGAGCGTGTGACGGATAATGACAATGCCGACGCCATCTTCGACAAGTACCTCGATGCCGATAACTCATTTGGCTTTGCAAGCAAGATTACGGCAACCCAGCATGTACCCCATATCATCGATTTGAAGGGAAATGAGGAGAACCAGGGCGGGTTTCAGGGCGGCAACCGCAAGGATGCCGAGATGCGGCCCCGCGCCAATGTCCCCATCATCAAGACGCTCAACAGCCTTAGCGAGAAGATCATGGCCAACGTCGCGCCCACAGACCTCGACCCATCCTCTACAGACGGGCTTGTCGATGATGTCCGGACCTTCAGTGAACTCACCCTGCGGGACCTGCGCGGCGATGCCGAGACGTCCCACATCATACTTCACGTCAAGGAGCAAAACAACTTCTTTTCCAAGCAAGACGCTCAGGCAGAGGAGGCCAAGGTTTACGAAAACCAAGTCCCGTCAGAAGTCCTCTTCGAGGTCCAAGCCGACCTGGAAACGCTAGACGGCGATGGGTCGGGCGGAATAGATCTCCGCAAGGCCATTGGCGTCGACAACGAGAGCGACAGCGACACCGAGGTCAAAAAACCCCCCCGCGTCGGGTCCCGCAGCGCCAGAAAGCAAGCGCAGGACCAAGTGCTCGAAGGAATGCGGAAGAAGCGCGCCGAGACGTACGGCAGCTGGGGGGGCGACGGGGATGACGACTCGTCGCCCATGGGCATCCCGCCCGACATTGCGCAGCGGTGCTTCCTGACCAACGCCACGACGACCGAGTTCCTGAAGCAGTTCTGGAACGCGTTCTTGTCGGGCGACCCGGCGCGGACGCAGGAGCTCGCGTACCACGTCGAGTCGCTGCGGCGGTCGGCCGAGCGCATCGACGCGCTCGCGGCCGAGGCCGAGAGCATCAGACAGCAGCTGATAGACAAGCGGATGCGCGAGATCAAGGAGCACTATCAGCGGACGCGCAAGAAGATCCGGTGGCAGCCGCCAAAGGGGGGCAAGGACTCGGTCATGGCGCTGTTTGAAGCGACCTTGACGAATCTAAACACTGCACAGGCCTTGTATAACTCGGCGTTTGGGGTGGCAAACGGAAGACTCAAGTAACCCATAGATTGGCGATCCTCAGGGGGAAATCGGCACAAGGGACAGAAGGACGACGCTGCATACCAGATTGTAGAAGAGGGCTGCATGATTGATGATACCATGGTCAGCTTGTATAGAACAAAATAAACGTAAAGACAAAACGAATCATATTTTCATCCAACCTTGTCATCCCTGTCTAAGTAAGGTACTACAATACGGTAATGCCAAGTATCTACAAAAGGGTGCTCATACATGCATGTACAATACAGTACACCCACAGCGCCGAGACGCCCATTAAACCCGCGCCTCGAATGCCATCTTTTGATATACATACACTTTTCATCCTGCTAACAAGCAACACGCCGGCGTCTCTATGCGACACCGACCTGCCTCACCCTCGCCTCCTCGGTGCCCACCCTCCCGGGGACAACCTCGAAGCCCATACTCCTTCTCCCTCTCCTCTTTCTCCCCGCATCGCCATACTGTTCATCAAACTTGCGGATCGCCTTCAGACTGTCCATGTCCTCGCTGATGCTGGCGCTGATCTCCCTCAGGCCCTTGTCGAAGTGCCTCTTGTGCAGCACGCGCCGTTCGGGGAACCGGAACTCCTCCTCCCCTTCCTCACCACCGCCTTTATTCTTGTCAAACTCTTCTTTGGCGCGCACCTCTTCCCGGACGGCCTCCATGGCGGCGCTGACGCAGAGGTTCTTGAGGTCCGAGCCCGAGTAGAGGTCCGTCTCGACGGCCAGGGCGGCTAGGTCGACGTCGCCGGCCAGCAGCTCGTCCCTGAGCATGACGCGCAGGATGGCCTCGCGCTCCTGCCGCAGGGGCAGGTCGACGAGGATCTTGCGCGGCAGGCGCCGCAGCACGGCCTCGTCGAGATCAAACGGCCGGTTGGTGGCGACCATGATGAAGGCGCGCATGTCGGATAGGCCGTCCCACTCGCGCAGGAACTGGGTGATGGTCTCGCGGTGAGCGGTGCGGCCGGGGCTGTTGTGGCGGGCGCCGAGCAGGGCGTCGGCCTCATCGAGGAATATGACCATGGGCGAGAGCTTGCGCGCCAGGCTGAAGAGGGCCCGGACATTCTTCTCCGACTGTCCCAGCCACATGTCGTTTATGGACGCGGCCGAAACCTCCAGCATGTTGGCGCCAGATTCCTTGGCGACCGCCTTGGCGAGCAGCGTCTTGCCCGTCCCCGGCGGCCCGTAGAGCAGGCAGCCCGGGATCCGTTCAGTCTTGAGGACGCCGTAAGAGAAAGCCTCGGGGCGGATAAGGGATAGGGAAGTAAGGCCGATGAGCGAGTCCTTCGTCTCTTGCGGGACGATAATGTCGGCAAAAGTGGTGTGGATGTCTTTGGCGTTGATTAGGCCGGAAAGCAGTTTCTTTTCGTGCTGATCGTATTCTTTGGAGGAAGCGGAGGTGGAGGAGTTGGAGGAAGGGGATGGCGGCATGCCCCATTCATCTGGGGAAGAGGAGGAGAAGATGGAGGAGATAGAGTCCGAGCTACGTCGGGAGGTGAATAATGGGGAGAAGTAAGGGGGCACGACACCGGGATAGATAGCGGACCAGTGCTTGTTCCGGTCGGACATGAAGTCGAGGGCGTATTGTAGGTGGCCGAGACCAAAGCTCCGGAAGCGGGGGGTGCGGCTACCGACCATCAGGGACGCGAGGCGGTAAACCCACTGGGCGTCGTAGAGGTGGCGCGAGAGTGTCTCAACAAGGTTGTCGTACTTGCCGTCAACGAGGATGCGTCCGTCCTCGAAACGGATCTGCCGGCCAAAGGCAATCTCTGCTTTGTTCCCGAGCATGGCCTGGAGCATGTCCTCAATGTTGCTGATATTATCGCGGAAGTTGTCATAGTTCTCCATCCACTCGCTCGTTTCTGACGCGTGGAAGGGGATGACATGGGCGCCATCTCGGCCAATATCGATCAGCTGGTCGCGGTACTGTGATGACGTGATTATGTTGCCGGACGAAGAGCCGACAAGAACGACCGGTCTACCATTTGCCCACATGCGGTCGACAATAGACCGGAGCTTACTGATCACTGTCCGGTGCAGCGAGTTTAGCTCTACATAATCGTGGACGTGGATGATGAGGTTACGGTCAGGATCTCTGGGGGCGGCGCCCGTTATGCTGCGTTTAGCGTCGGCAGAGGCAATCATAGCCTCCAACGCACCGGTGATTTTGATATCTTCCCAGCGGCCATCGGACGAGACACCTATCAGGCTGTCCCTTGAGGAAGATAGGAAAGACCGCAACCGCGACGACGAAAGCGCAACACCAACCACGCCGATCTCGTGCTCAGAATCGTTGTCGGGACGCGGCCAAAGGCGCCCGTTCATCTCAGCAGCCGCATAGCCGAGCATCGAGAGAGAACCTCGGGCAGAATACAGGTTCTGGCCGAGGTGTTTCCCGACGAGGTTTGCGATGGTGTAAGCGTCCATGTGCACGACATCGGCCTTTAGGTCGGTAGCCACATCATTGATGACAGACTCTGCCACGCTCCGACCCTTGCGGTTGAGCACCGACAGCAGTGCCACAGGGCGCCGTGGTTCTTGCTGACCAGGGGTTGTCGTCTCCAGCTGTGACCGCACTGCAGCGAGAAGCTCCATGCAGACGGGATACTCTGGGTCGGGCCTGTTTGCTAACGGACTGCCGTGCAGTGCACCAGATCCCGGCACGGAGTCGGAGCGGAAATTGGAAAGCCAGCGCTGGGCATCCCCTGAGAGTTTCTCATCCGACCACCAAGACAGCCTCATGATGTCGTCCTCCCTTGTCGAGTGGTGCTGTCGCAGCCTCTCGATGTGATCCGGATTCGCCGACGAGTGGTGTACAAGTGCGAGAGCCTGCAAAAACGCAGCATTATGAACCGCCCGGAAGCGCCTCACGAGCTTCTCGGCGTTCTCAACGATCGCTCCGGGGCGTCGTAACCTGTCCTTCCAGGCCTCAACGTCGGCTTCGGTCAAGGCGGCCCTTTTGAGGTGTGAGTCGAGCAGCGCCAGCACATGTTCGCGGTCGCTCTGGTCTAGAGGAAACAGCAGCGTGCTGGGGCTGCCGATTGGGCGCGACTCATAGAGCGAGACGTGGTCGCTCACGAACCATGAGGGCAGGCGGATGGCCACCAGCTCATCGCCACGGTTCCGGTTGGCACGGGCACGAGCTGACCCGTACCCTTGATGCCTCAGCCTATCCTTCTTGGCCTCGGCGGCTTGCCCTGGCGTCTCGCCTCGCCCGCCCTTCTCGCCGGCATCGTCGTTGTTCTTCTTGTCGGCAGAAGGTTCTTCAGCATTGGGGTCGTCGGGCCGGCCCCGAGCGGGCGAGGAGGTGTGGAAGCTTCGAGATCTTACGGCAGAATCGTACCGACGGTGGGAAGGAGCATGGTGATGTGGCAGGGCGCAGAGGACGATAGCGGTGGCACTCGCATTGGCGTGAGCAGGGACGCGGGGGAATCGATGCGGTCTCTTTGCCGACAGCAGGGCTCGAGCCCCCGAGGCCGTAGGCATCAGAAACGACTCAATTGGCGAAGTTGGGATTACATGCGACTCAATTCAACCGTCGGCGCCCCGGAGATGGCGAATCCAGTAACTAGCCGCGTCGCTGATCGCCGTCAAGGTGTTGGAGAACACCTGAGGTCAGTGAGAATTTCTTGGCCTCTGTTAAATTTGGCCGCTGTCAGCCGAGATCTTGGCATCGGGTCGGCAGGTGCAGGGGTACGTAGCGTGAACGTTAGGCCCACAACTGCAACCACGGCCCCCGTTATTACCATCCCCCAAGCCACCTTCAGTTACATGTAGAAACTGAAAGCCTTGATGTAAGGTACCTTGGGCTGGAAAGATGCTCTAGTCGTCAATAACCCCACGAAAGGCTGGGAATGCACTAGAAGTATATGTTAGTAGTCGCTTTTTCTTGCTATTCGGTGCGGATCAAAGGAGGAGGAGTCAGGGAGTACTGTGGCCTCGCTAGCCATATATATGTATGTAGTTACGATAGGAGTACCGGGTTCACTCTGGTTAGAGTTACAGGAGTCTGGCTTGTATTCAGGCATTCATTATTGACATGTCTCGAATTAGAAGCTGGTTTACTCAAGAGAACGCATAACAGATGCCATTGAATTCTTTTGGCTGCATCGTATATCGCTGATTTATTGCCACACCTTCTGCCCTGCTCTCCCGGCATATGTCCAAAAGGTACCAGCGGCTTAGCTCGCCGCCGGCTTGATACCCATCTTGAAGACAGGGCTATCGTCAAAGTTGTCATAATCGTGAAACGCAGCAGCCTGCTGCCTCGATATCTCGACTTCCTGCCCCCTCGCCAAAACCCCCTTATCATAAGCATCCATAGCATCCTTGAGCGATATTTTTTTCTCCTTCACGTCCACCATGCACTTGACGAACTCGTCGGCGTCCTTGATGGCGAGGTTCCCGCCCTGGCCGCGGTGAAACGTCATGCTGTGCGCTGCGTCCCCCGCCAGGGTCGCCCTCCCTCCTCTATTGTCCCACTCCTTGGGATGCCAGATGCGCAGCCAGTCCGGCCCAATAGCGACATCGTCGGCCAACCACTCGACGACCGACTTGTAGGGATCCGCCCAGCCGTCGATGTGGGCGCGTAGCCTCTCAAGGCGGTTAGGGGAATTCTCCTCGTCCTCCTTGCCCGCGATCGGCCACGTCACCAGCACATAAAACACCCACGTCTCGGGCCGGGCCAGGTCGGGCTTGTCCAGCAGGAACAGGCCCATGTACATGCCCTAAGAAATTATATTAGGACAAAGTCTCCTAAAATGTGATCGGGAAAATGCCTCCCTTGGGGTGCAGCGCCACGTCGACGCTGGGGTTCATGACCGAGTCCAGCCAGCGCGCCTTGTCAGCGGGGAGACTGAAAGAAAAGTTCATGAAGGCGTAGGGCAGCACTTCCTGTGCAGCCGCCTCCTCGCCCAGCAGGCAGCGCCGCACCTGCGAGGCTCCCCCGTCGCAGCCCACAAGAAGGGTGCCCGTTTCGGTGGTGCCGTCTGCAAAATGCGCCGTCACTGACTTCTCTGCGTCGTCGTCATTGCCATTGTACGACACAGAGACGAGCCGCTTGCCGTACTGGACATCAAGCCCCGCCGAGAGGACCCGCTTGGTCTTTTGGATCTGCATGCGGCGCACGCCGCCCGGGTACAGGATGCGGATCTTGATGTCGCCCGTGAGCCCGTCGCGGATCAAAACACCTTGCTCCCCTGCAGACGACACGGGTAGGGATGTGTCGGGCTGGCAGGCTTGCAGTTGGGAGACCAGCTCCGGCGGTAGGAGGCCCTCGAGGAGTGGTAATGCCCAGCTGAGGGTTATCCCCCAGGCGCGGTCGCGCGGGACGGTCTCGCGGTCGACGATGGTGCATGAGATGTTGTGCTAGGAAAGGGAGTTGGTGTTAGGGGGTAGTACTAGTAGGTAAGAGTGGCTCGATGTGTGCCAGGTCACTGGTGAGCCAACTTGCCTTGCGTAGGCCATGAGCGATGGCTATCCCGGCAAGACCTGGTATGGCATCAGACATCGCTACTCCCAATATGCGTGTTTTGATCCAGACTCACCGGCGCCGACCACAATCACATGGAGGGGCTTTTCCCCCATTGTAATCTGTTGCTAGAAAGTGGTTCAAGTCCCAAGCTTGTGGACTTTCCAGGGGTTGGAAGGTGGCAGCCCCAGTAAGTTCGCTAAGGGTTACCTATGGATTTCCGCCACGGTAAAAGGTTGTTGCTCTGAGTTTCTCGTGATCTATAGAGTGGTATCGTGGTATGTATGTACGGTGTCATAGCAGCACCGATTAGCGGGGTTTATTAGTCGTTTGGACATGGGGCTTGGGAAAATAGGAGTAGAAGACGCAACCTGGAATCGGCACCACTGCGGACTTCCCCATGTCAACCTAACAACACCCAAGTGACCCAACATTTCCACACTCCGCACCATACCTACCGCGCTTGCCTTTCAGGATCGCGGGTCTGGTATACTTACACAATTACCATGCCCGAACACGGCGACATGCCCGAATGGAACCCGTCGGCCCGCGCCGAGACGCCCACCCCTCCCCAACCCATTGAGTGGAATTCTCAAGATGTCGATGAAGTATGTTTACGGCATGACCTTACGGAGGGAATAGTTGCTTACATTAATCAGGTAAAACGCAAGCTCATCACGGCCAACCACATCCTCCACCACCATGGAGTCGTCGACGGCTACGGTCACATCAGTGTGCGCCATCCCAGCCACCCCGACAAGTACCTTATGTCCGGCTACCTCGCCCCGGCGCTTGTCTCGTCGCCGGATGACCTCATCGAATACTGGATCAATGATTCGTCACCGGTATCGCCACATGCCAAAAAGGGCTATTCGGAGCGCTTCATTCACGGCATCATGTACGCCATGTACCCCAAAGTGAATTGCGTAATCCACAGCCATGCCGAGGCTGTGCTGCCCTATGCCACGAGTGGTGTCCCGCTGATGCCCGTCATTCATATGGCCGGGTTCCTTGGTGAGTAAATAGCAACTCCTGCTGAATTGGACTAGATGGCGAATGGCGAAGGTTCATGGCAGGACGCGAACAGGAAACAATGTTCCCGTCTTTGATATAGGGGATTCATACTCGAGCTCTTGCCCCGACGAACAGCAGGACCTCCTCGTCCGGACTGCGAAGCTCGGCATTCACCTCGCAGAGAAGTTTGTCAAAACTCCTAGGGACCCTAGTTTCGAATCCCACTTTCCACCAGACCCTGACTACTCGGTCGTCCTCATGCGACGACACGGCTACACAACGCATGGGAGAGACATCGAGACGGCCGTGTACCGAGCCATCTACACAAAGATCAATGCCACCGCGCAGACCAATTCCATGATTCTCCGGGGGGCGCTGCCTCCTGGGGTGAAAGCCAAGTTTGAATTAGAGTTTCTGACCGACGAAATGTGCAGAGGCTGCTCCAGAATGAATGAAGGTACGCACGACAAGCCGTGGAAGCTGTGGGTGGCCGAGGTAGAGAACTCATCGTTGTATACCAATCGTGGATGAGTCGAAGCAAACATGGACTGCCATAGGTAGATCAGATAGATACCTACTAGTAGGCTCCTGGAAAAGTCACTTAACGTAGGACTCCATATCCTATGATTCCTATCGTCCTCTGTGAAGATAGGAACCCAACCTAAATCTCCACCCCCGTCACCCACGCCACCCCAGCCTTGACAATCCTCTCCACAACATCCATCTCTTCCTCCCCCCTCGGCGCGTACACCATAGTCCACCCACTGCGCACAAACTTCAGGGGAAACCTCTGCCCCCATCCAGCCTCGATAACCTTGCGCGCATCGGGCCCGCTCAGCCAGACATGCAAACTTCCGTCAGACGGGTGAGCGTGGGCAATCTCCCTCGCCAGCATCCTATCCTCGCGCGCCTCCGGGTTGAGCGTCGGCAGCTCCGCCCGCGCGTAGAGTCCCTCGGCCCACCCCCCTTCGGTGTGACTCGGCCGGTGCTGCAGCAGGTCCGGCCTTTCCTCGGCCAGCCGGACCACCAGACCCAGAAGCCTCCCACGCGTCTCGGCGGGGATCGGCTCAGGTACTTGCCGTTGCGGCATGATCCGTGGCATGATCCGTGGCCGGGGCCCGACACGGGGTGGTAAGGGGGTGCGAAGGTACGAGGGGCCGGTGGTGGATAAGGGGGAAGGGTCCAGGAGGTTTGGGCGGGTGAGGAGATGGTTCAGTCGAAATTTGGTCATTCGGAGGTAGCCACTGGTGGAGATGTAGGTGGTGAGTTCAAGTTGATGGAAGGTTGGAGCAAGTTAGTAAGGTACCTCCACGTTGGTGGCGTGCCGCCTGTGCCAAAGGCCTTCCAGGCTAGGAAGTCATTGATTGTCCTGTGACGACATGTTAGCTTTTGACAGGTTCAAGTTGAAACTGATGTGAATGAATAACTGACCATGCGATACCCAATATCGCAGTAGCACACAATCCAGTTAGGACCGGCCTTGAGGAGACCGCAGAGATCAGGCGGTCGATTATCTCGGCCATCTTGGGTGGCCCTGGTTTGATTTTGCTCAGTAATTCGAATGAAAATTGACAGGTTGGGTCTAATGATATGAGAAATAGAGGTGAACGATGAAAGTCGGGTCATAGTGTTTGTTCTTTTGGTCTTTTCGGGTGTACCGTGGGGTGGTCCGATCCGATTAATCATGGCTGGAGGTGGCTTGTGTAACGCTTGCTCCATCTCCCTAAGCTACTACTTCGTAAAAAGAGGAAACTCACGGTGCATCATGATTGTAAGTTGCAACAAACACACCGTCCTCTCCGCAAGAATCCAATATCTGAGATTGGTGCTGTTGGCAAACTCCCGGTCAATATAAGATAACTATACCTTTACCCCTGAACACAGTCAGCACCCATTACACACCACTAGAACTTCGGTTACCGACGGAATAGACAGATTATAAACTGGCACCTGGAGCCATCAAATGAAATTTAAATCTTTACAAAAGGTGGTCATTCTGCCTATGTATCAGGTAGGAATTGGGGCGAAAGGTCTCGTACTAGTACCTTACATTCTCTACATTAATTGCTCATAAAGTGACGCAGATCGAGAAGGTCATTTACATTGAATTCCGAGCAGAGATTCTGGCATAGAACACAAAGAATTTTATTGTATCCATTGACTATAGTCCATGTACTATGCGCTGATAACTACCAGTTAACCAGGGTAGTACCTTAGATAGCCCCCTTCACCCTTTGGCCACTTCCCCTAGCTCTAATGCGGAGTTAGTCAACAATCAACATTGACACACGATCATCTCATTTTTATTTGCGATTGGAATCAGTTACGTCCTGTATGTCATCTCAGCGGCTTGACTGCCAGTACCGGGAGTACACCCATGCTTTAAGTTCCTCAGGAAGACGATGTCTAAGTCTGGTGCCGTCCTTCGGTCCCAACAGAACGGAACCCAATCAAATCTGTTTCTCCTATGCCGGTGAGGAAGAGGTAAGGCTTACGTGGGGGTTGAACTTGAGAAGGTCCAGTGACTCCATTCTCCTCGCAACATCCAAACCACCAGACACCAGAAGAGGGGCGGAGCCACGCAGCAGAAAGACTGATAAAGAGCACCATTGACTCGGTCTAATCCGCCGGGGACCCTCCTGCATCAACCCAACAAACAGGCAACTGATTTTTCTACCATCAATTCTCCAGTCAATCTTCATCCAATCGTACCTCGAAGCCTCCGTCGGTAGGTATTGATGGCGCCGCAGATCAAGGGTCCCAACGACTTGCTTTACACCGGCGAAGCATTCGATGGCACAACCCAGAGCTTTACACAATCTTCGCGGCTGTGGATGATGAGGACTTCATGTACTATGCCCAGGTAAAGGAGCGCAAGCTCAAGATCCCGATGGAGCAAAGGTCCGCGCTTCTGCAGTTGGTTCCCGATGAGGATTTCTACCCAGAGCTGCCCTCCAATGCGCAGTTCATGCTGGCCTCGGAGGAAGCAATGCAACCGGCAATCTATACATCAAGCGGCCGAACATGAGGGATTACGATGATTTCAAAGAATTCGATATATGCAAGGGCATGCATAGTATAATGCTCGACGAGCTGCGCGCTCTGGAACGCATCGCTCAAAACCCCCACCCCAACATTATCCGCTATCACGGGTGTCGCGTACGACGAGGGCGCATCACTGGAATTGTCCTTGACCGCTATGAGAAAAATCTGGACCAATACATTCAGCGCGTAGGGCCGTTGGTCGACAAGGCCCCATTCATGGATGCTCTTGAGGACGCTGTCCGCCACCTCCACTCTCTTGGGCTCGCTCATAACGATATCAACCTTTCCAACATTATGGTCAATGATGCAGGCATGCCTGTTCTGGTCGACTTTGGCTCCTGTAAGTGGATCGGAGCCAGGTTGGGACCGAGCGGGGGCACGCCGGGGTTTGCTGAAAACGATGGCGAGTTCGACACGTCAGAGGCGAGCCATGACCCTTTTGGACTTGTCAAAATTCGGGAGTGGCTGGACAATCCGGTGCCCATGGGAAGGGACGACCCGGGCCTAAGGACAATCAGGCGCCCATGGACAAGCCTGTACCTCTAGACAATCCGGCACCTGTGGAGGACCCTGTACTTATGACTTGAAAGTTGATGTATGCCTGGGCGTTTGTGGTCATGATGGTATACCTTATGTGATCAGTGGTAGGAAGGGTACCGTATAACTTGCCTGTACAGTTCTGGTATTGGCATAGTCTATCCGTGCGAGCTAGGAGTAGAAGGTTCTATGGCGGAGTAAGGCATGGAGTTAGAGATAACAGTTCAACATTGTTCACGTTATACGTTTATAGCAAGTCTTCACGATGGGCATGCTCTTTACAGGTGCTCTCTGTGCAGTACAATACGACTCTCGACAGGATTGCCCTTAGAGCCCGTCGATCTAATAAGCATCGGGAACTTGACTGGTCGACAGGCACCTTATCGAGTTGAGAAGACGAGATTCTGACATCGTAGGTGAGGTATGTTACTCGTATAGCCATGGTATTTCGACGCTTCGCGACATCTGTTAGTGCAACATATGATTTTCTATGCCCTTAAGAGAAAAGGAGGTAGAGTAAATGAGAGAAAAGAAGAACATTGTAGGAAAGAAAGGAAGCAAAAAGGTATGGTCAAGCTAAGAATCGAACCTGAAGGCTAAAAAAGAGGGTATGAGCCTAGACAGCAGTCTGGGACTGTAACACCCATCAACCAGAGGCCGTCCAGGTATTTTCTCAACCCTACGCTGGAACCGCTACACCACGACGCCGTTGAAGCGTAGCAGTTCCTGTTGAAAACTTGTTTGTTGACCTAACCTATATATACCTCTTAAAATCATCATCTCTACTACCGCTCTTTAACAGAAGATCCGGCCTGACGTTGTCCCTCAGCAGTTCAACTTTCTAAAGTGCAAAGATTTCCTAGAGGATCATAGAGAACAGCATGATCTACTGCTCCGTGCTGATTCTTTCGGCTCAAGTCCAAGGATTTGGGTCTGTCTCGTCATTCCTGTCTGCCTGTAACATTGGAAACGGCGATGGCTAGAGGCCACCTATTCATCTTCCTAGTGTTCACAACCTGATAGGACTACGCCCTAGCTGTACGTTATACACAGAGTCCCACTTGGTGCTGGCAATCCTGTCGAACATCTATAGCTATTCGGAAATGCAGCGTGTATCGCTCATCTAATATGCCGCGAACACTTCCGACTCACTTCTTGTCGGAGCCGTATATAACGGCTCCTACAGCTCAAAGTACCCTCACGCGATGATTCACATCTGGGATGATAGGCGCAAAGATAGAGCGGAGCTCCTTGCGAGACAAGGAACGGTGCCATCAGCGCCGCAACGCTGGTAACATGCTCTTTCTCTAGCTTTCCAATTCCAGTGTCATGACAGTATCCTAACCTGCCAGGGCCTGACGACACCATCGTCGCCTGTGGTGACTAACATCTCCTCCTCGCCCTTCCGCTCCGTCCCTTGATCAAACCGCTTACACCATGTGATGTGGTTGATCTCATACGGACCGTGTGCATTGGGAACGGTACCCAGCACTCGCCAGCTGCTTGTCGAATTGGAAGTACCGTTTGCCGCTCCCGACACGGATGCAAGCTCGGTCCCCTCATCGTCCTCAGCATAGAGCGCAATGACCCCATCACTTCCAGTGCTGGCCACCATCCCTGTTTCGGCACTCCAAGAGGCGGAGTAGACATCCCTCGTATGCACCTTAGGCAGCACTGCTGTGCAAACCCACTCCTCCCTGATGGACCGTCGCATGGTATTCGGAATCCCAGCAAAGCCAGACTTGAACGGATTATCCCCGCCTTGCTCCTTTCCCTCCTCTTCCTCCTCAGGTTCCTCCTTTAGCGTCCAGATCCTTATCGTCCCATCCGCCGAGAAGGTCAGCAACCTGGGAAACGCGCCGCCCTTCCTCTCCCGTCCCTCCCATTGCAGGCCCCAAACGGTCCCCTCATGCCCCTCCAGCACGGCAACACAGACCCATTCTCCATCGGCATCCTCCCGCCATATCCGCACGGTATTATCATAACTGGCACTAGCCAGGACATCAGAACTGTAGTTATGCCGCCTGGCCTTTGCGCCGGGCAGGTCAGGACACCACGCGACGGCTTTGACATCGCCGTCGTGCTCGTTCAGCACTGCCACAGTCTCCCATTCCCCATCGTCGTCGTCCTCTCCCTCGCCACCACCACCAGGGTTGCCAACATCCTCCCATATCCAAACCGACTTATCCCTGCTGCACGTAGCGAGGAACTGCCCGCTTGGGGAAAACGCCAGCCCCTTCACCTCGTTCTCATGCCCTTCCAAAACAAGGTTAAACTCCCACTCCTTGTCCCCCGCATTATCACCATCATCACCATCCTCATCGTCATGATCATCCTTCAACCTAACTTCCCTCTCCAACCCCTCCCCATCCGCACCCTCCTCCCTTTCGGCCTCATACCCATCCGAGTCCCCATAGCCATAACTCCACATACCGGCGGTGGCATCAAAGCTGCCCGTGACCAACCTAAGCCTATGCACATTCCTGCCGGACGAGGGCTGCCAGGCGACGGCGCGCACCGAGCGGGAGTGGCCCCCTGTCAGGGCGCTGTGTTTGGTGAATGTGGCGAGGGAGAAGATGGTGGTGGACTTGGCGTGGGCGGTTGCGAGCAGCGGGAGGGTCGGGTGCGGGACTGAGGACCAGGCGCGCTGGTACAGGTCTGGTTGGAAAGGCGGAAGGGGGGTGATTGCTGCGGATTTTTGCCCGGGGGCCGCTGTTGCGACGGGCGATGCCATGATGGCGGGCGGTGGGCAGGTTGATTTTGCGGTATGCTGGTGGGGTTGGGCTGGAGGAGAGGAGCTGGTCGATTGGATTCAGTTTTTCGGACTGTTGAGCGGCATGTAGTAGAGGAGGGATAGCGTCGGGTATTGCTAGATTTGCAAACCAATGAATGGTGTGAGGAGAAGATGGAGAGGGAGAATGTCTGAGAAATCCGCAGGTCGTGATAGTCTGAGGCTCGAGATATCCCGCGAGTACCAGTTGGAGAGTTTGACCCCTCCTACATTTTTTCAACTCGTAGCGCTCCGATGCCGCTGCCCCACCATGATGCAATCAGGTCTACCACGGCTCACATTATCAAACGCGAGACGAGCCACATATATATGTTCGATGGATGTAAGACATTGCTCTGATCGGATTTGAACTTAAAGGTTTGCCAGATGTCATCCGCCTTGTATACTAACCATAAAAATAAACCACTAGACACCCAATTTGGAAGCCGCTGAAATGTAGTTCAAGCCAAGCGCCGGATCCCAAACCCTCGCCGAATGAACGCCTACCCGAAAACGCCCTTGTCATGATTGCTCCATCAAGTTGTTAAGTCGTCAAAACTTCAGCCCTCAAGCACCGCTTAGGCCTGCCTCACGGAACTGCTCAAAGGTAACGTCAGGTTCGCCCGTCCCCGTCATCTTTTCGTCCTCCTCCTGCATTCTCCTCTCAAGCTCCATCCTGCCGTCCTTCCCCCAATAGATCGCTTTCTCAGTGCCATTGACACACCCCTCCGTGATGAGCACGTACGGGGTAGGGGCGTCAAACATGGGCTCGGCCAGTACCCGCTCCATTTCCATCTTGAGGCCCCGCGCCCCGGTCTCGTTCTTGGCCGCTCGCTCGGCAATGGCGTACAGCGCTCGGCGCGTGAAGAACAACTTACTAGGATACGTCTCGAATAACGCTGTGTACTGCGCCACCAGGCTGTTCCTCGGCTCCGTCAATATGCGGTAGAGTTCATCCAGGGACAGGGGCGTAAGAGCGCAGATGTTGTGAAGCCGCCCGATCAGCTCTGGAATGAAGCCGAAGGCTTGCAGATCGGCCGGCGTAGTCAGATCCAGCGGGGTAAAGCTGCTGCTCGACGACGAGCCGTCGGTGAAGACAGGCTGATGCGGGAGATGGCTGTACATCTCCGGGGGCAGGACATCCTTGAGGCTTGACATTGAGGAACCACGACCACGAATTTCGGAACCGAAGCCGATTGACGGTTTGGAGACTCTTCTCATAACTATCTTATCCAGCCCGACAAAGGCGCCGCAAAAGACAAAGAGAATATTGGTTGTGTCGACAGTGTACTGGTCAACTTTGCCTGGCGGCGGAGACGACTGTGGGCTCGAGGGCCCGTAGCTGCCTGGTGGGTTGCTTGTTGTACGGGATGAGCGGTGGTCCTTGATGTTCACAGTGACCTTGGTCCCCTCGACTAGCTTCAAAAGGGCTTGCTGGACGCCCTCGCCTCCCACGTCCCTGCCATTTACTGTCTCGCGTTTGGCAATCTTGTCGAATTCATCCAGCACGACGATTCCATGCTCGGCCGCCTTGATGTCGTAGTTGGCCTCGATAAGGAGCCGTTCGATGCACGTCTCAACGTCTTGTCCGATATATCCAGCTTGTGTGAATGAGTTGCAATCGCTTATCGTAAACGGCACATTAAGCTTCTTGCTCAGTGTCCTGCATCCCGGCGTAATGAGCATGGCAAGCCGAGGATTGGGTTCCGAGATCGGGTGACTTACTCTAGTATGTAGGTCTTGCCAACGCCAGTCGGTCCGATCAAGAGGAGGTTGCTCTTGTCTATCTTTACATGCCGAGGCGCCGCGAAGTCCTCCGGTATGTAAAAATCATCTCGCGGGGGTTCGAACACCGATTCCGTCGGCGCATGCGTGCCCCGAACAGATTCATGGTGCCCAGGAAATTCATCTTTGGGCGAGGAAACATCATCAGCCTTTCGCCGAGGTCCGAAAGCATATGCAGCACGACGCGAGGGCCACCGCCCACCTTCCACGGGATGCGCAGGGCTACTGTTGTAGCCCGCATGTTCAAAGGCGTCTCGGTCTTGTGCGTATCTCTGCCTCTGCAACTTCTCCCGCAACCGCTGATCCTGAATCTCGTGGTGCTGTCGACGCCGTAGCCCCTGGTAGTGGTTGAAAATAACTGCACATATCGTCTTCTTTGCGCGATCCTGGCCGACAACGTAGTCATCTACCCGCCTCTTCAAATCCCGCGGGTAGAATTGCGGGACGCCGAAGGTAGCTTTGGAGAATATGGGGCCCCTGCTTGTCTCCTGATTTGGATCGTAGCTTGTAGTGAAGCCCGAGTTGAAATACTGCGACCGGCGAGGGGCGGCGAGAAGGACACTTGATGTCGAGTAGGTAGGGTGCCGAAGCCGTACGAGTCTCCGCGTCGTCGCGCATGTTGGCGCTCGGGGGTGCACTAGGACTGGCATCGCGGCGTGCAGATGAACCTCATGCTCGGAGGAGTGGTCCTGAATCAGGCAGAGTTTCCTGAAAAGCTCCTTGTCCGGTAGATACGGACTCAAAGATGCGAGCCTTCGTATGGTTGATTTGTCCTGAATCCTGAGAGACGGATAGCAACGGCGTCACATTGTGCATCGCGCGGGGCACCCGAAGGCGGAGGGGGCTGGACTTCCCCGGGCCGTCGCTGTGCGGCGCAGTGGCAATGGCCTAGGTTGGCTAAGAAGATTGTGCTTTAGCAGAGGGAGGGCGGGGATTGCAGCCGAACCCCCTAACCAACTCCACTGCCAAGGGGGAGCACTGCGGCTTACCGCCCTGTGGAGTCCTAGAGACTTGTTGTGGGTCTGAAGCTCCGACGACGGAAGATTGGGGTTGGACCACCGCAACACCTGCCCCCCAGAATGATGTAATGCAGCATATCCAGTTGCACCACATGCAAGACCGTATGCCATCTACAAGCTCCCAACTTCAAGATACGTGACACAACCCAGTTCCAGGTGCACAACACGAAGTGTGAAACAGCATCCTCATAACCCCGCAGCTAGCTGCCGCGTTCTTTCTCCATTACCTGTGCTCATCAACAGCTGGTCTTATCTGAAGAGCACAAGCAGCCCGAAGCCCGAAGCTTGTGTCTGCCACACCTCCTACCTACGCTTCCAAACTCTAGTAGTCTCTAGATCACCGATCCCTTCCAATTGTACGCTAAGAACAGAAGATTCTATATTCAACCCAAGTGCCGATTAGCTCGAATGGACCCAATCGCTGTAAACTCGTCAAATTCCCTGGTGGACGGGGGCAAGCTCGCGGGAGATGATATTCCCAGGGACGGAACCGGTATGTTTACTTCAAAGATCCTCCCATTCCCGAGTACTGCGATTGACCTCAGGTACAGGAGTTCTGAAGCTCGACCCTTGGCTTTCACCCTTCCAAGACTCCTTGAAGCGACGCTTTGCCAAGGCCCAAGAATGGATCAAGAGAATCGACGAGACCGAGGGAGGACTGGCCAAGTTTAGCAAGGTATGTTTGAGCCCCTTATCAGCGCCCAATGATTACCTACTCACCTCTTCAGGGGACGGAGCTCTTTGGACTGCAGGTGAAGGATGATAATACAATCGTCTACAGAGAGTGGGCGCCCAATGCCGTGCAGGCCTCGCTTATTGGCGACTTCAGTAAGCTCTACCATGACTTGTCTTCGCTTTGGGCTTCTATCTTACATCTCGTAGACAATTGGGATAGGAAGGCGAACCCGATGACGAAGAACGAGTTCGGTGTCTTTGAAATCACGGTGCCCCCAACGGCCGATGGGAAACCAGCAATCCCACACAATTCCAAGATCAAGGTTCGTATTGTCGGCGAACCCCGGGTCACAATGTCTGACACTCCTCTGCAGATATCCCTCGAGCTCCCAACGGCAGAATGGGTCGACAGGCTCCCTGCCTGGATCAAATATGTCACGCAGGACCTCTCCGTTTCCCCCGCCTACGACGCTCGGTTTTGGAACCCCCCAGCGGAGGAGAGATATGTCCCGAAACATTCCCGACCCAAGAGGCCGGGAAGCCTGCGCATCTATGAGGCGCACGTCGGTATCTCCTCGCCCGAGCTGAGAGTCGCGACTTACAAGGAGTTCACCAAGAACATGCTTCCACGCATCAAGAGTCTGGGCTACAACGCGATCCAGCTCATGGCCATCATGGAGCATGCATACTACGCCAGCTTTGGCTACCAGGTAAACAACTTCTTTGCTGCTAGCAGCAGGTACGGTCCGCCAGAGGACCTGAAGGAACTCGTCGATGTGGCTCACAGTATGGGTCTCGTCGTGCTGCTTGATGTCGTGCACAGCCATGCCTCCAAGAATGTGCTCGATGGACTGAATCAATTTGACGGCACCGACCACCAGTACTTCCATGAGGGTGGCCGGGGAAGGCATGAGCTCTGGGACAGCAGGCTCTTCAACTACGGTCACCACGAGGTCATGAGATTTTTGCTCAGCAACTTGCGCTTTTGGATGGATGAATATCAATTCGATGGGTTCCGCTTCGATGGCGTGACAAGCATGCTGTATCTCCATCACGGCATTGGAACGTGAGTGCTCCAACGAATTCCTCTTTGAGACGGGAAACTGACATTTCTAAGCGGCTTTTCCGGCGGATACCACGAGTACTTCGGTGCCAGCGTTGATGAGGAGGCAGTCGTCTACCTCATGCTAGCCAACGAGATGCTTCATCAACTGTATCCGGAAGTCATAACCGTGGCTGAAGATGTTTCCGGCATGCCTGCGCTGTGCCTGCCCCTCTCACTCGGAGGTGTTGGGTTCGACTACAGGCTGGCCATGGCCATTCCCGACATGTGGATCAAGATCTTGAAGGAGTTGAAAGACGAGGACTGGGACATAGGCAACATTTGCTGGACCCTGACTAATCGTCGCCACGGAGAAAAGACCATTGCATATGCCGAGAGCCACGATCAATCGTAAGTGTCGTTACTGCGAACCTCTTAGACTTACTAATCCACCGCTAATGCGCTCGCAGACTGGTTGGAGATAAGACGCTCATGATGCATCTCTGCGATGCCGAGTTGTACACCAACATGTCGGTTCTCGGACCCCTCACCCCGGTGATTGACCGGGGCATGGCGCTGCACAAGATGATCCGCCTCTTGACGCATGGCCTCGGAGGCGAAGGTTGGCTCAACTTTGAGGGGAATGAGTTCGGACATCCCGAATGGCTTGACTTCCCGCGAGAGGGCAATCAGAATTCGTTTTGGTACGCACGGCGCCAGCTGAACCTTACAGAGGACCATCTCTTGCGTTACCAGTTCCTCAACAACTTCGACCGCTCCATGAACCTCTGCGAGGAAAAGTATGGCTGGCTGCACGCGCCCCAAGCCTACATCTCGCTCAAGCACGAGGGCGACAAGGTGATTGTCTTTGAGCGCGCCGGTGTGGTGTTTGTGTTCAATTTCCACCCTACCCAGAGCTTCACAGACTACCGCATCGGCATCGAGGTTCCTGGAACGTACCGCATCGTCCTGAATACAGATACCAAGGAGCATGGCGGGTTCAACCGCATTGACCAAAACACGCGATTCTTCACGGAGAAGCTCGAGTGGAATGGCCGTAAGAACTGCACGCACGTTTATATTCCGTGCAGGACAGCTTTCGTAAGTCCGCTCCCTGTCATCCCTTTTCCTTTCGTGTCATTTTTTGTCCATTGGTCTGACGGTGATACAGGTTCTGGCGCTCGAGTCAAGTATTTCGCAGAAGTGAGTTGCAGGAGGGTCGGAGCACAGTATTTCAAAGCTCTCAGCGACGTATCCGTTTGTAATGAACCAATTTTGAAGGCAGATTTATAGACTGGTAGAGACACATCAAAAGGCGTATTTCGTACACTGAGTCGATTGCTTTGCATGGTGGTTGGCATCAATTCAAGTTGAGCTGTGTCGCCGTCGAACCTGGCAAGACGCAATCCCGGGACGTTCCGACGGGCCGTCTCGACAGTAGTCAACCACAACTCGAAGCGCCCTGACCCTGCAGAAGAGAATTGAGTTTGGGACAGCTGTATCCGTATGTACGTCCGACTTTAGTCTATGTCAGTTGCAGAAACACTGTAATAAGGAAAATAGAATGATGCGAGGTACATGGACAGTTATGATTGCAAGCAGCGCAAGGGCCCATAGAAGTCAGACACTGCGTCACAGGCATTCTTTGGAGGTTGCAGGCTTCAGGTTGCAGAGTTGTTGCAGAGTTGGCAGCTTCCGCAGCAGAAGGCTGGGGTGAGGCCCACTATTCCCCAATCTGGAAGTCACGTGCTGGGCTGGAGCTCCGCAGTTCCTAGCCGAAGCTCGTCGAGAGATTTTCGAACCCGTTTTCTTCCCCAAGCCATCCTACCTCACTGCTCATCCACCGTTCAAAGTCCGCCCTTAATCATCGTCAAGATGTTCAAGAGGTAAGCTTCTTTCGAATATCCGAGTTTGTCGAGCGAATTATGCGCCAATTGAGACCAATTGAAACCGATGCAAGCTTTTTTCTAACAAACTCTCGCGCTGCAGCGGCATTTCCGCCTTCGCCCGGACAGCCCGTCCTTCCTTCGCGGCGGCGACCCGTCGCGCCGTTCGCCCGGCTAGCCTCAACATCAAGGCCCCGATTTTCAGCAGATTTGCCAGCACTGCCGGCGTCGGTGACGGCAAGATCTACCAGGTTATCGGTAAGCTTGACGCGGTGACTGCGCTTCTGGAAAGTTGTTCTCTCGGCTAACCGCGCTCTGCGAAACAGGTGCCGTCGTCGATGGTTAGTGCCTCCGTGGTTTTCCGGCGTTGTGTCGCCGCTGTTGTTAGCGCGCAGCTGACGCATCGAACAGTCAAGTTCGACACCGACAAGCTCCCTCCCATTCTCAACGCGCTTGAGACCGACAACAATGGCCAGAAGCTCGTGCTCGAGGTCGCCGTACGCGAACCCCTCCGCTATTTACCCGTTCAGCGTGCTGACTGGGTGACAGCAACATCTCGGCGAGAACGTTGTGAGATGTATTGCCATGGACGGTTCGTTTATGCGTCATCTGCTGGCTCTCAATGTGTTTCTGACGCCATTATCCAGGTACTGAGGGTCTCGTCCGTGGTGCCAAGGCTTCTGACAGTAAGTGCCCACGACTGTCTGCCAATTTAGCTGAGGTGGCTGACCTGTCTTGACAGCTGGCGCTCCCATTACCATCCCGTAAGTTGAAGCGAAACATGGGAGCAAACCATACGAACACGGGGTGTCTACTGACGCCTGATATATAGTGTTGGCCCTGCCACTCTCGGCCGTATCATGAACGTCACTGGTGACCCGATCGACGAGAGGGGACCTATCAAGTCTGAGAAGCGGCGCCCGATTCACGCTGAGGCACCGGAGTTCATCGACCAGTCGACAACGGCTGAGATTCTGGTTACCGGTATCAAGGTCGTGGATCTCCTCGCCCCTTACGCTCGTGGTGGAAAGATCGGTCTCTTCGGTGGTGCCGGTGTCGGCAAGACCGTGTTCATCCAGGAGCTCATCAACAACATCGCCAAGGCCCACGGTGGTTACTCCGTCTTCACTGGTGTCGGCGAGCGCACCCGTGAGGGTAACGATCTGTACCATGAAATGCAGGAGACTTCCGTCATTCAGCTTGAGGGCGAGTCCAAGGTCGCGTTGGTCTTCGGCCAGATGAACGAGCCCCCCGGAGCCCGTGCCCGTGTTGCCTTGACCGGTTTGACTGTTGCAGGTTAGCTTCGTCCCTATATATTTTCGACCTTTATCTTGTACTAACCCAATTATTAAATTTTAGAGTACTTCAGAGACGAAGAAGGACAAGACGGTACGTGTTCCTGATGATCTCTGAATTTTTACAATTTTTTTTTCTGATTCTCCCGTTTTTTCTGATCCCCCCCCCCTTTTTTTATGATTTTTATTTTTTCTTTCTTTTTCCTTCTTTTAATCTTTTTGTCTTTTTTCTCTTTTTCTCTTTTTGTCTTTTTTCTCTTTCTCTTTTTCTTTTTGCTCTTTTCTCGCTAGCCTGCTTTCCAACTCCGCTCTTCATATGAACATGCTAACGAATCTACAGTGCTTCTTTTCATCGACAACATCTTCAGGTTCGTATTTTCAGGCAAAGCGGGATAGGAATGATAATACTAACAGACTCAGGTTCACGCAAGCCGGTTCCGAGGTGTCAGCCCTTCTGGGACGCATTCCCTCTGCCGTCGGTTATCAACCCACCCTCGCCGTCGACATGGGTGGTATGCAGGAGCGTATTACCACGACCAAGAAGGGCTCGATTACCTCCGTCCAGGCCGTCTACGTGCCCGCTGACGATCTGACGGATCCCGCCCCGGCCACCACCTTCGCCCACTTGGACGCCACCACCGTCTTGTCCCGTGGTATCTCCGAGTTGGGTATCTACCCCGCCGTCGACCCCCTCGACTCCAAGTCCCGTATGCTCGACCCCCGCATTGTCGGCCAGGAGCACTACGAGGTTGCCACCCGTGTCCAGCAGATCCTCCAGGAGTACAAGTCCCTCCAGGATATCATTGCCATTCTTGGTATGGACGAACTGTCGGAAGCCGACAAGCTTACCGTCGAGCGCGCCCGTAAGATTCAGCGTTTCCTGAGCCAGCCTTTCACTGTCGCTCAGGTCTTCACTGGTATCGAGGGTAAGCTCGTCGACCTCAAGGACACGATTGCCTCGTTCAAGGCCATCCTCAACGGCGAGGGCGATGACTTGCCCGAGGGTGCCTTCTACATGGTTGGTGACTTTGCGTCGGCGCGGGAGAAGGGCGAGAAGATCCTGGCTGAGCTTGAAAAGAGCTCTTAATCTCGGGGTGTTTAAAATCAGGAAAGATCCGGCGGCCTGTGTATAGAAGCGAACGGTTCCGGGAAGTTCCCTAGCTCAGTCAAGCTTTCATTTGTGAGCTGTGTACCAATCAAGTCATTTCCTCTGTCTACGTTCTGCTTGAATGACTTAAACCATGAAGGTATCAACCCGCACTTGAAATGCGCACCTAACGTTACCCAGTAGGTACCCTGACCCAGTCTCTCCATTTTCTTAGTAATGCACTACTCCGGGGCCGGTCCCCCAAGCACCTTCCCACAACGACCACCTCAGTTACACTGCTTTTCAAACATCCCTTTAGAAGGAAGGAGAGTTCCAAGTCCATGCCTTACAACGAACCGTGTTGTTGACTGCTTTGTCAAACACCCTAACCGACAAGCAAGCCGCGTGCCAGTCGACCTACTCCCTCCACTCGACCTACTCCCTCCACTCGACCTACTCCCTCCACTCGACCTACTCCCTCCACTCGCCCTACTCCCTCCACTCGCCCTACTCCCTCCACTCGCCCTACTCCCTCCACTCGCCCTCACCGTTGGTCCCGGTCGCCGTCGCCGTTTCTTTGCTATGTCTGTCCATGTCTGTCCGTGTCTGTCCATGTCTATCCCCGTCCATCCCCGTCGTCTGTCCCCGTCGCCTGTCACCGTCGTCGTCCCCCGTCGTCGTCCACCATCGTCGTCCACCATCGTCGTCCACCATCGTCATCCACCGTCGTTACCCGCCGTCGTTATCCACCGTCGTCGTCCGCTATCGTCGTCCACCATCGTCGTTCTCCGATATCGTCTTCCGCTATCGCTATTTCCGTCGCCTGTTCCCAACTTGCTGCCTCCCATCGATTGTCGTCCGTCGCTGCCGTCCGTAGCTGTCGTCCGTCGCCGTTGCAGCTGCGTTGCCATCGCGCTCGTAGCTCCCTGTCATTGTCGCCCGTCGCAGTGATGTGCGGTATCGCTGTCTTTGTCATTGTCGGCGTCAGCACTGTAGTCTCTGTCGCAATTGTCATCTACGTCACGGTCGTCGTCTTCGTCGCCGTCTTTCCTACGTGGAATCCGATGTTCGAGCAACTAATAGTACGAGCCTACAGTCACGACCGACGTTTCACTTTTCTAGAAGCAGTGCCTACGAAGAGGATGGAATGTTTCCAATGTTTCCATTAGACTTTGAATCACTTGATGATACTAGTACTGATCACAAGTCTGGTTTAGGGTGACGCCTGTTGACGACTACTTCGACTGGTTCTTGTTCTGCCTGCTATAACCCTAACTTGCATTATTGGGAAACCGGTGCCTGAGTGCCCCGACCCAAGGCCCTACGCTTCCATTACTGGGCCCCGAGTGATTCTTTTTCTGGCGACAATTATAGGGTTTGAGGCGAAGGACCAATGGGATGTTTCAACAAAGTATGATTTTAAGAGATTAACCTCCGAGATGTTCGCCTCTTTAGCCGCTTCTGCTGCCTTGATTATACCTGGGGCAACCGTGGGATTATCCCACCAGTCGGTCATGAGGCCATGATCAACCTGCGGGGAAGCAGAGAAACTATGAGCCCAGCGGATATTGTGAAGCTTAGGGGGTTTATATTGACCTGGAGACCTCTAGTCCCAAAGCCGACAGGTGACGGGTGGGATGGGCATATATACCCCGGGTCTTGGCTGCTTGGCTGCCGTTGTTTGGTATCCCATACACGGCCGGAATAGGGCAAAACTTATCTATAACCAACCAAGCTTGCTTATCCTAGCACGAGTCGTGTGTCTCGCTGGGAACGCTGAACCGCGAAGAGAGACATCGAGATGGTCACTTTCACCTCCCTCCTGGGCGCGACGGCGCTCCTCGCCGGCGGTGGTCTGGCGGCCCAGCTCACCCGCGTCGACTACCCCAACAATGCTACCTCCAAAGCACAGATGTTCGTATATCCGCCCCTGGACCTTAATTCCCCTCCCTCCTCTCCTAGTATCAATGCTCATCCGCTTATCAGGTATGTCTACGTGCCCGACCGCGTGGTGACGAACCCGCCGCTGGTGGTGGTGCTGCACTCGTGCCAGTCGTCGGCGCAGTCGTACTTCCAGAACTCCAAGATCCCCTGGCGGCAGGGGTCGGACCGCAAGGGGTACATCACGGTCTGGCCGTCGTCGCCCAACAGCGGGACCTGCTGGGACGTGTCGTCGCGGCGGTCGCTCAGCCACAACGGCGGCGGCGACAGCCAGGCCATCGCCAACATGATCCTGTACGCCCTCGACAGGTACAAGGCCGATAGGTCCCGCGTCTACGTCACGGGCGGCAGCTCCGGCGGCATGATGAGCAACGTCCTCGCCGCGACGTACCCGGAGCTGATATCGGCCGTCAGTCTGTACAGCGGCGTGCCGGCGGGCTGCTTTCTAAGCAGCTCTGGCCAGGTGGCGGCTTGGAATAATACCTGCAGTGGCGGGCAGAGTCGGGCGAGTGCTGAGCAGTGGTGAGTTCCTGCCGTAATTGATCCCTTGTTTCTTTGTGGTCTCCCTTTTGCCATCTTGTGATGGCGAGCCAGGGTATGGAACGGCAAGTTGATGACGATTCAACAGGGGCAATGTGGTGCGCAACATGTACCCTGGATACACCGGGCCGCGGCCAAAGATGCAGATCTGGCACGGCAGCACCGATGGCACCCTCGCACCGGCAAACTACCAGGAGACGATCAAGCAGTGGACGAACGTGTTTGGCGTTAGCCAAACGCCAACCAGCAGCTTGAAGAACTATCCGGAGCGCAACTACCAGACGGACAACTATGGCGAGTTTGTGCAGGGGATTTATGCGACTGGCGTCGGACACAGCGTGCCGGCGAACTTGACGGCCAGCGAGCAGTGGTTCGGGTTGTAAGGATGGCGAGAGCAAGCTTGCTTGGTGGTCCGGCGAGGCTTGAAGGTGGGTATCGTGCAGTCGACGAGCACTCGGCTGTTGCATCCAATACTAGATTTCGTTGAAATTCCATGGATTCTTGGGACCGCGAGCGAACCAAACCAGACCTGACCATAGGCCTACATTCATGATTGTCTGCATTATAGGTCTTCTTATGGTGTGAGTCTCCGTTCTTGGTAGGCTCGGGCCTGTTCAGTGATTTGTTTAACCTCTGTCAGCGCTCGAGTCGCAATCCCCTCATAAACAGAGGCCAACGGGGGTTTCTCTGGGTTCTCTAGGGCTGGCTCCCAGCAAGGATTCTCTAGCAACAGCTTGGCAATCTCCTTGTGGTCGGTGAGCAGAAGAGCGGACATAGGAACGCGGAGCATGGATGCCCATTTCGGTCCCAAAAAGTTGCATATGTTTGGAATTTCGTTGTTGCTGATGCCTTGCATCCACCAGACACGGTCACCCGTGAACTTTAGAAACACAAGGTAGTGGGCGAGGATAATAAGAGCGCGCGGCTTCCGTTGACGGGCAGCATCAACGAACTCGCTGGGCAGATAAGTCAAGAAGGTAGCGATGCGTAGCCACAGCAGTAGGCTGAAGCCGTTTGAGAGCTCAAGGTAGAGGGAGCCGAGGTATTGCAGGCCGCAATAGTAAGGCTGGATAAGGGGGTACTCGGGATCCCCCTGCTTGATGGACGCGACCATGAAGAGAAGATGGTTTGGGAGATGACGGGCCGACGCAGCCAAGTCAACCTCTGGCCGGGAGAGAAGGGCCGCAACGTCCGTCTTGAACAGCGCGGGGTCTTTGATAATGTCAGCTATAGTGCCGATGCCTCGCCACAGCATGATCCAATCCAGTATGTAGAGCGGTTTGGCGTCGTCGCCGCGGAACCCGTCGGTCGACAGGCCGCAGAGAAACAGCGAGCAGGCGAGCAGGGCGGGGTATGTGGCCGGATCTGCGACCTGGAGGGCATGTCGGTACGTCTCAAAAGCCTTTGCGCGGTAGAAGTACTCCCTTGACACCGGGACGCCAAGGTCACGGATCTTGCAGTGGTTGATGTGCATGGCGGCGAGCCCCAGGAGACAGTTCATCAGGAACGGATGGGCAAAGGCATGCTGGACAACGGTCTCTCTAAGTACCTTGTCGACTTGGCGTATCTTGAGCGCGCCGCTTGAGTACGAGGCCCAGGTATTTGTCGTGTAAAACCATAGTAGTCGCATGTCGACCTCGTCGCGGCCGGTGGGCAAGAACAGGGGCTCCTTTACAAGCGGTGGCTTCTCGAGTAGGACATGGTTGGTTGGCGGTGCAAGCGCAGTCGACTGGGACTCCCTCACGGGTGAATTAGAAAGGGCGCGCTTGGGCAGCACCGGGTACTCGCATGTCTCGCTCCGTGCTGTGCATGCGCGGCAGGCTGGGCGGCCTTCGTCGCACTTGACTTTGCGGGCCTTGCAGTTGCGGCATCCTGTCCTGGACTTGCGGTGGGGACGTTTGGCATGGTACTGCTTCTCAGCCGCTGCCCTGATCACGGTGAACATGGGCTCGTTCATGGTGTCACATTGCAATGTGAAGGCGGCAGTGGAGGAGGGTTGGGACGTTGACGTCTCGACTCTTGACGATGCTGCCAAGCCGGCAAGCTGCCGCCCGGATACCGACCGGAAGGCCTCCTGTGAGTGGGGTGGATTCGGATGACAGGCCGGTCAAAGCCTAATGTCCACCGAGACGGGGAAGTGCGCGAGCCGAGTTCAATGTACCGAAAAATACGACATGCGAAGTAATTTATCTTGTTACGTCGACACATTAGTTTTCGTGCACTCGATGCTAGGTAAGGAGAGTCAAGGGGCCGCTGGCATCGGCTATTGACCACGAGTCCATGACGCACTGACACGCGTCGCGTTAGGATTAACTACATCAAACCTTAGCGCGAGGCTGTGCCAAACATCACGGCTTTAACATACCATAACCAGCCGTAGCAGATCTGCTGAAGCGGAACTTCCTGAGCGCGCAAAGTTGCCTAAGCAAAATAGCTCAGGCTTTCCATCCCATGAAGGCGCCTCTGCTTCCGCTCCCCGATGAGCTAATCATAACGACACTCGCCCAAATCTTTCCCAGCCGAGAGACACAGATTCGGTCCCTGGCAACACTCGTCTGGGTGAGTCTAACAACTGGCCCTTCATACCTGTTTAAGAATAACCCAATACACTAACTGACCATTAGCCGGGCGCTGCACCATGCAATAATCTTGTCATCTATGGCACAGAGGCCACTGGAAAGAGCGCCATCACGGCCGTGCTGCTGTCCCGGCTCGAGAACCAGCCTGAAAATGGCGGGCCTAGCCTGAAGCATGCCGTGGTAAACTCAATTGAGTGCATTACGGCCCGGCATCTCTATGAGACCGTGGTTGGCAAGGTCGCCGCTGCTCTCGAATGGAGTGCTGCGCCGCCACGATGCGAGTCGGTATCGCAACTAACGGTCGAGCTCTCAAAGATGCTCAAGTACACGCCGCGGCCAGACGACTTCCGCTTTGTGCTCGTCTTTGATGCTATCGACCGCCAGCGAGACGCTCCTCATACGCTCCTCCCGGCCCTCGCCAGGCTATCCGAAATCGTTAGTCAACCACCAATGCCGGGTTCTCTGCATTGTTCACTGACATCACTCCCAGATTCCCTCCTTAACAACCGTCTTCATTGTGACCTCTCCGCCAGCCAACTTCCTTCGGACCTCTTTCGTACCCCACCTGCACTTCCCAGCCTATACCAAGTCCGAATTCATCTCCATCCTCTCCGCCTCTCCACCCGCCACTCCCCTCCCCAACACCACTCCCGAAGAAACCGCCGAGCTCTGGTCCCGCTTCGTCTCGGCCGTACACGACGCCCTGGCACGGGCCGCCTCGCGCACGCTCCCATCACTCCAGCATGCCTGCACCGCCCTGTGGCCGCGCTTTACAGCGCCCATCCAGGCAGGCACGCACACGGCTCGCGAGTTTTCCAAGCTGCTCGTAGCTGCGCGCATGCACTTCCAAGACGAAAGCCTCCTCAACCCCGGTGTACTAGTTACGCCCACAACCACTACCACTTCTACCGCCGCCAGCAGCACCTTCACCAAACCGGCACATCCCCACCAGAACCAGCAGCCCAACGGGCCCGCAACAGGAACCGGACCGGGACCGATACCAGCAGCAAAGAAACCACCCCACACCCACCCGCATCCAGACCTAGCCAGCCTCCTCCCACCCACAGCCCGCCTGTTGTTACTCGCAAGCTACCTAGCATCACACAACGCGGCGCGGCACGACCTGGCGCTCTTTTCCACACACTACCACGGCCGTAGACGGCGGCGCGGCGGCGGCGGCGGCGGCGGTGGCGGTGGCGGTGGCGGCGGTAGCAGACACAAGCATCGCAAGATAGCGCGCAAGCTGCTGGGCGCCCACGTGTTTGTGCTGGAGCGCATGCTCGCCATCTTCGCGGCCGTTAGGGGCGAGTGGGAGGACAGGGCCCAAGGTCAAGGCCAGAGTCAGAATAGAAGGTATGGTGGGGCTTGGGGTGGTCGCGGAGATGGGAGCGAGGAGGAGGAGGAGACCGATGAAGCGCCCGATGCGGACATTGGTATGGCTATCGCTACGCTGGCGAGTCTGAGGCTTCTTGTTCGGGTGGGTGGAGGTGGGGAGTTGATGGACCGCGGGGGGAAATGGAGGGTTAATGTTGGGTGGGAGGTGGTTAGGGGGTTGGGAAGGAGTATGGGTGTTGAGGTGGAGGACTGGTTGATCGAGTGAGGCCGGGAAAGAGGTCACGTTGGTTGTATGACGGGTCCCGTAAAAATCTTGTCATCTGTGAAAGAGGCAGCATGCGGCCTGAGTCTATTATCAATGCTTGGTATCATACAACACTGGCACCGGTGCCCTAGGTTTTCAAGATTTATGATACACAGACGCCCTCTAATCCGATCCGAGTCTACCAAGAAGGAATACTAATGCCAGCGAGAAAAACACATGCACATGGTGAAGTCAATCCCTTAAAAACGGTCCTACCTACCGTAACCCGAAGTCAAGCTGAGCCATGCCAGCCAAGCCGGAACCGATCATGAATCCAACACGCGTCACCCTCATAACACATCGCTCGTCGTTCACCTCGCGGCTACCGACTGAACGTCCCCGGCCCGCCAGGTATCCTCCTGCCTCGTTCCGGGAGGCAGCCACCCGGCGTTGCTCGCCCCGCGAGTACGTCCCACCCTGCCCGCATCATCCGATTTCTTGGAATCGCTCAGGTGGGAATTGGGCAAGAACGGCTGCGTGTACACATGCCCCGTCGCAGACTCAGCGGCAGACATGCTCACGGGGCTTTCAAACATGGCTGACCCGTTCTGACCGCCCACGGCACTACCACTGGTGCCGATCGGCCCTCCGAAATTGGGAATAGGCAGGGAGACGCCGTGTTTTTCGCTCAGGGGCAAAAGGGTCTCGTTTCTCTTAGTCTCGGTCATGGACCGCGCTCGCTGATCGGCCTTGTTCTTGTGGTTGCTGCGGTCGTAGAGGTAGAGGCCAAGGAAGGTGAGACCGATGCCGACGGCCTGAATGTTTGTCGTCGGGCTGCGAAACCAGATGATGGCAATGATGATAACAAAGACGCGCTTGATCAGGCTCGCGACCGAGTATGTGACGGGGGAGACCATGGATAGCAGGACAAAGGCGAGGATGTTCTGCCCGAAATGAAAGGTGCCGTTGAAGATGTATTCGAGCATCAGGGGGCCGTGGTCGAGCGAGTTGGGGCTCTGGTTGAGGTCGACGCTCCCGTCCCAGAGGAAATCGCCTACTATGTCGATGCCCTCGGACCAGAACCAGATGGGACCCGTGAGAAGGAATGCAAGGCCTGACGAGTAGCACAACAGATTGAGCTTGTCCAGTTTGCGTGATTGCCCCACATGCCCTTCTTGCTCGGCGCGCGCGGCCTCGTTGAAAAGGCGCTTGGAGAATATGTTTTGGGTTACGAAAATGATGGCGGCAAGAAGCGCATAAAGGATGCCCAAGAACTCTCCGCCAAACGATCGGTTGCCGGAACAGGCTAGCATAACGCCAAGGGTAAGGGGGACGAGGGAGATGTAGGTCGCTTTCGGGTACCGAATATCGAAGATGAAGCGGTAAGCTAGGACGGTGAACAGGGGAGACAACCCCTTTATTGTATGGACGAGTGAAACGGGTATTTTGGAGGTGGCATTGGAGCTGAGTAGATGGCCGCCGATTTGGAAGGCTGCCAGTGGCAGCGTCGTCTGGAGGACTTCTCGCGAGGGGTATCGGATGGGGTGTTTGAGCGCCGGGATGGCAGCCCTTAACCGGGGGAAGACGGACGCTAGCCAAGAAAAGAGGACGCAGTAGGAAGAGACGAATCCGAACTGGATGAGTGTCAACGTTGCGGGTTTGTCGAATGCCGTGAGGATGGCTTTGGACGATGTGTTGGTCAAGGCCGAGGACCAGTACCACATAATGCAGAGCACCTGCAGAGAGAGTACGACGTCAGCATCAGACAATGGCATCGCCAAGTCCGGCAGGGAGACGTACAATTAGTTTCCACGACACGGGAGCACGGAGCGCATCTGCGATCTCATGTGCGTTCTGGCTCATGCTTCCAGAGCGCATGCGGTGGATTGCAGTGCTGATATTGCTGGGCTTCCTCGTATGGCCCGAGGAATTGGACCATTTTACTCGACTGTCGCGGCGGGCGTGCCAACGGTCGGACGATTGCGTGACCGAGCCGTTGCCGTTGCCGTTGCCGTACGCGGAACCGTTTTGCTGCCAGCGTTGATTTGTACCATGGCCATTGGTATTAACGACGTGCCCATCATCAAAGTCGGGAAACTTCTCCGTCTCTCCGTGCGTCGGGATGACGTTCGATCCAGGAATTGGTTTGCCGTTGATGCTCGGCGGCGCGCGAGACTGAGACGCAGCCCGTATGTGGGAACCGGCCGAGTGCAATGTAGAGTGCGGCATATCGCGCTTCCAAGGCGCATGCGCGCCAGAGTCGAGTGAACGAGCGAGCGGAAGTGACGGCGAGAACAGGGGACGAAAGTAAACCAGGCTATGTGATCATGGCTTCTCCTCAGGTCTCCGCCGTCTGGACCAGAGAAGAAATATTTCCGGTGGCACACCACGTCTCAGGCGGGGAGTGAATGGTTCAGACGCTGAATGTGAAATACGGAGTACAGTAGTAACAGTACAGAGTACGAACGCCGGAAACTTCACTTTCTTGGCGTCTCCAATCCGCTGTGGCGGACTGAGCACGCTAAAGCGCCCTGTGACCCACTTTCCATTTAGGGCAGAATCGAATGCACCGCCACATTGAGAGCGATAGTCAGGATGTCAGCCACAGTTTAGCGTTATCTGTATCTAGGCAGTGACGCCTCAAACTTTTGGATACAAGCACGCGAACCTCGATTGCCAGACTTCTTGCTATTGCACTTCAAGTCGCGTGCAACCACTGGATACTGTGACCGCTGCCACGAACCCCATCAGTGTTGTTAACGTTAGAGGACCCGCTCATCCCAAATTACGGTCCCGTCTATCGACGAGCCAAGCGCTCGCAGCGGTTCAAGATGGCGGCACCCAAGTTGACCAAGAACCAGTTGCGCCGAGCCAAGAAGAAGGAGCAGAAGAAAGCTCAAGTCCAGGTTCGTCTTTGTTGCTCAAGATCTCAGTTGGTCAGCCTCCGTCCTCACTCATGCTAATTTGTGCATCCCAGAACGGTTCCAAAACACCCGAAATCAAAGACGAGCCCGCAAAGGACGAGCTCAAAAAGCAGGAGCCCTCAGGCGATGGCATCAAATCCTCCGATCTTGAGGTCAAAAAAGACCCGGACGCATCCGGCGATTATGATGCTGACGGCCCGGTTGTCGATGGCTTTCTACCAGAGGACGATCCCGCATTTGCCGAGTACAGGACTGTGTTCGAGAAATTTGGCGTGAGCTTTGAGGACAACGAGGTCGCGCGGGAAGCAAATGCGGGAAACAAGGGCGAGGTATTCTTCGACCAAGATGATGAGATTCCAAGTGAGGACGAGGAGGCCCAACCCAAGCTGTCCAAGAAGAAGCGCAAGAAGCTGAACAAGCTCTCCATCGCCGAGCTCAAGGCACTGGTGCGGAACCCCGAGGTCGTGGAATGGCACGACGTCTCGTCGTCAGACCCTCGCCTCCTGGTTCAGATCAAAGCTCAGCGCAACGTGGTCCCAGTACCAAGCCACTGGTCATTAAAACGAGAGTACCTGTCCAGCAAGAGGGGTATCGAGAAGCCGCCCTTCAAACTGCCCAAATTCATCGCCGAGACGGGTATTACCGAGATGCGCGATGCCGTTCTTGAGAAGCAAGCCGAGCAGACGCTCAAACAAAAGCAGCGCGAGCGTGTACAGCCCAAGATGGGCAAGCTCGACATTGACTACCAAAAACTCTACGATGCCTTTTTCCGCCACCAGACCAAGCCCGACCTTACCCGCTTCGGCGACGTCTACTACGAAGGCAAAGAGTGGGAGGCAGACTACAAGGTCTTCAAACCGGGCGAAATAAGCGACGCGCTGCGGGAAGCCCTCGGCATGCAGCCCGGGTTCCCGCCCCCGTGGCTCCTCCAACAGCAGCGCGTCGGCCCTCCGCCTTCTTACCCTACCCTCAAAATCCCCGGCCTCAACGCCCCCTTGCCGCCAGGCGCGGCGTGGGGTTTCCAACCCGGCCAGTGGGGCAAGCCGCCGCTAGACGAGTACAACCGGCCGCTCTACGGCGGCGACATCTTCGGCATCATGGCGCCAGGCCAACAAGTTCAACCCGGCACCGCAGCACCTTACCAACCGCAGCCTCCACAGGCCCAACTCCAACCGGCCGCCGCGGCCAGCATCCCGCTCGGCGAGCCGGTCGAACGCACGCTGTGGGGCGAGCTGCAGCCGCCAGCCGAGGAGTCCGAGGAAGAGGAAGAAGAGGAGGAGGAAGAAGAAGAAAGCGGCTCAGAAGCAGGCGACCTGCCGCCTGCTGGGGGCATCGACACGACCAGCGGGCTGGAGACGCCTGGCGGGTACGCCAGCACGATCCACCCAGACGCGGCACCGGGGGCCACCGGGATCGAGACCAGCATGGCGGGCGAGTTCGACCTGCGCAAGACGCGCCGCGGCTTCGAGACGGAAGAGTCGTCGTACGGCGGACCGCGCCAGGCATACACCGTCATTCCCGAACGCCAGGCCCGCGTCGAGGGCTTCTTTGGCAGCGACAAGACGTACGACCTGTCCAAAGCCGCCGCCGGCCGGGGTGGTGCTGGTGCTGGTGCTGGACCCGCTGGAAATGTGCCGGTGCTGGGACAGGAGGATGAATCGAGAAAGCGCAAGAAGCCTGGCGATGTCGACGTGGCGCTCGATCCGGACGCCCTGGCGGCCCAGGGCGGCATCAGCAAGGAGGAGATGAGGAAGAAGTACGAGGCCTCGCGCCGCGAGGAGGGCATCGGCGCGCAGTGGACCCGCACCAGCTACGAGGAGGACTTGAGTGACATGATTGCCCAGGAGAGCAGGAAGAGGCAGAAGAGGGAGGAGGAGAGGAGGGGAGACCGGGGCGGACGGCATCGGTGAACATGGGATTCGAATGCCCAGGGGGTTTGATTCGTAGGCCCATGGGGTTTCGGCGGGAACAGACGCCAGTACCTTCAGGCTTTTGTGGTGCAATATACAATACACAGAGGTTGATGGGTTGGGATGGGCGGCGTTTTCTAGGACTGCGTTGGGAAACGGACGGGATTTGTACTGACTGTACTCCTCATATGAGTTTAGGGATGTAGGAGTAGATCGACGTGTTGTTACTTGTACTGTGTCTCTTGCTCACGCCCTGACATTGTGATTCCGTAACAGTTAGTACTTGTCCACCACAGCCTAGCTTCCCAGCAGCCCGTTGACCAGAACCCTTAGGTTGACTCCATCAGCCCGAGGAATCCATCAGGATGTTCTCGCCCTAGAGCGGAGAAATTCGGGTTTCTTTGCGTGCTGTAGTGCCGCTTTTTCCAAGGCAAAGCCAACCTCTTCTTTGGAACAGCTTTGTACGATACCTCTTGTTGGTTTGGCAGTGAGCACGACTACTTCACTGCTACACGTTTCTAGCACTAGTTTACACTGATTGAACCTCAATTTTGATGCTTGGTTGGAACCCTCTTTTGAATGTGTAGGAGAGTGGTATTCCCCTGGCTGAAAAGTACCTTAGTTTACTTTGGTAGACTGACACTGAATGGGTTGGCAGCACCTTGTCCATCTTGGCTCTTCTATCCAGGAAACTAAAGGTTATACGTCAACTTACTGGCTGGTCTTTCCCTATCTAGACTCTAATCAAAGACGGGTCCAGCCGAGTGAAGGTGATTCTTCTTGTTACTACTCACTACCACGGATGCGCTGCATGCCTGAGATTCTTGGATCTATGGTTTGAGTCGCGCATCTTCTTACAACGCCTAGAAACCTTTAAAAATACAACATTGATCACATGCCCTTTCTTCCGCTCTCCAGCCACCCTTAGTCATAGTATTACCTGCAAGACACGGCGCAGTGTGCTTGACGCAGTTCATGGATATCACTCCTTGGAGCCCCTAGGTGAGCCGTTGCCAACACCTCACTTATCTTATCGAACCGGTAGTCTCATGCCAACCGTCTTGGCTGCCGCCTCCTGCGCCTTGGCCTTATCTCTTCCTAAGAGCAAGCCTTGCACTTCCAGTTCCTACGGTTTGCGACTGCCTGCTCGGTATTATCTACGCAAGAGTCATGATAAAGACGATCCTTGCATTGCTTGATGTCGACTGTCAGCCCCCTCTGTTTTCACGCTTAACCTCGACGACAGAGAGACAGGACGTACCTTGTTTGTGCACACCAGCATTGCCGACACGGGCACGGGCTCACCACAAGCAGTACAGCAGCCGCCCGTTACCTTTTTTTTGGGTGGCTGGGCCGGTTCCGCCTCCGCCTGACGACTCCTCGCATCGTTTAGAATCTGGGTGGCCTCAAATATGGCAGAGTCAGGGAGGACACGCCGGGCCAGGAGGGTCGCGACGTGCTTGCTGAACTCCTCGGCCCGGGACTGCTTCGCCACGATCCAGGATGCCTTCTCCCTAACAAAACGGAGGAAATTGCGCGGCAGGTACTGTTCCGATGAGATGTGCTTCCTGAGGATGAAGGCGTCCCACTCTTGCAGGTACTCCTTTTCTTCTGGGTTTAGGTCGATAAAATCTTGTAGGTTATCCCGATGCTTGAGGAGCAACCAAGAATCGTCCACGGGAAGTTGAGGGACTGGGGTGCCTGGGACCAGCTGAACCTTGCTCAAAGGGTGGAAGAGAGGCTGCTTGGTCTTTGGAACCAGAACCTTCTTTCGCGTGCGCTTAGCGGCTAGCTTCTACTCCACGTTAGCCTTTCGGAATTCTCAATGGTCTCGCGAAATGGGAGGGATTTACCGTTCGGTTTGCCGTTGCAGCTTTCTCCGGGAACAGCTCACGATCATTATCCGGGCCGAGGCGGGATGTGACCCATGAGTCATCTCCCTTGACATACTTGTCCAAGTCCAGGGGCTTCACCGGCAGACCGAGCTGATATACTCTCGGTCTCAATGGGGAACCTTGGCCATTGCCGTTTCGAATCACAGTGACATAGTACCCTCCCCTCCTCAAATCGATGTCAAAATGATATTGTGGATGGCTCAAGTAGTGAGCGCGCAGCTGGCTCAGTCGCTCATTCTCGGCTCCGCAGAGCAGACAGGCGAACCTATCCGTCTGAACCTGCTCAGGAGGGAACAGGTAGGTTATTGTGTGCTCTTCTAACTGGCTGTGTTCGTCGCCCTTCCGTCGCTTTCTCGTCTCCCTTCCCACCGCATTGTTCCACATCTGCTTGACGTTGTAGTTGATGTCTTGCCTTGCTCGTCGAGACCGGCCGGGAGTAAGCTCGCCCTCTGCTAGCTCTTCGAGGGTATCGGCAACGGCACCATTTGCTTGCCCATTCACCATCCTTGCCACGTCGCCATTTAAGTGGAGGTCCGGGCGATGCCAATTGATGCCATTGACGCCATTAACACCGCTGACGCCGCCGTTAACCACAGCGGCGGCAGGCTCATGAGGGTCAATCACCATAATAGAGGGCTGAATATCCTTGGAGTGCTCCTTCAGCACCTGTTGGCTCGAGATGGCTGTCATCCAACGGACATCCATGTCCATGAGGAAATTGGTGGCGACCTCGGCGCGGGGTTGTTTCTTCACCTTTAGGCGGACAGACTTGCGGTTGCGGCTGTTGAAGATGTCGGGGATACTCGCGGTGAGTACCCATTGGCGGGACGGGAGGCCGCGGTTGTAGAAGGCATCCTCGTCGCTGACAGGGACAAGATCGGCCGGGGGCCAGTTTGCGTCACCTGCGGACTCGAGCTCAACGTGCACTGAATAGCACTTGGCCAAGCCAAAAACCGAGTCGTCATCTCGCTCGACAAAGATCTTCTCCTCTGGAATATGGAACGGCCTGATGGAGGAAAAGCGGGCCATGGGAGCGGAGCCGGCCGGGTTTTTGAAGACGCGGATGTCACAGACCTGGCTGTCAACATGCAGGACCACTTGCTCGCCGCCCGTGTGGCCGTAGATGGTGAGCTTGCAGCGGGCCTTGATCTGGACGATATCCCGGACGTTGGGGGCGACGATGCCATTTAGGATGCCGTTCTTCACCCGGGGCGAGTCCTTGTGACTGATCTTGAGCACCTCGATGCGAAGGGCTCGCTGGGCGGTTCCGTATTGCTCAAACAGTGGGAAGCCATCATATTCACTGTTGACTCGGCGACGCTTGGCAGGGCGCTGAGAGCCGTCCTCGTTTGCAGCAAGCCTGTTGTCGCCGGCGTCGCGAGACTGTGAGGAAGGCTTATTTCCCATCTTCGAGTGCCAGTGGTTGGTGGCTTTGAGCCAGTTCCGATGCAGGAATGGCAGGCCACGGGATCGTTGATTAAGAACCGTCATCGCTCAACAAAGACATGGGCGATGAGGGTTAGTATAGCGGAGGCTCGCCAGTGGGGGATAAAGACGCGTGAATGGCCGAGCAAAGGTCAATGCGAGGCACAAGGAGCAGAGAAGCAACCCTGATTAGGAAGAGCTTGAAGCTTGCATGTAGCCTTGGAGTGCGAAAGCGGCGCAGACGACGCTGACTGGTTGAATCAGTCGTGAGTATCGCAGGACTGTATATGGCTATGGATGGATAGTGCCGAAGAGTGTGGTGAGGCAAGACGAGAATAGAGATGAGAGAAAGTCGAGTTCTGGGTGGGAGTGTAAATGATGTGTTTCAAAGCAGGAAGCAGTCGCCGTTGGGAAGACTCTGTCGGCAGCGGGATCTCATCACCTAATGGGATTCGTGAGGGTTTCTGAGATGAAATCGTTGCTCAATGCGCGGCCAGACAGAGGAAGCAGTTGCAACGAGCCGAGTGCAAACCCACTAGGGAGTGCATCGGAGAAAGGTAGGTAGACAGCTAAGAGGTCCAACGCTGGTGCAAAGCTGTAAGCGAGACGTGTGTTCGTTTAAAATCAACCCAATGCCTGAGACACATGCCTAATGAGATACAGTGCTGATATGGGGGTTTACAGCTCTGCACTTGCATATGGATGTTGGGGAGCGGCAAAGGGTCTAAGGTCATAAGACGCGTACCGTAACCAGAGACGTTGAAAAAGAGATTCTATCGCGATTCTCCTGCTTCGTGTCACTGATGAGCCACTCACGAACCCCGGCGTGGGGCCGACACGCTGATTCGGCTCTGAACGGCTAGCGGCCAGGCGCGGTAGCACGGTACTTCAGGCCTCTGAGTTTAAAAGCTGCAACTCTGGTCCTCCGCTAACACACCGATCCAATCACCCTGTGTTCGACTGACCAGGGTCAGCACCTGCGGCGAGACCACAGGTCTCGAGATGGACGACGTCAATCGAGGTAAACGAAGTGTAATGAGCAGGCCAAAGTCAGTCATTTAGTTACTGCATACCTCTGAATATTTGGAACGGAGTTGGACCAATTGAGGTGCTTAAATGCCAAGTTTCAAACCGCTGGCGACAAAAGACTCTAACACTCTAGATCTGGGTACAGTACAATACCCTACGTTTGTTACAGGAGTGGTCACTGGTGAGGTTGCTTGGGGCCAGGCTGAGAACTGAAGAGGATTGGAGAGATCTGCCTTGAAGTTTGAATTTGAATTAGAATGTGTCTGACTGTTAAGGCCAGTTTTAACAATTCCGTCTTCCGTCTTGGTCCAGGTCCTTGCATCGGCGCCTCCTCCCAAGTCCAACTTATTGACCTCCGATGCGCCGACAGCTCTCAGGACTTGAATGGAGTTCGCAATCAGGGCTGTCAACAAGACAGAATGTGACAGAGATTACTGAGGAGGACAACAGCATGAATCAAAGCATTCCTGCTCACTTCATGTTTTTGAAGGGTCCCAATGACAATGACTCGGAAACTTAAAGAGTTACAGCTTCCTACATGGGCTACGACTGGCAATCATGACTTTTTGACTTAGATCGGTGTCGGTCTATTACATATAGCATCCGTGCTCCGGCCGTGGTCCAGTGCACTAACATTCGTGACGACCCATGGAAAGTCTGAACATGAACGCCACACTTGAACTCTGGCTAATCAGTCTGGTATTGTTTACTTGAGTTGTCGGGTTGTCCAATGTCGTCGTATTGAATGACCGAGTTAAGGGTGCGAGAGTACCATAAAGTTGATTATCCTGAGTGAGTAAACTGGCGGTTTCTTTCGGTATACCGTATCACTCCGACTCCTTTCCATATTCTCACATAAATACGGCGTAGGGAATCATGGGCGGCAAAAGTCAATCATCCAAGGGGCAAGGCATTCCATTCCAGGAGCTACTTGCTAACTCAAGGGAGACTGTTGGGGGAGGTGAATTTGGGGGGGAGGGGGGGGGGGCAGGGCCGCGGTGGAAGGGGGGAGGGTCTTATTTTCAACCGTGTTTGTATCAACCATGGACTTGTGCTCAGTTCGGGCAAAATCCCATACCCTTGGAATACAGACTTGCAGGATCATATTCCAAGTCCTGTTCGGTATAGGCAGGCAGGCACCTCGACTCGACGGACAGAGGATTTGAAGCTTGTGTGATTGTACCATGGGCCCATGGTCCCTAGTTCACTAGTTGCCCGCTCCTTAACAACATCGAGGAAGTCGTAATAGTCCATCCACGCAACAACTAGGAAGGAAGCTGACATCATGGAGAGCTAATGGAGCTTTGTACTCTAATTTTGTCCGAGATTACAACCCCGGGTTACCAGGTATCGCCGTTCTCCTTCAATAGGAGCTACCTGATCTCATATAATGCCGGATGGTCTTGGCTTTCAACAGCCGGTCCAACTGTAGCGCAGCTGCTACCAGGGAAAATACCAAACTTATTAGGGCACCCAGAGGGCCCATTCCCATCAGCTTGCCGCGAGCCTGTGAGGATCCCGCAGGGCAGGGAAATAAGTAACCCAAGTTCTCAGGTTCTCAAGCCATCAACACCATAAATAAGGCCCCCGCGGCATGTCTTATCGTTGTCAGCCCTCCGGTCTATGTCCCATTCAAGTTGACCCAGGACTCGCCGAAGTAAAGCAAGCAAAGCAGACCTCTTGCCAGACGCCTCCACCCCTAACACCATTCCATCCTCAATGACGCCATATATCACAACGAGAGGATCATGCATAACAAAGACCTCCGCCAGGCGGGCAAGGAATACAATCCTACCAAGCATAGCCGAAGTCGCCAAACTCCTCGTCGTCTCCATTCCAGTCCTCATCCGAAAGATCATCGGCTTCATTATCCATAAAGTCCTCCATGCCCCACGTGGTTTCAGCCGGCTTTTGGTTATCCAGCTGAATCTCAACTTTCTCACACATGCCATGACGAAAGGGCGTCGCTTCAACCGTGGAAGTGATCGGGGAGGTGGGCTCCCTTCCTTTGCCCGACTGGAAACTATCCACTTCCTCCTCTTCCTCGTCGTCGTCATCTGTGTCCGGCTCTGCATACGACGGCCTGCCAGCACTATGCCTCAGGTCCCTGCCGACACTGCTAGCGCGCGACGAAGGGCCAGACAGCTGCATCGCGATCCGACTGCTCCGGCGCGTTGGGCTTGTGGCTGCCATCGCAGTCGAGGCAGGAGACTTACGAGCCTTCTTCCTCGAGGGACTCTCGACGGTCTCGTCATTTTTGCCAGTTTGCATCAACCTAGCCGATGCCGGCTGCTGCCGCATGGAAAATACCGGGCGTGGATCCTCGGACTTGCGCAAAAACACTCGCTTCAACTCAGCTTCCCACTTATCACGGATTGCGGAGCGCTTGCGATATGGGATATCTAGCATGGCCTTCAGAACCAGCTGACGAAGTTTGAGGAGCTTGGGGGCGCTGTCAACCAATGACTGGAAGAGAGTCTCGGCCGCCGCTTCCGTCCACTTTCTCATGTTCCTTAGTTCCAATCGTTCCAAATTCTCAGGCCAGTTCGGAACCTGGTCGTCTGTGAGCAAATCGTCGTAATTAGGCTCGGAGTCGTGGTAGAACTCGTGATGGTTGTAGGTCTTGAAATCCATCCAGAATGAGCGCAAATTCGGGCACGCCTCTCCGAGGACGGTGACAAAAGACAGATTGAGCGACTGGTTGTGACGGAGAATGAGATGCTCAAGCTTGTATGCATTGGAGAGCAGGTAGCTGGCAAAGTCGTCACCATTAACTTCCCAGCAATTGACCAACTCGAGCGTTTTGAGGCCTTTGGGCAAAAGCGGAAGCAGCTGATCGTTAATCGCGGTGGACGACTCAACCGAGAGAGATTCCAAGGCCGGTAGCGCATTGATTGCATCGGCCAGGCTTTGGATCATTGCTCGATCTCTTGCAAGCAGCTCTGCATCGTCGACATTCCTCCTCGCATTCAGTGAAGGGACCTGGTAATTGACGAAAGAGAGTTTCTTCAGGCTCGCAAACGAAGGAGCCTGATGAAGTGCCCGAATGCCGGAAAGGTCAAGATTCGGGCCCATAAGACGTCGATTCCATTGCCATGCAAAGAGTTTTGGACGGTGCGGCCCGCTGCCCATAACGGGTGGAGCTTGCGTACCATTCAGTGCCTCGAAAAGGCCGGCTGGGTAATGCCACCGCAGGCTGTCGTCGAGCATGCGATATGGTGGTGCATCTTTCCGGTGAAAGAACTGAAGGACCTTAAGACGGGGCAGGTTGCCGACTAGGGTTTTGAGGTCGAGAGGCTGGCCCTTGTAAGTCTTGGAGGCAATCTCCTCGACGTCAATGTAAAGCGCCTCCACTTTTGGCCTGTAGTTGAACAGCGTAGCAGAGGGGTCTTTGGTTAGCAGCGACGCCAGGTTGTGCGCGGCCGACCTGCTTGGCAATGGCGGCTCCCGGTAAAGGACCGTCAGGGCAGGTTCGGCGAAAGCCCGACAGACACGGCTGGCTGCGGATAACCATAGTGCGCGGGCGGCGTCTTCGAGATCTTCTGCAGCATATTGGAAAATCTGAACCAGTGCAAGATATGGTAGGCTGGGCCAGTCCGGAATGACCAAGTTGTCAATTCCTGGATTGTCTTCTGCTGTGAGGTTTCCACGTTGACGTTTTGTCGCGCGGGCTGGACTTTGCTTATTTGGGCTGGTTCTGGGCCTTTTACTTTGCTCCGCATCGGAGCTCTGTGAGTCGCTGTCTTCTCCATAGAATCCAGAAACGGGCCGGGCCCGCTTTGCACGGCGGCTGCTCCTAGTGGTGCCGGGCGACAGGGAGTGCTTGCTGCGCTTGTGCAACTGTGAGTGTCTTGAAGAAGAAGAGGGGCTTTCCAAAAGCATCGGCGGGTTGTCGCTGCTGCTGCTGGGATTGGCCCGAGCAACCAAGGCTGAGCTTCTTGTAACCCGATTGCCAGTTCTCGGAGCGGAGCTACGCGATGTAGCACCTTCCGAGACAATCCGAGCGCCGGGGGCTTGGCGCGGCCGTAGGTTACGGGGGTTCGCCCGCGATACAGCGACTCCTGTGAGTACTGGACCCATTGCGTCACCGCGGCGAGCCATCATGGCAACTATGATTGTTGAATCATCAAAACTGCAGCGGCGATACCGCGAAATTTTGAGCCTTGTAAGTTTCGGGTCAGCGAGGCGACAATGAAGTGTGACTTTCTTTGATGAAATGGGAAAGCGATGGGGAGACGGTCGCCGCTGCAGCAGAAACGCAGCGAGCGAAAATGGAATGCTCGTTTGAGAATGGCTATTCAAACCTAGACAAGGGTTTTTGCCGAGCTTCAGCCGACAGACCCACTTCTCTTCAGTTTAGTAAACTTGTACAAGCCATGAACAGTTCCTCGTCTGCAATCAATTCATGTCGCACGGCAGCTTCCACGCTGATTTCTATTGTGTATGCCAGTGGTTAGGCAGCGCCTTGTCCTTGCCTGACCAAAACTACCTAGTGATGAATTCAGGCGGGTATCGAAAAGTAAGACTGAGCCAGGTGCTCTGCATGGCGCATAGCAGCGCTAGAACCTGGCTAGACGACATAGAATGTCATGGATACTAGCCCTTCGCAATCACTCTTCGCGACCTGCGGGAGTGTCCAGAAGTCTGGAGGCCATTTTCCCTGACACCAAGAATTCAGATCCCGACTGACGGCGCCAACACCTGCTGCACCTAGACTTTCCTGCCGTCCAGCCTCCTGCCCTTACTCTCCTCGGCTTTCTTTCCCCTGTCTGCCACTTCGTTTTCGTCTCCGTCACCCTTCCTCTTGACAGTGCCCCTTAATGTTTGACCCTGACCAGCAAAGTGGGGCTGCCTAGCGTTCGCCGCTTCCCGCTCCTTATCTTCGGCCGTTTTGACCGGCTTGATCTCGTACCCGAGGAACAACTTATTTGGCGGTAAACGCAATGGAGCCGGTCCGTTGTTCCGCCGTTTCGGCAGCGCAGTTTCCGCGGGGGTTGCGGGCTTGGGGGTCGGTGTCTTGCCGCCTTTCTTGGAGCTCAACCGTTGTCCCTCGCCTAGAAAGTTTCCTGCCGACGCTGCAACAGCACTCGGCGCAATGGCGTCGTAGTTGATTGCTTGGGCCATTGTGCCCTGGTTGTGCAACAAGCCCCCGGGGGGGAGTCCGCCCACGCCTCGTGTGCTGCCAGGCGTGCTGGTGCCGCTGCCCCGTGGTACCCGTTCAGGCTCAACGTAACCTACTGGCGGGGCAAATTCGACGCTGACATCTGTCTCAATCATGCTAACGCCCATCTTATCGGTCTCGGGCTTAACATCCAACACAGCCACATTGTAGATCTCGTCGTTGTACTCAAAGTTGAAGACATCCCCCTTTGTTAGAGCCGCGAAGTTGCGAAATGCCTTTTCGAGCACGGCTCGCGGATCGGTAATCTCGAGAAAATTGACCGACTGTGGTTGCAGTTTGACCAGTTTGGCAAGCTCAAGCGACGTCGTCTTGACCTGGATCATGTCTCCAACATCTAACTGAAGAGTTTCCATCATCTGCAGACGGTCAATACCCCGGCAAAAGACAAACAGTGAGGGTAGTATTTCTGTAGACATACCCACTGGGGAATATATGCTCTACCCTCTTCAGCCACAAACTCGAGCACGCCGGCATGTGTATGCTTGCCGGTTGCACCGTTGATAAGCTCTAACATGATAGGCCATTGGACGTGCAACCTCGACACCTTGTCTAGGGCTGACGGCGGGAGGAAGATTTTGGAGCCGTAGTTGAGCTCTGGCCGCTCGGCGCCAGGCGCCATAATCAGGGGGTAACAGCGGTAGTATTCATCAAACCGCTGCGCTCGAGGGGCCCGAAGGCTCCCGCGATAATCGGCACCGCCGGGGTTCCACGGATTAAACTGCGTTCGAGGCATCAGCAAGGTGGCGTGGAAAAGGGCGCTCCAGCTTGCTGGCTGAAGGCGGGGCTCACCATTTCGCGATCCTAGGAGGCAGTGTTGGCGGAGATGCGGAAGAGACTATGTAGGTTACCTGAAACTCCTGAAAGGCAGGTAGGGTCTCCAGAGTCTCTGAATTCTTTCTGTAGTGCGCTTTGTTTTGGATCCTAGGCAGAATTCGCTATCGGAATGGAAGGTAAAGAAGATAAGAACCCGAAGGCAGCAGTGAGTATGACATCTGTATGTACAAGTCGGGTATGCAGCAATGCAGTGAGTGGCCCTTCGGGTCTTTAAGCTTGCGGTCCAAGCAGCTGATAACACAGTGAGGGGCATAGCATGTGGCGTCGGGTGGTGGCGCGAGCTCAAAGCCTCTAATCAACAACATGTCGATTCGCTTCACTTCGTTGCCCCGAGTTTGTTCCTGTTCTGGTTGAATAGTAACAGGCATTCTCGAGTAAGATATCGGTTATTGGACTTTGTTTGTCGAAAGGAGCAGGTTTCCGTGTTGCAAGGGTACTTGTACAACTGTTATGACTGCCACCAGCCACACTTTGATAGTTGAGTTGACGTCAAAGCTCCCTCTCAGAGTCTCCTGATAGTCGTTCATTCATTCCCTTTCCAGCCTGCAAACGACGCGGTCCCAGAAAACCATTCGAAAAGAAATCCTCTTACAAACCCTCATAACATGGCATCTAGATTCTCAGCTGCGCGTCCTAAACGAGCAGGGGAGGCATTTACGCGGCAACATCACGGCGAAGACCGCGACAACGAGGATTCTACGTCTAGGAAGAAAGTCAAATTCGATGTTCGCAATCCATCAGCATTAGCGCCTATCGCGCGGGATGAAGATGACGAAGAAAACGATGGAATTCTCGCTGCCGACGTCATTGGCACCTCTGGAAGGGCGACGAAGCGCGGTGCGGTAAACATTGATGGTTACGAGTCAGATTCCGAAAATGAGACCTTCGAAGCAAGGGCTGAGGCACGAGTAAAAAATGGCAAACCGGCCGAAGAGGTTGACTTTGCCGATGCCATGGACGCCTACAACTCTAAGCCCGCTGCTGGTGGCAACGGCGATGAGGACGACGAAGTCGACATGTTTGGCGATTCGGATGCTGAAAAGAACAAAACTACCAACCGTGGCCAAGCTGGGAAGAAAAACAAGGAGGTCCGATTCCTAGCTGAAGATGAGATTGAGGGCCAGGAGAGCACCAGCAAAAGCGGCGGTAGGGTACGGTTAGACGATAGAGACGACAGCGATGACGACGACGACGATGACGACGACGAAGAAGCCATTGCAGCCGCTATCGCCGAAGAAGGCGTGGACGAGGAGGTGGGCGCAGGGGGTCTGAAAAAGCATGCGCCCAAAATCGACGCCTTCAACATGCGCCAAGAGCAAGAAGAGGGCGCGTTTGACGAGGCAGGCAACTACATCCGCAAGGCGGCCGACGCTGACGCCGTGCACGACCGGTGGCTTGAGGGCGTCAGCAAGAAAGACATGAAGAAGGCGGCCGCCGCACGGGAGAAGCGCGACGCCGAGCTGCGGAGACGTGAGCGCGAAAACGACAGCATACTGACAGCGGACCTGCTCAAATCCCTCATCCTCCGACTGGAGCTGGGTGAGACTGCTCTGGATGCGCTGGCTAGACTCAGGAGAGGTCAGACCAAACCTAGAAAGGTGCCCAAGTGGAAGCAGAAAAAGACAAAAATCGGTGGCGGCGGTGAGGGCGCCATGGATATTGACGCAGATAAGGAGCCCGAGGATCCCAAGCAAGTCAAGATCAAGGAGGCAATCGACGCCATTGCCGACGCTGCAGACAGGCTCTTGCAGAGGGACTACCCTAATATCTATGACACGGAGAGAGAACGGCTGATAAGAGTGTATCGCAATGAGACTGGCGAGGAGTGGGTTGAGCCCCATGAAGCGAACCGGGAAGAGGAGGAGGGCAGCTCAACAGAGGCCAAGATGTGGGAATTTCGCTGGATAGACGGACGTGACGATGGCCGTACTCAAGGGCCATTCGATGGACCTACCATGAAGGCGTGGCAGGACGCGGGTTACTTTGGTGAGGGCGTAGAATTCCGGCCAGCTGGTGACGAACGCGGCTGGACGAGAGTAGCGACGTTTATATGACATGACAAGGGCAGCTGTACTTTGAATTGCTGCATAGCACCAACACATGGCTTGCCGCACCTTGACCAACAATTGCTCTTTTCTGCTCTATGTGATTATTACACAGGTATTGAGAATGCCCACCAGCCGTGTCCGCCCAAGCAATTTTACCAACCCCCCTAACGCCTGCGATTGTAATCCCCAGAACTAATCTAACTTGTGTCCATCGTCTCCCCAGCGCTGCCGTTGGCGGCAAAATCAACAGTGCCATCATTGCCAATCAACCGCTTTTCCGACTCGGCGACGAACTTGACACTTCTAGCAGGGTCATAAAAGAGCTTGAAGCTCCGCTGGACATCCTCCACCCCGACTTGTTTGGCACGCCGTTTTGCGCAGACGAGCTGCGAGGTGGTGATGAGGTTGCTGGCATAGCGAAGACCTGCCTCCTGGCCTATTTTTGTGAGGAGTGCGAGCGCATCAGGTGTGAGATCCACTTCCTCTTCTTGAGCCCTGATGGACAGGATCTGCCGCAGCTCGTCTGCATTGTAAGAATGGGTGTTGATGATCGCGACGCGGTCCAGAAAGTCGAGGGGAAGTCCGTGGGGACTCTTGTAATCCGTCCCCCGAATACGGGAGTGCCCTCTGTTGCTCGCCATGATGACAATGGGAGCCAGATCCGACTCCAGAGCCCGGTTGATGTACGAGAAGCACTCAATGTCGAGCATGTGCACCTCGTCAATGAACAGCACACCAGGCACAATCTCTGCCTTGCCCTCCTCTTTCCATTCTCCGACTTTGGTGTTGATCTGGTCTCGAATCTCGCTCCGAATCTCACCGGTGTCGCCTGAAAACAGGGCTAAAAAGCCCTGAGTCCTGGAGTTGATGACGTCGATCTCGTGCAAAGACACTGTATGCACAACCTCCTTGCGTTTCTGCAGCTCGCCGTCGGGGCACTGTAGAAACTTTGTATCGACTCCCATGGCGTCGTAGTCACGGGACCTTGCGTATGACCTGCCCAGCTTGGTGATCTTCCCGGATGACTTGTCGATGGAGATAATGTCGCCGGCCATCACACGCTCCTTAGTCATGGCGTCAATCATCTTACTGCCCATATCGTAGATGGCTTCCATGTCGGTCGTTTTGATGGTGAGCTTGCCTTGCTTAGCCCCGCCAGTGACGCTCCGATCAATTTGAATTTCGACGACTTCGCCCTCCATTATTTCGCTCTCCTCTTTGATTCTCACGCCGATCGACTTCCTGAAAGCTTGCGTTAGAGCTTCAGTCTTGGACATCTCGAGCGAAAAAATTTCGGAGGCGGCGAGCGTGGTGAATGGAACGTCTGAGCCGAGCGATTGAGCCATTCCCATCGCGATTGCTGTCTTTCCGGTACTGTAACGCGGCGGCAAGTCAGCAATCAAGACCGCCAAGATGACTCGGGAGCAGAGTCACTGCAACGAACCTGGGAGGCCCTGCAATCAGAACGGCGCGCCCGGCAATCTTGCCCTGCTTGATCATCTCCAACACAACTGCGGCAGCTTTCCGTGCCTTCTCCTGGCCAACTAGCCCCTGGGACGATGCCCTAGGCTCTAGAGTATCTGCATCCACGCCGAGTCCGCGCACATGGGAATGTGCCGCGATAAGATTGAGACCCCGAAGGTCTTTGCTCTCCGAGACGGTTACGACGGGCTGGAACCTTATGTGTTAGTTCATTTGCGACTCTAACGGTCTTATGGACTGGTGCTTACAGCAGCCATTTGCGCGGGCTGTTGCCGAGTATCAGTCACGTCTGGTAGGTGGTTGTGCTGAGGGCAGATCAGATTCGCGAGGCTGATGGGAGACCACTGGAGGGAGTTGGTATCCGTAGAGGCCAAGGGTTAGGGGACAGCCTGCACTCTGAAGAAGTGGAGGGCAGCCGCAGCATGGCGCCTGTGTGGTTGGTGTGTAAAAAACCTTGGTTCGTGCTCGTGCAAATCAAGATTCTCTCCAATAATCAAGTTACTGTACGGAGTAATTACACACACTTATGAATACGCCGTTTCGCTAGCGATAGGAAGCACCGACCACAGCGATTTTCAATTGTCAGGCTTCATCTTCATACACACAAAGCTAACCTAGGGTGTAGTATCAAGGTCATCTTGCATCATGTAGACGGCCTTATTCTACACAAAGACGCCAAAGTGTAGGTTACCACTCGATGAGAGGGACCTGCCATAAATTACCCCGCGCTACGGAGTACTGGGAATAGTTTGGATTACACTTAGCGTTGCCTACGTGCGAACATATCTTCGCGCTTTTGCTTTCGCAGCGCTGTACTTTGCGACATTGCCCAAGAGAGGAGGACTAAGATTCAAGGGACGGGGATGCGATCGCGCGCGCATACGCAACCGCATGCGCATCACACCAGCCGAGAGATTCAGTTGCACTATAGTACCGAACGTACCTATGTCTGTACCGTACGGCATACAGTAGATGGCTCGATTGCCTCGCCGAGACTAACGGACAGTACCGTATGTACAGGGCATACATGCAGGCTGTCCGGGTCACCTTGTTCGATTGCGGGAGTGTGTCGCCGAGTCCTCCCTTCTTTGGTCACGTTTTCCCGAATGTCGGTCGCCGAAGAGCGGAACATTATGAAGTCAGTTATTAGTACAGTAGTGTGCAGTGCAGCGGTGTAGTAAGCAAAGTACCAATTCTTGGAGTTCGAGAATTCATTTTGCATGTAGTACTGTGTAAAGAATGTTAATACAGTACTATACAGTTAGGTAGCATTTTGTACTCAATACTTGCATCTTGCCCTTGCTGAATTCATTAACCAGCGTACTTTGTACTTTGTATATTGGTTTCTTATCGGAGCAAGCTAGCATTCGATAAGGTTAGAAATCACAGCACCCAATTCTCTTTTAAGCGCGTGAATACAACGAAGCTCCAGCTCTTCCAACCCAACTTTCTACTCACTCTCCCCATGCTCCGATTCGACCACTGCACTGTCATAGAGTGATCCTTCCATGGTTAAGGCTCAAAGGGGATTCGATTTCAAATCGGCCACCACATCCTCACTCTCGACGATTTTTATTAGCAACGGTTGCAGTCGACGTGTTTCGCCGACCCCAAATTCACTTGTGGATCCGCCGCCGAGGTTTCCACGCACTTCGTCGCGAAGTCACACCGCCCAGACCGAGTCGCCGCAAGGTATTGCTACGTATAAGACGTAGTAAGAGCTACTCCACCGTCATTTCGTGACATTAGACACCAACTGTCGAACCTGGTCTCGGCGCTGCTCGTCGACCATCACGTGCCGGTTTGGCTGTTGTTGTCGCATGTTGGGGAGCGCAATTGCTTGTTGATGCTTGGCCCCCGTGCCTGGGACCCGGTTCACCATGTCGTACAGATCCTCGGACGCCTACTCACGGCGCCCTTTGGAAGATGACCGCCGTCCTACCGATTCTCACGATCGGCGCCGTGAGCCTTTTCCAAGGAGAAGTTCCGATTTCAGCAAAGAGGACAGGTACAACTCACCGAAGGATCGGCGTCACTCATCCGATCTTTCTCGAGATCCCCTGCCTCCAAAACGGACAAAGTCCGATTCTGCCGTGCCTAGTTCTGTGCACGAACAAGGCTCCAAAGCAGGTGAGTATCAGCTGTACCTAGGACTTGTATCCCAATCGTCACTTGCTGGCTCCAAATGGTGAGGTGCCTCTGACTAATATGCTCAGCGTCGGCATCTCGATCTTTGCTAGAGAGCGCTAGCCGTGATAGTTCAATATCACGGGAGAAAATTCTTGCGCTATGGAAAACCCACGACAAGGCGCTCATCGAAGTAGCCCGGCTCAGGTCTGAGCGTGACCCTCTGGACAAAGTATTAAGAGCAAGACAAGCGGATTATGAAAAGTCCATGGTCAAACACGGAGACTTCCCTTCTGTAGCCGAGTTGCAAAACATGCATAGGCGCAAATATGGTGAACAGGTACGAGCCTTGGATAGGCGGATACAGCAAGCACTAGACGAGGCAGAGAAAACGGCCGAGGCTTTTGCATCTGCCATCTTCGATCTTTCATGGGCTCAGAACGGACAACACGGAAACAGACCGGCGGCTGCGCCAGAGTTCCCAAAGGAGCGCGAGACGCTGAAAAATCAGCAGAACGAGATAAATGAATTGAAGATGCAGCTACGCCAATTGCAGGCCGAGCGCTCTAAAGAGCAAGAAGAACTCAAGGGGGAGATGGCAAGGCGTTTGAGAGAGGAAATGGAGAAGATGAGAAACGAATTCAAAATGGAAATGAAGGCCCGAGAGCAATCCAACCAAACCATTCAGGCCCAACTCTCAAAGCAGGACAGGGAAATCAAAACCATCGTCGAGCAACAAGTATCTGGACAAAACAACAGCACCGGCAATATCTCGACCTCGGAAGTATCCACCCTAATACAACAGGGAAGCTCAGGACTGCGGTCCGACCTCGTTGACTTGACGAGGCGGGTGGACGAGATCACTGCAAGGCTGGCTCAGAACGGCCAAGACACGGCGAGCCTATGCGCGAGCATAGCGATACAGGTTCAGCGGTTAGACGACCAGACCGAGAAATTGCAATGTATCAGAAAGATCGTCGAGAACATAGACCTTGAGACCCTCGACACCTTGGCGGATGTTTCGCTACATGACTTTCCAACCTGGCGTATCAAAATGATGACAGTCGACAACCTCAAATCAAACCTGGAAAATCTAAACGGCCATGAATTTCCGCGACTGCGGAAAGATGTCGAGGGCCTTCGCTTAAGCGTGGACGACCTGAAGGCGAAGAATAATTCCCTTTCTGATATGGTTCAAGATTTTTCCAACAGGGTCGTGACGACCGTTGGAGGCCTGGTGAACAACTTAGAACAGAATACTAGGAATCATGAGGCGCGCATCAGTCAATTGGAAGGAGCATCTACGGATGGAGGCCGTCCGAGTACTACCGAGATGGACTCGGCGAATTCTGCGAACCCGGCCGATGCAGTAAACCTCCAGGTGAATGCTATCAGAACCGACTTCGACTCAACCAAGGCCGCAGTGGCCGAGCTCAGCCAGCAGGTCAATCAAATCAGTCAGACCATGGAGGCCAACAGCAAAGATTTCAATGAACAACTCGGAACATTGTCGCATCTGGTCTCTGTATTGAATATGCGCTGGAATAACTTGTCGACCAAGTCTCTAGCTGAGCACATCATAGCCCAGCTAGAGCTGATCTACCCGAACGCGCGCGAGATTGTGGCCGACATTGCCCGCCTGAAAGCCCTAGTCGAGCGTCTAAACGGTTGGATCAAGACCCTTGAAGAGCAGGTGCAGAGTTTCAAAGGGAAGGTCAACGGCAATGAGGATACTGCCGAGACACCGCTCCCCGCACTCCAGGAGCACCTGGAACTGGTGCCGGACTTCCGGAGCAATGGAGTATCTCACAAGCGGAGGAGGCCAGATTCGAGCCCGAACGGCGCCGCGCAGACGATTGTTGCCAGGACGGATTAGCGCTTGTTTGGGGTGAAGAGTGGTTGGCTTTGCGATACAAGGGATTGCCCTCTTGTCAGGTCCATTTCGCCTCCGCAAGCCCGTTCATATCAGACGGGCGAGCTACTTAAGGAGGGATGCACACACTCCTAACGGTGTCTGTTAGGTGTGTATGACTACATTCATTCAATGTTGGCCGAAGGAGAGCGTTGGTACCCCAAGAGCGTTCTGGGTTTGTTAGGTTAGTTTGTTGGTGCATACATACTTCTCGTGGGCGATCACACGAGGAGTTTGACACTGCGGATGCTTCCAAGTGGTGGTAACATAGGTTCCTATAGAGGGTACTGTATGTATGTACACGTTATACGTAGGAGCGGATATACCAGGACCCCGGCTTTTCGGGTGTGCCGCATGTGATGATGAGGGTCAGAACACGATTCCTGTAGAAACTTAAGACCGGCGATCTGCGGAGCTGTATTGTTACATTTTTGAGCAATAGGAACTCTTCCAGAAACTATTCCACAAGCGGGTAATCGGATGAGCCCGTAATTAACAGATCAGCGAAGGAACCTAGCCAACTATGTGACTACTGATACCTACGAATACATACATTGATTGCTGCCAGTGCTGAGTCACCTTTTGCTGGTGGTGTGGCATTCGAATCAGATGGGAGACTTTCGATTGATGGCCTTTTGCGCCCAGCTGTGCAAACGGAGGGCTGGTATCACTGGCGCTGCCAAGTATCCCATTCGTTACCTTGGCCAACCAGCGAGGCAGACGACCAACCCGGAAGATTGCAAACCAGCAACTCCGTACCAAGTCGGAAAGAACACACAAAGATTGTCTCAGCCAGCGAGGGGGGAGACAAAGACGCAGTGAAGGCAACCAGTTGTGCAAGGCAAGGAATTTTGTTTGTGGTTGCTCGTGTTGGGGCTACAGGCCAGTACCGGACGTTATTTAGTTGATATCCTGCTGTGCTGCACTCAAGCAGGGATTCTCTGTCCGGAGACCAGTGGACCACACCACCTGCACGCTGCCCGCTGCCCTGCTCTCCACTATTCGCGACCCCGGGCAATCCCACCCTCGGCTTCCTGCACCCACACCACATCCCGAGCCGTAGCAACACCGCCTCCGAATCTGCGCATTCCGATACCAAGCATCGAGCCGGCTCGTGGCGACATCGCACCTCGACCGGGAACCCCATAACGTCTCTGGTCCGCCCGATTGACTGTCGCCGTGGTATGCGGACGCCCACTGCCGTCTTTCCGCCTGAGGGCAGTGCTCGCGTCTCGTCCGTAAAGATAAGGTCGCGGCTTGGATGCTGGGATAGGCAAGGCAAGAGAAGGGCGACTCCAGCATTGCCAGGCGGTGCCGAACACTCCTCCAGCTGCGTCGGCCGTCCGCTGCGACTCCAGGAAAGCGCGCGGCGCGTGCTCTTCGATTCGGGTACGTTGTGTACTATTCCGAAATGTCTTGGGTCTTGCGGCCGTGTCCAATTGCCCTGCTGCATGGCGAGGAACTCGCCTTTTTTGATCGCAGTCGTGTTATGGCGATGGTTGAGCAAATCTTCAATACGGGAAGCTAACGCTGCAATTTGACAGACAATCGCGCGCGCAAACGGCAATTCTCAGTACACTTGGGCGGCTACGCTCGGCCGTATACCTCTCCTCAGGCCCCGGGGGAATACCCTACCTAACCAGTATCCACGGGTTTCGGTGCCTCGGCCGATCTTAAACTTTTGAGATTGGTTTCTGCACCCACTCACCGACGCACGACCCGATTCCCCAGCCGCTGACGTCCATCTGCAACGACGGTGTGGACGCTAGACTCCAGTTTTCTTTGACGAATCCAATGTCCCGGCAATGAAAGAAACGATGGATGGAGCGGCAAAAGATGCAGACAAAGTGGCCCAGAGCATTCTCCCAGACCGCCCGCACCATCTTTCCTTGTCCCTCGAGCGTCGGTTTCCCAAGCCGGACGGCTGGTGGTTTAGTGGCGCAAGCGCCCCTCTGCAGTACATGACATATATATCCGACGCGCAGCGTGGCGTACTATTGACACGGGCCGTCTTCAACATATGCGAAGAGCCGCCTCAGATGGCGTCCAAAGTGGTCGCCAAGGGCGAGGTCAAGAAGAAGTTGTCATTGATTGACTATCAGAATAAGAAGAAGTCGGCCTCACCCAGCGAGAGAGAGTTGGCGGTCAGGCAAGATGGTCGAACGAATGGGTCGCTTCATGCACCACCAGCCTTGCCAAAGGATGATAGCATGAAGGCAGATGCAAAGACAAGCGACAAGTCGCATGCGCAGCGCCCGCCAGATCCACGGCCGGAGACCACACGACCTGAAGAGAAACCACGGCCAGAGTTGAACGGACAGAGGTATGTGGAGGAGAGGGCGGGACTGGGTGTACCAGCGGCAGAGTACTGACGGTGTCAACAGGAGTAAGACTTCCCAAGAGAAATCGCAGCCCGAGACCGAAAACTGGAAGCGCGGTGTAGACACCGACGCGAATCAGCCACCACAGAAGAGGAGTAAAGATGGGCCGGCGGTTTCGAAATCTGATCAGGCGCGCCTGCGCGTGCCGGAGTCACCTCGAAGTCGGGAAGGCACAAATGGGAAACCGCCCAAGGATATAAGGAGCGAGACATTGCATCCGACCACCAACGGACTGGCGCCGTCGTCGCTGGAGAGAAATCGAGAGAATTCTTCCTCCCCTAGATCGACAATCCAGGTGAACGGGTCCCGGATCCGGTCAGACAGCGGAACTTCTACACCCCGGAAACCAGATATGTCAAAGTCGTCCCTGCCAGAGTTATTATCGCCGCTCCACCCCTCGTTGTTCGAGGACGAGGCGGGGAAACAGAGTAAACCCAAGAAGAAGGCAGTCGAAAAGGCGCCAAAGTCGCAAAAAGCAGAGCCTCCTCCCCCGACCAAGAAGCTGAAGAAGGTCAAGTTACCACCTTTGCTCTCACCCACCCTTCCCCCAATTGTCGAGGAAGCGCTTGCAAGCAGGGATCGAAAGCCGGTACCCTCCAAGACTGTCTCCAGCCAGCCTTCAGATTCACAAGGCGGTGCAAGGAAGACGATAGTGGCTGCCCCATCGGTCCTGTTGGAGGAGGAGCAGAAGCCCACTAAGCCGTCCCTGGTTGTCACTCTGAAACTGAAGAAAGCAACTGCAAAGAGGGCAAAGGAGCTCTTGAGCCTTCCCTCAAAATCCGAAAAGGACACACAGAAGAAAGAGCGCTCCACGAGCTCAGAAGCTACGCCCCCACCGGTGGTCGCTAAAAAGCGCCCGCGCCCAGCTGATGATCTCGTCCCAGAATCTACGGCATCTAAGCGACCTAAGACGACAGCAACAGATGTAATAGCAGCAAAGCCTGCCGGTCCGTCCACTCCTCTTAAACCAGGCGCGACGGCAATGTCACGCGTGACATCAAACCAATCCCAAGCGGGCCAAGGCAACACGCCCGGGACTACCACCGGCCTCACTCCAAGCACCTCAGAGCGCCCCCCCACCCGCTCTGAGCCCATGGACCCAAAGACGCTCGCCCAAGCGGAATCGTACAAAGAACGCCACGGGGAGTACCAGCGCCTTGGCAGCAAGCTCAAGCACGCGCGGGACGACCTTTTCCGAGGCCAACGGGGTTCGTCGTCGGCGCTGCCCCCGGCCGATGAGCGCCGCGCCATGGCGTTACACTTTGAGATGGTACTCGCGTACATGGTGGCGTTCGACTCTCTCAACCAGGCACGCCAGCTCGAACGCAAGGTGTTTGACGTGGCCGCATGGGAGTCGCTGTTGCCGCACCTGGCCGAGCTCAAATCGCGCGTGCAAAGCGACAAGGCCCTCAAGGCGCTCGCCGTCCAAATGCACGTCATCTGCCTGGAGCAGATCGTTAATGCCATCCACACCATGGAGCTGATGAGCTCGAGCGTCGCCGTGTCCAAGCTGGCTAAGTACGGCCGGATCCGGTACAACATGTGGGTCGAGTCCGCGGGCCTGTTGGAGAGGGTCGAGGATGCGAGGATGAAGATTGTTGTTGGGCCATGGACGACCGTTGAGGAGGTGGTAACAGCGGCTTTGGGGATCATAAAGCGCTGGGCGGACCGAGAGGGCGTCAAGTGGTCGCCCGAGATTCGTCTGAAGCTTAAGGACTACCAGGAGAGGGACCGGAATGGAGAGCGAGAGCGGGATAGGGACCGTGACCGTGACCGTGACCGGGATAGGGACCGCGACAGGGATAAGGGCCGTGACAGGGATAAGGATCCGGATAGGGACCGGGATAGGGACCGGAATAGGGGCCGGCCTCTCAACGGACGGGCTTGATGAGCTGGTTGTCCATCGTTGCCTTCTCGAGCTACATCGATACTCCTGCAGTGCTACCTACCCCACTCGACCGCGCGACATTCCGACCCTCTAACCCTCATGTCACACCAAACACCCGTCTTTCCTCCTCGCGACGACCTCTTAACGAAGCGCGCGGTCGCGTTGGGCTCGCACATCGTCAGGAATACAGTGCATTCACCACAGTTTCAGTACTCTGAATGCATACAATTCCATGTATTATGACAGCGTTGCTTGCTTTTTTTACTTTTTCGTTACTTTTCTTAGCATGGGGAAAGGGGACAGGCTTCGCTGGCGTGGGCAGGCAGGCAGGCAGGCGTTCTAATGGACAGCGGGCGACGATACCTATGTAGCGATGTCTTTTTTGCTCACCTTCCATGCACTCCTTACGCCGGATTTTAGGTTCGGTCCGAGGTTTGGGAGCTACTGTGGGGATAGCAGGGTTTATGAACTCTTTTTTTTTCCCTTGGGATGAGACAGGATGGGAAATGTTTACTGTAGCTTGGGTTCGGCAAAGCCAAGACCCAGCGCCTGTTGTGAATCCTGTACCGAGTTGTCTGTAAGTGCTTGGGTGTCCCCCGGTTCTCTCCTGCTGATTCAGCTATGTTTTTTGTCTTTGTGTCATGTTTAATGATATCCCCCAACCCAGGTGGCTCGCAGCGCCCTAATGGGATGGGCTCCGCTGGAGTTATCATCTTGTCTGATGTGGTTCATGTGTTTCGCGTTGGAACGCGGCAAGGGGTATTCAGCAGCCAGCGGAGGGTAGCAAGCTCGGGACAATGGAGCTGGATGGGTGGTGAGATGGATGAAGGGAAAGCAATGTGTATGTGTATATCTGACTTTCACCTGGAAATGCTGCAAGAGAGCGACAAGGCTCACCTTGCGATGGGAGAAGGGAAACAAAGGGGAACGGTCGAGGATACCGTACCAAGGTCACATTGTCAAGGACTCAAGTGGATGGACGTTGAGTTTTACTAAGAAAGCCAATCGGCTGCTGGCAAGAAATCACATCCCCATCATGATCACATAGTTTGCCATGACGTTGTGCTGGGAGTGAAATTCCGGAGTGTTACTCCTAGCCTCCTAAGTACCTAACACACGTATAGGAGTCTCGAGGAGGGTTCGAGTCCGCTTGCTGCTGATGGGCCTAACTGTAAAGTCCCGGTGAGGTCGTTATGTTCATCTGTTTCCCTGGAAAAAAACCAAGCATACATCCACAGGTGCCTATGGCTGCCATGCCATGCCCGTGGGGCACACCAGGCCGCGCGCACTATGCAAACGCCGTTGCCATCCCATGCCATCCTGTGTTTGTGTGTGTGTGGTAGACCAGTTTCCACGAACAAACCACCGTCCTCAAAAGCCGTAAGCCGCCATCCATCCATCAATGAAAACCAGACAGAAAGAAAGAAAGAAAGAAAGAAAAAGCAGAAACTGAATGTGCTGCTGAGTCCCAGTGAGAAGATGAGATGAGACATTGCCGACGGAGAGATATGCGGGATGGATATGACCAGGTTTTCCGTCCCTTCTTTCCCTCCGTCCATCCAGGCATGCCAGCACCAAATGCGTTATGTTTGAGCGTCAAAGAACAAAAGCAGAAAGAGACTCGGAACAGATCCCGTGAGATGCTTCGTCTGCCGAGTACTGGGATGTGTGTGTGTGTGTGTCTGTGTTGGGTTGGGGGTGGGGGTTAGGTGTAGGGGAAGGGGTAACTTTTGGGGGAAGGGGCCCGACTCATGTGACCAACACTCATCTGATATGCCCCTGTTGTGTGTCGTAAATCATTTCAAGGTACTTGAGATAGATGACAGAGCCACGACCACTGACCAGGTGGTAGTAGGCTCAGCAATCTACTCATGCCAGCCATCGAAGTTCAAATCTTTGCCAAAAATCGTCCGCACGTCCAGCTCGCGGATCTCCTTCTCACGAGCCTCCTGCTCGCGCTGCAGACGCTCCATGTAATCGGGGTGCGGCGGGATTGAGTTCAGATCGACGCGGCGCTGCGGCTGATTCTCGTGGCCGACCATGCCATAATTGCCATTGCCCGCGCGCATCGAGTTGTTGCCGCCGAAAATAGAGGCGCCTCCATAGCCTCCATTCATATTGCCAGCGCCGGCAGCCGTGGTGGTGGCCTCGGGCTTGGTTAGTGTAGGAGGTCCGTAGAGCTCCTTGAGAAGCTGCTGCTTGATGAAGGCGTCGTCATAATCCCGCTCCTCGTCGATGTCCATGATCCGAGCGTGATACTTCTCTGCCTGAACGTAGAACTGAGACTGGATATGGGCCGGCAGGCGAGCCAGCCACTGAGTGTGGATCTGCGGCTCGACAGGCGACACGTCCCATATTCCATGGACCTTGAGCATTATGGCGCGGCGCTCAAGGACTAGGGCGGGGAGCTGAACAGGGAAGTCAATGAACTCTGGGTTCGGGTGGGTTACGGTAACGGGGGGCTCAAAGCTCTGGTGCGCGGTAGGCTCACTTGGCATGAACTCTGACTTGATGAACATGCCCATTCCGTTTTCATTCTTGTGATCAACGGGGCTGTCGAGCTTGAACATGCCCATTCCGTTTCCATTCTTGCGATCAACGGGACTGTCGACCTTCATGTCGTTGTTGATATCGTCATCTTCCTCATCTTCAGCCTTGATAATGGCCTCGGACTTGGGTTTGCGGCCTCGGCCGCCGCCATTGGTGGCACGTCTGGTGCCGCTTGCGCGCTTCTTCTTGACTCCTGCACCAGTGCCGGCAGTGGGGGCAGAGGAGGATGCCGCCGCTTTCTTGGGACGACCAACAGTTGGGGTGGAAGGCATGGCGGCTCCGAGATCGTCGACGGGGCTGACATCGCCAGGATTGGCATCATCATGGTCTTCGTCCTTAACATCTTTCGACTTGGTCCCGTTGCCAGTGGCCGACCAGCTTTCCATTCCAAGCTTCTTCCTGATCTGGCCGAAACGGACCTTTATTATGAAAAGCCGTCAGCAACACGTTCTCTTGGGTTGAGCTTTGCCACTCAAGTTCAATCGACTTTTGGGTTCAGTAGGGCATCATACCTTTGCGGTCTCAGCATTCTTGAAATTGTTGTCGGCTGCAACAGCATGCCAATCGACCACAGGCTTGCTTGTCATATACTTGAGGATGGTGTAAAACAGGTAGGCCTCTTGCGGAGTGGGTTGTTTGCGCTCGCCCGCGTCGCTGGCGACGGTCATTTTGGGAGGCATTTTGTCGTTTATTTTCTCAGAGATGACTTTGATGATTTGGATCGAAGAATTTCTGGCAGATGCCTATGATCTGGTTAATCGTGATGTCAGCCCTCGAATCATAATTGCGTCTGTGATGGCTTGCCACAACTTGAAGCTCACAAGACCGTGGCAGGAGTCCCGAGTCAAAGAAGAGGAGTCGCGACCCTCAGAAGATCATGAAAACACAACGTATTTTCAGAGCGAAAAGGGCAAACAATCCCAATGCTTCATAAGGTTGAAATGACGCTTTCCTTGCTCTGACTTCTGGCGATCGAAGGTTGTAGGTGAAGTGGTGACGCGGGAGTTTAGGTAGGAAATTGTGGGAGCAAAGGTGGGAAGAAGGCAGATGAGAGACGCGTTCTGTTTCTTGTAGGGATGAAAAGGAAAGATTGGATTCAAGCAGTTGTGAAGACGTCATGATTTTATCGAATAAATGGGATCGCGTCGGGCAACTTACCTTGAACATCAGTTAGGTCGTTGTTCGATGTATCGATTGATGAGATGGTGATCGCTAGGATTCCACTGTGATGAAACCTAGAGAAATTGGATTGTTTCGAGGTTGGAGAAAGGAAGTTTGGGTAACGTTTGGGTTTAGGAAAAAGAGAAATGGAGGAAGAGAATGGGTGGGTGGAAGGTCTGGCGAGAGCGAGGGAGTCACCTGCGGCTCGTCGAGGTCACTCGTCGAGGTTGGCCGTCGAAGGCGGAGCATTGAGTTTCTCGGCACGACTGATCAAAACATGAAGAGGTGAATTTCAACGAACGGTGGCCTGGTGACTGAATATTCCGAAGCGATGTTTGAATCAGTCGAGTTCTAAAGGAGTGTGCTGGTGAGCCGACATGGCACTCCAAAGGGAACCTGATGATACCTAAGAATTTAAATATCTCCTTCAGCCATATTCACCCAGGCAATGAATCAAGCAATGATTATACTTGGCTGGTAGGAGAAGAATGGTAGTCTTCCTGAAGATATTCCACTCTGACCCCTGCCTTGTAGCGACGTCCAAACCATAATAATGTTCCCAACCACCAGGGATATTCTTGAGTCCAGGCTGGCTTTGACAGCGACACTAAGACCAAGTCCAAGAAAACCTGAAGACAAGACTGGCACTGAAGTATCTCTTGGGGGGTTTAGAAAAAGAGAAGACAGTTCACATACATTGCCGCCTTCAAGCCTCGAATTGAGGCTTGCAACGTCAGCAGAACACCCGGCGCTAACATGTTCTGGATATGAGAACCGCTGGCAGTGCGAGGTGAAAAGGGTCCATGGCCGTCCTGGCTGATGACCTTAGCAATTGAGTATAGCCTCGAGGAATCAAACGAGCCGCTGCTGGTAAGAGTCAAGTAAACCTAAGTCGATGTGCTACCGCCTTCATAACAGGATTCCTGTCTATGTTTATTGAACATCAGGTGAGCCGGCAGAGAGGGCCTCCTCGCACGGCCAGCGGAGAACACTAGTAGCCAGATAGGATATCCCTGTTAGCTATCATGACAAGGACAGAACAGAAAACAGGAAATGTAAGTCCATCCAGAAGAACAGTGGAAGGGTAAGCTCATCTAATCCAATTTAGGTGACCGCGCTTCATGCTCCACCGCAGATTGCAATAACACGGAGCCGTATCCAAAGCGCTCCCGGGACAACCAACCTCTCCGACGCCAAAGCCGTTAGTACTTCCCAGCCTCCCATTCGTGCTTGACTCCAGATCCCTGACTGTCAAGAGTATCCATTCCAACTCTCATTTCCAGCTCCCTCTCCCGGAACATGCTGCCCGTATGCAATCCCAACCCCAAATCATGTCCCTCCTCCTCACGCTGATGACTGTGATGGGGGTGTTCCGCGCAAAACCCCATGTAGCTCGGAGCAGTAGCATTATTGGCAGTAATAGCGGACGTATCCAATCCATAGGCACCGCCGCCGCCGCCGCCACCACCAGTACCCATGGCATATCCGGCAGAGTACACGGACGCCGGGCTGGGATGGCCGTGATAGACATGGGTAGGATAATGATGCTGGGAATGCCATGGCGAGCCGGACCCGTGGCCGGCCCCGACATCACAGCCAACAAAATCAAAAGGCGACGGGGGTGCTGAGGCTGCTGGCGACTGGTGAGGTCTGTTGTTAGCCTGCTGGTGATGGAGTAGGTCGTTTGCTGGGTTGTGTGAAATGAAGCCGCCGCCGTTGCCGCTACCTTGCATTACGTCCGAATCGCTGCACGGGGTGAGGAGGCGCATTTGGCTTCGGGAGTTGGCGTGGTTGCTATTGAATGCTGATGTCGCTGCCGTATTTGCAGGCGACGGCGAAGTCGTCGCGGCTGTGGTGGCAATCCCGAACGGATAAGGCTTTGCCATGGGTGCGGCCGGTGAGGCATTGGCGGGAAGGCCTTCTTGTTTGATGTTCGGAGAGGCGGCGGAAAGAATCGAGGACGGGTGGTGTTGTGTGTAGCTATTGTGCTGCGAGTGTCCAGGTCCAGGTTTAGAATTCATCAGCGTCGTCGACATCACTCGGGGTTGAGGCTGCGATGCAACTCGAGACGGTTCGGCAATGCTTCGTCGCTCGGTTTTGATAGTCGGGGCGGTAGTGGTCTCGTCCTCACGCTTGATCTCAACGTTGTCGGTGCTCTTGTCGCCGTCTTCTTTCTTGACTTTCACGCCGTCATCCTTTTTCTTTTTGGATACACGAGACTTGTCTGGGTTGGTGCGGTTACGCCGCTGCGGCTCAAGGCCGAGCATGGCGGCGCGAAACCGCGAGTACCGCATACGGGCGGCGTGGCCGTTGGTGATCTTCTGAGCCAGGACCGGATCAGAGGCAACCTTGTTCCAGTCGATCTGATCTCGGAGGTTCAGTTGGCCGGCCGTTCAGTCCGGAATCAGCAAGACATTCAGACTAAACTTACATCCTTGAGGCATTTCTGCTGCAGAATCGCGAACAGGAATCGGGCCATGGCATTATCGTTGTTCGACATGGTGGCAAGCTGGCGGTCTGCCCACGAGTCAACAGCCTGCTGGAACGAGGAAGAGATCCGACGAGTGCAGGCGGCCAACACAGCCAAGAGAAGAGGGGAAGAGCGAGAATTTGGGGTGAAAAGGGTCAGCAACTCAATATGAGCCCGAACAGATGGGCTTGACCGCTACAAGTATGCCCTGTGGCAAGAATCACAGAAGCTAAATTCCACTGCTCGATTGCAGAGAAGTGAGTCACCTTGCGGACGGTGAGGCTGCCGGATATTATATGCCTGTTTCACTAAAAAGGGCAGCTGTCGGCCTTGGTATGGGTGGTTGGACCGCGGGCGGCTGGCTTTGGGTGGGGAGTATCAGAGAAGGGAGCAGAAGCTTGCATTATTTGACCGGTGCTCCTTGGGCCAGAAGAAAGCAAGGCGATTGATTGCGATTGTGATAGCTTATCGTTTGTGTCTCTCTATTGAGCAGTCCAAAAAGCAGTCTTGCCCCCTCCAAAAAGGGAGCCAGATGCATGAAAAAGCATGAAAGCGCCACCAAGACCTCCTTTTCCTTGCATTCTTTTCTCCTATGTCTTGTTTTTGATCAACCCAGGATTGACCCCCCTGCGATGGCTGCCACGGCAATGGTTGCCTGGTCATCCGCACAATTGGGGAACTCAACAAAAGGGACTGGGCTCCGACTCGGCGAGGAGGGTGGGTTGAAGGACGAGGCGACGCGCCACCGCGGCACTTCCGCGTAAAGTGCTTTCGTTTTCTTTCAAGACACGCACATCCCTGCCCCTGCCTTCGAGTGTAACACCAGGCTCTACCATCCCTGTCTGAAGGTCGGGTCGCAGGAGGCAGATAGACAGAGAAATTCTGACAGGCTGACATCAGGACATTTGGACAGAAAATCGATTGGCCAGTCAGAGGACGGCATCACTTGGCAGCCAGGGAAGATCGGGATCAATGTCAGAATTTTGTCGTCAGTGCAGTGCTGCCGGCATGATGAGTCGCAGTCGTCCAACCCATCTGTCCAGGTATGCGGGTGGTTGGGGTTGTGAGCGGACGCCGGACCCTGCGGCGTTTCATTGGCGAATCCAGATCCGGAAGATGGGCCCGCGGTTCAGGGCTGGCGTTCGCATGGATGTCACGACTTTTGAGAGACATTTGACGCTGGCAGAGTTTTTGCTTTGGCGCTCTGGAAGGCTGCCGCAATTGCGTGGACCTGCAGGCTTTTCGACCCCCTCCCCCACGTCGTATGTATGTGACTTGAGCGTTGCCTGACAGCTGGCAGAGCGTAGCCCGTTCAACAGTCCGTACAGAGAACGGAGAGATTGGATTTGACGCGAGCCCGCTACAGTGTGTGTACCTTAGAATCGGTATCAGGTCTGGCTCAATTGCAAGAGCAGAGGCAACGATTGCTCTGACCTGTAATGTTTCTATATGAACAATTGAATATAAAATGCCAATTGCTCTTTGATCTCGGTGCAGGATTTCATTGTCTACAGCTGCCGTTATGCCGGGCTGGCACCGCGTCTTAACCTGCACTGTGTGACTGTCGCGATATTTGCGCCAGATCATCTGACCTAATTTAATGGGGCCCCACTTGCACCAATGATCCTGCAGCTTCCCTTCCAGCCTTAGGCAGCTACTGCCCCAGCCCCTGCAGTTTCTGATTGGAACAGGACGCTTCAATTGGCTGCATCCCTCGGCCCCGGCTGAATGATCAGGCTGGAATCCTGCTGTTTGAGCAGCTCGTCCCCGCAAACCGCAATTCCATCTCTGCTTAGCAGACCTTAGCAATTTTGTCAAGTCTTATCCGCACTACCAGCTACCAGTAAACGGCAGTCTCTTACAGACTGACATGACTGTTACCGCCTGCTCTGCCCATGATGAATAAGAACTGGAACGATCGGGCCGACAAGGACCTCTTCTTCACCATCCTGTCGGTAAAAAATATCGGCGTCATCAGCGGATCAGAATGGGTCACGATCGGCAACCACATGCGGTCACTGGGCTACGGCTTCACAAATGAAGGATGCCGGTGAGTACTGTTGCTCAGTGTTGCTGCCCGAGGTGTCGCCCTTTGAGTGGATTCGTTTGTCTCGCTTTCCCCTGAATCTGGGTTTATGATGTGATGTCGGTCGGAGTTGAAATCCACGAGACGACCTCCACCCTTCTATCTCAATTGCGTAGCCCCTCGGATTTGGGCACTGAGGGATGTCTTCAACATGACAACTGCACCAATAATTGGAATTTCGCACCAACGCCACCTTGCGACCCTGGGCTGACAGTGTTATCTCAGCCAGCACTTCCAGGGTCTCCGTAGGGCCCAGAACAAAGCAGAGACCAATGGCGCTACCGGCGACAGCCCTAGGAAAATTGATCCGACGCTGAACCCCATCACCCGGAGACCCGGCCCGGGTAGAGGACGACCTAAGAAGCAAAAGTCCGGTGCTGCTGCTGCTGCTGCTGCTGTTGCGGGCCCTGCAAATGCGGCCCCAGGTGCACCTGGCGGTCCTCCGCTTGTCCCCGGCGCGCCCCCGCCGGGCGCTGGTGCTCCCGGGGTCCCTGGCGCTCCTTCCCTCCCCGGCGTGCCTACTGTCTCCGGTGTTCCTTCCGGCCCTCCTGGCCCCAGTGTGACCGGGGCACCCCAGCAGATCCCGAATGCACCTCCTGTTCAAGGGATGCCGCCCGGTCAAGCACTCCCTGGTGCACCGCCTCATCCTGCTCTTCCTGGTCATCTTGCCCAACCTGCCAATCCGGGTGTTGCGCCTCAAGCCCAGATGTCCGAACCTGACGACGATCTTGCCGTGGATCCGAACCTTGAAGATGACCTCGAAGAGCAGCCTGCCAAGCGTCCTAGGTTGAACGAGAGCCAGGATTCTTCTATCGAAGACGAGACCGTGCTGAGTGGGCTCTCAGTCAACAACAACCCGACACCTGGCGGCGAGTACACATCGGAGTACGTCATCCTGAACATGCAGCACCCCTTGTGTCACCTGGCGTTCCCAGCGCTAACATAAATGCAGATACACCTACGGCGATGCTTAATCAGTATTGCCATCCGTTTCGAAGTTCAATATGTGGGGCGTCTCGGGTGTTTGGCTCTTTCCGTCGTCGCCAAAGTGCTTGAACGGCAAGCTCTGTGAGGTGGACTCGTTTTGGGACTGCTTCCCTGGGGTTTATTCGGAGTTTTGGCGCCTTGTACACATGTATTCGCTGACTTTCCTTCGGTGAGATCAAGAAAATCAACATCGCTACCTGCTACTTGCGTCCTCGGCCTTCCTTTGACCACTGTCATTGAACCACAGGAAATGATACATACTGCCGGCTTTCTACAGAAGCTGGAATCACAAAGAGGCTTCCTGTAATCGATGAGTTTTGATACTGCCTCTACTGGCTAAATGATTCTGTTCCCGCTGTTAAGGGTTCGTCTCAGATCGTACTGCGGAGCCTCGCCGGGTTCAACAGCCGCTCCGAGACAACAACGGGCCGAGATGAACGGCCGCACCGATATCACCAGCCGCACCCGGGTCAACAGCCACGCCGAGATCACCATGCTCCGCAAAACACGTCTGTCGTCGAACTCTCACACTCTCACGTTGTTTACCCCTCGCCTCCTGCCCCTCGCTGTCGAGCTCTGCTGTCTGGCCCATTTATCCACTTCTTCTCGCTTCAGAAAACAAACCACAACTCTTGCAACAAACATCTCACAGAACAACCACCAGGTCTCGGAGATTGTCCAATCTTTCACCACTACCTTGTCTGTTCAGTACAATACTCACCCAGCATGTCCAGCGAGAAAGCGATCAAGTGGAACCACGAGGTCTATGTGCACCTCCTCGGTGCCATGGCCGTTGCCTTGGATGCTACTTCGGGCATTACGGCCAACAAAGATACCATCATGAACATTATGCAGGCTCACGGTCACACTTTTACCTGGGAGGCGATTCGGTAAGTAGACAGTTCAAAACCCCCTCCAGCAAGGCGTGGGGGTCTTCATCTCTGTCACATTCAGTTTTGTTCAAAATCCCTCTCCCTTCAACTTTGTCAAGCACGCCCAGCTGTCGATTCTTCACTACCCTGTTGTTTTTCGCTGAATTTCCGAGCAACTCTTTACTGCTGGTCAAGATGCCCACTCGTTGGGATGAGAGAGCCAATCTTGATCTCTTGATCAGTATTTACAGTGCAATCCAGCCTTTGCAGGATCAAGAGATCCAATCGAGGATTCAGACTAGCATTCTTGAAGAAATGAACTCTCGTGGCCATGTGGTCACATGGGACATTCTCAGGTATGCTTTTCAAACCTATGGGTGCAGGAGCAAAACCATCTTTCTGGGTTTATCACTACATTCAAACCTCTTCTTCCTTGCCAACCAACTTCGCACAAACCTACCCTCGACCATACCAACTCCATTCTGTTTCTTTACACATCGAATTCTCCCCTCGCAATTTTCCTCCCGAACTGGTTCTGCAAAGTAATTACCTGGCGACGAAGAATCCGCAAAAATGCCCAAGTGGGAAGAAATTCGAGAGGACCTTTTCGAAGCGGTGATGCAGGTCCAGCCGCCGCTCTCCAAGGAGCAGCAGGTCGAAGTGGTCCGTCTCATGAGAGCACGCGGTCACGATATGGTGTGGAATGCGATTAGGTATGCTCGGCGACCTTTGTTCCCGCTTTTCTTTGCACTATCCACGAGCTCTCCGAGATTCCTGCCCAGCTTTCCCTTTTCCTCTTGTCACCACCTTGTTACTCGACGTTTCTGGGGCAGTCGACAGAGAACACCAGCTTTCACAGAACTCAGTCTCCTCATCACGAACCATAAGCAGCAATGCCTGGGCAACGCACTCTACAGCAGTGGGATGACGATACCCATCGGGATATACTGCTGGCCTTGCTCGAGCAAATGAGGCCTTCTGGTGCTGACTGGGCCCGCATTGTGGCTCGTTTGCATGAGAAGGGCTACAAGTTCAGCGAGGGAGCTCTCACGTACGTTTGGGCGAGAGCAGCCGGCGCCGGCACCGGCAGCCGGTTGCCAGTTCCTCTGACTCGCATTCCGCAAGATTCCTTTTCCCTCTCCCCTCGTTTCCCTCTCCTCCATCTCTTCTCACTTGGCCCTCCACCACCCGACTTAGTCTTGCTCCGAGACCTCACGTTGTCACCGGCTCTCCTCACTCTCATCGCTAAACTACACACCATCAAAGACGCCTACAAGGCTCATCACAATGTCCAAGCAGCCTACGGTGTGGGATCATGACGCGCATCTTGCGCTGCTGCAGGCCTTGATCGCCGAAGCACCTCCCACGAATGCCGAATGGGACAGGGTCGTGGAGCGTGTGGCCCAGAAAGGCTACCACTATACGGCAAGCGCCGCCATGTAAATTTCCCTCTTCCATTTCCCTTTCCCTTTTCCCTTTTCCACACTCTGCACTTTCTCTCCCACCTCAACTTTCTCCCAAAGTTCAAGAGGCCCTTGTGATCGCGAAACAAACTTCCTCAGCCCACATCCACCACCCATCTCAGGCAGACAAGATGTCAGACCGCATGACTTGGGACCTTCGCGCGGACCACGCTCTGCTCAGGTCCATATTGAGAGAAGTCCCGCCTTCGCAGGACCTGTTGCGACCCGTCATGAGACACATGCATGAAGAGGGCTACAATTGCTCAGTCAAAGCCATCTCGTACTAATCTCCTTGCCTTGCTTCTCATTTTTACGCGTCGATTTTCATTCCATTCCAGCAGTGAATAAACGGCATCGCTAACTGTTTTCCTTCTCCCACTACAGACAGCATCTGCAGAAGCTCCGCCGCAAGGAGGCTGGCGGTGCTGCCAACGCCGATGACGGTGGCGCCTCTGGCCCAACTTCGCCCGCTCCCAAGACGCCTCGCAAGAGGGCTACTCCGGCTAAAAAGGACCCCGGCAGTGGCACAAAGCGCAAGGCCGCCGACGCCGACTCGGCCATCAACCTTGATGATGACGAGGAGGAGGACGTCAAGCCTGTGAAGAAGCAGCGCGGCAAAGTCAAGAAGGAAGACAATGTCAAGAAAGAGGACAATGTCAAAATGGAAGAGACCGAGAAGGTCAAGAAGGAGGAGCATGAGTAAGTATTTCCAACAAGCCCTTGATTTGCGACTTCTACTGGAGTGAGATTGCTGACCTTTTTCGTCTCGGGTTTTCGTGCAGTGACGACACCGGCTATGTCGTCTAAAGAAGTCGACTGTTCACTTGGGGCCTGCCGCACACACACATCGTTGGCATTTCTGATGAGGATGGACAATTCGCTTTACGTGGATTGGAGTGTTCCCGGCATGAGCGATCGGATAAGCTTTTGGGCGTGGAATTCAGAATTCCCGGTCTCTTTCCCCGGTTTCTCGGCTTGGCTGGGCTAGCCTCATCGGATGGACGCCATTTGTATTTGTTTTCTTGCCCTTTCTTTCCCCCGCGGCACAACAGGCACCCTCTACTTCTCTCCCTATGGGATGACATGCCGACTTCTGGCACTGATTTTTCTCTTTGACTTTCCTCCCCGACTCAACACGCCACCATTTCGCTGATTCGGTATTTCGCCACTGCTACCTTTTCTCTACGAGTTCCGGAAGATATCTCAACCAGGTCTGACAACTTGCGGCATCGGATTGATGAATGGCGTTCAGACGGATGGATGCAATCTTCATCATGGGGGCAACGGATTTCGGCTCTGCGCTGTGCTCTTCTTTGGGAGGAGGGTAACTGGATGGCTGGTTCTGGGCTTTCTGGAGGAGTTCATCGGATGGGGTCTTTCTCTTTCTGGGGCCTTCTTGCCCTGTACGGCCTGGGATTCTTCACTCTCGAACTCTAGATTAGGGCATTTCTAGGTGGTCTCACAACTAATACATGGGGCGACTGCATTACCTGAGGTCCAAATTGGTTGAACGTGATGTGACTTGAGAGAAACACCGTAAGGTATTTTCACCAACACTCCACAGCTGTTTAGACATATGTCCCATCCCACTGCCTACCTAAGTTCTGGGTGTTTTGACCGCCAGATACCATCATCGTCATTCTGTCCATACAGCTCCCTGCAAAAATGATGGGCAAACCGAATGATAGTTTCTGGTGCCGATACATTAATGCTGTGCGATTGCCTATGTCTACTCATTATTAGACGCCTCCTGATGGCTTGCAATCCCCATCAAAGCCCCATGCTGATCGCCGAGGCGCCATCACACGAATTTCAGGCAAGATCCTTAGAGCAGGAGAGGTCCAAATTTCGACTTACCTTGAGGCGCCCGGAGGTGCAACCGTTCAGAGTAATTATTCCGCCTCTCCCTGATGTCTGGTTTTGGTAGGTGCTCAGTCAGGGCAGGTAAGGAAGTTGGAGATGGATAGCTCTTTTGGTTTTGCCCTCAACTTAGCTCGGGATTTCATAAGTACCTTAGTCAGTTTGCAGGTAAACTTAGCCTACGGACTCACAACAATATTTGATGGAATGAATCATGCATTAAGGTTGTGTAAGCCGCCTTCTGCCAATGCAGTCAAGATTTTGAAAGTGCGACATTGAGAAAAGGAGGTGCCAAGGCCCCGTTGCCCGGCAACGAGCCAGGGTATGCACGAAAAGGAGACATACTGTTCACCACCCTGTTGTTGATAGTAGGTATTCATAAAGGCACGAATTTGATACCTCGTCAATGTTATATGTGGTTTAGCAATTTCTTGACTATCAACGGCAAAATTCTCTTTGATTTCAAGGTTTCAGTCCTCACCTAGAGAACAAGCCGTGGTCCCGTCTAAATCCCAACCTTTCTCAGGCAGCTCCATCGCAGGAAAGTACAGCACTGTAGTCACGGTGAGTTGCTCACATGTATCTACTCGATGGAGATACCTGACTCACAAAGTGTGCTCTTTTGGGAGCGTCACAGTAGAAGTTGTGGAAACATCAAGGAGCGAAGTGAGTCACTGAGGATACCGTACGCTTTTCGCCTTTGAGTAAAGGTCATGACTGGATCTGCCTTGATGTCGAGCCTGCTGGCTTGTTCTCCCGGCATTGCGAGACATGTGAGCGATCAATCTCCCAATCCAATTCACCATTGTCGTCACCAGCGAACTAGGTAAGGTTGCCTGCCAACTAGCCAACGGTTTCTTAGCCGCCTCCAAGCAAAGCGACGGCATTCCATACTCGGTATGGGGTCTAGAGGAAAAGCTCCAAGAACATTTATAAGTAACAGGAGCGCTAGCCGTAGCAGCTTTACCCTTCCTCCCATATCGAGCAGTGGCCCAGTCCCTCTCTAGGTCATACAGATGGCCCGTAGGCAACGTTCAAACGTTGTAGATTTACAATAGAAGTCTCTATTAGAGATAGTAGCCTTGTGCTTCTCATGGGCGTGGATTCCTCAAGCGGTAGCCAGACAAGGCTTCATAAGTCAAGTCCACCTTCCTACTTTCACCCCCCACTGGTTGAGGTGAATCTTAGTGGTAATAGGCAAACCTCCCCTCTGACCTATATCGAAGAGAGGCCCCCTGTTCGATCCCTCTGCTTGGACGCGCCATTCGGGCTGTGCAGGCTTGCTCACACCGGCCACCTTGTCTAGGTGGCTCTGCCTGGTGTAGTGTAGTTCGAGGACGTATTCTGTAGGCAGGTTCAAGTCGCAAATCTCACAGCGGACACGCGCCTCTGCCTTTGCTTTCTCCCGCACCTGCTTGGCAATTTCCAGAAGTCTTTTGGGGGCGACGGCTTTCTAAGTCCGCTTCCACATCAGGTCCCCGTGGAGGCGACGAGCATATACTCGTCTTGCAATATCCTCAAGCTCAGCTGGTGATAAGTCAACATTGGCCACCCCCTCCCTGAGGGGGCTATGTGTACACCCGGGCAGCCAATCGACCTCTTCGCGCTCCCGCTTCTATCTCATCGGTTGACGCTATGGCGTGGCGGGAGGTCGATGGCTGCAAGGCTGCGGAAAACTCGCTGGTAGTAGGCATTGCAGTCTCGGACGCGTCGCCAGCAGGTGTGTTTCTCAAAGGCAAATCGGCCATGGTCGCAGGTTGCTGCGTATCGAGGATTATTGCTAGAACCAAAAGTAAGTCGCCGCACATTCATCCAGAACTGAGTGAGGAAACTTACTTACGACACAAAAGACTTCGTAGAGCCTCGGCGTATCACGGCGTGGGAAGAAGTAAAGCAGAGAATTATCTCAGTAGGCAAGACCAGGTGCCAACCTGAAAGTACTTCTGCTTGCTGAAGGAATAATTTTGAGGTTTTGGTGAGCAAATTGGGCTTGGAAATCGCTTCTGGTGACGCCTCTGCACTTTCCAATTGTCTTGACAAAGTAGTGGCAGAGGTTCCACCGCTCACCTTGCCGGTTGACGTGGTCTTTGTTGAGCCACGCCTTGAGCTTGAGGAGCAGGTGCACGTAGTAAATATCGACTTGCGCTTCGGGTGTAGTGTAAAAAAGCATGTTGAAGACCGCCTCCAGAGCGAGGAATCGCAACCTCACACGTGGTACATTTCCAGGACCAGGCTCCGGACCCAACAAAGCAGCTCGACATGCGCAAGCTTACAACCACGCTCAAGAGTCTGGCGCACAAGAATTCCGAGGACTGGGGTATTGACCTTTTGCGGCCGTTGCGGGCTGAGGGGCGCTTTGCGCGCAGCTTGTCGATCTCTTCCAGCTCTTGAAGGGTCGGATCTACCTCCCCCCTGACCAGTCCTCGGAGAGGACTGTGGGAGCAGCAGGGCGTCACTCTACCGCTTCGCGTGGCCAGACCAGCGTTGCTAATAAGATTCAAGTTGTATAGCTTGCACCTGAAGTGGCCCACCGGCCTTCCTCCTCGGCCTTGTCACTAGTCGTTGGAGAGATGTCTGGCTTGTCGCTGTGGAGGTCCTTTGTTCTTAGACATTCGTGCCATTGTGACGTATCCCCCCTCTATGCTATTCGAGTTGCGAGGAGTAGGGATGAGTCACGCATCGAGGCAGCCTTCATGTCATTCCTGACTGTGAGACTGTCTCTGTAACATGATCTTGATCTCCCGATGAGACGTCTGTGCTTTCTCCGGTTTTTCGCCAGTCCGTCGTTTAAGAGTGACTTTTTCGATTGCAATATAGTTAGCAGATGTCTGATCGATTGTATTGTAGACCTCTACCGAACCTGCTCTTGGCCCGGTGGGAATCTTGGCTAAATAGATGGTGATGACGACGAGTCGATGCTGGCGGCGAGGATAGGTGCCTTAGTTCCAGGAGCAGGGTGCAATATCCGGAATACAGCGATGGTCCCGCTTATGATGCTGTGGTCGATTTGCATCGCATGGAGACTGCAGCTATCTGAGGTGAGGTTCCTATCAGGTATTCTGGACCATGGAACAATGCGAGCTTGCGAGCCCTTTTGTAAAGACAGCCGCTGCTGCCTGGATCGCTGTCAAGCGCCGAAACCACCTTTTGTGATTGCCCCTGATGCATCTCATACTGTAATGAGACAAGGTCTGCATGAAACTGGGATCATCACAGCAGCGGTAGATTTTGGGAAATGCTGATGCGAAATAATACATCTGTTTGCTTTTATAAACCGTCTGAGCATCTTACGCTATTTGTATTTTTACTTTGTTTGATCTTTCTAAACTGGAAGTACCAAAGTCTTGGGACGAAGTCAGGACACACATGGGGCAGTGAGAGGCGGGAAGGAGCGTTGATTCAACAACTTGCTGAGGAAGGATGGCGGCGAGTAGCATAGGCACCAACCTGCCGACAATGAACCAGGGTCAAAGCAGGAACGTGCCCTCAAAGAAGGGCAAGCGGCTAGGACTGCATCATAGTGAAATTGAGATCAACTGTCGGCGTCGTTTGGTTTAATAGACAACTAGTACCAAGTTAGTTCAGGTACTCTACGGTGCGAACGGAAAAAAGCGACGGTACAAACGAGTGTTGAACGGGGAGACGCAGGCGGCCATATACGAAGGTACCTACCTACCTACTACCTTAGGAGGTAGCTTTGGTTCTTTGCTCAGCTTGCCCCCGACGTGCCCAACTCGACAAGTTCTTTGATCAGGCCAGCGAGGGGATGTGTTCTGATCGTGGTAAGCAACTCCGGCTCCCCCATGTGTTGTCATATATTTAGAGGAAACGCATCTGCTAATCCACAGCCCAACTGGTGACTCCAGTATGTCCTGTCGCCGGTGTAACAGGGCGTATAGCTGTCTTGGACGCTGTCCGATTTCTCCCATGCTCCTCAAAGTATTCGTACACACATCTCTCTCTCTGAGCAATACGAACAACTCTCTCCACAACGCACACGAAGCAATCCATCACAGCGACACAAGCACAGCACACGATGGCGGCCCAAGCAGTAGCTCCCTCCCCTGAAGCTGTCATCGAGCAGCTCGAGAGCCATACACACGCGATGATCACCCTGGACTCACCGCCCTGGTATCTGAATTTTCAGTTCCAAGTCACTTTCAAAGAGAGGTCAGCGTGGGACGCTGCTGCCGCGCTCTTACCCCTGACAGTGGCTCCAACCTTGCTTGTAGTCCTCTGCTCCGACACCCCACCTCCTATGGTTTTTTTTTTTCAAGTCGCTGCCAGCACCCCAGAAGAAGCCCGTGCAATAGGACGTATACGCAGTTACACTGGAGAAAAAGGATGTACAGCCAATTCTCTACCTTATATCGGCTCTGGCACGAGAGTCGATGGCGGAGTCTACGCCAGTACAAGACAGAGGCCTTTGTCCATGCGGACCTAGACTCCGTCGCTCGCACGCGGCACCCTCGTGGATGCTCTGGACGCCCTGTAGACTGCCTATATACGGGGTGGGCCCGCCATGACCAGGACAGCGTCCTCGACAACTTGGTCGACCAGTTCGGGGCCCGCGCTACTGAGTGGCACGACCAGTACGGTCAGTGGAAGCGAGACAATAGGGACATAGAAACCATGGTGTGTAACAAGGCGCACTTGAAGCGCTTCAAGTTGGGAATTGACGTCCCGGCCAACGTCCCGAGCCGCAAACAACCCGGCGGTGGCGCCCGCCAACTACAACCTGAAGCCGTACCGGGGACGGGAAGCATGGATGCCAAGGAGCATGGGAAGAAAGCCCCGGAACAGTGGATGGCAGAGTTGTGGGACTCAGTGGAGCATGACTATGGCAGCCGGGAGCAGGATGACGGAAACGCGCTGGACCTTGCATGCGCCGGACGGAGAAAAGATCTCGCGAGCATTGAAGGAAATGAGAATTGGGATTGGAATTCTTAGGCATGAAAGGGAGCTTGACCAACCTCCACCTCACGGCAGCAGCAGCGGCGGCGGAGGGTCCGATCGAGGACCTCCAGCGCCGTGCCATGATGATCAAGGTCAACGGAACCTGGGCGACCGGCGACTTCTTGGTGGATGTCCTCCTCCATTCGCGATGCCACTACTTGTATGCACAGTACTCACTTACTCAGTATCTAGGTAGTTTTGTCCGACAATGCCGCAGTGTCGTTGGCTGCTCCTTTTGCCTTTTCTAGAGCTGAGTCGATCACTGTCAATGTCGTTCTTGATTTCTGCCTAGGCTGCCTTCATCTCCTTGAATTCAGGTTTCGTCTCAACCTGTAGGTGGTTTGAGAGTCTGTCGATTGCATTGTCAGCCTGTTACTGCGGTGTGGCGACCATCTCGATGAATGTCTCCATTCATGTTCGCGTCCTGAATGCGGCGATATTGATTTTGCTCCTTGTCTGGAGACTGGTAGACGTTGATGGTTCACTCAACTTCACTGGCAGTGCTCATCTACTACTCGGAGAGTCAGCGCTGCCAACATCAATCAAGGCTCTACATGCCTGGGCGCCTACCCGCCGTGGTATACTTCTGTATTGCCCTACCAAATCAACTTGGAGGTCTGTGTGTGATGGTCACAACTGCAGAGTGCGACGGAACACATGAATCACTGCCAGATTGAGAACTTTTACGTGAAATCGCTACCGGCCCCGGCCATCTCTATGCATGTAAAACAAAGAAAAGAAAAAAAAGCCGCAAAGACCCCGGGCCAGATCTTGGAAACCACCAGCCTACTCAGAGCTCGAGCCGATGTCCATGGGGACGGACTCGCTGTCCGTCATGATGTCGGCGGCCTGCTTGGCCTTCTTCTTCTTGGCCGACTTCTCCTCCGGCTCGTCGTCCGTGTCGACGGCCATCTCGTCGGCTCCACGCTTCAGAGGCGTGTCCTCCTCCGCGGCAGCCGCCGCCTTGCCCTTGCCCTTGAAGGGCGTTTTGCGGAATTTCTTGCGCGGGGTCTCCGGGACGGTGGCGCCCTCGTGGTCTGAAGAAGGGTTGCCCGGCGTGACGGGCGGGAGGGTGACTTTTTTGCCCTTGCGGGCGGGAGTACCGGCAGTGCCGGGGGTGCCGTAACCAGCGTCGTCGGAGCCGAAGGTAATGTTGAACTTTTTCTGCATGATGCGCCAGCGTTCCTGGGAGCCTGTTTGGATCAAGGAGTGTGAGCAGGTTGATTGCAGTGACTTTAGCTTTGGGTATGATGGTGTTTGGCCGGCTGGGTCAGGGCGGGGACAAAAGAAAGGGCCAGGGCAAATTGTGATGGCAAGACGTTGGTAGGATTGGTACTAGGGTAGACTCACTCTTCGCGCTATTACCAGTGGCAGCAGCAACTTTCTCCCCTAAGACGAGTGTCAGTTTATGTCATTGATCTATGATCCAATCCTCATTTGTTTGAGGTGCCGCTCGGGAACACTACTAGTACGCTGAGTACATGTAGGTACTAGCTCCCTCCGCAGCCAAGAGGGTGTAGTGGACACATAAAAGGTAAGGTAAGCAGCAGGTTGCAGAAGGTGTACTCACAGTTCACATCGGGCTTCGAGTTGAAGCTCGAAATCAGGGCATAGACCAATTTGATGTCCGCCGCGGTTGGGGCAATGCCGTTGATGGTATAAGCGCCGGTCTCGGCACCCGTCTTCTTCGGCGTATCGGCCATTTTGAGTGTACGCTTCTACAAGATCACTTGGTTAGTATGGTAGCCAGAATCTGAGGGAGAGAACTTCAGAGAACGAAGGAAATACTCAGGTAGCTTCAGAACTGCCAGAACGTCCCAGGTGACGCCAGGATTGGGGAGATGCCAGTGATAGAGAAGGGAGGAGGATAGGATTGATTTCATTCCTGAACTGCACTTACTCTTGAATTTCGAGGTAGGTAGAGAAGAGAGCAGTCTGTTTGGCAGTTGGAAGCTGCGGATGAATCGTTAGTTATTGAAAATCTTGCGATGCCAGAGTCAAGAAATCGCTCGAGGGCATCCGAGGTCACTCTTGGATCGCAATCTTGGTCCCAGCAGTACAAGAAGCAGGTTTCAAGAAGGCTGACAGGTAGTACAAAGGGAATGGAAGTACTGTTATCGACTTACTTTGGCCCTGAGCTGCGGAGTTGTGTTCTGGACGGCCGGTGATGGGTGCCAGTGGTCGATAACTGCAGCTGGGGTTCGTGGAGAGAAGAGGAGGAAAGGAAGTGGCAGAGGTGAGGAATCTTTGGGTGATTTTATCACTGAAGGGAGGGCACAGGCCGAATAATCTTGGAAGCCACGATCTATTTCTTCATCTCTAGTGGTAGGTATCGTGATAATGTTCTTGAATAGGCTGCGGTAAGGCAGAGGGCTACTGCCCTCGCATGACGGGGATGGCACAGGCCGGCAGCCGCCATATGCTTCAGTTCCAAGCAGCTTGGTGAACCTCAAGTCGCCGAGACATTACATCGTCGACGACATCATTGTGTCCTTCACGCCGGCAGAGGCAGCACACTCAAGCCGGGCACAGATCGACATTGTAGGGTTGGGACTCAGTGTATGCGGTCTCGATGCATGCTGCTGTTGCACAAAGGAGACGGCGAGTGACGAGTATCTATACAGGTTATAGCTTGGAAAATTTTACTCCTCTATCTACTGTACCTTGCTGTTATTGCAACACACGGCCCGGGAGAAGATGAGAATGGTGGATAGTAGTAAGTTAAGCTCCCTGGAGAAGGCGGGAGCATGAGCAGGTATAGATAAAGTAGTGATATTGTGCCTCGAGGTCACAAAAGGAAGATGGGAGCATCAGAGTACTATATATATACAAAAGGGAGCTTGCCACAGTCAGGGGGGTCTTTGACAGGGGTTAAGACTTAAGAGAGCCCCATTGACAGGGCCCAGAACACAACAGCTGTCAACTGTACTATGGCTGCCCGTTGACTTGACACAGCCTGAGCTCACTCCATGAAGGAGGTAATGGCTACCTAGCAGGGAGATGGGGGTCTTACGAGACATTACATCGTCGACGACATCATCGTGTCCTCAGTCACGCCGGCAGAGGCAGCACAAACCGGCACAGATCGACGTTATAGGGTTGGGGCTCAGTGTATGCGGTCTCGTCGTCTCGATGCTTGTTGCTGTGCACAAAGGAGACAGCGAGTGACGAGTACCTACCTAGCAGAGGAAGGGGGGGTCTCTGACTGTACGGTCTGTCTCATGACATTGCAGTCTGGCACTAGCAAATTGAACTTTAATGACAACATCATGGTACCTAGCTGGTGTCATAATGTTTCCTAGCCGGTGTCCTAATGTTTATATAATGGCAGGTACTTGCTAGTGCCGGACTATAATGTCACGAGGAATGGTAATGTTGCCCGTACGGTCAAAGACCCCCCCTCTCCCTGGGAGGTAGACAGGTTTCAGCTTGGGAATTTGTACTTCTCCATTTACTGTACTACTTGACAAACAAAGCAAAAGAAAGAAACCCTTTCATGTCCCTCTACTCTTTGCCCAGTCCCCGGCTCTGCTCTCTGCCGGTCCGCTGGTGTCCAAGATCGCTTTCGGCATGGCCATCCCTGTCATCTTCATCTCGGGCAGCATAAACACCACCGTGGCGGCACGCTACAGGTTAGGTTTCTGCAGGGTGGCGGGTTCATGATGTTAAAAGGTCAACCTAGAACCTGCAAGGCACACAAAGTTCACAAAACTGTCGAGAAGCACAGCTGTTGGGTGGCATGCCGAAGGATCTTTGGCAATGCAGATGGCGAGAGAAGCCGTCTGTCAGCCTTCAAGCGCTCTGATCGAATATGGAGGAGGAGGTGGTGGGGGTGGTGGGGTTGCTGTTGTTATTGCTGTAGGTTGGTTTGATGGTGGTACGGTCTGCCGGGGACGGAGGGTTTGCGAGGTTGTTGTGGGCTCTAAGGAAGGGGAGATTGTGGTTGCCGTTGCCGTTGGGGGGATTGCTTGCTTGGTTGCGGGGGCTTCTTCCGGTTGTGAGGGAGGCGGCGGCGGCTCTACATTGTCTGGTAGCTTTGCTGTCAACTGTATTACCTGGCTGACCGTTGACCTGACACAGACTGAGCTCACAGGTCCGTGAGGGAGATAGTGGCTAACTTGTTGTCTCCGTTAACTGCCAGTGCCATGTCAGTCAGTAAAGCTCACAAGAGAAAGACCGTGACGTGCGAGACTCGGACGATCTGATTTCTTACTTGGACGCTTGTATCTTTTTGCAGGCTCCAACCGCTGACAACTCAGGGGAACTGGGACTATCTGATAGCTCAGTAACCAGTGACTTCGATCTATGTGACAATTCTGCTGAGCTTATCCACCTATTGTGTGGGCTAGATACTAACTTACTTGGCAACTCTTCTGTCCCCTCTTATACTAGAAGACGCTAGCTAGGAACCTTAGGTACCTTACCTCAGTGTGTATTCATGGAAAAGGGGCGATCCTGATGTTTTGAGCCTTGGCTGAATACATGTACCATTGTTAATCCAATGCTGCCTAATATTTAATCCGAGTTTTCTTTGGGGAAGAATACTGGTAAGTAACTTAGATATTCTCTCCTGCGACTGTTGACATATTGATGAATGTAGTAGTGTTAGCCTGGACCGTCCTAACATAGTAGGTCCGTATCTTAGATGTCTTAAACTGCGTTGCAGGCTAGTATTAGTACCAGTAGTAACTACCTTCCTTACTTAGATAGGTACTTACTAGATGCCTTACCTTGAGAGTATGTCAGAACTTACTGGTAGCTGTCTTTCATAACTTGGGAAAGGGGGTTTGCCAGCCTGAGTGCTTTGTCCACTCTTATAAGCCCACACATACCGTGGCCAATTCGAATTCCAGCGTTTCCTGCTGGCACTAGTATTGGAAGCGTCCCTGTCCTGCTAGGTTTGAGAACAACAAGAATACGCTCTGTGCACTAACTGACTACCTAGAAACCATGCTCTGACGCTTGAATCGCTTGAATCGCTTGCATCACTGAGAGTACTAGCACCTAAGGTAGTTCACGAGAACCTTTGCCTTCGTACAACAAGAAAGCCAAGTACAGTACATATCTGTTCCGACCCTCTTACATGCAGGTGTTAGCGTTCTGTCTTAGCTCTCTGCTTTTTTATACAAGGGAAGAAATACAAAGTGGAAATTGAACCTATAAGTACCATGACAAAGCACTGCTGCCACTGCAGGACAGCGGCGAGTGAAAGAAAACAATAGCAATGCTTGATGAGGGCCAGCTCAAAATGAGGTGTCTCATTAGTCCACTGCATTGGATTGTGAGAGTGGATTTGAAATGTCTAGGTGGTTCCGATATTCAGGGTGACACGCTGTGTCCAGTGAGATAAACACTCTGAGCATTGCCATGGCCGGTGAACCCAACGTCGACTTGGGAAGGGAAACTAAGGTAGGCTGCTCTTTCCAGTGTCATTGCATTCCGTGGTTCAGACTTCACAGACTCAACTTCGGACGACAGTCGGGTGTCCATGTCGCGTCCTAGTCAGTTTGACAAAGATCCTGGGTAAAGATACCAACTTGAAGGAACCATTAAACTTAGATGCCCTCTCCCAAGTCTCCAACATCGACTGGTCCCTTCACCTACACTTTACCTCTCTACGCATGGTACAATTCAGCCGAGCGAGAAAGAGAGACAATCATAGTACCATCTGCTCCGCCCTGAAAACTGTAGATACCAGGTAACGAGCACAAGTAGCCGTTGCTATCGTGGTGAGTTCTCTATTTCCTTGGCATTGCTGGTTTTGGGATTCAAAAGTTTCTGTTCTTGGGCATTGCGGCAGGAGCTGTTGCGGGTTGGAGTGACTGAGCTCGTCTGGAACGACTTCTCTGGCACCAGACGCGTTCTCCGGTCACTTGAGGCACCTTCACCCTCTTCCAGTTCTTTCCGTCCAAAGTTCCAAAATCAAATTCCTTTTCTCACTGAGAATATTACCAGCCAAAGTCCGATCTCTTGCAAACTCTTTCTTCCAAACCACATCGCGTCCATATTTCACCCTCAGTGTGACAACATTCGACCAGTCCAAAGACCACCTACATACCAGGTAAGCACCATTAGCATCATCTTCTACTTCTTTTCCTCTGCTGTCGTTTCGCATGAGTCTGCGATTTTGAAAGCCAGAAGCGGAACTTCAACTCCTCTGCCTCGTTTCTCTGTTTCCCTTCCCTCGAGTCGACTCACAATCCCTCACCTCTCAGACTGAGTATCTCTGGCAGCCTAAAGTTCGAGGTATTATCACATCTCCAGTCCCGCTTCTCTCTTATTCAATCCTTTCTTTCTTCATCGGATCTAGTATCTTTAGATGATCGCGTCGACGCTTTCCCGAACCCCAACTCCCCAAGCGTTGCAATTCTACCACTTTAAAACCCAACACTCGCGACCTTGACATTCCATCCCGAACTCAATACCTATTTTCCAGTCGCGCATGGGTGAGAAAGAAACGTCTGACTAACATACGCGTCTTGTCGACAAACAGGAAGCCTTGAAACATCGACAAAATGCCTTCCACTATCGATAATGAGGGCCATTTCAAATTCCTTCTGAGCTGCATCAAACACTCAACCGCCGGCAAGGTATACTTTAGCACCCATAACGTGTGTCTTATTCAATCACTCACTCCTCCTTAGGTTAACTTCTCAGCCGTGGCTGATGAGCTGAGCATCGTCTCCAAGGCAGCTGCGTCAGTACACCCTCTCCCCGATTTGGTCGTTGATTCCGTCTTGCCTTCTCTAACAAACGCGGCAGTGCCAAGCGATACGAGCGACTTCTCAAGTCGCACGACATTTCTCCCTCCAGCCCACGCAAGGCCGCTGCGGCCTCAAAGGACAAAGGCGATGAGGACGCTGACTCCGAAGCCAAGGCCGCCCCCAAGGCTCCTGCTGGCCGAAAGCGCAAGCGGGAGAACGCCGCCGCTACTGTCAAAGATGACGAGGACGAGGACGTCCCCGTCAAGAAGGAGAAAAGGCGCCGCGTGAAGAAGGAGACCGGCGTCAAGAAGGAGGAGGACTCCGATGAGGACGTCAGAGTCAAGGGCGAAGGCTCCAGCAACGGTTCGTCAAAACGTGATGCTCGTGATACCGAAGACTGTGATCTATACGCCATACCAGAGGCCTTTCCGCGACCGAGTCGGAGCGATGAGCTTGTCAGGTCTTCTGCCGAGGATGATGCCGACGACTTTTGTGTGGTCACGGGCGAGCGGCCAGTTCGCGCCTCGGTTCCTCACCTCTCGCCGACCTCTTTTGGCCATGGAGCGCAATCGATGTCGAATCGTGGCCATGGGTATGCTAATTTCGGTTCTGCCCAACAGGATCTGACATGGAGTAATTCTCTTGGACCCAGCAACCGTGATGTCTTTATCACAGGGCCTTCTTCTGTCGACCACAGGAATTGGAGCATTAGCCCTCACAGCGTAGGGGCGCTACCAGGGTCCCGGTGACAGGTCAATCGTCGTTCACAGCAGAGGTGAGCTATACATCCTTTACTTGAGACTGTATTTCTGGTCTAACATCGCTTTAGCTTACCAGCCGCGGAAGGATATCCTGAGATTGGATGGCGGCATTGGTGCTTTCGCCTTTGCGGTTGCGGTTTGGCTCTGGGCTTTTCATTTGGGTCTTTCTCCCTTCGCCGGCGTTCGATCCGGCCAGTAGGGCTAGAGGTAGCATCTTGATAATGGGAATGGGTGCTTTCTGACCTTGTCTTTCGATCTGCAATCATTGGTGAAATGCACCCCAAGCCGTGCACATCCCATGTTCTCCTCAGCCCGTCCTTTTCATGTGTCTCATAATCATATGCACCCTTTAAACACAAAGTCTGATTTTCCATTATGCCGCAATCGCCCTGACTCAAAGCTCACCTGGAAGCTGCTAGCCGGCGTCACCCCATCTGACTTACGAGGTACTCGAAGAGCCGAGTTCACCGCGCTCTGTCGTCTGCGAAGTGCGAACAACACAAATGGGGTTTGTGGAGCTCAGATGATTCCAGAAACAACTCTCAGCGATCGGTCTTGGCGCTAGTACCAATCTGGTCTAGCCGCTAGGGAGCTCGGGCCAGCGCATTGGGAACCTTTGGGGAATTTTTTTCGGATCGATCACTGTCGTCGACGGTGAACTCGACCTTCTTTCTTCCTCCATTCCAACCTACACCTCCTTCTCTACACCTTTCTCAAAAGCCGACTGTGATACCCTGCCGAATCCAACCCGGTTACTCTTCGTCTACATCCTTTAATACACTAGAACAATGCAGCGCGCATTGACAAGAGCATCGGTCTCGTCGCCCCTCGCGGCGGCCCGCGTCCGTTCCACACAACAGCTCCGCTTCGCCCATAAGGTCCGTCACCATATACAGTTTGGACCTGTCTGCTGTTGCTGACACCATTTTCATAGGAGCTCAAGTTTGGCGTCGAGGGCCGGCAAGCTCTGCTGAACGGTGTCGAGACCCTCGCCAAGGCAGTGGCTACCACTCTCGGCCCCAAGGGTCGCAATGTCCTCATCGAGTCAAGCTTTGGCTCGCCCAAGATCACCAAGGGTTGGTTACACTCCTCATACGGGGCGTATATGAAGCGAAGTGACTGACGGCGTACAGATGGTGTTACGGTCGCCAAGGCCATCTCATTGAAGGACAAGTGGGAGAATCTCGGCGCGAAGCTCCTAGCCGATGTCGCCTCCAAGACGAACGAGGTTGCCGGTGACGGCACCACCACTGCCACCGTCCTTGCTCGCGCCATCTTCTCCGAAACCGTCAAGAACGTGGCTGCTGGTTGCAACCCGATGGACCTGCGCCGCGGTATCCAGGCCGCCGTCGACGCGGTCGTGGAATACCTTCAACAACACAAGCGCGACATTACCACCAGCGAGGAGATTGCTCAGGTGGCAACCATCAGTGCCAACGGAGACGAGCACATTGGCAAGCTGATTGCCAATGCCATGGAGAAGGTGGGCAAGGAGGGTGTCATTACCGTCAAGGAGGGCAAGACTATGCAGGATGAGCTCGAAGTTACCGAGGGCATGCGCTTCGACCGCGGCTTCGTCTCGCCTTACTTCATCACCGACACCAAGGCTCAGAAGGTTGAGTTTGAGAAGCCCCTGATCCTCCTGTCGGAACAGAAGATTTCGGCCGCCATGGACATCATCCCGGCCCTCGAGATTTCCAACAAGCTGCGTCGTCCTCTAGTCATCATCGCCGAGGACTTTGAGGGTGAGGCACTTGCTGTCTGCATTCTCAACAAGCTCCGTGGTCAGCTGGAGGTTGCGGCCGTTAAGGCTCCTGGTTTCGGCGACAACCGCAAGTCCATCCTGGGCGATATCGCCGTCCTCACCAATGGCACTGTCTTCACCAACGAGCTGGACATCAAGCTGGAGAAAGTCACTCCGGACATGCTCGGCTCTACCGGCTCTATCACCATCACCAAGGAGGACACCATCATCCTCAATGGCGAAGGCAGCAAGGATGCTATCGCTCAGCGGTGCGAGCAGATCCGTGGAGTCATGGCTGACCCCACCACTTCCGAATACGAGAAGGAGAAGCTCCAGGAGCGCCTTGCTAAGCTCTCTGGTGGTGTTGCCGTTATCAAGGTTGGCGGCTCCTCTGAGGTTGAGGTTGGCGAGAAGAAGGACCGGTTCGTTGATGCTCTCAACGCCACCCGGGCCGCCGTTGAGGAGGGTATTCTCCCTGGAGGTGGCACTGCCCTGATCAAGGCTTCATGCAACGCTCTCAACGACCTGAAGCCCGCCAACTTTGACCAGCAGCTTGGTGTGAGCATTGTCAAGAACGCTATTACTCGCCCGGCGCGGACAATTGTCGAGAACGCCGGCCTCGAGGGCTCTGTCATCATTGGCAAGCTCAGCGACGAGTATGCCTCCGACTTTAACAAGGGCTTCGACAGCGCCAAGGGCGAGTACGTCGACATGATTCAGGCTGGTATCCTCGACCCTCTTAAGGTCGTGCGGACCGGTCTCATCGACGCCAGCGGTGTCGCCTCGCTCCTCGGCACGACCGAGGTGACTATTGTTGAGGCACCGGAGGAGAAGGCCCCAGCTGGTATGGGCGGTGGTATGGGCGGCATGGGCGGCATGGGAATGATGTAAAAACAACCAAATGTGTATTGGGCGATGAATCCGGTCTTTGATTTTCGGCGACTTGGCTGGGGGGCATTTGGCTTCGGTGTTATCGGATTGTACAATGTGCCATGTAATATCTATCTCCTCTCTAACTTTCCTCTCTGTGTTCATAGCTGCATAATCATCAAGGCGGCAGTGGCGGCATTGTATATAGTACGATCACACTGGGTTAGAGTAGAGAGAAAACAGGATTACGAATATGTAACTTACCAGCGATAACCAGAGCGCCCATCGTGACTCTCTGACCAGGCAGAAGTTTAGGGTGGCCTGTTTTGTATTTTGGAGGTGATAGTGTTAGCGCACATGACAAAGCTCCAGAATATTCGCAGCCTGACGGTGTAGCCTTGACGACCCAACCAAGCGATGGATGGCCCTGGATAGAGAGCTCTTATTAGGGAAACATGGCCCATGATGCCTGAGCAGGTAGCTTTCAATTGTGTGGAGTGTGGACGGTGGGCACACCCCGCGGGATTAACATGGAGGGAAGCTAGCGCAGTCGGTCACCGCCCAGCAACCTGACCCCACCACCACGATCAAGCCGATCCATCAAGTGTTGTTTTTCAGCCTGCCCCCTCCCCCTCCATCCATCCATTTCAATTGTCGACATCCGCCTCCACAGTGTTGACCTCGCACTTCAACCTTGTCTCTCCTTCCCCTTTTTTCGGCGGAATAGACTGCAGTACGCTTTCTCGACTTTAAGCTTCAAAGAAAGCCAACAAGCAGCCGAGCTCCCCTTATCGTAAGTTGCATCTATTGTGCAGGCTGATTTTCTTGACCCCTCATCTTGCTCCCTCCTGGCGCAAATCAGGCCGCCGTTCACCCTGTCCATGTCTCACGACGACACCGCCGCCGCCTTGTGTGTTCCCTTACTGACCTCCTCTTTCCCGAGTAACAGTCTCCTCAACCAACCCCCGTTACCCCTTGCGATATATTGAGCTTCGCTAGCAAGCGCTAGACCCTGAAACAGCCGACACCATGGTAAGTTTCCGAGATCGCGATTACCGCTCTACGCCTCGGTTAGTCGCTGACGTTGCATGGCGCTTCGCAGTCTCAATCCGGGTTCGTAGTCTAGTTTTTCCCTGCCTTTCATCCTGTCGAGCCCGGGCTGCTCTCTTGGCCTCTCGCTCGCCGCATCTGGCGAATCGACCGATTTAACGAGCGGGCATGAGGTTTCCTGCGGTCGGCTAGGCTCAGGCTTGCCCCGTCCAGCACGTGCTAACCCCCAGGCTGCCAGAGCGACCGTTAACCAGGAGTGCATAACGGCATACAACGACCTGAAGCTCAACAAGAGGTACAAATACGTCATCTTCAAGCTGTCGGATGACAGCAAAGAGATCGTTGTCGACAGCACGAGCGAAGATGGCCCCGAGTACGAGGATTTCCGAGAAAAGCTGATCAACGCCAAGACCAAGAGCAAGACTGTATGTCACGGGCTCGCTATCTACTTTGTCCCCCTTTTTGCCTTCGAGATTTCGCCGAGAACGCAATAACTGATCGGTTTGGTGTGCAGGGTGCCGTTGGCAAGGGCCCCCGATATGCCGTCTACGACTTCGAGTACCAGCTTTCGTCTGGTGAGGGTGTCCGGTATGGTGCCGGAAGAAACCTTCTAGGACAAGAACCCTACTAACGTCCGGGAAGGAACAAGATTACCTTCATCGCCTGGTCCCCGGATGATGCCGGAGTCATGGTGCGTTCACACCTCTCGCTCGCGCTCCCTCCTTATCAACTTGACTAACCCAACCCTGCCATCGCTCAGGCCAAGATGATCTATGCTTCGTCCAAGGAGGCCCTGAAGCGGGCACTCCCTGGTCTCGCGACTGAGGTGCAGGCCAACGACGCCGATGACATCGAGTACGACACGCTCATCAAGACGGTCAGCAAGGGTACCGCTGCATAAGCTCGGCGTTTGTTTACTTCATCAGCGAGCGCTGTTCCATATGTGACGCTGTCTTCCGTGCGATGTACTTGGGAAACCAGGCCCTGGCCGTGTCGCTTGACAACGGGAACAGACTCTCTACCAAAACCAAAAGCAAATGGGTCTTGGACTGTGCAGGCCCTACCTCGGGAGGTTGCATGCAGCGTTCGTTAAGCCCGGGTGCGAAGGAGGAATTTTGTCTCTAGAGTTGAAGCGACAGGGACCATGGCAATAGTAGCAAGTTGACAGGATTGACATGCTATCCCGCTCGAGCAGTGATGATATCCCTCTCACACACTTCATTTTCATAGATCGTTCAAACCACCTCAGTTCACCTGCCCTTCCAAGCACCCCTGAAAACCTCGCACGCCTCTCCTGCAACCCCCTCGTCCCTCACCCGCTGCTGCAAAAACCCCTTCAAATCCCCCCAAAACTCCTCGGTCTGAAGCACCGGAAGCCCACTTAAGCCCTGCGCGACCGGCCCCGCCCCATCCTCTTCCACCGCCGTCTGCTTGCTCATACCCGTGCTCTTGCTCTGGCCACTGCCGCCGCTGCTCTTGGGGACTGGCACCGCCCCGCCGAGGATCATGACCGAGAACTCCACCTGCTCCTGCCCTTGCTCTTGCTGTTCCCCCAGCCCCGGAACAATGTCCTTGAGCAACTTGCTGTCTGCCACGGGCTTCTTGGCAAAAAGCAGCTTGATCTTGTCCACGGGCAGGCCCGTCTCGGCCGCGACCGCCTCCTTCACCTCGGCCACCGACGTCCGCGCACCGTGCGGGGCGGGAAGCGTCAGTTCCAGAGAGGAGGCGTGACTACTCGAGGTCCGCAGGGAGCGGACTGTTACCGTGATGCTCCGCTCATTGTTATTATTATTACCTGACGGCCGGGTAGCAGCGGCTGAGGAGGATTTGGTGGCGGTGGTAGTGGTTGGTTTGCGTTTGGAGAGCGGCTTGAGGGTCGCGTGGCGGGGGAGGGTGTACTAGTATCATGAATTTCCCAAAGGGTTAGAAAAATGAAGTCTGCTCAAACGGGACAAGAGGAAGAAAGGGCAAAGCTTACGGGTGTGCTTGCGGGATAGTTACGCGGGTCTTCAACATGGTCGGCGGTTATCTTTGTGGGCTTGGAGTCCAGTAGGGAGAGGAAGGACTTGGCGAAGGCCAGTTCGGTCGCCATAGTTGGTAAGCCCAAGGTTGTTGTCGTGATCAAATTGGTCGTTGCTGCCGCAGGCGCTGATGTTCGAGGATAAATTGGTCCGTTTCCCTAACTTGGTGAATGATCAACCGAGCTGAAAGTAGGAAGCGGTTCCTCGTCTCGACGTCAGACCAATGCGTGGGGTAGACGGGTGGGGTTAGAAGATGCTGGAGCTGTTGGTGTTATCTTATCGCTCGCTCCCCGTACTTACAACCGGACGGTATAGTCCGTACATGGCTAAGGCGCAACTCCTACCACAGCACCGCTGGCAGATTGCTTGGGATTATATGGTCTTCTGCAACTGTAACATCTCAACCACACGAAGTAAGGTAGATTAATAATTATGGGAACCGTCAGAGTGAATATTATTAAGGCTATTAGTACCTAATAGTCCCAGGCCAGAGCAAGGGTCGAGCAACAGCTCGACTGTCTATCTGTCGTTATCTCATCTATCGTCATCTATGGTCATCAATCATCATCATTCCCTGCGCGTCTTGCCTGCCTTGCTCCATTGCCGCTGGCACAGCTCAAGAGATATTGCCAAGACAAATAGCAACATACCAGGACAACTGTGATGCTCCCGCTCTCACCACTGAAAAGGGGCCGCCCATGTGCCAGCAGCTCCGAAGGTAGGCGACGCACTGCAATTACCGAACCGTACCCGGCTCCCACTCCCATATATATGCTGTAGTTTTGACGCCCGTCCCATATGCCCTGATGCCAACTGTTCCGTCACAACATTGCTTTTTCCAACCCCCCAATCTTAGTGAAGAGCTTCTCCGGAGATGGCTGAAGAGTGATCGTTGCAAGACGAGCGGCAATTGGCAAGCATGAAGCAGGAGGGGCGAGAAACCGAACCATCAGTGCTCGGCAGCGGACTGACAAGGTCAATCTGTCAAACTCTGGTTGACAATGTCGCGAATCGCCCACTTCCATGCCTCCCCGCGATCCGCGTTGCTGTTGATCCAGAGGCCACACTTCTTCCTCCACCGCTCCTCTTCCTCGCGCTGTCGGCGCACAAACTCAGGTCCCACGTCAAACTCCTCACCCACTAGCCAGTCGTCTTTGATGTCGCTGACGCGGCCGTTACCGCAGTCACTGGACGCCATCGTGCGCTCCTCGAGGTCGGGAATATCTTTGAACACATCATCCTCGTCATCAACGGCATTCAGTCCATCCAGTGGGTCGTTCTGCTCTGCTCTGCCCGTCTGCGGGGCTATCTTGAGCCAGCACATGTTTTGCGGGTCGAACACCATGCCGCCGACGACCTGGACACCCTTGGTAGCGCCGATGTTGGTGATCAGGGCCGGACGCGGTGTAGCTGTTTCTCGCTCACGAATAAGGTGCTGAGGTACGGATGCGGTAGATGGGGAGGAAGCAGGGACGTCGAAGGCGCTGAGTGCGTTGTCATTGCCCTCCCACCTGTACGTCTCCGGGTTGTACCACATGCCCTTTACCACTGCTGCAATGTTAGAACTGTGTAAACCACGCGTAGAAGGCTTGAGTGATTGACTGGTAGGAAATTTGAGTTGTTGATGGGTATGAGACTTGACCGGTATACGGCTGGGAGACTTGACCGGTATACGGCTGGGAGACTTGACCGGTATACGGCTGGGAGACTTGACCGGTATACGGCTAGGAGAACTGGGTGATTGGCTTGTAGAAGATTTGTGAGGTTGGTGTGCAGGTTGTCGTGTAGGGGATTTGAGAGGTTGGCGTATCGGAGATTTGAGAGCTTGACATGTGGGAGATTTGAGAGGCTGACGTGTAGGGGAGCATTGTTGTTGACGGATAGGGAACTTCTGTGGACGGTTAGGAGAATTATGCAGCTTACTCTTGGGGTCTCTCGGAGGGTTCAGATTGGAAATGAGATGCGGCTTGGATTGTGGGGGTTTTCTCGGCTTTTTCGTCTTCGCTGCGCCCAGAGAAGTCACAGGGTTGAAATTGTTTCTTGCCGAAAGCTGCGCGACGCGCTGAGCGGTGAGTGGAGCAAGCGGGCCTGCTGGGTTGCGTTGCGCAAGAATGGTCTCTCGAGCGATGCGACTTGCGGCAGTATCGCGAGCAAAACTCGGCACGTTGTCGACCCGGGAATAGAGCGGTGTGCTGGGAGATGGGGTCACCGTCCGGTCCAAAGGCATGTTTTGAGAGCCCCTGTTCCGACCCTGGGATCTGAATCCGGCAGCAACCGGCTGCTTCAAATATCTGGCTTCCGCCTGGCTCGACGTAGGCAGATCATCAAAACCATCCAGCTCATGGCCATCGCCAAAGTTACGCACACGTCGCGGCATACTAAGCTTGCTCCAGGCGCCATCAGGAGTGACCTTCTCTGTCGGACGAGACCTTCGCGGACTAGGCGATCGTATCGTCGACCGAGATACCGCGCGCGAGTTGGGACGGTATTCAATGCTGGTTTCCGAATCGTGGCGACGGAAAGTTCGGGACTTGGCGTTTATGTTGTAGGATTGCGACACTGATGCGCCTGCGGGAACGAATGGTACGGGCGCTTTGCGGGCCAGGGCTGCAGCGCTCTCGGTGACTCTCATGCGCTCCACCGGAGTCTTTGGCCGCATTGTGGGCTGAGGCCTGCTGGAATGGTCGGTTCGGGATGGGGGTCGCTCGTAGCTTCGGGTTGCCGGGGGCCGGGCTGGAGACTGAGGCGCCCGCATTGCCGGCAATGACCGCTTAAGTCGAAGAAGCTGCGCACTTGTGGTAGTTGGCTCGTTTCTTAGCGACACTGCAGATACCTTCTGACCAAGTTCCCTTCTACGCGGTGTGGAAGGGGTCGTGGTTTGCGATGATGACGGAGTTGTAGCACTGCTGACGCTGGTCACCGAAGACTGTGCTGAATGACCCCCCATCCGCGAGAGTGAGCGCCTTGTGTGGGTTTGAGGGATCGGGCCTCCGCTCTCAGACACAGGCTCCAGTGATGATTGTGTGTGCGAACGCTCGTGACTCACCATCGGCCCCATAGGCCGGGGGAGGCGGGACGCAGTCACGGGCTTGTTGGTGAACTTGAGTGCAACAGAAGCTTTAGGCCTTGAGGGACTGCTAGGTCTGGTTTCCTTCACTTGGATGTTGCGGTGCAGTGTCAATTTCCTGGAGTCGAAAACATCGCCGTCGCCAATATCAAGTCCAGCCAGGAAGTCCTCCTTGTCTTCCTCTTTCTCCTTTCCTGGCTCCTCCTTGATGGGCTCCTCAACGTGTTCTTCCTTGATGGGTTCCCGGATGATGCGGACGGGAGAGCGACTTTGCCGTCGATGCTTCAGTCGCTCCCCCAAATCAAGCGGGCCAGTTGGAAGGATAAGACCATCGAAAGTGTCATCCTCGCTCTCGGCAGTGATAGAGCTCGAGATACTGGGACTGAAAGCAGAGACAGATGAGCTGCGATTGGATTGCACATCACGTCGGGTTCCGCCATGCCTTGTCCCGAGACTACCTTCAGCCCAGTCCAGGTCATCAAGCATTGTGCTGAGTGTAGGTGTCTTAGGAACATCCCTCCGGGCTGAAAGCTTGAGCTTACCATCCACCGGGAGTTCGAAATCCTTTTCAAAGTCATCCTCGCCGGAGATTGGCTTCTGGGGAGTCGGCGGTGTAACGAGGGAGAGCGGCTTTGGCACGTCGCGTCTCTTGGACACCTTGATGGTTGCAGCTCCATCTCCGAAGAAATCGTCGTCGTCCTCGGCGTCCCGGAAGCGGTCCAGGTCAATGTAGCCAGATGAGGTGGCGCTTTTAGATTCATTGCGCTCATCACGAACAAAGGTGAAGACCTCCTTGGGCGGTTTTGACGGGCTAGGTTGTGCCGAGTTACTAACCTGGCGCAGGACTTCTGGAAATTGAGCGCCGTCGTGGGTCTTGATCTGCAGTGCTTGGCCGGCATCGGGAAACTCGAGATCGTCAACCCAATCCTCTTGAATGATCTTCTTGATCTTCCGGCCTCCAAGGCGCTTTATCGTGCCTCCCATCAATGCCGAGGGTGGCACATTCTTGGGAAGCGGAATGCCAGCCTTTGCGGCCGCAGCAATCGCGTCGAGTGTCGACTTCTCGTCGTTTGCGGGCAGATGCACTTGTTTTTCCTCTTCTCCATAGATAGACTCGAAGTCGGAGCGAAAGGATGACTGGGAATCGCGTCGATTCGAGCTTACGTTGGCCGAGTTGGAATGGTTTGGAAACGCAAGGTCGTCACCTTCAATAACAAAATCGTCATCGTCCCAGTTTTCGATCTCCTCCTCCACCGGCAGGCGGGTTTTCAGACGTAACGTAGATTCCATGGCTGGCGTCAAGGCAGGTTTGAAATCCAGATAGATTTTGGCAGTGAAAGTCACGGCGCGATCGGGTTAGTGCTGGGGATTCATAGTCGACAGCACCAAGCCTTCAGGCGACTCGATCGCTGCCAATTCGGAGAAAATGGAGGAAATGGTTCTTCTTGCAGGCGGCAGATCGCAATGGGAACTGAAAACCGAGCTGGGCTCCAAGGTTAGATTTTGGGTAGGCAAATGTGGTGATCAAGTTCGACCGAATGCAGCGATTTCGCGGCGATTGGACGAATTAGCAGAGGTAAACCGTCCAATGCAAAGGGCTTGCATGGGGTCGGGGATAATGTTTGGGTAGCGCAGTAAATGTCTTCGAAAACGGGCAGGGTGCGTCAACTTGGATAAGTTAAGGCAAGAATGCAGAAAATATTTGCTGTTTTGTGTGTTCTGGAAGAACGACGTGGTTCGAGAATACAGTACGTCGAAATGAAATGGCGGAGCTGGAGAATTGAAAGCTGTGGCTGGAAAGTTGGTGAGAGAGGGCGGAGGCGCCCAAGGCACTTGCCTAAACCGGGGTGCATTTGGGGCGGGCCATCAGCCGACTTCCCCAGAGACCCACCTGGTGTAGATCATTTATGTGCATAACAGAGTCTATATGCAACTAACGCTATCATAATCATCGAGGTATCCGTATCAAAGTTGGATTCTTCAAACCAGAACAACCCAGACAAGCATGCAACCACGAGAGCAAATCTCAAGCAAGCGCCGACCGACAGAGGTGGCTGGTCCGATTGAATGCAGAGACTTGTCATTTGTGTCAGCTCAATTTCTAGATTTCTCTAAAGGTAACTGATCTTGAACGTTACCATGGCCTGTACAGCCCATGCTTGAGCACTTTGACGTTGATGTGGAGTCGCGTCTGTAGTGGACGCGAAGACGCGCCCTCACCCCGCATTTCCAATAAGATAGGTCGCTTGTCTTAGCATTCACCACGCCCCTTGGAACCAAGAAGCGCATCTCCAATGAAGCCGGCTTAGATGTAATGATAAGTAACTATATTGAACCAAGAGTGTCACAAGTAAACCAGCATACTAATAACTGATCGTTCAATCTCTTAGCGCGAGGATTCGGAGTCCCATGGGGTCGTCGCAGGACAGACGTTACCGTTTTAATGGAAATCCCCGCATCGCACGTTGGATACAGCAGCTCTCGTTATCGTCATTGCTCTCTTTGACTTTAAAGCTGCGCTGCCTACTTACGCAGGGTCCTCAGACTTGAACCTCGAATTGCCTGCTGCTGCCTGGCATGTTCTTGGTGCGACTACATACATATTACGCCACCTGTCGCATTGTTCGAATCTAATGGATTTGAGCTTGCGCAATCTCATTTCTTTCCATCCTGCTTCCACAGTACGAGTCAAACGAAAATAGAAAACTTCCCGATCCCCGTTTACCTAACATTCGACGGTTCGTGTGCTCCGGGCCGCATCCCTCAAGGTCCCAGCTTCCAACCGGCGCCGTACTGTTGGTCCTGGAGTCTTGGAAGTTAAAGCCGTGGGACCGCCGGCATATTACCTTGGACTCTTAGCATAGTGCTCCTTAAATCTCAGTTTGTTTCATCTCAGCGGCGTCCATCCATCCAGTGCGGTCCGTTCAAAGAAATCCAGATATTTCCAATCAAACATATCTTCCCTGACGATCATCTCCGTCCCGCCCTCATACCTGTTTTCAGCCGGCCGGCGTACCATGGCATCATCTCACATCATCCGCATCCCGCGGACTGATGAGGAAGGCACCTACGTACTCGGCGAGGTCACGCCGTCGGGATCGAAGCCCCTCAATGTCAAATTTGTGGCTACGGAGGGCGAGGAACCGTATGTGGTCAAGTGTGAGTTTGTCCGGTTCAGCGGAGCTTCCCGTGTTCATCCAGGATCATGCCTCGTTTCCAGTGTGTTGTTGGCCTAGAGAAGCTAATACGTCGTTCGCATTATAGTAAGACATGACCGTATTGGCGAACTGAGAGCTAGCAGCAGCCCCTGCTCGCCGGGGGGATGGGAGAACATCCTGAAGGCCCTGCTACTACAGGCTCAACCCATCGAGGGGATTGAGGCAGGCGCGGAAGCAAATCCTGGCAAGTCAATTACCATCACCATCAGGCGACGCGTCGCCGGCATCAATGTGAGCCGCATATCGCCCAATACCGGCAATGTTGGAAACTAATCCTCCTTGTAGCAACGTCTTGGGAGTATCACACTCAACCACAAGGCTGATGAAGCTATTCAGCTGTTTGACTGGTGTGGCGCCGCGATTTTAGAACGAGAGAGATTCCAGGAAAGCCTAGCCTCCGAAACGGCTAAAGTATCGGATCTAGAAACCCGGATCACTGAATTGAGAAACCAGCTGGACGAGCTCACGCAATCTAAGAAGGCCAGGGAAACCGAGATGTTAGAAAAGTTCTGTGCTCTCTTGAACGAGAAGAAAGTCAAGATCCGCGAGCAGCAGCGGCTGCTCAGTACTGCTCACGTTGACCCCTCAAGGATTGCTGCCGTTCAGGCTACCCAGGCTGCAAGAGCAAAGATCCAGGAGAATCGAAAGCCCGCTGCTTCTCGGCGTTCAAAACGCAAGGCCCTTGAGGACGCATCCGGCGGGGGTTCCTCATCCGATTCGGATGATGGATTTGAGAAGATGGCTGTTGACAAGATGGATGTTGATTCGAACGAAAAGCCCGTTAAAGAATCCAAGGAAAGCAACGAATCAGAGGACCGTGAAACTACGGACGACGATGCGACCGGCAGTGAGCCAGACGAAGATGAGGAACCAGCGCCGCTACCACGGAAATCGCGGCAGCCAGCAAAGCCGGCGCAGAAACCGGAGCCGAAAGGTCACGCGACAAGGGCTAGCCAGGCTGCAAAGGACAGAGACGTCGCCATACATCCGCCGAAGAGGGGACCGAGGGCAACACAAAAGGCAACCAGTCCTTCGCCAGCTGACGGAAGTGAAACTGAGTCGGATGACGAATTATGAGCTGTCCCCTCGTCTAGAAGGCAAACAACAAAATGATTCCACAAAAGATTCCACAGAAGATTCCACAGACTGAGGCTGTGATATCTGTCCCACCCTCCTGCGAACCTTTTTGAAAGCCAAGCGTTGTGTTTCGCTATCACCATAACTCCGCTCAGTGGGATCATTGGGATCTCTGAAGTACCAATTTCTCTCAGCAATGGAATAAAGTCCTCAACGCCTATCGTCCTCGTCGAATTTGCCCTTCCAAAACCCCCTATAATGCTTCTTCCTCCCAGCCTCGGCGATATCCTCCACCTCCTTGGGCGTCAACTTAAACATGGGCAACTTGGCCTGATAGTTCTTCAACCGCTCTTCATTGCCGCTGGTAGTAAGCGTCACGATCCCCTGATCCAGGCACCATCTCAGGGCCACCTCCGCCGACGACACTCCATACTTGGCCGCCAAGCGTTCATAAATCGGGTCGACGGGCCCCGGCGCGGCTTTGGTAACCGCCGTCAGAGGCCCGTATGCCTCAACGGCAATCCCCTTCTCCCGGAGGAAGTCGAGCAGGCCGCCCGTGTGCTGCAGATACGGGTGGTACTCAATCTGGTTGACCACGGGCGGGTGCTTGGCCGTCTCCAGAACAGCCTCGAGATGCTCCCGCAGATAGTTTGACACGCCGATGGAACGGACACGCCCGCTGTCCTTGAGCGCCTCCATCTCGGCCCACTTCTCTTGGAGTTGCCGAGGCGACTCGGCGAAGAAGGGGCTGTGGATCAGATACAAATCTACATAGTCCACCCCGAGCTTGGACAGGGAGCGCGAAAAGGCCGTCTCGACAGACTCCCCTGGTCGGCAGCTTGTTTTGGTGGTGATGAAGAGCTTTGAGCGCGGGACCGGGGACTGCGCGATGGCGGCGCTTAGCTCGCGTTCGTTGCCGTAGGCTGTTGTCGATTGATTGAAAACGAGGGTAGACGGGTTAGTGAGGAGTGTGGTAGGAAATGAGGAGGGAAGGCATACACTCAGCGCAGTCAAGGTGGTAGAAGCCGTTCCTGATGGCTGTCAGGGTATCATTAACGATCTTTTGGTCGAGCTCGTCCTTGTTACCGCGCTTGGAGTTGGCGGTTCCTAGCCCATAGCCGAGCTTAAGATGTCGATTAGTACCAGTACCGTAAGTAGTAGGCGATGGATCCGGTTGGGTTCCTTGACCAACCATTGGTATCTCATTCCCATCACTCAGCTTCAGATTTGGGATATATTCTTGTTGTTTCGGCAGAGTGCCGAAAGCATCAGGCTTGAATCCGGACGTATCGGAATTCATGGTTGGCGTTGGCTGATATGGTGCTGTCGATATTTGATCGTATTGAGTTGTGATAATTTTGGATTGAGATGCCTGTGTCTATTGTGTCTGGGGCCAAACTCGGTGATAAACCCGTTTGAGAGCCGGATTGCGTCCGATACGGTGCATCATGTATGCCATGTGCATCGCGACATCCCGGCATCGGTGCCATTCCGTGAAACCGGGGACGGCCCCACTACCCACAGTGGGTTCCAAGCCTGCGGGGCATCATATCTGCAGCGTATGACGCAATGTTTCAGGGAGCTTGGGCGCTGAAAAAGAGAGGCTTTCGAGCGTGCACTGGGACGGGACTTCTGAATAGTTGCCTTTTAAAGGTATAGTGAGTTTGAGAATACCTAAGAATGCATTTCCTATTTTGCTTCCTTTACATCCATGATACAATCCGAATAGTGAAGCTCAGGTCAGGTATGCATAGCACTGCAACGCAACATAATCCGCTACGTGTAAGTACTCAGAATGCCATTGAGGCGAAAGGGTCGTTGCCACCTGACAGACCGTTGGTAACGTTTAGACATGGTGCATCAAACTCTCCCGCATTTACCGTTCTGCTGGTGCTCAAAATTACGCTACGCCGAGCGACTTGACCCATGCAACAAATTCCGATGACGTCCGACATCTCCGGCTGCCGCTTCGGACCGCCACCCCGCCCCCGCGAACATGCTACTTCCGCCATGACATGCGCTGCATTTCAGGGAATATATTTGATAGATATAGTCGCGAAATTTTGATGGACTAGGTAGCCGCCCCCCTAACCTTAGCTCTGCAACATAGCTGCCATATCTAGTGATTCTCCGCACTGAGCCCCGAAGACCAGGCAAAGCAACGGCCCCGATTCCCAGCGTCACATCTCCCTTCTGACCTGAGCCCTGTGAACGGTTACCACACCGCGATCAGGACGGCGGCGACCGCCTCATGCGCTTTCAGCCCGCAGCCCGGTGTCTCGCTCTGACCCAACACTTCCGCAGCCCTCTGAGTCGATCCTTCTCATCCTTCAGTAATCCCGGAGCCATGGCCGCTGTCAACAACACCTCGCCATACTCCTCTTTACAATCCCCTGCTGATCAGGGCGTGACCCTTGCGGCGCTTCCCAAATCATGGCACTTCACATCCTCACTTCCCGCCGACCCGCTCTTCCCGACCCCGGCTGACAGCCACAAGACGCCCCGCGACCAGATCGGGCCACGCCAGGTGCGTGGCGCCATCTTCACCTGGGTGCGGCCGGAGATCCAAAAGGACCCGGAACTGCTCGCCGTCTCTCCTGCGGCCATGCGCGATCTCGGCCTGGCTCTGTCCGAGGCCGACACGGACGAGTTCAAGCAGACCGTGGTCGGGAACAAGCTGCAGGGCTGGGACCCAGAGACACTTTCGGGTCCGGGCTACCCCTGGGCCCAGTGTTACGGCGGTTTCCAGTTCGGCGACTGGGCAGGGCAGCTGGGCGACGGGCGAGCCATCAGCTTGTTTGAAGCCACCAACCCGCACACGGGAGTCCGGTACGAAGTGCAGCTCAAGGGGGCAGGCATGACCCCCTACAGCCGATTCGCCGACGGCAAGGCCGTGCTGCGCAGCAGCATCCGCGAGTTTGTCGTCAGCGAGGCACTGAATGCGCTGGGGATTCCCAGCACAAGGGCGCTCGCCATCAGTCTCCTGCCTCACAGCAAGGTTCGGCGGGAGCGGATCGAGCCCGGGGCCATCGTAGTCCGGTTCGCCCAGTCCTGGCTGCGCTTCGGCAACTTTGACATTCTCCGTGCCCGCGGGGAGAGGGACCTGATCCGACGCTTAGCAGACTATATTGCCGAGGACGTCTTTGGCGGCTGGGACAAGCTCCCGGGTCGCCTCGCAAACCCAGAGGATCCTTCCCAAACCCCCGACCCAGCCCGCAACATCTCCAAGGACGCCTTTGAAGGCCCCGAAGGCGCCGAAGAGAACCGCTACATGCGCCTGTATAGGGAAATCATACGGCGCAACGCCCTGACGGTCGCCAAGTGGCAGGCCTACGGCTTCATGAACGGCGTGCTCAACACCGACAACACCTCCATCTTCGGCCTGTCCATCGACTTTGGGCCCTTCGCCTTCATGGACAACTTCGACCCCAGCTACACGCCCAACCACGACGACTTCCTACTGCGCTACAGCTACCGCAACCAGCCGACCATCATCTGGTGGAACCTGGTGCGGCTGGGCGAAGCCCTCGGCGAGCTGATCGGCTCCGGGCCGGGCTGCGACGACCCGACATTCGTCAGTTCAGGCATAACCGAAAAAACAGCGCCGCCGCTCGTCGCCCGCGCCGAGAAGCTCATCAACCAGGCTGGCGAGGAGTACAAGTCTGTCTTCCTGGCCGAGTACAAGCGGCTGATGACCGCCCGACTTGGGCTGAAATCCCAATCCCCCTCCGATTTTGACACCCTCTTCTCCCCCTTACTCGACACACTGCAGGCGCTCGAGCTAGATTTCCACCTCTTCTTCCGGCGCTTGTCCTCACTCCGCGTGTCCGCCATCGCCACCGAGGGGGACCGCCTGGCCCATGCCTCACGCTTCTTTTACAAGGAAGGCTCGACCGCCACGCAGAAAGACGAGGCGGCCGCCCGGAAGCGCATCGCCGACTGGCTGGCCGTCTGGCGCGAGCGCGTGGTCCAGGACTGGGGCACGCTCGAGACGTGGGGCAGCAGCGACGGCAGCGGCGGCTGTGCCGTCTCGGACGAGGCCGACGAGCAGCGCATGGCGGCCATGAAAAAGGTCAACCCCAACTTTGTGCCGCGCGGCTGGATTTTGGACGAGGTGATCCGGCGCGTCGAGAAGGGCGGCGAGCGCGAGATTCTGAAGCGTGTCATGCATCTGGCGCTGCACCCCTTCGAGGACAGTTGGGCCGGCCGGACGTTCGACGGGGTGCCCTACCAAGGGGACAAGGAAGAGGAGGTGCGGTGGACAAGCGATGTGCCTAGGTCAGAGAGGGCTCTACAGTGCAGCTGTAGTTCTTAAGTGGTTGATGGTTTCCCTAACCTTTTCTCTTCCTGCTCGGTTTGCAGTTAAGAGGACAGCAAAAGTAGATGAGATGTAATCTTCATGCTTGTACTGCACTAATGATTCACCTCTGTGGTCGAGATATGATCGTTTCTCCTAGACAACTGCATCTCCCTCAGGAGCCGCCGACTTACTCGACGACCAGAGGGCATTCTGCTCCTTTCGCAATGTCAACGTACCGGCTTGATCCTTCACACAACCATAGCAAATCGTGCCCGCAACTAGGAGTTTATCTTGCTAAACGAGTGACTATGGGCTTGAACTATCTCTATACATAGGCAAGGTAGAGTAATCTATCGCATGCACTTCCTCTGCCCATCGGTCTGCACCCTATCCCCACGTACCACCATAAGCATCGCAATTTGGCCAAACCCGTCACCTCCCACATTCCCCGCTCCAGCTTTCCTTGCCCGCGTCTGCCAAAATCAATTCCTCCGAGCTATACTAGGGTTGGAAAGAATTGCCAGGCGGCCCGCCTGGGAGAGGGGGTTTGGTCGCTGTCCTCATTAGATCTGGACATGACAGATTGAAGCCTTCCTCCACAGCAGGTTGCGGGCCGCAACCGGTTGATATTGCAAAACCATAATCATAAAGTGTCCAAAGCACTCGGATTGGCGGTAGCCTCCCGAGTGTAGGATGTCGGGCGATTTGTAAGGTTAGCTGCTGACGAAGATGTTTCGTAAAACCGAGTCTCATATGGTCTAGGTGAACTCGATCGCAAAAATCATTGCAGGGTGACAAGAGAAGATGCATAAGCTCCAGCTGAAAGCGTGTTGCTTTTGCGGAAACATGGAATCGAGTCCTAGCGATAGGCGCCGCCAAAGCGGCCTCCAGGTCCCATTCGACCCCCCATTGCCGGTCCGACCCCAGGGCCGGGTCGAGTTGCAACGGCGTGGTTGGTGCAGAGCATGCCAACTCGCGAGCCGAACTTGGACCCCCGCAGAGACACCATGTGTTTGCGAATATGAGCGGCAACGATCTCTCGATGCTGGGGGTTGGCATGAGTCAGTATGTACTGGATCAGATAATTTCCGTACTGGTCGCTGGCAATGTCGATTAGAGGAATCCGGGGACGGTCAACCCGGCCTTCACAGACACGATCGAGGTATCGTCCCAGGAACTCGGGGCCGCCGATCTTCAAACACTTCTCAACAACCTTTGAGGCGAACTGGTCCATGCTGTACTCGGCCGCGTAGCGGATAACATGGTCGATCGCGCGGCTACGGTCCGCCGGAGCACCATGCTCACAGATATGCTGAATACACCAATTGCCGAATTGGCCATGGGCGACGATGTCGATATTCGCCAGGACTTCCTCAATGCACGGCCGCTGTGACATCGCCATTAGCAACTTGTAAGGGTTCGGGTAGCAGAGGTGACCTTACCTTGTCCTCTTCCAGACAGTTTTCAAAGATATTCTGTACAACCAAGCTTCCCGTCTCACCCAGAGCGACTTCGTGCCACATGCCACGCAGCGCCTCGTTCACGTACTTCATGATCTGGGGCGGCGACTCGGTCCACCTCAGCTCAAACAACTTCTGCCAGACATGACAAGCGTAACGGTGAATAACCGTCTCGGGAATGCGCCGCAGAAGCTCGTGAACCATGATCGCTTTGTAGTCTTCAGGGACGGAGTCAAACGCCTTCTGTATCACATGACAACCGAAGGGGTCCATCGACAAGTTGAGAGTGTTGCCACGAATAGCCTCAGCGATCTTGATGACCTGTTCGGGAGTGCCATGCTCGAAGCAGCGCTGGACCAGGAAGTTGCCGAACCGATTGATCATCAACGGATAGGCCTGCGCAACGATGGCCTCGACGATGTCGTATTTTTGCTCGGGAGTCCCAACCTTGAGCTTCTGCTGAAGAAAGATGGATGCCTGCTGATCATTGTTGCACACAATCTTGTCCACAATGTATTTCCAGTCACAAGTGACGTTGCGGTCAAGTAGACGACGGTAGTTGAGTGGCTCTGTGGTTGGAGATACATAAGTCTGTGCCTCGGAAGCCAAAGACTTTGCAACATGAACCGCCGGGTCAGCAATGCGATCGTGAACAGTCAAGCGTGGTGTCACACTTACCTCGGTCTTCCATGGGGCTCCGGTGGAAGTAAACTCGGTGGCATGCGGAGATAGAGGGGTCCCAACGGCTTGCTGCTGGTAAGGAGGGTACAGCCCCAATCCCATGCCGCCGCTTACAGTCCCTTGCAGACCAGCGGCGTAAGTCGGCTCATACTGGCCAGTGCCCATGTTGAATCCGGCAAAACCGCCACCAAAGTTGTTCGATGGGCCGAACCTGCTGTCATACCTGTTTCCACGTCGTCCTGTCGGCCTCATCATATCCTGGTCAGGCGCCATTCGGTCCTGCCGATACATGTCGACGCTCGGCGGGGCGAAGGCAGGTTCATAATTGGGATTGATGGCCCGGTTATTGGCCCAGGGCACAGGCTGAACTCCATCGCCCATCATTTGGCTCTGCGAAAAGTGGCTGGTTGGGACGGTCTTGTTGTTGCCCCATATACCCCTGGCGCGATTGAAACCTCCAGTCGACAGAGAATCGCTGGCGTCTGAACGGGTATCGTCTTGGATCATCCAACTGTGCTCACGGGTGAGCGGTGGTTTGGTAGCACCAAGAAGGGCGGGGACAGTCACGATTCGGGAGGCGGGAGGAGAGGCTAGGGCAGTCATGGCCGACGAGAAGTCAGATTCGGATATGAGGGAGGGGGTGACGCGCCCACCGTCCTGGCCGGTGAGACGAGTCTGCGCCAACTCCTGGTCCAATCGCGAGATCTTGCTTTGGGCCTTTGCAAGCTCAAGCTTGAGCCGCAGGATCTCCTCGTTGTTAATCTGGCTGTCATTGGATGTGGCACTGGCCGATCTGGTCGTAGGGGCGGACGGTGCAGAGACACCCTCGGCTGCGGGGGTCAGGGGCAAGGAGCTAGACGATGAGTGGTGGTTTATGCCTTGGTTGAATAGGGCTTCATCATCCGACGACTTCGCCTCAGTCTTCTGCTGCAGAAGCGCATGCTGTTCGGAGAGCTTGGCGTAAAGCTTGTCCATGAGGTACGAGTCCTTGGGGGAGGGAACGTCGTGTGTAACCTTCAACTTCTGTCAATGATCAGTCCGATACTTGTTTCGAGAAATGAATTCAATTACCTTGGGGCAGCTCTGATTCGCCAGCTTGGAGGTCGAAAGAGCACCTACAGTCTTCTTGAGAGATAAAACTGCAGCATCGTCCTGCAGCCCATACAGTTAACCCATACAGTTGATGGACAATACGCGGGAAGACTGTGCGGTGGGCAACAGGCCCACAACGGACGCAATGTGCGGAAATCGAAGGGATTGTCGGGCTAGTGCCCTTACGGATGAGGAAGGTACTTTAGAAACGACTTACCCTGGAGTTCTCAACGATGAATTCGTCAGATTGTTTCGAGTTCTCATCGGGCGAGAAACCCTTGGAGGTCGAGGTTCGACGCTCATTGGGCGAGCCAGTCAGAGCCCCGGCCGCAGACATGTTTGTATCTGGCAGTGATGTCGATGCAGGCTTGGGTAGTTTGTTACTAGTTCTGATGGCGAGTTGACACGGTGAGAAGACGGCCCGGGTGTTCTTGGGGAAAAGAAATAGATCGACTGTCTAGAGTTGGAGAAAATAAAAGTTCTGAGTTTTGGAGGAAGAAGGTAGAAGAGATTGGGAGGGGGGGAGGCTGGCTGCCTGGGTGTGAACAGGAATTGGAAGGAGGAGAAGGTATGAGATGTAGAAGGAAGGAACGGGCCTCTTGCCGAGGATGATGAGACCGACTCGAAGAGCTGCCTAAGCCAAGCGACCACAGAGGCGCTGGAATATCAAAGTCAGCTGTAACTGCGAAGTTCAATTTCCTAGTTCAATCGAATGTTCGAAGGCGCCGTCAAGTCCGAAGAGAGTGACACAGTAGGTTGGAAGTGACGGACGAGTGACAGAAAAGGGGGCGCATGTGATAAGGGGTTAAGTACGAGTTAGGTAGTTACCCTGTACGAGACCTAAGGATAAGAAAACACCCGCACACCGCCTCTTTAAGGCGGATTGAAATGGGAAGGTAAGATCAGGTAGGTACCTACCTTACTAAATAACAAGTGCGATGTGCAATTGCCAGTCTCAAGAGAGTTCTGAAGGGAGGTGCTTGCCACTAAGACCGCATCACCAGGGCCGACCCCCTAAATCAGCACAATAAGTACAATACCTGAACCTCAAGACCAGATAGGGCGGCAGGACGGAGTCACTTCGTAGCCCATGTGGATGGAGTGAAAGGTCTGTTGGCCGTGTCTGTTTCTGCGTTCAAGTTTTGACCTGAAGCTAGCGCTTCCGATATCCTTATCACGACTTAGGGCAGTGCCGTGAATCTGCCTTGTGCTCACTCCTCTCCTGAGCACGGGAAATCTGGGGTATCATTTGGCTTATTGTCTCGGGATTCAATCTCGACGTACATGGGCAGATAATCAGCGTGAGGCAGCGGTCAAGTTTGGGGCTAAAGAATATACGAAACTATCTGCTTTATATCCAATCTAAAGAGCTGGAAGGACAATGGACAAACGCTGTTTTACCGCTTAGCAAATAGAGGCGGCATCAAAGAGGGGATAATACGGACCAGGATGATCGTGGATTGGGGTTGTCGTCGTCCAGATACGACTCGAAGTTCTGCAAATTACCCCTTTTCTAGCAAGCACTGTGTAATGGAGTCATAAGACAGTAGCCCTATAAGAGGAAACGGTTCTATGTAGTCCGCTGGGCGGCGGAGATAGACCTTCGTACAATAGAGGAGTAGTAGAGAACGGGACTCGGAATCGAACGAAGCAGAAAAGTAGAAGACGGGGAATCTATAAAGTTTTTTACCCATAATCTATAAAAGTACAATCCATATCGCATACATGGCTCCTGGAGCCTAACATCACTTTCTCCTCCTTGGATCTGTGACAATTGTTAGCTTTCGCCGAGCAGCTGAGACAAGCCTGGTAAGAGAGACGTACCTGGCGCCGGCGGCCCCTTTTTCTTCTTCGGGGCGCCTTTCCCGCGGGCTTTCAGTCTGTAGAGTGTTGGTTAGGTACCGGAAGAGTGAGCGGTGAGTGAATGCGACTCACTCTGAAATATGGTCTAGCCGGTCGATTTCATCCTCATTATCAATCTCCAAGCCGAGAGGCTCGAACTCCTTTTGGAAATCGCGGAATGTCATGAGTTTTCTTGGGTAGTAGGACGCAAGAGCAGGCCCTTTGAGTCGCTGCCGCATGATTTTGTTGCCGGTTCGGATGCCCTCGGGGTTGAACGTTGTCGAGAAGAGCTCGCATCGGGCCTAAGGTCAATCGGTTAGCCTTGCGGCAGGGCACCCGTACTTCAGGGACAGCAGACCTTCAGCAAGTCCAGCAACCGCGCGCGAGGAACCGACATCTTGCAGCTACATGGAACGGGCTTGCAATACGAGGAGCACTTCAACAAGAGAGCGCGAAAGCTTGACGTTCACATATGGTTCGCGATGTCTTCTTGGCGTCCAATCGAAAATCACAATCGATGTGGGGCTGCGTAGCTGGCGCACTCTGCGGCAGCCGGCAATCTGCCACTGCTGGACGGCAAGTGGGTCCTGCATTAAAGTGGGGCCTTTACGTGCCCCCGCCCGGTAAAGTGCTGCTGCTAACAACCACAGGAGACCGATCCCACAGACAAATCACCTCAATACCTAGACATACATAATTGCCAGGAAAGGGCAGCAGACATTTCTTCATCAAGATATTTGCGCATATGTTTGTTAGGCGCGCATATAATTTGAAGATTGTAGCTAAGAGGTATGCTGTTCGCTGGGAAGGATCTACATTTTCATGGCCATCTTGAAATCGCTCCACGATCGTTCGGACCTCTCGTCCTAGGTTCCTTCAGGTCGCAAATGCGCCCGCCTCAAACTCTCACATAACGTGTGACTTAGCGAAATAGCTAATATCTCCGCTTTAGGGTGTCAGGTTTTTGGAGGCGCCGCCAGGCCTCCTATTTTACCGTCAGTTCCCGCTAGAACATCAAAATTGAACTCGGAGCTCAAACCCTTCAAAGTCGAATCTCATTCACCGGTTATCAAATCATTATGTCAAAACGCGACCTGAGCCGGTCGACGCCGACACAAGCAGAGCCACCGCACAAGCGCACAAAGACAGACACAGGTATTAACGCGGCCTCGTCAGCAACTCCTCATGTCGGCCCAGTTACATCCATCACAAAATGGACTTCGTCGGCGATCGCGCGGTCCTATCCGCCACTACCAGCGGTCCTAGATCCAGCGCTAGAGACCGCGGCTTTAACGCATTCTGGTATGCGGAACAACGTCATGGATCCAAGCTATGAACGGCTTGAGTGGATAGGAGATGCCTACCTCGAGGTCATCGCCTCTGAGTTAGTCTTTCTCACCTTCCCAACTCTCGAGCCAGGGAAAAGCTCGCAGTATCGAGAAATGCTCGTCCGTAACAGCACACTGGAGAAGTTCTCGAGACACTATGGGTTGGACAAAAGGGCCAACTTCCCAGATGAGTTCGGCTTGGGCGGACGTTCTAATGGGACCACGGCCAACGCAAAGCATCGGGTTAAGGTCTTGGGTGACATTTTCGAGGCGTACGTTGGCGCTATCGTTTTGTCTGATCCAGAGAACGGCTTCAAGCGAGCGTCGGAGTGGATGAAAACCTTGTGGGGCCCGTTATTGGAGAGACATATCCGCGAGGAGGAGAGGAACGGGGGCAACTCAAGCGAGAAAGAACCCCCAAAGTCGGTGCTGGAGCGGATGATTGGCGCACCGGGCGTCAAGCTCGAGTATAGAGATCTGGACTCTAATGGGAAAAAAGACCGCGTTACGAATCAGCCACTGTATTGCGTGGGCTGTTTCCTCCACGGCTGGGGCGAGACGGGATTGCAGCTGGGCTACGGGAGCGCGCTCGGCAAGAAAGAGGCTGGGCAAAAGGCAGCGCAGATGGCGCTGGGGAATAAGAAGCTGATCAAAAAGTATGCAGACAAGAAGGAGGCGTTCATGGCTGCCCGGGCTGCACAGGCATCGGCAGATAAGGGAAGTTAGGTAGGCAAACAAAACGGTCAACTTGCATCCCAACGCAACGCACATCCAGGCACCATCCAGTATTAAAGAAAGCAAAACCGAAGAATTCCTTGATGCGCCCCCTAAATGATGCCTCCCGGCAGGTCATACCCTCTGGCGGTGCGACTCGCCAAACCGCTCAGCCCGGTGCTCCCGGGACCTCGCCCGACCCGTCGACGGGCGCCTTGTCTATCTTCACAAAGCATAAACCTAGGGTCCTACCCTTTCTTATTGAACTTTTCAACCAGGATGAGCGGCTTCTCGTCCAGACCTAGACGACGGGCCTGATTACGGTAGAGTCGTAGACAATGTACACGGCACGTTTATGTGGTACTGACTCCGAACGACTAGAAGATTTTGACGGGTGTCCTGGGGATCGGAATCTGCATTCTGCGCGGGCCGGCTCGGGTGCTTTCTGAAAGTACGAAGTACAAACGCAACGGTCTTCGCTACCAAAGGTGGATGGTCCGATAGTGAAGATGTTCTCAATAAAGACAGTAAGTAAAAAGCGGGTCGTGAATCGTGATCCAGGCAGGCTGAAGCAGGTGCCAGGGGTTTGGCGTTGGATTGTGGGCCCGGAGGCTGTTGCCGACGCAAGTCTGCCGAGGCTCTTGCCCTTTTGGCAGCCATTTCCCAGCAGTGGGGCGGCTACATCACCTCGAATAGGTACATCGACGCGACTTCGTCCCCCTGAGCGAGATGAACACATGAAAATAATAACCTTACGCCTGAGAGCGAGCCTCTGCCTTGCGTGTACAGCTTTTTGACCTGTTGTCGAGTAGTTTTGTTTTGTTTCTCGGTTGGTCCTGCAACGCACGCAGTTTTGGTGTCTCGACGCTCAGGTGCCCCTCTGAATGCGACAATCGCTCGAGACGCGAGCACGACTGAACTCAAAGTTGTAGTATCCTGTCCACACCGGCAGTTCACAAGTTTGGGTCACAATGACAGATTCAATCGGTAAGAATAGGGCATATTACCGCGACTTTGGCAGTTCTCTTGACTCGAGCATGGCTCGGATTGATACTCTTATCTGATTCATTGAAACAGACCGAGTCTTCGTCCATGCTCTCAACACCGTCAAGAAAATTCCCAAGACGGGGGCTGCCCGGCCTCCACCCTCTGACCGAATGCGTCTTTATGGCCTTTACAAGCAGGCCATGGAAGGCGACGTGGATGGCGTCATGGAGCGACCCTCGGCAGAATCGGCGGCCGGTGCGGGCAGCAGCGGCGAAGACATTGTGCGCGAACAGGACAAATGGGATGCGTGGAATGCCCAGAAGGGTCTGAGTCGTACAGAAGCTAAGCGGCGCTATGTTGAGGCGCTGATTGAGACGATGCACAAGTACGCCAATACGCCCAACGCCCTGGCGCTAGTTGCCGAGCTCGAATTTGTCTGGAACCAGGTCAAGAGCAACAGCCCCAGCTCGTCGGAGTCTTCATCGGGACATAGCGGGGCGGGAGGCGTCGAACAACGGGGTGCGAGCGGCTTTGGCGTTGGCGGCGGGAGCAGCATCATTCGCCGATTTCAGCCCCCGTTGAGCGGTGCCGACGGTCCGATGAAGGTTCTCAGTCCGATGAGTGAGGAAGACGAGTCCGAGAGGCGCCTAGCCGAGTTAGGAGAGCAGGGAGAGGATAATCCGGGCGAGTACGCGAGGCGGAATGACAAGCGGTCGAAGCGGATGGAGCGAGCCATCGTCAGACTTTCGGCCGAGATCGCTGCGCTGCGGGAACAGATAGCAACCGGCCGTGAATGGAGGTCTCGCAAGGAGCGGAGCGTTCTTTCCTGGATTAGTTGGGCTTTTTGGGTCGTCACGAAGCACATCACGGCCGATATCATCATCTTACTTCTGTTGCTGCTCTGGATGCGGAAGAGGAGAGACAGGCGGTTCGAGGACCACGTTAGAGGAATCCTGAGCCTTGGTCGGGAATACATCAGAAGAATTCTTCCGGCTCGGTGAGGCTGCTACCGTGTTCGGTACAATCACTGTTTCCCGTGCTGAGGCGCAAGCTGGGCAAAGCGTGCCAACGCTCCGAATCTTCGACGATGCCTCCCGGGTGTCATAGGATGACTGGTGTCGACCTATTTATTGGCTGTCCTCGAGAATCAGCATCATGGCACGCGGGCGAGCACCTTTCTAAAGATCAGGAAAGGGACCGAGACGATCCGTGAAGCATCTGGTTCTCAATGCATTCTAAGGCGAGCCACCTCGATGCATGGACCGGTCGGTTAACGTTTGGTCCGGTGGACAAGCCTGCGGAGCGGACCACCAAATTCCACTCCACCACATCCGATAACAAGAAATCCGAAATAATACTGTCCCCTTGGCCAACCTTGGCCTCTGCGGTATGCAAGCAGGCAAAACCGCCGGGTCCGGCCAACCCGTTATGCAGTCCGACACTATGCCAACCGAGGGGTGGATATGGCCTGCAGAGGAAGATACTATGGCCTGCAGAGGAAGATACTATGGCCTGCAGAGGAAGATACTATGGCCTGCAGAGGAAGATACTATGGCCTGCAGGGGAAGATACGGAGAGACGCGCTCATATTAAGACTAAGAGGGCTCTATCCTGACCAGTTGAGCCGAAACAATGACTTTTCTTAGAGCAACGGCCAGGCTGGGCGAGGGCACCGAGGGCCATGGCAGGCCACGGCAAGACAGCCTGGAGATCAGTCACGGGCCACAATACGAAACCCATATTCTGTTGAAGGCGTTGAAGGCGTCCACAAAACCGCGTCAGATATACAGGAAAACATCTTCCCTCCACTGGTATAAAATTATACACGTTGGATCAAATCGATATTACGATGCAGGGTAATAGGGATGTTTGCATGTTAGACCTTGCAGAACAAAGCTGCCAGAATCGCTAGACCAAACAAATAATCTGCCTTTTCTCTTCACCGCTGTCTTGACGATGATCCAGTAGCTTACCGGGTAGGAAAAGACTCAAGGCTTGAGCTGAGCAAATGAGCAAGTGGGGCCAATTCAAGCCTCACCTGCATAAGTACGAAGTATAAGGGGTCCGCTGCGGAAGGTCGAGCATTGGTTGAGTCGTTGCTGGATCATCCGGGTTATGCCGATGCCTGAGATAACTCAAGAGAAAGCCGGCGGGGTTACTTCATCAGGTCAGCCTCCTCGTCGCCAAACCCCGGAACATCTCATTGGACTCCAGGACTGCCCGGCTACTCAAAATCGTCCTTTGACGGACTCTCCAGGGCCTAATTTTTAACGATGTCGCAGCAAACCCCGGGCCCGGCGGGCCAGAGGCCGCCAGCTTCCAAGATCCCGCCTTTGCAGCATATCGCACCTAGCATCTTTGTCCCACATGAGGACGACATTCTCAAGGTAGAGCCGCCACGAGACCGTGTTGAGCGGCTCAAGCGGATCCTGAAAACCATCGACTACAATCGCGAGGGCGTCAAGGAAAACCTCATGTACATGTTTGAGCGGGAGAAGCGGCGCATTATAGAAGAGGCAACCGCCACGGAGGCGATACAGGGCCAACCAAAGATTCGACCTGGATTGCCCACGGAGGAAGTTGACGCCATTATCAGCAGCATGGAAGCGGAGGCTCAACCCGGAATGGACTACAATATCCAGGATATACCGCAGCTAGACACGCAGCGTCCCATTCCGCCGGATATGCCGCTGAGAGACAGGACGGTGATCCAGTTGCTCAACTTGATTGAGAACGGACTGGTGGAATTGCGTAACTACGAGGGCCACATGGCTGGCATTGCCGACTACTACACGAAGTGTCTCGAACGGGAGCTGGCGATCATCAACGAGGCGGGGATGCGGCCTGAAGAACGGGCAAGCGCGAGGGGATTCTGATGGCGGTCGTCGACAGTGATTACTCCTTGGCGAGAAGCAAGTACCTACACCTGGACGGCAGGCTCATGAAGGCACCAGATCGATAAGACGCTTCTCCAGGGCTTCATTGTCGAAGACAATCAAACTGCTGGGGGAAAAAATGTGGCAACCGGCGGTAAGAACCATTGCTCCTCGAGGCCAAAAGAGGTCTCTCGCATGCATCCAAATCGGAGCCGTAATACTCAATCTAGAGCACAAGATAGAGGAGGACTCTGTGGACGAGCAGTTCAACACGAAAGTGTCAAATTGCCCAACAAAATTCTCCTACAATAAGTGCCCAAAGTACAATGAAGAAAAAAGAGGAAAAAGAGGTCCAAGAAATTCAATGGAGGAAGCTTTTAGAGCGCGATGGTCCGACGGAGCTTACAAACTGCGGAACATAATTGGTCGACTAAGCGACTGCTAGCTCGCTATTCTTCCCGGTGGCCCGTCCACTTTGCCTCACCACATTCGCAAACGGAGACGCTCGTTCAGAAGAAGACTGCGGCCGCCTCCGCTGGAGATAGCCAACCTCTCAACCTCGCATCTCCCCTCCTTAGCTTCGGTCGAGACGGCACCATGTTGAGGCAGACATTGGCTCGGTCGGCTTGGCGGACTGGCAAGCACCCGGCCAGTGCGGCCTGCCGAGCCTTTTCGGCGACAGCTCAGAGACCTGCGGAGGTCGAACTCACAATTGGTGAGCATGCCGCCCTCACGCTACAATTTCGACTGGTGGCATCGTTGCTGATTACTGCTAGATGGAAAGAAGGTTTCTATTGAGGGTGAGAAGACACTACGGTGCCAATTGATGTCTGTCCGCTGATCGTGATGCAGCCGGGTCTGCCTTGATCCAAGCTTGCGAAAAGGCCGGCGTCACCATCCCAAGGTAACACCCGCCAATTGCACATGTCTCTGCTGTAGATTTGCGCTGACCGTTGATAGATACTGCTACCATGAGTACGCCGCTCGCTATACCGTCGATGCTCCATATTCCCGCCGCTCACGCTAACAAATCCCTCGACAGGAAACTCATGATTGCCGGAAACTGCCGCATGTGCCTGGTCGAAGTCGAGCGGTCACCCAAGCCCGTTGCCTCGTGCGCCTGGCCTGTACAACCTGGCATGGTCGTCAAGACCAACTCTCCCCTGACACACAAGGCGCGCGAAGGCGTAATGGAGTTCCTGCTAGCGAACCATCCGCTGGACTGCCCCATCTGCGACCAGGGTGGCGAATGCGATCTCCAAGATCAGTCGATGCGATACGGCGCTGACCGTGGCCGGTTCCACGAGATCGGAGGAAAGCGCGCAGTAGAGGATAAGAATATCGGGCCCCTCATCAAAACGTCGATGAACAGGTGTATCCACTGCACAAGATGTGTGCGGTTCGCCAATGACATAGCCGGTGCTCCAGAGCTCGGTTCGACAGGCCGCGGCAATGACCTGCAGATTGGGACGTACCTCGAACAGAATCTCGACTCTGAACTCTCCGGTAACGTTATCGACCTTTGCCCCGTTGGAGCCCTGACATCGAAGCCCTACGCCTTCCGAGCCCGACCTTGGGAGCTCAAGCGCACCGAATCGATTGACGTTCTGGATGGTCTCGGCTCTAATATTCGTGTGGACTCGCGTGGCCTAGAGGTCATGCGCATCCTTCCCCGGCTCAACGACGACGTTAATGAGGAATGGATCAATGACAAGACCAGGTTCGCCTGCGATGGTCTCAAGACGCAGAGACTCACGATCCCCCTGGTGCGAAGGGAAGGCAAGTTTGAGCCCGCGACATGGGAGCAAGCCCTCACCGAGCTCGCTCACGCGTACCAGACGCTGGCTCCCAAAGACCACGAATTCAAGGTCATAGCCGGTGAGCTCACCGAGGTTGAGTCGCTCGTCGCCATGAAGGATCTTGCAAACAGGCTTGGCTCGGAAAATCTTGCCCTTGACATGCCGTCTGGCAACCGACCGATTGCGCACGGTATTGATGTGCGGTCAAATTACCTCTTTAACTCCAGAATCTGGGGCATTGAGTCTGCGGACTGCATGCTCCTGATCGGCACGAATCCGAGACACGAGGCCGCCGTCCTGAACGCCCGCATCAGGAAGCAGTGGCTACGGTCAGACCTCGAGATCGGTGTCGTTGGTGAGACATGGGACTCTACCTTTGGGTTTGAGCACCTGGGTACGGACCTAGCGGCCCTCAAGAAAGCGCTGTCTGGTCCGTTCGGCAAGAAGCTCCAGGCGGCCAAGAGACCCATGATCATTGTGGGCTCTGGTGTTACCGAGCATCCTGATGCCAAGGCCTTCTACGAGCTCGTCGGCAGCTTCGTCGACAAGAACGCGGCCAATTTCTTGACCGAAGAGTGGAATGGGTACAACGTCCTCCAGCGGGCCGCTTCACGGGCTGGCGCGTATGAGGTTGGCTTTGTCACCTCGTCGCCCGAGATTCTCGAAGCCAAGCCCAAGTTCGTCTGGCTCCTGGGCGCCGACGAGCTCAGCGAGGGCGACATTCCCAAGGACGCCTTCGTTGTTTACCAAGGCCACCACGGCGACCGGGGCGCCCAGATTGCGGACATTATCCTGCCCGGCGCTGCGTACACGGAGAAGGCCGGCACATATGTCAACACGGAGGGCCGTGTGCAGATGACGCGTGCCGCGACCGGTCTGCCCGGCGCCGCCCGCACGGACTGGAAGATCATCCGTGCGGCGAGCGAATTCCTCGGTGTTCCTTTGCCGTACGACGACGTAGCCCAGCTCAGGGACCGGATGGTCGAGATCAGCCCGGCCCTCGCTGCGTACGATGTTGTAGAGCCAGTTGCGCTGCCGCAGCTGAGCAAGGTGCAGCTGGTGGACCAGAACAAGGGCGCCAAGGCCACCGGCAGGCCGCTGAAGAGGGTGATAGAGAACTTCTACTTTACTGATGTCATTTCAAGAAGGTCAGTCTCCCCCCGCTGCAATCCCCCAGCTTCCCCTTTGCTGCTGAAGTAAGTCTGACTTTCTGACCTCAGCTCACCAACCATGGCGCGCTGCTCGGCGGCCAAGGAGACGGGTGATCCCCGAACCAACTTCATGGCGCCTGGCATGGAGGAGGATAGGCCGATGGGTCAGGTCGCATATGGGGCGTAGACAAAATAAACGAGCCTGTAAAGAGGAAGATTTTGTTGTACCGCTAGTAGAATACCACGTGTCTATAGCTTCCATCGCTGTCCCGGTGAGTCTGTCGTTGAGCCAGCCCCCCTCTGACAGCGACCTGCTTTTCTGTTTCCTTTTTCCCTTTGTCTGGTTTGTTTCTGCTGTTGTTTTGTTGTTCAAGCATAAGTGGGAGTCAATGGGCGGCTACCGGGTAGCTAGGCTAGCTAGCTACCTTTGAAATTCCAGTATGAAGAGCAGATAGGTACTGGGTAGGGGTGATTTCAATTTGAGTATACTGTACATAAGGTATCGATTAAGGGATGCTATGTTACTTGACGGTTCGTTGTACGACGGCTACGGCAAGATACAACTCCCGTGTCTGGTGACGGTAAGACCCCCGCAGCGTTAGGAGTGAGGTGATCTAATTCGCCTGTTGTGGACGGATGCCCCGGCTATTCACGGTCGTTGTCCTGCCGCTTGTGCCTGTTGCAAGGTTGGATATGCGGCGTGTTGTCGGTCTCCTTTTTGATGGACACGAGAAGCTCCTCACGTCTGTGGAGGGTAATGCTGGGTGTGAATTCAATAAGCCTTTGGCAAATGGTTCTTTCCTGTCGTACCTTGATCACTACCCAGAGGTTCCCTCGACCTCTGAGGCCGTGTTGTCCGTGTCTTCCGGCAGCGGCGGAAACTCTTTGTCCACTACATTGCCCAGGACACTGGTCCGTTGTAGTTCGTCGGATGGTGAATCCTTTTCCCAAGGCTTACGAGGCGCTTTCATCTTACCGAAAGGTGTAACCCCCTGGGCGGCGTAGCCTGTAAGTTTTCTTCTCAAGTGACCAATGGAAAGCCAGTGGGGAAGATAAACTCACCGGTGGCCTCACGACTGTATTCGGAATCTCCTTGATCCCAGATATTGGCTTCCCCATCGTGACAGCCTCGATCAAAGCCTGGAAGTTATCCGGATAAGGCGCTCCCTCGCCGGTGTTGGCGTGGAGGGCCCCGTCGTCGGCCTTCTTGCTGGCGTCAACTTTTGGGGCATTCAGTTGCCACGAGGGCACGGCTTGAGGAGCATGGGGTTTGTCGGGGGACGGCCGGGTTGGTGTAGCACCACCCATGCGCTGTTGGATATCTTCGAGCTTGGCGAGGATGGAGGCGTCAGGGTTGGAGGATGAGTGAGCGGCGCTGTAGGCCTCATAGGCGGAACGGTCAATGTCGTAGTTGAACCGCGACTTGTACCACCAGATGCGGGCTTGAAGAGTGGTGTTTAATGCCTTTTGACGTGTGAAGGCGTCATCTTTGCTGGCGAGAAACGGACCCAGTGTGGCCATGAGGCCTTGCTATGCAGCTCGGTTAACAGGGAAACTCTCTTGTAAGCGGGGTATGGAAAGCGTATGGGATAATAAGAGGATTGGGCGCGTTGCCTTACAAGGAATGAACGATCCCGCACCCAGGGATACAAGTCAAATTTGGCAAATTCGGCATCATGGCTGCTTGTTGACTGCGGCGAGGCAGAGGCCGGTTTGTCCGTGTTTGAGTCCATCTGGAAGAGTACTCATCTGAAAACGGAACGTGGAAGGTGCGTTTGGGTTGTTTCAAGGTGTGTGTGATGTTAGTTGTAGTAGATCTTGCTATCAATGTCTCAATTGCGTCGAATATGGGGGAATAGTATACATTGATTTGATGATTATTGCCAATGGGTGGCCTGCTCAGTCGCAGTCACAATGGCATTCCTTACATCCTATCTGACGATGGCATGTGAAAAACATGGGTAATTATCACCAACGTCGCGGAACAAGTAACCGGCGCACGGGCCACACCGCGGTACAGACAACTCAGGACTACAAGTGCCTTGGACATATAGTGGAAGTCCTTGGCTCTAAGGAACATTGCGTGTAGGAGAACAAAAGGAGTTAACTTATAATCTGCAAAGAGGGAGCCTGCCACCCGGGAACAAAGAGGTTCTGAAGGAACCTCATTTCAATCGTCCCCAGTTGGAACTTGATATGAACTGAAGTGGACTGAACCGAACACTTCAAGTTGACGGACTGGGGAGCGATAACCGTACGCACACTGTTCTGCACTTCAAATTCAAGAAGGGCAGTAACCACTCATACCACTTTGGGTGGTAGGCACAAAGATCGATTTACAATACTTCGTACACCCCGCTGTCTTTGAAATCTTCATTAAAGTTTAACCTTTTACTGCAGTGGTATTGGCAGTCGAGGATTCAGTTGGATCGGTCATCGAAGGAACTTCAAATTCAACTTATCGCTTGTCACACCGTGTCAACTGGCGATACGCACTGGCAGTCACCTTCCCACTCCCCAGACGTCGGTTCTTCAACTCGTCTCGACTCCATCTCTCAATTTGGAGACGGGACCCATATCTGCCACTCGCAATGCGTCGTGTCGTCGCCCAAGCCTTCCGTACCGCCTATCAATGCACAGCCAGGGGCATTCGCTCTAACGGCCGCCGGGCCCCTTCTTTTCTGCCTCAGCCGACGGCCAAGGGCGCCGCCGCGACCCGCCGCTTCTTATCGACAACAATCGCCGCCCGCAGTTCCCGTCCCCGGACGGCCGGCATTGGTCCGACTGGCGAATCAGCCCGCTCATCGATGTATTTTCGACGGGCTTCGGTAGCGCTGGTCTCGGCACTGGTGGGATACGGCGCCTGGTACTCGTACGGCGGCAACGGCAACGACAGCATCATCAAGCGCGCGTACTCATCTGCCGGGACGGCCACAACGGGAGAGGAGGACGCGGCGCCGACACGTTCAGTTCTGGTGATTGGGGCTGACGAACTCCACACTGGCACCTTTGTCGGAGAAGGCCCAATATCCAAGACCACGGCCGACGACGGGAGGCGTGTGATTGAGATGTTGACGCCCGAGCAGGCCACTCAAAAACTGCGGAGGAGCGAGCAGTCGTACTTTGTCAACCGCGGACAGGGTGTTGTACGCTACGATATCGTGCAGCTACCGAGCAATGATCCGATCGAGGATGACCACGCCGAGAAAATCGTTGAGATACCCAACAGGAAGGAGGGTGCCGAAACTACTGACTGGATGTTCTGGGGTGTTTTTGACGGCCATTCGTAGGTTTCATGCTGATGAATAAGTTTGTGACCCTGGGTGGCTGATAATTGCGGTTACAGAGGATGGACGACCTCGGCAAAGCTCCGCCAGGCCTTGGTCAGCTTTGTGGCCCGGGAGCTCAACGATACCTACAAGGCGGCTGGACTGACGCCATCGAGCGAGGCTGTCGATGCCGCAATCAAGAGAGGATTTCTCAAGTTGGATGACGAGATTGTCAACCAGAGCGTACAAAAGGTCATGCAAGCCAACAATAAGATCGCCGCGGCCGAGCTTCTAGCCCCGGCCCTGTCCGGATCCTGCGCACTCCTCTCCTTCTACGACAGCCGATCCAAGCTGCTGCGGGTGGCATGCACGGGCGACTCCAGGGCAGTCCTGGGCCGTCGGTCGCCCTCCGGCAAGTGGACTGCGACGCCGCTTTCCGTTGACCAGACGGGCAGCAACCCTGACGAAGCGGACCGGCTACGAAAGATGCACCCCAACGAGCCCTATGTCGTTCGTAACGGGCGCGTACTCGGCGGGCTGGAGCCAACACGCGCGTTTGGAGATGCCAGCTACAAGTGGACGCGGGAAATCTCGGAGAAGCTCAAGCAACACTTCTTCGCCCGATCCATCTCTCCGATTCTCAAGACGCCTCCCTACGTGACTGCTGAGCCCGTCATTACCACCACCAAGATCGAGCCGGAGAAGGGTGATTTTGTGGTTATGGCTACCGACGGGCTTTGGGAAATGCTTACCAACGACGAAGTTGTTGGCCTGGTTGGCAAGTGGATCGAGAGCCAAGCCAAGGGCTCGACAAACTCGCAGTTCGACTCGGTCTGGACGCGGCTTTTTGGGTCACGCGGCCAGAGTCCGCTCCCCGTTGAGTCAAAGCACGGTGATGACGGCAGCGGAGGCCAGAAGACACCGTTCCGCGGCATGCGGCAGTGGTCATCTCCCTCAGACAGCTTTGTGGTACAGGACATGAATGTTGCTACACATTTGGTCCGTAACGCGCTCGGCGGCAGGAATCAAGAGCAGGTGTCGGCGCTGCTCACCCTACCGGCCCCCTTTTCCAGGCGGTATCGGGATGACCTGACCGTTCAGGTTATCTTCTTTGGCAACGGCGAGAAGACTGGCGAGGTGTTGATCAACACAGACGCAACTGCGCCGGCGCAACCTATCAAGGCTAAGCTATAGACTTTACTTAGTCTCTAGGGGTTTTGTGGGCTCTGGGATTATGCATGGATCATCTTGGGCTGGGTAAGCGGTTTGGCGCAAGGGTTGATATACCAAGCAGCGATGCGTTGCGGCATGATTTGTTCATGGAGTTTACTACTGTTAGTTTTCAGCGTATTGTTGCATCACTTGTAGACAGGACGGTAGCTCGATGGGCGAGCCAGCAATCAGAATACATATTTCCTGAATGGGATGCTTCCTTCCATCTGCCCGCCAGGAAGGAGTCTGGCTCTTTCGTTTCGGGGATTCTGCGGCGTATTGAGGCAGATTTGCCGAAGTGTGGTTGGTCTTCAGGGTCTTCGCATCCCCCTGTGCTTAAAATGGAAGCTGTGTTTCCACCAGGTGTAATACATGTACTTCATATGAAGAAGAGTAAGGTGATTATTCATCGCATCAACCTCGTTTCTCGGTCTGCTGCCGTCGCCTTTGATAGCTTATACCTCATACCCAGCATGGAAGATGTTATTGGCGACTAATTGAACGGCCAACTTAGCTGCATCGGTACCTGATCTGGATCGAGAATCGGGGAAGTGCCTATAAGCTGCGAGATAACCGCTGGCGCGACGCGCCAAGTTACAGGTGGGACGTTACCTAGACAGGTAGCTTTCCGCGGACGAGCAAGGGTTGAGCTCGCTTAGTTTGGTGCCGTATCCTGACGTCACAGGCTTGCTGTCAGCACTACCTTGGGCTTGTCTCCTAGCTCCTACCAGCAGGATTCACCACCCTTGATGGATCACTGCCACCCCTCGCGCCCCTCTCGTGCCTTACCTTTAGCTACCCTACCTCGCCTACTCGGTTGTCTGCAGAAGTGGTGGGCAGGACGTTGATCTTTGTTTCCCGTCTCCAATAGCTTTGTATCTTTTTGTTCCTTTTCCAGCATTTCCTTCCTCCCATTGTCAGGCACTTTTCAGGGACTCGTTGCTGTACGACGTGTCGGTCCTCCCTTTTCAAACTACTCTAGCTTGCTGCTCCGATTGCGCCTTGCGATCAACTAACACTTTGGGTATCAAGACCGCACACCTTTCACGGCCTCGCCATGGTTGTCTTCGACGGCCACGAGTACTTGACCGAGGAGGAGAAGAGACTCAAGGAGGACCGCAATCGTACAAAGTATTGGAAGAAATGGGGATCATATGTTGCCGAAAGACAGTGGGCAACTGGCAAGTCTCAGCTTTCCGGATGCGAATGTTGCCTTGTCTAACTAGGCCAATGCAGTGCGAGAGGACTACAGCGCCGACGGCGATGCGTGGAGTCGTAAGTTTAGGCCCAGGCCCAGGCCGTGATTTCCGTCCTCTCAGCCTAACGGGACCATGCTCACACTACTGCTAGACTTTCCCCACGACCACGCCCGGTCCCGCGCATATCGGTGGGGTGAGGACGGCATTGCTGGTGTTTGCGACACACATGGCCTCCAGAACATCGCTTTCGCTTTCTGGAATGAGAAGGAGTAGGACTGATTGCGCCTTTTGAGCTTGCTCAAGCCAATTTGCTGACAGATGCCAGCCCCTTTCTCAAAGAGAGGCTGTTCGGGTTGTCTAACCCACAGGGAAACCACGGCGAGAGCATCAAGGAGGCGCACTTTCACTTGGATAATACACCGGTGAGTTATATCCGTACCAGCACTTGTTCAGGAGCCAACTGCTAACTATGTATCCTCAGACGGTAAGACCTGCTCTACGATGAGGAAGACATCAGAGCTCAAGCTCATGTGTACCAGCACTCGTATATGAAATTCCTGTACAAATATCCGCAGAAGCCGTTTCCCTACGAAGACCTACTCAAAGAGAACGCGAAACGGGGCAAGGAGGATAAGGAGTACCAGATCCTCGACACGGGCGTCTTCGATGAGGACCGCTACTGGGATATCTTCATCGAGACGGCCAAGGAAGATGATGACCCAGATGAGCTTCTCTTCCGCGTCACTGCTTGGAATAGAGGCCCGGACCCTGCTCCGCTCCACATCATCCCCCATGTGTGGTTCCGCAATACCTGGGCCTGGGGTCGGGAGCCCCCCGAGAAGAAGCCTTCAATTGGTGTTCATGACGAGAATTTGATGAAATCGAGGCACCACTCGTTGGGAGACCGTTATGTCCTCCTCTCCCCTTCTCCTGGGGTCGGCCCAAGTGGGGAGGACGTCCAGCCAGAGTTGATCTTTACCGAGAACGACACCAACTTTGAGCTGCTCTACAATGGCAAGAACGAATCCCCATACGTCAAGGATGCCTTCCATCGCTATATTATCAACCGCGAAAAAGGGGCTGTAAACCCAAGCCAGGTGGGAACAAAGGCTGCGGCGTGGTTCGCATTCAATGAAGCTGGCGGAGTCAACCCGGGCGAGTGCGCAGGTATTGCCCCATTCTCTCAATCCAGTCCATCTGCGGTACTGACGAGAAGTAGTTGTTCGATTCCGTTTCTCTAGGAAAGCAGAGACATACCTGGACGAAGAGGAGTTTGACGACATCATTGAGAGAAGGCGAGAGGAGGCCGACGACTTCTACTATCACATCAGCCCATTGCCAATGCCTGATGATCTCCGCAACATTCAGCGGCAGGCGTTTGCAGGCATGATGTGGTGTAAGCAGCACTATCTTTTCATCTGGGACGAGTGGGCGAATGGAGATCCCTCCCAGCCGCCACCGCCCCCTGAGCGAAAGGGCATTCGCAATTCTGCTTGGAAGCACCTACACTGCGATGACATTCTATCCATGCCTGATTCTTGGGAGTATCCCTTTTTCGCCGCTTGGGACACGAGCTTCCATTGCATTACGCTGGCCATGATCGATCCGGAATTTGCCAAGAAGCAGCTTGATCTCTTCACCCGCGAGTGGTACTGCCACCCTAACGGCCAGCTTCCTGCGTAAGTGAGTTCTCAGGGATGCAGAAGGAGCAGAGACTGACGCTCTACAGATACGAGTGGAACTTCAGCGATGTTAACCCCCCGGTTCACGCTTGGGCGACATTCCGTGTGTTCAAAATCGAGCGCAAGCTCTATGGGAAACAAGATCTCGACTTCCTCGAGAGAGTATTCCAGAAGTTGTTGCTGAACTTCACCTGGTGGGTTAACCGGAAAGATGTTGATGGCAAGAATGTGTTTGAGGGTGGTTTTCTCGGACTGGACAATATCGGCCTCTTCAACCGTTCCGAGCCACTGCCTACGGGTGGTACGCTAGAGCAAGCGGACAGCACAGGTTGGATGGCCTTTTACTGCCTCAATATGCTCAACATCGCCCTGGAGCTCGCAAAACATCGGCGCATCTACGAGGACATTGCCAGTAAATTCTTCGAGCACTTTATCCTCATCAGCGATGCAATGACCTGGAGAATGGGCAAAAAGGAGGAACAGTCGCTCTGGAACGATCAGGATGGATTTTACTATGACGCTATTTCATGGGGTGGTCCCTGGATTCAGCAGATGCCGGTCAGGTCTTTAGTTGGCCTGATTCCGCTCTACGCAACCCTCACTCTGGAACCCGAGCTCATCAACAAGTTGCCAGCCTTCAAGAAGCGCGTCGACTGGTTCATGGCCAACCGGTGCGATGTAGCAGAAAGGACAATGCACAGCATTCGCAGGCGTGGAAAGGGCAACAGGATCCTCCTCTCCCTTGTCAACAAGGAGCGGTTGGTAAAGATCCTTGAGCGCATGTTGGATGAAGATGAATTCTTCAGCCCGCACGGTATTCGCTCCCTATCCAAGTACCACAAGGAGCACCCTTACTCCATGGAGGTCAATGGACAAACCTTCAAAGTGGGATATGTGCCTGGGGACTCGGACAGCGGTCTTTTCGGTGGAAACAGCAACTGGCGAGGACCCATCTGGCTGTGTGTAAACTTCCTGCTGGTAGAATCGCTCCAGCGCTTCTATCTGTTCTTTGGACAGGATTTGCAAGTCGAGTGCCCGGTCGGCTCGGGCGACTATATGCATCTCGGGCATGTCTCGGAGGAAATCCAGCACCGCCTGCAGCATCTCTTTGCCCGTGGCGATGACGGCCGGCGGAGCATCAACGGCGGAAATGACACTCTCGACTTCGACCCCAACTGGAAGGACTATCTGTGGTTCTACGAGTTCTTTGACGGCGACACCGGGCGGGGCCTTGGGGCGACACACCAGTGCGGTTGGACTGGCCTGATTGCCCGCATGATTCACGATACAGGGTAAGCCACCCTTCTACCCTTTCCTTCCTCCCCTCTCCCCGCGGTAACACTAACAAATTCACCCCATCTCCAGCATCAACTGTCGCCTCCCGCAGACCCCTCGCACCCCGGGTGTCGGCATGTCCCATTACTTTGACGACATCCTCCACCGCCACGTTCCCGGTGGCGCCCGGACGCCTCGCTCTCCCATGCTCTCGCCCAACGCGCCTCGTCTCAGGCGGAGCTCCACGAGCAGGTCCATCGCCTCCCGCAGCGACTTCAGCATGCCCAACCGCGGTTTAGGGAGCTATGAAAGTGTTGCCGATGAAGACCCCTATGCTGTCAACGGCGACTCCCATGTTAGACGCGGGTCGGCTGGTACCCAGGCCATGATGAACGACCCGGATCGTGTCAGGGCCAGGCAGGAGGCGGACGCCCACCTGCACACCTACATCTCGCGTGAGCTGGAGAAGCTTCAGGTGGAGCGCGAGGTGAATAAGGAGCCGGACGAGTTTGAGGTCGAGGCTTGAGGGGGGCTGTTCTACATGGTTGTTGTATGACACAAAATTGGGGCTCGGAAAACGAGCGCTTGAGATTAGAGTTGTTATGTTTCAGGGGCTCAAACCTAGTACCTTGCGTAGATAGACATGCAGTATATATATACAGATGCGCTGGGATTCGAAGTTGACCGCGACCTGAATGTTTGCCTGCGGATAGAGATCCAAGCAATAAGATGGTCATCGTCGTGTCTGGACGGGGGTGCTTGTGCTCCTTGATACATAGGTCAAAGATTCAAAGCAAATTTTCATCAAGCGTCAGTGGTTTAGTGGTAAAATCCATCGTTGCCATCGATGGGCCCCGCGTTCGATTCGCGGCTGACGCAAGATCCTGAACTTCAATTTTTGATCTGACAATCAAACGACTTTTGCACATTTTTGACTCTCTTTAAGTCTCCCAATGTGTCGTGTATACCCATGAATATTCAGACTATGAAGCTGCAGTATGGTAGGTAGGCTCGGGATAGGCAATACCAATTTCTTCGTGCCGCTCAGTCGTTTCTGGCACAGGGCTTTTTTGCCCGAAGGACCGATACAGATTTCATCCTGGGTTGGTATATAGGGCATAGGCAGACTTTAGCCAATAAATGGTGACCAACGTTTTCAGAGTGAATGGCTAATCTCATTGTCCTATCAGATGAGGAATCATGAAGATACACCGAGGAGCAATGGACGAGCTTCCTAGATGAAAGTATCGAGAAGCTTATAGGAGCGGGTGTTCGCAGAGTGCCCGGGGTCCATGTTACCAACACTCTGGCCCGCCGGACATTGGACGTTGGGCCCATGTGAAGTTATACAGATAAGCTTCTTCGAAATGAGAGCAGGATTAGGGAGGATGATTTCTATTCAGCTCATATACATAGAGGCGCCGACTCGACCGGAGCCATTCTTAGACACGGCACATTGCTCCCCTGGTCAACTCAACACACCCCACTGGTACAAAAGTAAAAGTGATTTACAGGGTGTCGGTAAGGAGCTTGTTCATCTTGGCCAGTTTGGATGACACGCTCAGATCAATTGTCCTCTCGCCGACCTCCACAATCAGGCCGCCAACAATGTCGGGGTTCACCTGAGCAGTATTAGCATTGAGTAAAGGGGTGCTGTGAAGAGGGCCGCCGAGAACGCACCGTGTTCTTGACCTTGAGCTTCTGGCCAGGGGAGATGTAGTTTGACTTGGAGACGGCAGTCTCAAGGCGGTTCAGAGTCTTGTTGTCGAGAGGCTGTCATGTGATCCCCCTATCAGCACTGCATTCACTCCAGATCGCCTGAATTCATTCAAATATTTGTCTGGCCCGGCCGGGGGAAAGAACAGTCGTACCTGAGCGCTGGTAACCACCATCTCGACCTCACCACGAGCAGCGCTCATCAGCTCGCCAAACTTGTTGCAGACACCGGGGAGCAGGCCCAGACGGTTGTTTTCGGCGAGGGTGGAGAGGAAGTTCTTGACCGTCTCGCCAGTGGCACCGGCCTGCTTCTGCAGCTCGGCCACGATGGCGGACTTGTCCGAGGCTGATAGGGTCGGGGCCCCGAGGATCGTGGCGAGCTTCTGGTCCTTTTGCAGGAGGGTGCCGAGGGCAGCGACGCCCTTGGCCGTGGGCTCGAGGGAAGATGTCTTGACGGCGGCCGTGTACTATTGAATTCGAGCAAAAAGCAAATTAACGCAGGTTAGTCTTGGATCGTTTTGCGTGTTCGCTTCGTAGGCGGGAGAGTATCGGATGCAGGGAAGGCATTTCCTAACTGCTCTCTCCAAAGGAGAAAGCTGGGAAACACCAATTGGGCGGTCTAGGACGGGCGTACCAGAGCAGTGGCATAGGTGCCGTCGAGGCCGAAGAGGGCGACCGGAGGTTTCACCCTGTCGCTCGAGGCCGGCGCGGCGAAGGTGCGAGTTTGGCCGACGAGGGCACGCTGGGGAGCTGCCGTCCGCGCGGAGCGCAGCAATGCCTGTCGCGAGATCATGGTGGCTATGGAATCGGGTGCGATGATGGGACCTCGAATGTGGTGAAGCAAGCTTTCCCTTCAGTTTTCAAGGGATGGGGTTGGATGCTCGGTCAATTCTAGTTGCCTGAGGCAGAAACTTCTGGGCAACTGGGTGAATAAATTCCGCCTAAGGTTACGGAGTACTCCGTGGATGGTGCATAAAACCAGCCACTTAACGGTTTTCAAAAGCTGTGTTTGCAACTTGCGGGTAGCAAGACTGATAATTTGATGAACCGTACACTGAAGTTGAAGAAAGACTCCCCAGAATCTACTAGTACTTTATAGAGCTACAGGAAGCCCGCTCTCCCGAAGACTCCACGATCACGCATTGCATGCAATTCCCAAATTGGCAACTAATGTCCCAACTGATACCGACCATTACCCCGATCAAGCAGCATGCCTTGCGGTCCAAACTCGGAATACCTAACCACTTAACGAGCCCTGTATCGGCCAACCCAACCCAAACGCCGTCATGCAGGCCCAACAATGCGATACCGGTACTCTAAAAGAAACGCCACAAACAGTGGCCTAGTCGCTGCGCAACATGCTGTCTACCAAGTCGCCCAGTGGACCCCAGTAGTCCTTGCCGCTGGCAAGGTTGTGCTCGTCGATGAAGAGCACATATTGCTTGAAACTAGTGTTGAGGTGCGGCTCCAGGCCAAGCTCCCGGATGACGGGGTAGTGGTGGCAGTATATGTGGGCGTAAACACGGTACATGCGCTTGAATATTTGACGGACCAGGGCGGGGAACGACTTGGGGAACGGTACGCCTATTCCTGGTCAGTTTCTGTTGACACGGTGCTAAACGCGACGGGTCGTACCAATGCGACTCGGAAGAACCGCCTCGTTGTCAATATTGCTTTGGACCCAAGTCATCAGCTGCTCGATGTATGCCGGCGCAGGCATCTTGGTCGGTCGTTTGAAGTTCTCGGAATCCTGCCACAGATACTCGAACCTGACCCAATCAGTAATGATATTCACCTCGGTGGTCGCAAAACGTACTCGTCTGTCGCCTTCATCTCGGGACATGATTGGGGGGAGCAGAATTCGGTAATCGCGCCGTACAGGAGGTTGATCTGGTTGTAGAAATCCACCACTAGAGTCCCAGTCAGCATCCGCACTCCGACATGTGCGCATTGCGAGAAGCGACCCACTGTTGACAGCCAACCATTCATTCTCATCTTCGCCCTCTGGGAGTTTCACCACCTTGCGCAGACTGCCACCACCTAGTGTGGCCTCGGCATACTGGCGAAGCTGATAGCTCGTAGCGCCGCCTTTACCGGGCGCTCGAGGTCGGAACTGGTTCTTCGCCCGCTGATTGCTATAACCGCGCGCAAAAAGTTAGCCATGTTGTCAGGTCGCATCTGCAGCGCGTGAGCTCGGGCGCCGCTCCGCGAAGCGGGTCGGGCCGCGACGGGCAGGCTTGGAGGTTGCGCTTGCGCTTGCATGCTGGGGGACGGGTAGCAAATACAATTGGAACGTAGCCATTGTGTCGGGTGGACAGTTGCGAAATGGAAAAGTCAACTCACACAGTTGTAAGAAAGGAGCTCATGGCGAGAACCAGGGAACTTGGGCTCTCGACAGGAGGCAGCTGAAGACTGAGGCCACCAGACCAAGGATAGCGGGGCACACACGTTATGACGCAGGTAATGGAGCCACTCCACCAACAGATGCAAGCAATGCAAGCGGAGTCCGGGGCTGTGCGTGTACTGTACAGTGCCTGGATATACGATCTGGCCGGTTCTGGCTTTTTTCAAAGAAATGAAAGATGTGCTTGATTGGGAAAACGTACGGTGAGAATACATGTAGAGATGTCTGGCTCAGTTTTCAAAAGTCAACAACAGGATTGGTGCCAACAAAGCGGGAGAATGTTTACACCAGCGCTCTGGCAACAGCGACGGGGACAGATTGATTGCATCAGATTGCGGCACGTCAGTAGCGCAGCGGCGCTTGGCAAGCGCCTCAATTATTGTGTGGGGTCGTGGCACCGATCTGGAAAGGTGCATTCACTCATCTTGGCTGGACTCTTTCAGCCCTGGGCCCCTGACGTGGATAAAATCATGAAAGAACCAAACACTTGTCGGCAATTGCAATCGCAATCTCTGCACTTCGGCCTCGTCGTCTTCATCAAGACAGAGAGTTGTGCTTATGGACCGCAACATTTTCTCGGTCTCTGTGGTAGTCGCCTGACTTTGCTTTGGATATGGTTCGCTACCGGCAAGCCGCTTCCTCTTGCCTTCAAACCTTTCCTGCATGAGAGATCAGGGAATTGCTTGATTCTGTGGAGTCGACAACATGTGGCAGTCCAGCTGAAAGCACCGACATGAGGGGGTGATATCAGGAGCTGCCTCGTGGAACTTCCCATCATCAATGTTTTGTTTGTCGTCGCCCATCTCATGCCGGCCCGGGACATCCTCACCCGAGAATGTCGCACGCAGCACCCCGCATAGACAAAAGGGATCCTACTCTGCAACGGGTAATAATGCCCATCTTGCCCTGTTTAAGGGACGCGAACCCCTCTCTACCAGGCTAATGGGCCGCCAGCGTATGGATGTACTGTGTAGCTGATTGTTGGGAATTCGTGGTTCCGACTGACCGGGTCACCGTCGGGTTGGGGGAGATATCATGTAATGTATCTACCCATTGTAAGCCGCATGCCTGACAGGACGGTAGCCGCCAACGTTGAAACATATTGGCCATCAGCATAGACAATGCGTGTTCTGAGCCTTCTCCTTGTACTGTTCGCCCTCGCGGAGGCAGTCTCTGTTAACCAACGACGGAGAATCGTGCAATCTTTCAACATCCGCCGAAGTAGGAGCTCCGACTCTACACCGCTACAGGTAGGCAATGGCAACTTTGCCTTTGGCGCAGATGTCACGGGCTTGCAGACCTTCAAGCCCTTTGCCATCATGTCGACCTGGGGCTGGCATAACTTCACCCTCCCCACGAAGCCCGGCCAAACCTCTGTTCAAGGTATGCCATGTCCACAATTGTTGTGCCAGGATGCTGATGGGTGCGTCAAAGACTACTCGGAGGTGCTGTGGTGGACACACGGGAGGTTGGTCCCGTACGAGATGCCGAACCCTGACCAGAATGACATCTCGAACTGGCTCAGGGAGAACCCGCATAGGCTGAATTTGGCCAACGTGGGTTTCACCTTCGGTCGCCCGGGTGTTACCGAAGACGACTTGCAGCACAAATCCCAGGAGCTCGACATGTGGTCAGGAAGGCTATCATCGTCCTTCAAATACAACGGATCCAAGGTCCAGGTAGAAACATGGGCCGACCCAGAATCTGATACCATCGCAATCAATGTCAGATCAAAGTTGCTGAAGCGTGGCCTTGGTCTGTTTCTTGACTTCCCCTATCCGGATAATGAGAAGTTCAACGCCCCCTTTGTTAACCACTTCAACTTGACGTCTCGACACACCACGGCTCTGGAAAGGCTATCGCACAACTCTGCCCACATCAAGCACACGCTAGGCGAAACCACATATTACACCCATGTGGCATGGAGCGGCAAGGGAACCATCATTGGTCCCACAGAGGGAACACATCGCTATTCTTTCACAGCAGACCAGAGCGACGTCCAGCTGATCATCAGCTTATCCCCGGCGCCCAAGCGATCGACTACTTCATACCGGCAAATCGTCTCGTCGTCCAAGGCTTGGTGGAAATCCTACTGGTGCTCAGGGGCGTTTATCGATCTCACAGCGGTCCGAGACCCTAGAGCAAGAGATCTCCAACAGCGCATTATCACTTCTCAGTACCTCACAGCCATAAACTCGGCCTCATCCTACCCTCCCCAGGAATCGGGCTTGGTGAACAATGGCTGGCACGGCAAATTCCATCTGGAGATGACTCTGTGGCACACATTGCCATTTGCTCGCTGGGGCCACTTCCCCCTGATGTGGCGAAGCCAGCCCGCCATGTACCTGCAGTTCCTCCCCTCGGCCATTGCGCGCGCCCAGAGGCAAGGGTACAAGGGCGCCCGCTGGGGCAAGATGACGGACCCCTCGGGACGCAGCGCCCCGGGCGAGATCAACGCGCTCCTGATCTGGCAACAGCCGCACCCCATGTACTTTGCCGAAATCGAGTACCGCTCCTTCCCCAACGCGACGACCCTATCCCGCTGGGACGACATCTTGACGGCCACGGCCGACTTCATGGCGTCGTACGCCTTCTTCAACGAGTCGACGCGCGTCTACGACCTCGGCCCGCCCATGTACCCGGTCTCGGAGAACACCAACCCCAACGCCACCGTCAACCCGACCTTTGAGCTGGCGTACTGGCGCTTTGGCCTGGACGTTGCGGCGCGCTGGAAGACGCGCCAGGGCAAGCCCGTCCCGCAGGCCTGGATTACTGTTCGTGACAACCTCGCCCCGCTGCCCACGGTGGACGGGACGTACGCTGTGTACGAGGGCATCCGGGATATGTGGACTGACAACGCGACTACCAACGATCATCCCGCCATGGCGGGCATCTATGGTTTGCTTCCGCCCCCCGCGAGCGGCAAGCCACTGGACCTGGCGGCGCTGAAGAAGACGGCCGGCAAGATCAAGGAGCTGTGGGCGCTGGATTATTCGTATGGCTGGGACTTTGCTATGTTGGCCATGAACTCTCTGCGGCTGGGGGATCCGGACCAGGCGGTTGATTACTTGTTGCATCCGATCTTCCAGTTTGATGATGCGGGGTATCCGGTTGGCGGGTCGAGGGTGCCGACGCCGTATTTTCCAAACTCGGCTTCGTTGCTGATCGCGACGGCGATGATGGCCGGTGGGTGGGATGGGAGCGAAGGGAAGAAAGGCCACTGGCCCAGGGGCTGGGAGGAGGAAGTAGAGGTCGAGGGGTTCGTCCCGGCCCTGTAAAGGAGGTTGATGTGAGTGATGAGCCCTTATTAGCACATCAAAGGGAGCTAGATTAGTTGTAACCACGCATCGGATTGCCTGTGGGATGTAGTTATCGGGGCTTCAATCCCTCCTACACTGTTCAACACGACTTATCACAAGTTCCCTACCGGCCGAAACAGGACGTCATGAATTGCGTGCTGGTCGTGCCGGGCTTGAGCATTTGGTTTTCATGAGAGCCTCGCGATCCTATATCACAAGAGTGGGTGGACAGCATTTCACAATATTCTGCTTCCTAACCACCCACCTCTGCCTTCCTCGTCTCTCCCTATGGGTTTTTCATCGCCTCCCGTCCAACAATCCCGGATTTAAAGAAGGATTTCGCCCAAATTTTCGCCTTCGAACCCCTCAATAGCAAGCTTCTTAACCTTCTTCTTCTCCCTCGCCTTGTCTTGCCGTTTCCTTTGCTTAGCCAGGGTCTGCACCAACTCTGCCTCGGCAAGGTCGTATCCCGGCGGCGCGTCGTCGTCCTTGTCTAGGTCAATCTCGCCCAGGAGCAGCACATTCTCTCCGCGCACGAGGAATACGCCGCGGTCAATATCCGCATAGAGCCCCCTGGGCTGATTGGGTGCCGTCCCGGGAGGCACGAAGATCCGCTCCTTGGTGGACTGCAGCACTAAGTTTGCTGGACCGAAGCCATGTTAACCAAGAGACCTAGCCGATTATGAGCTGCTGCGTTCGGCTTGAGTCCATACCATACTGATCCCAACTGCGGAGGATGCCCAGTAACTTTCGTCCATCACGTAACGCTACCATGAGTTTTTCTGTGCCCGGTCAGTCCCCCTGAATCCCCAAGGCACGTGTGTCTTGCATGTTGCAGATATATGTGTAATCTGCCTTACTGTCAGTGAGATCCAAAAGCTGGGCAGCAGTGGTGAACATCTGAGCGGGCAGCTGCTGGGGTGGCGGAGGGGGACGCCCCAGTGCAGGCGGCATGGTCCCTGGAGCGCCGCCATGGGGTTGTTGTTGGAGATGATGCGGAGGGGGAGGATCGGAAATTGTGAGATTCTCCATTATGAGCACCGCGTCATGAGCTGGATTTGAAGCGGTGTATCCCAGTCCATCGGCGATTCGCTTTGATAGTTAAAGAACAAGGTGGGCTTCTTCTTCCACCTGCCCGTGCTGGGATTTCTTGAATTTATCTCCGAGTTAGTCAATCATGGGAGACCAGCATCATGGATACTCTGAGCGACACAATAGCACTTACATTTCTCACCCTGTTTCGGTGCCAACAGCAGTGAAGCAGGTCCCACCACAGGAGCTTAGCATGTAAGGTAACTAAACTGTCTCCGCCCCACCAGACATGCGTTTGGCCATTCTTCATGGCGGGGTCCCGCCTTAGGTTGCCGCCCGGCGACCACCTGCCGGACGGCGGGAGCCCTGCAAGCTCAGGTTGGACGGATTAACGACAGACCGGTTCATGAGTGCTCATTGGACGATCAACCTAATTCAGCCACTACGGTGGCTAGGTGTACAATACACGCAGCGTAGCCGAGATTCCGAATATGGATAGCTTCCTTACGGCAGCCACAAGACTCTGTGGGCTAAATTACATAACACCGCCCGCAGCCGCCCGGTTCTCGGGCCAGCTTATTGGCATGGATCCGCCGCCATTCGGCATAAAATAGGTACAATACTTACTCCGGGACCATGTAGAGTTGGCTACCTACCTATTGTCCTGCCAGCTCAGGAGGCCTCGCACAATAATAGTTTTCAGTCACAATACCTCTTGTCCAGAAGATGCACAAGTATCATTCCCTCGCAAATCATCCCAATCTTTCGTCTTGATCTGGCTATAGTTACAAATTGCTGCGCCTGTGCGGGCGATCCTCGCAAGACCGTGCGATCAGCCCCTCGAACAGGAACACCAGAACGCTCTCGACTCGCAGAACGAGAACGAGACCCTAGCGAACACAGAGATACCGTAGCAAATATGGCTACGACGGAGGCCGCAATGGCTGATACACCGGTCCATCGCCCTGATCGCCGTATGAACGGTTCACCTCCTCCGACGCAGTCGAAGCGAGACAAGCGCCGCCAGATGCTGGTAGATCGTCTGGCCACGCTCACCGAGAAGCTCAGCAAGGACCGAGATCAAGCCTTCCGGGAGCAACTTCACAAGATTCAGATTGACACAACCCTCGTCATGAGAGTCGACCCTTATGTCGATGGCCCTCTTGACGCCTTCGAGCAAGACCAGTTGAACGGTGACGCCGACGGACCCCAGACCCTCCTCGATAGAGCCGGGCCGAGGTTTGCCAAATGGATGGAAAAAGTCCAGGACCTAGTCGAGGAACGCGACTATCACCTTACCAAGTACAAGGTATGTCTCTTTGGTGCGCCATAGATCCGCTATCCTTGACGGCTGACTCGCCATGCTGTGTAGTTCGACTACGAGAAGAAAACATCGGAGTTCCTGAACACGCACGCCTTTAAGGTAGAAACTGCGAATCGCGAATACCGAGCCCTCTCTCAGACCCTCCGTGACCGCTTGATCAACAGCATCACTAGCAAAAAATTCAGGCTGAACAAGGAGAAAGAGGCACTGGAGATCTCGGATGCTTCTGCCCTTCTGCTTCATCCGAACCAGTTCAGCATCACCAATCCTGCCAGCCCTGGGGGCACACATAACAAGCGGACCACCCGGCAGCGGCGGGAAATGGAAGACGCCGGCATGGAAAACAGGAAACGAAAGCGCAACAACAACGACGACGACGGTTCGCCGGCACCACAACGCCGGGCCCTTGATGCCTCGGGCACCACCCCGCTCTGGCAGACAGACCGCCTGGCCTCGCGCAAGGCCACTGGCCCAATATACAGCATCGATAAGCTTTTTACCGACAAGGAGCTCACGATGTCATACAACACGGCCGCATTGGCCGCCCGCAAATACCTTCTCACACACAAACCAAAGCTTGACGAGCATGGCCGTCCTATCCCATCGCCCGATGGTAGCGACTCGGGCGCTGGCGACCAGGACGAGAACGACGGCTCAGACTCGGTCCCTTCAGCACCCATGATGGAGAGGAATGTGTCACATGCAACACGGAGCGGTCGCGGTGGGGCTAATAACCCTAATTTCATCGACGATAAGCTCACGGGCATGGAGATGCTCGCCAACTTCGACTTCCCAGGGAACTTTGACCGCATGCTCGCTGCTGACCCGAAACTGCCGCCAACGTTCCCTTCGACGTACGTCAAGGGCTACAACAAGCTAGACTACAACATTCCTAGCACGCTAAGTGCCGACGATGCGCATGCCGACCTCAGGGTGATGAAGGCGTTGAAGGATTACGACGAGGCCAACGGCGTCGGCGCCAACTTTGAGATGGAGAACGGCAGCCGTAAGCTTCTTGAGGCGGCATCGCTGCGGGCACGCGATCACCGCTTTGTAGCGTTTCTCCAGGGAGAGCGGCCGTCGGAGAACCAAGTGAGGAAGCAGCTGGGACTGCCAGTTCTTTCAGATGTTGTCGAGCCCGTGGTGTCCAACGAAAGAGCTGGCACGCCGAAGCCTGGACACACAGGCACGCCGGGGCCCTCGCCTGCTAAGCCCTCGGCACTGGGAGGTGTGCCTATGAGCAGGCAGTCGAGTGCCAATGGGGCACCGATGAGTCGGAGCAGCAGCCGGAAGGGTGGCCGGGGTGGGCGGAGTTGACGAAGGGTCCTGGTGGAGGAAAATAGGAGGGAATCGCGGATAAATATAAGGAGTCTGGAAATCGAACTTGTTTAAGGGATTGCTCCTGGAGGCTTAAGCAGGAGTTTGGGACATTGGGGGATTTTTAAATGAGGTGTTGGGTTGGTGGCTATAACTCGGGCACCCTGGCTATTATAGCTTTGCTCTATACCCCGAGATCTCGGGCAAGATCTCGAGCTTTGATTCGCAAAATACATTTGATTAAATCTATTATTCAGAGCGGCGCTACCTAAATCAAAGTAGAGAAAACCAGATCAAACAAACCCGCTATGCTATGTCCCCAGCTTTTCCCTCTACCCAAAAACGAGCGCCCGAACTTCAATACTCTCCCTCGCCTCCGCGCCCTCCCTCGTCCGGGGATCCTCAAATGCACTATGCGGTACCCGCCCTCCCTGCACCGCCGTCCCGTCCCTCAGCGCCTCGCTGTCGAAGCACTCAAGGAGGATCCGCTCATCCCCCGTCATGCCACTCAAATAATACCACTTCTGCCCTTCATGGTACTTGATGGCGGCCGTCTGGCCCACGTAACCGGAGTCAACGTAGCGGTGCTCGACGGGAACAATGTCCTCATCGCGCAGCGTCGACGACGACGCAAACGCCAGCGGGGACGACTCGACGGGCCCCCGGTTCAGGGGCCGCCACACGTTGATGATGCGGTACCGCCCCGCAAGAAGCGCCTCGGCTTCCTCCGGGGAAGACGCACCACCGTGCCGCCGCACCCGCTGCATTGCTGACGAAGGCGTCTGGTCGATGTGCACGCGGTTGACAGGCGTGCGGGGCGCGTCGGCCGCGGCGCGCCGGATCGTGTGGTCAAAGATGACCACCTTGTGCGCCGAGGGGATCAGGGAGTGCAGCAGCGCGGTGACTTCCGGGTAGTAGTTTGCCTCGATGGAGGCGTCGTCGGTGAAGGATTGTTCTGAGGAAGCGGGCTGGTTGAGGACGATTTGGAAGGCGTCGCGGTCGAGGGAGTAGTCGGAGGCGTTGGCGCGGACGTCGCGGATCAGCACCGGAATGCCCACGTCGGAGAAGTTGCGCCGTTTGCTTGGGTCGACGTCGGCCGGCACGTCGCCTGCCAGCATGTACGGCGTGGAACGGTCCTCAGGGGGGGAGTAGAAGTTGAGCGTGGCGATCACGTCGCCCTGCGGCGGTTGAGGGGTGCTGGATGTGGTTGTGGCTGCGGCCATGGTGGTCTGGCTGTCAGGGGCTAGAAGATGATCAAGACCTCAGGACGGGTCAGGAGCCTGGGTGGACTTCGGAGGACTGCTTGCTGTTGTTGATCAAGCTGATTAAGTGCATTTGGAGAGTCTGATCTTCTCAGACATTGAGAATATATAGCACAATTCATTTCGCAGATGGTTTCACTTTGGAATACAGGTGTTACCTATATGGCGTCCATCAATTTCAAAGCACCGGGCGACAGTCGCGAATCGCGAATTCGGCATCTTGCGCCATTTGGGTCTGGCATGTCATGATCGGCTCAATTGCTACATCGATGTAATCGAACTGCCATTGCTTGAAGGTGTAGAAAATGGTTACTGGCTTCTCTGGCTTATTAATGCTTGCTGCAGCCTGCAGCTTCGAGGAAGTTGTAGTCTTTAAGGCGTTGGATTAACGAGAACCCGGATGACGTTGAGGAATTTGGAAGGGTGAACTCCAGCCCCTGTTAGGCCAAGCCATGGTGGGCCCAGTGGCGCTAGGGCCAACGGCCAAGCACGCCCGTCGACGTTAACAATTTTCCGGAATGTGGGGTTGTAGAGCAATTGTTTTGATTGGAGGTTCGCCAGGGCTTGGCCTAATCAGGAAGCATGTAAACAGACGCGGCGGCGACTCTCGATTTTCAAAGTCGCACAGGCACTGTGAAGCGCATCGACCACCGACGCTATCATTAACGTTATCGAATACCGACGCGCCATCACGGGTGCCGCGCAAAGTTTTGGGCCGTGTCGATGTCCATGTTTTGGCGACGTCATGCCCACAACGGCGATGGCGACGGCGACGGCGACGGCATGATGGACGAGGAACATACGATAACACTCAATCTGGGGTCTTCGCCCGATCCTTTGATCGATCCGGCCCTAAGCCCGCCCATGATGCCGCCCTCAGCTATCAAGGCGCGCAGTCCGGCGGCGAAGCGATTGTATACCCTCGAGTCCTCCCCGCGCAAACAGACCTTTGAGCTGGACGTTGGAAATGAAATGTCGCCACAGCGACTCCTCGTTACCGTCGAGGCCGACGAGCCGAATCGCAACACAAACCGGCGCCTATTCCAGTCGCCCACCCCGAAACGAGGCAAGACGCCGCAGAGAGTCAAGACGGTCACAACATCAGTGCCTGTGCGTGGCTTGACTGACGATGAGTCCACAACCCCGAAGCGAAGGGGGCGGCCGCGCAAGTCGGGGGGGACGCCAATACCATCACGGCGCAAAAGACCAGGGACGCCAGCGAAAGCGCCAAGGGGCGGGGCCGACCGACTGAATTCACCGCAGAAGGGCGTCCTCACCTCCGACATTGAGGATATGCAGCCGACTCCGCGGCCCACTACCCAGCCGAAGAGGGTCGCGAAGCGAAAATCCACGTCGCCGACGAAAGAGGATAGCGCGCCAGGGACACAAGCGAAGAAAAGAGGAAGGCCCAGGAAACGCCAAATTACATCGGATGATTTGGCGACGCATTTGGGTCAGGAGCAAACGGACAACGCTGCCTCAGTCCCAACGCCAGTGCACACGAGGGGCGCGGCAGCAGAAAACCAAGGGCGCGATGATATGGACGACGATATCTGGCTCGCGACTCTGTCCGACCAACCTACGCCGGCTGGTCAAACAAGACAGAAAGATCATGGCCCTGCCTTCACAAGCGACGCTTCGGATATACCCCAATCCGAATTGCAGCGACACGAACCAGAACAACAGCCGCAATATGAGTGGCCAGAACTGGGAGGCGGCATGGATTCGTACAGCGAAGCCGAATCTCAGGCTAGCGAGGATCGTGATGGTCAAGACCGGCAAGACACAGTCATGCCTGACGAGGAGTTTACCATGATTTCCCTCAGCACCCTGCCGTCGATGCAGCCGAACTCCAGCGTGATGGCACCCGAGCCCGAGGAGTTTGGAGAGGCTACAAGGTCCATAATCAACAGGAGTTTGGAATATTTGAGGCAGAGTTGGAACAGGGCGGCTGAGGAGCCTGCCGCTGAGCATCCAGTTACCGAGACCGCCGAGGGAGAAGCAGGTGGCGAAGAACTGGCTGGGCGAAACTCCAACCAGCAACATGATGAACATATCTTGCCGCCGCCGCCACCTTCACAATCTCCGCAGACGCTGCGTCGAAGTCCCCGCAGGGCGAAAGCGCAACCCCTTGCAAGACAGATAGCCCAAAAGACCCTCCAGCAGGAAGCGCATCAGTCGCCCGCACCGCACCAACCTGCCGTTGACCAGTCCGAGAACCGGGATGCTAGCGCCTACGATGATTCTTTCTCCGAGATTCCCGAGGACGTACTCATAGCCGCAACTCCACGGCAGTTCCGCCAACCCAGGAGGGGAGCCGAAGCCGAACAGGAATCGGACAAGCCCAGCCGAGAAGACATTCAGCCGTCCATTGAGCGGCCCTCAACAGTGAATCACTCCAACCCCCAATCTGAGACGAATAGGCTGTTGACTCCTGATGAGACACCATCCCCAATCCCATCCGAAACCGAAGAGCACAACGCCCAGACCAAGTCTCCTTCTCCTGGGCCTGCTCTGGGTGCTGACATGCCCTCCTCCCCGCCGATCGGAAGCCCTGCTGCCCAAACCCGTTTCACCAGCTCCATAGCACGCCATCTCAGGGCCAACTCGACTGAGACTCCTGCCGATCAGCTCTCCTCTTTCGCATCGACGACAATGGCGGCACGCGATGCCCAGCCTGTACTCCTGCCGCTCCCCGAACCCCAACCCCGACCGAGCTTATCCCCGATCGTCCGCGCAGGCCGGGCTCTGCAGCTGGTCACCTCTGACCCACCGTCGCCCCCTGGTCGAGATAGCATGCTAGGGAGCCCATTCCGGGGCTCGACAACCAAGTCCAGCCAGTCACCCGCGCCGGCTCTGGCGACGGAACAGCCCCCGTCTCGGGCCACTCGGTCGCCATCGCTGCCACAGACCGGCGCCGCGGTTGACCAGCCTCAGTCGTCCTGGCTTGCACCCCTGAATAGGATCAGGAACTTTGTTGTCCAGAGCGCGCAATCGCTCTCGCCTGCGCGCATCTCTGTTTCCGGCACAGAAGGTATGGACGACCCGTTCGGCCCGGATCCGGTTGATTCAACTAGGCGGGGTTCTGTACGCAGCACACTGTTCAGCGGCCCCGGCAAGCAGGCTTTTGACAGGGACCCTACTGTCAGTGTCGCGAGCCCGGCAGCAAGAAATTCTCCCCATGACGACGATCCCATGAGCTGGCAAGGTGAAGGTAGTGTTGCTGAGGGTTCGCAACGATCTGCATCCCCAAGTTTGAGCGTCCATGATGCCCGCGGTTCCACTGGCGTCGAGAGGGAGCCAACTGGACACCAGGAAGAACAAGCACAGAATCCAGAGTCTTCGATTGGCGCTAGGATTTCACAATGGTCCGCGAATATGGCGGAACACACAAGGGAAGAAGAGGAAATGGATGAGGTGGAAGAAGAGGAAGACATCTGGGGTATTGAAGCCCAGCGTCCCACGCCCCATGCTCTCAAGACTGCGCCGCGCAGGCAAGAGGAACCTCCCGCGGAACTCCCTGCAAGGGGCAAGATACCGAGCCCCTGGAGGAAAAACAGCCGCAGGTTGGTTTACAACGACGAATTACAGAAATACGCGGAGAAGGGCGCTCCTACTGAGTGGAACCCTTCGGTGAATGAGGATGAAGAGTATAGCATGCTCGCTCAGGGTCAGGAGCAAAGGCCACCAGTTCCATCCCGCCAACCGCCGCAAAAGAAGGGGGATTTCTCTTCGTTCTTCTCATCGCCTGCTACGCTTCCGGATATGCAAGGGCCACCCGGCCTCGGCTCCTCCAAAACACTCGACTCGCGGAGGCCTGCAGTCATGGATCGTTCCACGCAACGACCGAGAAGCCTTCTCGCAGCACAGCAGCCGCCAACATCCGGAAATACCCTCTTCTCTCATTACCTTCAGCCGTCTGCTCCGACGCGGGTGCCGTCTGTGCCGCAGAAGCAGCTTGAAATCGGCGGCCGCCGGAGGAGTATCGACCTATTTTCTCCTAGAAAAAGTAGCCCTGAGCATAGAGATACAGGCAAAGCGCCGGCTCCTCCCCAACAGAAGCAGCTCAAACTCGACGATCGCCAGAGAAATGTCGGCGTGCTCTCTCCGGGACGAAGCAGCTCTGAGCCGAAGACAGCTGCTCAGACGTCCGCGCCGCCGCCGGCTCTACATCCTGCGTCTCCGGAGAGTTCAGAAGCTCCGAGGGCAGCGATCATTCCTCAGAAGAAGAACTTCACACCACGCCGCCGGCAACCAGGTGATACCAGCAGTCTCTTTCAACGAGAGCCTGCTGCACCGTCGAATTCACTATTTAGTAATAACAAAGTCTCAGAGTTCTTCTCCCAAGCGCGCCAGCAAACTGTATCCCAGTCTCGAGCGGAGGAGCAGAGGCAAGAGACGCCAGTCTCCGAGGAGGAGGATTCGAGCTTCATCCCGCCCGTGTTGAAACCTCTGCCAGACCGCGCCGCATCCCCTAGCAAATCATGCATACGCTCGCCCCTCAAACCCAAAACGCCCGGCCGGGTAGTAGAGTGGACAAGCAGCACCCTTTCACCGCTGGCACAGGCACAGGCTCGGGCCGAGCGGCAGGCAGCGGGGTTGCCGGCCAGAGGCCAGCCCTCGCAGGGTGTGGGGAGAAGCAGCAGCAGGAATGCTGCGGTCTTGGAACAGCAACAGGAGGAGGTAGCTGAGGAGGAAATGGCAGACGAGGAACCACCCTCCTCCCCACAATCCCAGCGCCAGGACCAACAACATCATCAACATCACGCCCCTCCTCCAACCAACGTCACCACCAGGTCTACAACCACCACCACCCACCACCCCACCACCCACTTGCACACACCGTTGTTATCCCCCACAACCTGGACCCGCGCGCACTGGGAGCGTCTCGACGCCCTGCTGCAAGCCCGCAAGAAGGGGCCCCTACCACCCCCTTTCACTTCCTCTTCCTCTTCCACTTCCTTTGCCGCCCAACAACAGTTGAACCACCGGCGCCGGTTGCTGCTGGGCAAGCAGGTCGTGGCGCAGGGCGAGTCGATGCTGCTTGAGGCGTGGCACCTGGACGTGGTGGACGCTTTCAAGGCCGAGGTCGAGGCCGAGGCCGCAGTTAGGGTTGGGGTTGGGGTCAGGGTTGCCTGGGACGAGACGGAGCTTGCCAAGAGAGTGTTTGCGTTGCTTGTTGGCGAGGAGAGGAGGCGGTTGGGTTTGGTCGGGCGGCGGCGGCGGTGGTGAATTTTGTGGTTTTTTTTTTTTTTTTTTTTTTTTTTTTTTTTTTTT